ATTAGTGTTTGATTGGTTCAAACCCATCAGAGAGCGTCTCAGGATCTGTCACCTTCGAGTATGCTATGAGTTTCTGATGTATTGGTGATACTGAACCGGGGGAGATAAACCTCATGATGCTGCAGTTGCAAGGCGCTGTTACAGAATTACTTCCTGATTGAATCCAGCATTCAAATCAGCGGAATATGATTGAGTTTCTTCAGGTGGATATTGAGTAATGGCTGGCCTATGCTGGATCGACTCTGTCTCAACGGCAATCATATATGTCTGTGCAGCAGCCTCGTCAAAGGCTTGGCGTAGATCCTGGCGCTTCCGTACCGCGTACTTGCAGCTGGTGTTCGGGCACAGAGCTGACCGGCTGGCTGGTATTATCGCAAGGGCTGATCACGTCTGCTCGCTTCCCAGAGAATTTCTCTCCGGGGGCAGTCAGGGCAACTCGGTCCAAGTGGCTTTGGAGGTTGCGAGATTGCTGATTGAAACAACCTCTTACCAGAACAAGTTACGGGTTGCGAGCAAGCCTCAATCTCCACTGGCAATCTCACAGGAGGGGACGCTTGTGTTCAGCTTCGTGACGGCGGGGTTTTAGCTCCATTTTGCGCTCAGGGAGTGTGAGGAATAAAAGCAGAAATCAAAGAAGCGGGAATTATTATTCGGAGTGTTATTCATTGTGTTAAGTTGTCGGGCTCTGGCAGCTTCCATTGTTATTGAGCTTTATTCTCTTTCACTTACGTATTATTCGGGGTGGAGGCATAAATCTAGATCGGTTCACAGCTGGCTACGATAATTCGTTGCACGTGCCAGCCAAGAAATAGCGCCGATCCACATTTGCGATGTATTGATCCTAAGAAATAAAAGACTCGTGGGTGTGGTTCGGGGCAGCAGCAGCTCATATAACCGCTCGGGGTTGGAGAGATTCACTTTGCTTGGCTTGGCCCGGTGTTTTGTGTGGGTTTTGATCGATCACGGCGATCAACATTTGGTGTTTGAGATTGATTAAGCACTTACTCACATGACGGGCGTTGCAGGTATTTTTATGCAAATGAGTATTAATCCTGCTGCATTGTCATAGTACAGTCATAAATCTACCAAGAGAAGAGGGAAGGCCAGACACATTTTGGTAGAACTGAGTTTCAAGGGCACTGCTCCGTGAGCCTCCGGAGACGAGAGGAGAGATGCCTGTTCCAAGATCGAGCTGATTGGCCGTAGCCAAGCTAGCTGATGAGGGTGGATCGATTCTGATCCTTCAACGTTTTTGGCCGTTGAGAGCGAGCGGCCCCTGCGCATAATTCCTCGTACTGCGGTAAACTCGTGTCCTGTACCAATAAAATCCGCTGAGCCGAAGAGAGCCTAGACGCCCGCGTACCGGGTATCAAATCAATCGTGTCTTCAGAGCCAAGCGGTACGCATCCGGATTGTGTTCCGGCGAGAGCAGACATGGATATGACATGGATGAATAACTGGACGGGGCGGGATTCGCTACCAACCGCTCACTGACTCCAGTTTTCCGGCTTTGGCGGCTGTTTTCTTTTCTTTTTAGAAACAACCGCCCCATACTTATGTATTCGACGGCTACATGAAGGTATGGTTCTCCCCTCGCGGCGTTCTCAATTGCAAAACAAAGGGATAACTCTAAACAATGGGCGCCTGCCAGCCTGTCTCACATACATTACCGTTAGCAACAGTTGACTCGCACAAATCGTCCCCGTGAATGTTATGCAAGTCCTTCAAGTCAACCGGTACACAAGCGCGGGCTGAGCCAAGCTAGACAAGGGTGAGCTGATCCTGCGCAGTTTTGCGCCCGAAATAGCTCAACAGGAAGCGTTTAGGCGAGGTGAGCTGTCTCGGTTGGGGCTGTTCTCCGTTGTGCAAACACGAATCCGCTGGGGATTCACTGTGGGTTAGGCGATTAATGATGCTTTCTTCTGCCGAGTGGGATCCTCCATCCTTTCCGCCCCTCCAGATCCCTCTGAGGTTTCTTATATCATTCTAGTGCGAGCCGTTTTCTTCTCGGCGTCGAACTGTTTTGGCCGTATGTAAATTAATTCATGAGTCAACCCATACAGGAGTTACACGCTAGCCATCGCTGTCTGCGTGTTCCTGCTGCATCTTGGATTAGTTAGGTACACAACAACCAAACGCCTGTCTTGGAGCCAATTCGACTGGCCTGGTACAATTCGCCATGGATCACGATTGGAGCGGCTTGGCGGAGCGGGATGATGCGGTCATCGGTGTGCGCTCGCGACGACTGTACAACTCGAGTATGTGGGATGTCACCATGCCTATCCGGTCAGTCTCTAACGGAAGATTTGTTTTGCAGTTGCGGTTCTTGGCGATTATCTCTACATTGAGGGAGGTGTGGCGTCATCGTGTAACGCTACCACGGGGACATGCAACAGTGATGCAACGCCAGGTGAGCCTCATCTTTCACGCCAGAGGGGAATACTCCAAAGATATGGATCGCGGACTGACACCAACTCATTTTTTTGTCTACAGTGAACAAAACCCTATCGATTCCTCTGAACCGGAGCTGGTCCAATTCCACAATCGCCTACAACGAGATCGATCACAACAATGGCATCCCTGCCGCCGATTCGAGTGCCCTCTGGGCGGATGAGACGACCGGGACGTTATATCGATGGGCGGGAGGCGACTCGCGGGGCACAGCTGCCACCTCTGACTGGAACAGGCCGCTCTGGAAATTCACAGCAGACGGAAAGGGAGGTGGCTCGTGGGAGGAGTCCAAGCCGTCCAACAAAGATACATTCGACACGCTGAAGCGGGCGGCCAACGGCGCCTCGGCCTCGTGTGCAGGAATGGGGTTTTACATTGGTGGCTCGTCCTACTCGCTGACGGACTACTACCCCGAGTTCGCAAACGGGGTGCCCAACAATCCGATCCCGGGCATGCTCACGTACAACATGACGAGCAAGGAGTGGCGGAACGAGACGTATGTGCCTCCTGCCAGCCCGTACGGCGCCCTCAACTACGGCAAGGCGCTCTGCGTCGAGGGATTCGGCCCCAACCCGCTCGTCATGGTTCTGGGCGGCAGCTCAACCAGTCTCACCAGTACCAGAAGCTATACGCAAAATCCGATGAACAACGTCACATTCTACGATCCGGTAAATCGTCAATGGCATTCGCAAGAGTTGTCGGGGACGAACCCTGTCCCGCGCGACCTTCCCTGCATTGCTGGTGCGAAAGGGAAGAATGGAACATATGAAATGTAGGGATTTCCGCGCACTCGATTCCAGTTGGACTCCTTTATAGGCCCAGTGTGTTTGAAAATTTGCTAACATGCGATTCTTTTCTCAGTTTCATGTACGGTGGTTCCAACGATGACGACGGTCGCAATATTGGAGACGTCTGGGTGCTCTCGCTCCCAGGATTCCAATGGTTCCATGAAACCACAACTCTCCAGAGACGGAGACGGCATGCCTGCGCGGTCGCTGGGAAGAGCCAAATGGTTGTCGTGGGCGGTGGGTTGTCGGCGAAGATGTACGACCAGGAGGATCCGTGGCCAAACGCCATCAACGTCTTTGACATGAACACACTGCAATGGAAGGACAAGTACGACGCCGACGCTCCCGACTACGACTCACCCGATGTCATAAAGAATTGGTATAACAGGGGGTGAGTGCAGCAGGCTCTTTCCTAAATCTCAGAGGATATGCTGACAGATTTCTAGTGGATTGAAGACAGTTAACTGGAGCTCTGACGAGGTCAAGGCTCTGTTCGCAACCCGTAAGGATTCCCCAATCAAATTCTATGTTCATATGATGTTAACAACTTTTTCACAGAAGCGAACTCTACATCCACCAATACCACGAACACAGACAGCTCCGATGCAGCTTCCAGCTCAGGGCCCAATGTGGGTGCCATCGTTGGAGGTGTCATTGGCGGTTTGGCATTCGTCGCTATTCTCGCCGCTCTGTTCTGGTTCCTACGCCGCCGAAAGGGTCAAGCCCAGGACGAGGAGGAGAAGCCACGCCAGGCACATGACGGCATATACGAGATGCCCGCGACAGACAGACCAGAACTCGATGATGGGAGAAGTACGTGGGCTCCCAGCACCATCGTCGGAACCGATATCACAGGCAGTAGCTTCAGCAAGCCTTTTCCTCACCCCACCGAAGACAACCCTTCCGAGCTCAACGGCGTATGAAAAGACGTATGCTCACACGATTACTTGTACACACCACAAGGGCATCTATACACTTACCTTTCGTTCCTTCTCTATTACACTACCCTCTATGTGCCCCTGAAGCATTTGGGCTCAGAGGTTTATTATTACGAGGACACACTTTATTATTCTCCCGCCCAACACATTCAAACAACTACCTCGACTCATCAACCTCTCTCTCGCAGCCACGGCCGCGGGAACTGAAGCGACAACCTAAAGGGTCACAACGTCGCAATAAAATAGCATTCTCACGTTCATGAATATTTTCTTCACTTTTGGGCCTCGGGATACGGCGAACATCTGATGACCTTACTTCGGGCAGCATGGAGCGAGCATTGAAACTTTATACCCAGCATATCTTTTATTTTTCTCTCTAGATTTTAATTTCCTCGGCTTCAGATGCCTCATGAATACATTTCACTTTCTTCTACCTATTCAAATGATCATAGACTTACGTGAAACTTCATTTACCTCGTGTGAATTGGTAGAAACACCAGTTTCTGGTTTGCCTTGAACCAGTAGGAGGGAGGCTATCTCCGAGCAATACGGTGCCATTCAAAATTATGAAACAGCTTATAACAAAGGTATCAGCAGTCTTCGGCAGCGAAAGACTTTTCGGGTCAATACCGGAGGGTGTTTTTTTTGTTAGAATACACGTCTTTACGATAAGTAGAACAACCGAGTTGTCAACTACCGTCCATTTGAAGACTGGGATATCAGTTGCAGTAAAGTTGACAGATATATTTTGGAGTAGAGTATAGTTTAGACCTATGCGGTGCACTAATATCAACACACGGGATGCATGGCTCATGAAATCCAATCATGCCGAGACTATAATCCCCTTCAGATGCAAAAACTCTCGGATACCCTCATATCCACCCGAAAGACCCCAACCACTGCCTTTCGCTGCGCCAGCAGATGCGTTAGGAGGGATCTCTGTCAACATGGTCCCCTTATTAACTGTGACGACACCGCATTCCAGTCTCTTGCATAAAGCCATCCCACGCATAACATCCTTTGTCCACACTCCGCCAACGAGCCCATATTTGGATGAATTGGCTAACTCGAGACCAGCCTCCTCATCTTCGACAATGTACAGAGAGGAAGATGGGCCAAAAGTTTCCTCATCGTATAGCCTGGAGCTGGGACTAACACCTGTCACAATGGTGGGAGTGAGACTGGCTTTGTGCTCATCCTGGAAGGAGTTATCGCCAACAATAAACTCAGCTCCCTCCTTCTTGGCCTCCTCCAACGCAAGATGTGCCTTACTAGCAAACTCCTTGCTCGCAGCGTAGCCTGACATCTGGCTCCAGCCCTTGACCTCCGCCTTGAGTAGACTGGTGAATTCATCTGCAACAGACTTGACCACAATGATGCGCTCGGTGGACATGCAGATCTGTCCGTGGTGGAGGAACGCACCGAAAGCAGCCGCCTTGGCAGCCCTGGCCAGATCGGCATCCTCGCAAATAATGACGGGGCACTTGCCGCCCAGCTCCATCAAAATTGGCTTCAAGTACTTGCCGCACAGCTGCCCGATGATCTTGCCCACTGTCGCGCTTCCAATGAACTCGACCTTGCGGATTCGTGGATCCGCAATGATGGCTTCGGTGACCGTGGCGGCGTCTTCACGACGTACCACGATCTGGTTCAGCACACCTTCTGGTATGCCGGCGTCGGCAAACACTTGGCAGATCATGTGGTAAGTCGCCGGACAGAGCTCTGAGGCTTTGAGGACGACCGTGCAGCCTGCAGCCAGCGCCGTGGCGATCCCGCGAGTTGCCAGATACGTGGGACTGTTCCACGGAGAAATGAACAGCACAGGACCAATGGGGCTCCTGTATCCTACAATATGCGAGTTGGGATCAGTGTGAGGAGAAGTGGCCTCAAAAGCTGTGGTGATCTGCGCCGCAAGTTCCTCGACTGTTGCGGCTCCGCCGTAGGCAAAGTTCTGCCCGAACTGAGGAGGCGCCGATGTCTCGTGGGTTTGGGTATTGCCGATCTCTTCTGCTCGCTGGACCAAGACACCGGCCACCTTTAGTAGCAGCTTTCGGCGATGCTCAAGAGAAGTAGCGCTCCAGGTCTTGAAGGCTTCGGTGGCCGCTGTGATGGCGGCTTTGGCGTCATCCACACTGGCGGATTGAGCATAGTGGACGGTCTTGTCCTCTGATGATTTGATAACCTCAATCAAAGGACCGGATCCAACAGGAAGATTCTTGCCATTTATCCAGAGAGGCACAACCTGCTTATCGTCTTTGTTCTCGAATGTAGGTATGGTAGCCATGGTTAACTGTGAGAAACGTCGTTGGAAAAAGGTAGAATAAAGTAGATTAGGGCACGGAAATCTTGATGATTTCAGTTGCTAGAATACAGAGCATTAGAGGAATACATCCTGTGCTTTTATAAAAGACTTCCGGCTCACATGGATGTTAGTACCCGGACTACGCGTTGCCCTACGTATGTAAGTCCTAGTACCCCTTGTCAAATCCCAGCACATCTTTACCTGTTAGAGGTGTCAGAATGGGGTCCCCACGCCGGATGTCTGGCCTTACAGGGTCCAGCCAGCCGGAGATAGGTATAAGCATACTAGTAATTGCCGAAAAAAGAGCGAGAACTGGCTTGGCAAAAGAAGCATTATCCTTTTTCGGATCGTGCTTTGGACCATGCAACTAAACACCGAGATGTTACGATGTCTAGAATGCCTGGTGACATTCTGGAATGAAAGAAACAATCCCATACTAGAAACCCAAAACTTCCCATGTTATCCGATTCGCCAAAGGTAAGGATAAATAAGCAATCATTCTAAGCTTACGCACGTTAGATCTGCGCTATTTGCCTGGGCATCCATCATACGTCTCTGGGTGAAAGACTTGATGCTGATTTGTTGGTCGGACACTTCCTTTCTTGTGCACCTCCCAAACATGGGTTCAATACACCGTGAGAGAAGACTAGGAGGCTTCTTGAATGTGTGGATAAAATTGAATCTTACTTTCTAAGCTCTGCAGAGGAAAACTGTAGCTACCTGAATAAATGCAAATCTATTCTTCCAAGTCTTTGTCACACTAATTCTTTTGTTTGGGGAGCAAGTTGCAGGCGAAAGATGGCAGAATTTAGCCACTTTCTCCATACTTGACACATCTATCCATCTGTTATTTGTCGTCGGTAGAGTTTCCAATGTGGAAAGGTGGTGAATAGTTGTAGACAGTGACATTGGAATCCGGGACAGTCTTGAGGCGGAAAGTTCGGGTCGGGGCGACTAGGGAAGCAGTAACATCGAACCGGTAGTACCCCGAGCTGATCGGGACATCCGGAACTAGATATACTAAGTTAATAAATTGCACACATTTCTGGAAATACGACTCTGTTCAGTTCAAATGGAAATACTCACTCAGATCGCCGGCGGGCCATAGGTGGTTGATGTCATCGCCTTCCCAGAGTGACAAGGTCATATTTCCAGTGTAATTTCCATTTGGGTGCCAAAAGAAGGTGTAGTTGCCCGGGCTTGGGAGATATTCACCAGCCTCAGGTCTCCAAATTGGAGCCAGGTTGGGGTCGTGGTAGGTGGGCGTGTAAAGATTGACATGGGCCAACAGATTGACGGCAACTGTAGGAAGACGCATGATGAATAGTTAGAAATTCTTGGAACTCTTCGGAATGAGATGCGTAAACGAGTGGCAGAGAAGAGTCTCAGAACTATGGCGATTGACTTTGGTAACGGTTAGAAAATTAGAAGCGGGCGATCCATATAAATATTTGGAAAATCAAGTTGAAGACATATTGGTGCTGAGACAAAAGGTCAAACTGCTAAAAATGCGCTTCTTCTTTAGGCATGAGAACGTATCATCAGTGAGCTGGCCGCCTAGATTGTTCCTGCCAAGACAGGATGCACAGCCTCCGTTTTCATCTATTTGAAAATGAGGGGCATAATGATCTTTGTAGCATCGCGCATTCCTGTTGAGGCTCCTGCGGCACTACAAGACGGAATAGGTTCGATATGCCGCGATATGTGAATTCTCATTAGCTCAACTATCGCCATAGAATACTCTTCTTTTTCGGCTGTTGAAAAGATGCACAAATGAATCTTGTAGTACATTTCTTTTTACCTACGTTGGGCGCTCAATGTCGATTCATAGCCGCGGGATTGGGACTTTGGTTGTCTCGGGTTGTCCTGCCACCCCCTTGAGCTTTGGCCAATGGAGCTTGCTGATCTCTCCTAACTCTAACGACCTCCGAAGATGTTTGATCTGCGGTCCCAGCAGGAGCTACGTAATTTCGGTTAAGCACTAGATAAACCAATAAGCAGGTTCATGACACGTTGCTCCAAAAGCAACATATCGAGGCAGTGACACAGAGTTCCATGTCGTACAATCACAAAACCTTCAGCTCAGCAGTCTTTGAGTAATGGGTGAGTGTGTATTCATTAAGGAAGAGAAAAGAGCTAGGCGAGCCCAAACAGCTGAAGAACGAATTTTGGGCCAAGTGCGGCAAAGCCACCTTGGCTCAGTTGGGGGATTGGCATGCGCACTACTTTTATCTTCGTACGAGTTTCCAAATAATGATCAGCAATTGGAAGGGGCGACTTCAAGGTGAAGGTGCTTCTGTTGTCCCTCAGACTAAAAATGCTACGCTGAAGGGGCTGTGCTGGTGGGGTATCCGTTTTCTTTTCTTTTCTTCATGCCGAAACATTCATGCGACTTGTGTATGATGGCTATGTTTCCTTTGTGCGAGCGACCAAAGATTAACTTGACACTGTACTGGACTTTCACCTGCATCTTGGAGCTTTTTTTCATCTAGAACCAGTACTCGAGAAGTATATCATGGGCCCAGACTACAATAGCAAAACGGCAATTGCTACTCAAAAGCTGCTCACAGCTTTAAAGAATATCCCGAGGCGGATCTAGAAGCACTGGAGATACCATTCTGGCATGTAGATATAGGGGGTCTCTAGTCTCATAAAGACGTTCATTTGCACGATCACCTTGCCCTGATAAAGAAACAGTTTCTGTTCGTATTATGTCCTGTAACTTCTGATTCAACATTGGTCACGTCTGGTCTTGGCCTATCTTTTCTGTATTGAACTTTTTCTCATTTGATGTGTATCTATCCTAGAGAATATGAGTGATGTACTTGTCGCTTAATGGAAGAAGCGTGACTCCGATTCTAGGTCTGATAACACCCTCTCGTTTTAGTTGCCTGTGGCAGCAGCAGCAGGAGGAACGGTGACAGTGTATCCGTAATCTGAGAGACATTGTAAGTCAATAGCGCGCTGTGAAAATAACGTGACAGGGCCTTACCCTTGCACAGATCAACGCCAAACTGGATGGCGGCATCGGCCTTGGTACCACAGGTGCTTCGAGCGCACTGGACGAAATAGCCCTGAAGCTCGGGGGAGGCACAGAAGCAGTCATACATGGACGGCAGCGTGCAGGTAGTGGGAGGGTGCTGGTTGTAGACGGTTGTGAAGCAGTTGATCTACAAATAAGAAGGTTAGGGTTGGTCTTTTCACATGCTTCGTTGTGGGACTGGAAATTGAACGTACTGCGCAGAGTGTCTGGGAGGAAACCGCGGTGGCCAGCATCAGAGTGCTGCTAAGAATGCTGAAGGTCTTCATGATGGAGAGAAGTGGGGTTTGAATTGCTTGGGAAATTTGCTAAAAGTGATGCTTGTAGAATGCTTGAGAGTTGAAGAGAGTGTTGATGAACAGCACTATGAAGAGGGATGAAGCTGGGATTTATATTCACGTTCTCGGAATCCTTTTCGATGCTATTCACTGTCTCTGCCTTTGCTGCCGAGGTTTTCAGCTTGGCCCACTAAGACGAAGAGAGCGGCAAGGTTCCCAGTTTTCATTGGACTCGTTCCCCTGTCTTCGCACCAGCCAGGGCAGGTGCATCATTGGTGATGCCGCTAGCAGATGTAGAGTTATCAGATGATCTGATAAGAAAATTATCTGATCCGAGGCCTGTTTCCACCAGCTCAATTTGGAAGTCGGGAGGATGATCTCGCTTATGAGGCAAATATCTCGCTCTCTCACTCCGGCTTGGCGTTTGAATAAAGTCTTGGCTTTCTCAGCTCGTGAATGCATGACAGTAATTGCATTAGCTTCATTGAGCATCTTGCAGCGGCACTTTCGGCAGCTTCCAATGGCCCCCAGCATGCTTAACAACTTTGACACTGCCTATTTCTGTACGCTGCTTAAGTTGTTAGTTGAGCTTGAGGTTTGAACACTGCACTCAGGCTCAAGAGCTATTTGGGAGAAAACGCCTTATGAATGTGGCTTATTCTATCCCACACTTAGAGGCCCTATTCGGTACCCGAATGCACAACCTCAGGCCTGTTCCTGACAATTTGCGTCATTAATGAACGCCAACTACCAGAACGAGCGTGGGGCCGCCAGCTAGTCTGGTCTGACCACAAGGGTAGCGACCTTGCTCTAACCTTACAGATGAGTTTAGTAGTACGATGTATGCCCCAAACTTTGACTAGGCGGTTTCCCTGGGTTGTCTGGAGCCGGCTTGATTGTGATCAAGCCACTTACATAGCTGACTGCAGCTCATCCGATCAAAGAAGGGTATCTGAGCCAATCGCTTGCTGCGTCCCCATATACTTTCAGCTAACCAGTTGAAGCAAATTTAGACTAACACATTCTTGGTCTCACATGCGAAGTGTGCTGGCACTTGGCTATGCCGTTCTTGAGCCTGGTGATTATTAGCCGAGCAGGAAATCCTCCTACTGAGGCTGTCTGGTTTTGAAAATCAAGGTTCCAAACTTCGCAACTAATGGTAGCCTCAGACCCAGAAGCACCTGTGGGAGGGCGTCAGTCGATAGTTACCTCCGCAATATACCCACCCTCTGCCGCTACTCGGTTCGCCATTTTCTCCAACTAACCCGTATATTTTAGTCTACAGCACAAGGAGATCCTTACCGTCATCATTTGGAAGACACAAAACTCGTGTATGAATCATTGATATCGCGAACTGTCCATCCTGAGGACGGGATCGTTAACATCGACCATGGCTTAAATGTGTGCACGAGCACACGACAGCATGACCTCCGCTTAACAAATTGTATTCCGCGGCGTTGATCTTGCCAAACATCAAGCCAGGCGCTTGCAGCCAGTATCGTACAACCCCTCTTCTTGGCACCCAACCCGAACCCAGCCGCCTTCAAGGCCCTTGCCAGGCGCGGAATCCATTTCAGGGTTTTGGCCACGCTAAGGCTTCCTTTATGGATACACGGGATGAAGGCAGGACAAACATTTTCAATAGTTCTGGTCACTCCGAAGGTAAGAGTTCGTTTATTGGCGAAGGGAAGGAATATGCGTCAAATAGTTGCAATCCATAGCAAGGGTCTGATACATAAGCCAAATAGAGTGGTCATTTTTGGGGCTACTGGTATTGTAGAGGATTGCCCCAGTCAGTGGTGACAAATTCTTGTTCGTAGTGTTTCCTAGGAGATTCGACCTGATTGTTTTGTGGTAGCACGGTCTGATCTTTCCAGCTCAGCTTTTGCCCAGGATGGGATATTATTACCCGAAAAAACAGAAACATGATGATTATATGGTTTCAAATGTCGGAGAAGCGACTGACTTAGTATCAGCCTTGCAGAAGCAGGAGTTCATCACCAATGTTGAAATCGACTCGGCTTTATTAGGGACGGCAAAGCCGTGAATCCCCACCCTACGAGAAGACTTGGGAAATGCAAACGAGTGACCCGCCTAAAGACTCTGTGCCTAAGTTAAAATGGCGCGCGTACATTACTGATATGTCGAGTTTGATTTCTCTTACCAACGAATCTCCATCACCTTTTTGTTCCGCCGACAGCCGGTATGTATATCCCAAGGAGTATTGTGGTGGTGGTTGCAGTAATTACCATTACGCGCCACCATACACGATGATCAAAGACGGGCCGTCGAGGGAACTGGCCGAAATGGCAGCAGAAATACATGACCTGGGAACTCCAAGTCCTTGGTTCAACCCGGCTAAGGTCTGTCGCTAGGTAGTTAGAGAGCTCAGTCAACGTTCCCGACTCGCATTGGAACATCGTATCGCCAGCTTTAGAATCACTCTCACGGCTTTCTCAACGGTTAATTAACCTCAATACCGTGGGATTTTTGCTTGCGCTCCGACACTCTAGTAATGAGGACCAGCTAGCCAATAAGCCGCCTACATGGTCTCGGGCACTGGTGGGGAGATTTGATTTCCCGTAACACAGATGCATCAAAAGTTTACAGAATAGCTAGGAAGCAAGGAGAAAGAGGATATACTAACAGAATGTGGAATATCATTGAAACACGAGATTTTCCGTTTCCTTTCTAAACCATGATAACTAGAATACAGTTCCATTCTCTCTTTTGCGAAATCACGACACAATCTCCCATACCTAGCCCGGGGCAAATTCAAACTAAAACACGTAACATCCTATGGCATTAGCCGTTGGAATCATAAATCAGCAGATCCTTACCATGTCGCCCAAGTCTCAAATCCAGCCTCAATTGATGAAGCAAGTTCAATCATCCCACCATCACGAGCCTTCTAAAACCAACCTGAGGGCCACTCCCGGCTTACCAACGATTCGCCCAATCGCTTGAGCGAATCCTCCCCTGTTCTTTCAGATACACGAGGACGTCAACTCCAATGTCTAGACCGCTTGTGGCCTCTCGAAATGACTCCTGCTTCAGAACGTCCATATGGAGAGTGATGGTTCTGACCACCTCATCCCTCAACTCACGATCGGCCTGAACAGTACCGGTGTACGCTTCTACCGCTGCTTCCAAGAAGTCCTCGCCGTCGAGTTCTTTCCTTGCCTGCCGCTCAAACTTATCCACGGCCAATTTCTTGAGGCTGGCAATGCCGTACTTCTCGGCCAGAGAGTAGACCTTGGCATGGACAAGAAGAGAAAACTTGGAAGTTTTGTCTCCTGGGAGAGCCGGGTCAGTCTCTGAAGTGGTCGCAGAGCCGTCTGAGTAGTTGAGGTTGTAGAAATGATTCATCATAATCTTGACGGCAGTGGGATCATCGGCAGGAAGGTTGATTTCACCAGTGATCGCCTCCTATATGGTGATTAGCAATAGCCCTTCCTCTGCTTTTGTAAATTATGCGACGCAGCTGGGGGAGGCATACCTTGAAATTATGACGACAGGCCCCTTCGAAGAAGGTAGATCGTGGACAGATGACAGCTTTATGGACGAGGTACTTATCATCCCCACATATGACAGTCAGGTCTGAGTACAAACCGCTATTGAACAAGCTGTTTGACTTGTAAGCAGCGTTCTTAATTTTGGAAAATCCAAATGGAGGTCAGGACTAGCCTTGAGATTGAACTTTGAAGCTCAGAGATGGCAATAGATGTTCCATCGAACTTCGGAACGTCTTTGCCAGCTCCACGGCGTGCATTTCCTATGTTGCGGCGAGCCTCAAGCGAAGCTCCCTTGGAGGAGTTGCCACTGGCAGTGGCGGTGCTAGCTCTCGATCTGGAATCCATTATGGATAAGACACAGTGAGTGGTGTAAAAGAGAAGGAGATGAAAATCCAAAAAAGGTTTTTTGTCACGATCACAGGTCTAACTGAAGTTTGATATGATGATCTCGGTATATGCCTAGGAGGAACGAGCGAAGACTTGCGTCGGCGATGGGTACGACGTAGATATGGATTGATAGAACTTGTGTTGTGTGGATGAACGTGGTTTATTCTCGGCTGGCGGAGAGGGTGGTGTTATATAGGCAAGGAGAGGAGGTGGGCTTTACCAATGAAGGAGTCACGCGGGTAGAAAAGTCCTGATGGCGTATAGAACCTTTGAGCGTTAGAACCTTGACAACAGCAAGCTCTAGTCGCGCTCGACGGCCGGGCGATAGCTAGAGAACCCTAAACCTTTCCTCTGGATTAAGTGGCTTGTTGCCGCCCGGGGCTGGCGTAATCCTTTCTGTGGCTTGGGAAACTGTAAAAGCGCAGATCAAGTTGCCGTCGCGGCCATTTTGCAGGCCCTGCTCGATGCACTTGGCACAGACATCGACGCATAAGATGGCAAGGGACTCACACTACTGTTGCAGGCCATATTTGGCAATCAACCTGTCATGTCACGATATCTCGCCAATGCCAGTGGTGACCACATCATGAAGGCATCAAACAATACATCCACGCCAATAGTGAACAGCCCCATATTATCAAGGACATCTATCAAAGACCTCAAGGAAGAGTTAGCAGAACATCCTTAGGACGAGCCTTCGAAATTAATCATTGGGCGAGATAAAATTCCGAAAGCCCGACTCGCTTGATGAATAAAAAAAAACATAGAGTTTCACGTGATATCAAGTAGGTTTATATCAGATGTCATTGAAATGAACTCGGGTATTATTTCATTCATCAAACCCCATAATTAACCAGAAATAGCTATAATAAATCTAGCCTTCCCATACTCCATGCAAAATCGCTCTAGATGAAAGCACCAACAAAACGTCTCGGCAGAGAAGCCCAGGTCTTCTTCTCCACGGGCTCGGGCTCGTCGAGCAGGTTCAGGCCCGTCTGGAGGTCCATCTGGTCCAGGGGCACGTACATGCGCCAGTCGCGGGTGCCGACCTTCCAGCCCACGTACAGGACGATGGTGACGGGCGCGGCCAGGTAGGCCTGGAAGAAATCCTGGGCGTTGGGGGTGGCTCCAAGAGTAGGCTATGAAAACACCAGTTAGCTTTGCTTTTTCTTCCTGACTTTGGGAGGCTTGGGGAGTAACTTACGTAGAGAGCGTTGTAGAAGGTGGCCAGGAGCGCAATGAGGGAGAGGAAGATACCGATGTAGCTTCCGATGACGCCGTAGGGGCTCTTGAAGGGGATGAGCTCGGTAGAGATGCCCTGGACCTTGAAGGCGGCGCGCATGCGGATATGAGCCAGGCAGACGGTTCCCCAGACCAGCAGGTAGGCGAGACCAGTGAGGGCAAGGAGCCAGCCGAAGACGTCGCCGCTCTTGCCAGACTCACCAATGAAGGCCAGGAGACCGAAGGCGAGCTGGATGAGGATGCACCAGAGGGGACGGCCCTTGGAGTCGACGTAGGCGAGGAACCTGGGGGCCATGCCGCGCTGGGCCATGGCCTGCATGGTGCGGGTGGATCCGAAAGTGCAGGAGTTGGCGACGCTGAGGACGGAGATGGTGATGACGGCGTTGAAGATGGAGGGGAGGACCTTGATGCCGGCGTCCTGGATGGCAAGCACGAAGGGCGACGCCTTGGTGTTGGCACCGCTGGAGCCCAGCAGACGGGTGTCGTCAGAGGGGAGGATGAGGCCGAGGATGAAGAGGTTGATGATGTAGAAGAGGGCAATTCGGAAGAAGACTTGCTTGCTGGCCTGGGGGATGGACTTGCGGGGGTTGGCGGACTCGGCGGCGGCGAGGCCAACCATCTCAGTACCACCAAAGGCAAAGGCGGCAACGACGAAGACGGAGCAGAATCCAGTGAAGCCGTTGCGGAAAGCGCCTGGCTCGACCCAGTACTTTCCGCCGATGTAGCCCTTGTCGCCGGCGCCGCCGCAGTTGATGACGATACCGAGGATCATGAAGCCAATGCAGGCGAGGATCTTGATGAGGGAGAGGACGAACTCGACTTCACCGTATCCGCGGACACCAAAGAACTGGACGATGATGAGCGCGGCCATGAACACGCCTACCCACACACCCATGTTGATATCGTCACGCCAGAATTCGATAGTCAGAGAAGCGGCAATCAGCTCGAAGGGAAGGACTGTGAGCCAGGCGATGGCGTACTGCCAGCCCATGGCGAAACCCCATGAAGGGTCGACGAAGCGGACGAAGTAGGTGTAGAAGGCACCGTTGACGGGGTAGAGGACGGCCATTTCAGCGAGGGCGTATGTCACCATGAGCAACATGGCGCCGATGATGGTGTAGCCGATGACGAGGGAGGCGGGACCACCCTTGTGCAGAGCACCACCGGAACCGACGAAGAGACCAGCACCGATAGCACCACCTGGGAGAACATGTCAGTGAGCTTCTTTTGAATCAGCAAGTAGGTGTCTTGGAACTTACCAATGGCAATCATCTGCATGTGTCTGTTCTTGAGGTCGCGCTGGAGGACGCCGCCAGTAGTCGGCTCGCTGTTGCCTTGAGTCTCATCGACCTTGGTCACAACGGCGGCATCCTTCTCGATGTCGCTGGTGCTGCCGTTGGCAGGCGTTTGGGAAGCCATCTTGGCGAATAGCTTAATGCCCCTTGTCGTGGAGGAGTTGTTGGTGAAAAAAGAAAGAAACAAGCTCAAGTGATGGATGAGGATATCGAGGGAAGAACCGACAGGATGGGAGACGCACAGATGAATATATACCTGTCCCCTCTAGCTCCCAGATTGCCTCGATTTACCTTTTGGCCTGCGTGCTTACCACCATCCTCCTCTCTTGTCTGAGACAGCCTAGAGATAATGTCCTAGTGCTATCAGCTCCAGCCTCGCCCCGGCAAGACTAGAGCTGGGGGGGTGAGGGGCGGTTCGAGGCCTCACCCACACGAAATGATCGATGGCATGATATCTTCGGGGGCCCGCGAGCGACAGCCTGGACTATTCCCAAGGAGGCGTGGACCCCCGGGCGGCGGTGCACTAGAGCAGTCTGAGACAGGCGTCTTGATGACCGAAGCCATCGTCTCGGGCGAGGTGATAGGCTGCTGGGCTTGCTCCTCGCCTCACATGCTGGTGCCGCTCGCCCGCGCTATCTCGCATATCTCTGGGTTGGCTGCCTCCTGGCCTGGCGCGAGGGAGCGTTGCCTCCTTATCAGTGTACAGTAGCGTGTCACGTAGCTCCGGCATGAGCGAAGGTTCTTTCGAACGATCGCAGAAAAAGTTTATCGTGGCCATGGATGCCGGATGCGGCTCCCTGCCTCTGAGGCTCAATCTGGCGCGATATCCGATCCTCCCATGCTGCTCGAGGTGAGATTTGCAATCCCTCCAGCTCGAAAGGAGGCATCGCCACCTTTCCCCAGGTTTGCCCAACGGGTATGACAAACAGAATTGATTCACCGATAGAGTGTATGGGGTTTGGTTCCATTACCCCATATCCATTACCTGTGCGTTTGAATCTCGACTGTATCCCCTCACAGCAGAGCGAGGGCTATTAGGTAAAGGCTCCACGGTCCCCGCGAATGAAGCTCCTCGTGATCCAGGCGGATGGGCGGCAGAGCGACAGGTGGGCGGATGCAAATCATCGCGAGGTGAACCAGCTTCCTCATTCGGCCCTTCTGATCCAGACGAGCGGCGGCCAGCAAACGACCTTTTGCCCAATACACGCGGTCCAGAACGCGCATCGAACCCACACTGAGACGTTGCGCGACCCGCCGGCAGTATCTCTTACGTTGTGCCTGCGCGCTCGACAGTGCCGTGTATCCGGCCTATCTCGCGCTTGAGGCTTTCGAGCCTGGCACTTGCGGCTTTGCAGTCTAGCGCAGGCAAACATTCTAGAAGACCGGGCGGCCTTCCCTCCAGATCAGTCATCGAGGCGGCTGCTGATTCGCCCGTGTGCCAGATGGCCCCGGTATCACGCCAGCCTCGGTCCCCATCTTGGCATCCTTCGGGACCAGCTTTTGGACCAGCTTTGGATCCAGCTTGGCAGGGCGAAACAAGCCGTCCCCGAACCCCAGCCCGTCTTGGCTCCCTTTCTTGGCCTTCTTGGCTGAAGATTTCCTGCACTACTACCCAGGAGAGGCCGCCATGAGCACAACCACGGGCAATGCAACGAAAGGAGTGCGAGAGTAGTAGATCACCGCGATCGACAAACTTTAAAAGCATGAAAAAGGCTTTTTTTTCTGCTGCTTTCCTCGCCACTCCTTATCAGCGAGAAATTCTAACTAGCTATCAAATTGGAATGTCTTCTCCGGGGAAGCAAGCCTACCCTGTGGTCGGCTATCAGCGGTCGATGATGAAACTATTTGTCAACATTAATTAATCGTAAGAAAAGTATGATCGCCTGTCTCCACAATGGGGTGAAGATATGTGTAATCCCCATTTAAGATGAAGAAGGCGTCATTTGGTAAGGTCCTAGATAGCAACATGAACAGATGGGACTTGCCACCGTCAACCATCATCACCAATCCGCGACAGACAACAATCTATTCGATATTAGTGTCGCCCGAATCGGGAGCTTATCATCCAAATCTGGACTCCTGTTCCAGCCAGATGGGCATCTAACCAAGAGCTGAATCATCTATCGAAGAAGGCCTGTGGAAGAAATGGGTGTATGACCGGCACTGGTGATAGCGTCGCCCGGTTAAACCGGTTCAAACCGGTCAGGTTCAGCTCAAATTGGTCTCGAGGCAGCCGGGATCTACTTGATAATGTCACTATCTTTCGGCTCCCGCCGGATCTAGCGAAACATCGTGAAAGATAAAGGCGTTAGCATCCTCGAGCCAAGTGGTCTTAGTGCCCAGTGGAGCCGCGCGCGACCCTCTTGGTATCTGGGGAAATGGACCGCAGGGCACCATTTAGCCCTGTGGCGTTAAAAAGCATGATTGATTTAATGCCTGAGGTGATTAGGAGGCTAACTCATAATAATGTCATTGCAGTTAGTTTGTGTTACAAACTCATGTCCTAAACCTGCACGTCCCTCCCCCCTGGATTACGCCTCCATTACGAGTCAGTGTGCGCGAGCTAGACCGTCGGGTTGTCTGAGTCGAAATTGACTTCTGTCGAAAGAAGGTGTGGTATCAAACCTCGCGCCACCTGAAATGGCTTGACGGTGAAAATTCTTTCACGCAAGAGCGGCCCACTCAAATCGGAAGATACAACATTTCTCACAACTACACTTCCTCGATGGGAGGGAGCTCTCATCCTCAGCACTGTGTTCTGTTTGCTGGGCCTGAATAATACTGGGCGCCGGATTTCTCATGGGGCCCCATACGGTCCGAAATTGTGATTCTTGAGAAGTGAAGACAATTCTTGCAGTGCTGCATATGTCCCTTCCAGCCCTTGGACATAGCCGATCTCTCCGCTGAAACGCTGACGATCAAATCAAGCCTGCTCATTTATCCTTAGTCGAGATGTCCAAGGAAATGTGTTCTTCAATCATCCCCTACGCTTATTTGGTACTATTTTCTCAGCTCGCATGTCTCAGCTCGTATGGCGCGTAGCACGAGGATATATGCAGGAGGCCATCCAACTTGAGGTGATCTCGCTCCCTGATTGGATGTGCCGTGAGATCATGACAAAATTGCCCCCCGCTTTCTTTCCCGCTCAGACACTGTTGGTCGTTGTACCTACGGTCAACTTCCGAGAATGAACTACACCGCTCCTGTTCTCAAAATAATCGGGTTGGTATCGTATCAAACTAGGCATGTTCGTTACATCGCTAACACATTGCTGGTTGGGAGCTTAAGAGCTTGGAGGAAAGACTTGATAGACACTATGTATTACTCGGGTTCAAAACCACAAATCTCTACATAGCTTGAGAAATCTGTCAGACGAGTGTTCCAAGCTCGTCAGCTACCAGTAATCGGGAAAAGCGGTAACCCTCCCATCCGACTGGGTACAGTGTCCATTCTTGCAGCCCTCACACAGATCCTCTTCGTGCGGGCCCTTGGATTCCCTAGAGTACACTGGCGTCTCGACCTCCATCCCGTTCCATTTCTTGAGCCGATATGTGATCCTGTCCACGTAGGACTGTACATCGAGATCCGGTCGGCTCAGGCCGTTGCAGCTCTTGCATCGTTGGTGATACACCCGGACGTTGTAGCTTGTGAGCTGGTATCTTCGGATCGTGATGGCGATTCGCTTGCTTGACCACCCTTGTGTCTTGCAGTTGCCCCTGCGGCATCTAAACCGGCCCATGATGTTCGTGTCGTAATCTTGACTGCAACTGTCTTCATCGTCGTCTTCGTTGAATTGGAAATCGAGACCGGATTTGGCGAGTTCGTCGGATACTGAGGCGTGGTGTTCTGGGAACATGGACCAGCTGGGGTAGGTTTTCTTCTTCTTCTGTGGCATCCTGAAAATCGTAATCAATAGATTATAGTTAAAGTGGTCAATATTGTGTTGGAAGTAATGGTAAATCTGTGTAGAAAGAGAAGTTGAAAGACTTGACGTAGCAAGGAGAAGTGAGAAGCTTTATGTTGTCAGACCTCCGTGGTGAAGAGAGGTTGGTCAAGTCTTGGGTCTCACTGTGCGTCTACACTTCATGTTTGATTGGATATTATTGTAAGTCATCATGCACGAGATCGGGGGATGTTACATCAAGATGATCCGGTGGCTTGACGTTGCTTGTATCTCGTAAAGCTGCGCCTGGATGTCCTTGTGTCTAGGGTACCCGCATCTTGAGGTGAAACACGGTGCCCAACGCAATAATTATCTCCGCACTGGAGAGACAAGTCACAACTGGCTGCGCTAATTGAATGAGGGCTGGTATTTGGTCAATTGTACATTAAAATAAAATCTGACTGATTCATTCACCTCAAAAGCACCCTGTAGTAGTACTTAAGTGATGATCTCCAGCTTAAGGAGTAGCAGAAGTGTCATTTGTGTCAATTCTTATCTTAGTCCAAATCTCGCCTGAATTTAGACAGGCTACCAATGTGCTTGATCGTATTCTCTAGTCATCCTGAGAAGTGACCACTTAATCCACACTCCATAGCACAGCCAACGGAAGTCTATATACCTATGTCACTGAGGGGCTGAGCGTGTTCCGCTTGTGCCCACCCGAAAATACCTTCTATGCTGGGATACCAATCTCATACCCACAAGAAGCCTGGTCAAGTTTATATTGACCGCTGGTTGATAGAACCAAGGTGGTTCATCCTCTCAAAGAGCCCAATCAGCCTGTGTACCAATATCTCGCAAGCCTTCTCACGAAACGAAGCGTCGTGGTGTGGTAAATCACCCTGGTTTCCCGTCACCACCTGGCCGCGCTTGCTGGATGAGTTGGGCTGATCTGAAAGAGCCGTACTTGCCAGCTCACCGATGTTTCAGATTGGTGTTCGATACCTCATTGACTTGGAGGCTTCCCAATGATCATAACCCCCCGCCCATTTTGAGACCTTGGTTAACCCCGGACCCGCAATGGATGCGCCTCGGTGCTGAGCACATACTTCATCTTCCCATCCCTCTTCACCTGATACTCAGTGTCCTCCGAGAAAATCAGGTAGAAATACTTCAACGTCTCTGCGAGCCAGAAACTCTCCATCTTATCGACCCGCTTTCCATCATCGGGCGATAGCATCACATTGTGCAGCCCTGAATGACCCCCTTCGACCCAAGTTGACTTGTCCAGTGCTTTCCACATATTCCATGCTATCTGTTGCCATTTCCGATTGCCGGTCGCGCGATACGCGTAGTAGATACTTTCAATCGTCTCTGGCCTGAGGATATATTCGGCATTCGTGGGCCAATAGCCACTATCCTCGTAGAAGCTCGCCCACTTCTCCGGGGCTGGGTGGTTGGTAGCTTCTTTGGTCAGTTCCTGGTGGTCGTCGATCCACCGGAACTCCTCTGGGCCGATCCCGGTTGGGCTCTGGCGGTACACCTCGTAGTACGACTTGGAGAGCTCGAGGCCAAAGTCGACGAACGTCTGGTTTTGGAGAAGGAGACCGCCGAGAATGAAGGAGCCTCCACAGACGCTGGCCACTATTTCGCCATACGTCAGTAATCTAAAGGCTTCATTGCGAGAACTCATTGAAGAGAGTAGAACTTACGGTGACTGGACATTGGCACAGTCGAATTTCCACGAAACTCGCCGAGGAAGGTGAGGTCAGTACGGGACGTGGGATGGGATGCCAGATACCGCATTGACGACTCGGCGGCTTGGATCCAGCTGTCCTTGTAGGCAGCAAAGGCGACAGGATCATAGGCATACATCTTGATGAGGTACTCGTAGTAGCTGTCGGAGCCGCCGCCCCAGCCGGCCTGATAGTCCCCAAATTCACCATTGTTGAGGCGGACGTACGTGCCCACGAGACCGGGCAGCTTGAAACCCGTGCCGGGTTTGGGGCTGAGAAGATGAGCCTGGGCTTTTTGGGCGAGACCTGCGTAGGTCGGGTTGCCAGTGAGATCACTTAAGCGAGTCCATTCGAGAACGAGAGTGCCGATGCAAGTGATGGAGTTATCATGGTTACCAAACCGCCTCCGCTTGGGGTTGAAGATGACTTCGTCATCGGGAACACCGCTCGGTGTGTCAAAGGCGATGCTTAGGCTATCAGCAAGAGATACTGCCTGTTCTAACAATTTGTCCACCAGTTTTTGGTCTTGAACCAGGTTGCTGAAGGGGCCAGAGAGTAGATCGTAGCCTGCATGTGCTTGTCAGCGAAAGCCGTGGAGATGCCTCAACGGAGATGATTACCGGAAAGCAAGCCTCCAAGGTAGCGAATGGTGGTCTCGAATAATGAGATGGGCTGGTCATCCACAGCCGTTCGGGTGAAATCAGTAACAGCAATCTGCCTCAGGATCTTGTCCACAATCTCGGCTTGTTCCATGATGATGGCGGTGCTCAACGCGTCGACAGCACTGGCGCCCCACCCATTTCTATGCCGATGCTTCCGTGTCAGCCGATACATTGAATTGAATGAAATCACATCACTAGGCTGGGCTTTCCGTGGATGATGCTTACCGGTCATCCTCGAATGCCAGATTGACTGGAAGTAGGGTATCGTGGGGAAACGCGTATCTTGAATATCTGCTCCACGAGAACTGGAAAGCCGCCTTGATCATCTCTGCTTTTTCGGCATCTGGGCTCGGCTGCACGCCACTGATGACTGCCGTCTGGGTTCGGCCCCAGAAAGGCGCGGAGCTGCCATGGTAGAGATACGTGGCTAGCTGCAGCGAGAAGACGGCTGCGCCCAGCCAGAAGAGCAGCCGAACGACCTTGTTTCTCATCGCCATGGCTTCAATGTCGGTGGAGGGACACGATGCAGGTGGGCGGGCGGGATTCGGCTAGGCTTGGAAGAGGCTTGCAGGTCTTGACTGCAAGCTTATTTCAAGCTTAGTGAATTAGTGAGCAGAAAAGGGGCAATGCCCTTTTCCCCTCATTAAACTCAGGTGGGGCGGTCCTAGGCCAGAAGAGGCAGCGCTGGGCCTGCCGATCAGCATTATTGTCTCCGGGGATCGTCGATGAGGTGCTCGTGCTGTTCAGCTGTTGTCGCTGGTTTAACTAATCCATCTGATCTGTGCTAGAGCAGCTGGTTTTCACTAGTCTCGGTCCCGTCTCCCTTTCCTCCTTTCTTTTCTCCATTCGCTCGTTCATCCACTCGTTCATTCATTGACCATTCATTCGTTTCACCACACTCGTTTTCTCCTATTGAAATAATGCGCTGGGTCTCTCTCTGTGCTGTCTTGGGCGCGGCGCTGCTTGCACCAGCAGTCAATGCTCGCCCCTGTCAGACCCGATCCACGAGGACTCCGTCTGCCACTCATTCCCCGACACTGCCTATCTCATCCATAATTTCGGTATCGACGCCAATTTCTACGCCCGTATCATCGGACGTGTCGGTTTCGCTTTCGACCCCCGTATCGACCGATTTGTCAACTCCCGTAGGCTCGACGACTACTCCCACATCTACACCCACCCCAGAACCAACCCCGGTGAACCTTATTCAAAATGGGAATTTCGAGGGTGAGGATGTCTCGGTCTGGGCCCTTAGAACTGTGACCATAGAGGAAGACGCCGCCAAAGCCGCTTCTGGATCCCACTACGCGTACGTATACACAGGATAAACCACGTGCGCTTTGGGCCAAATATTAACAGGAGCAGTCGATTCTACCTCGAGAATGAGTCTGGTGCCGGAGGTAACCATCTGAACCAGACTATCAATGGTCTTGACACCTCTAGACTGTACCGATTGTCTTTCTCGGGAGCCGTTTTTGGTCTTACTGACCTTGGTGACGCTACCTGCGAGATACAAGCCTTGGCGAATGGTGACAAGAAAGGAGCTTGGCCAATCCGAACCATCCCTGTGGGATCTTATTCTAGCTACGACACGAACTTCATCGCCGATGCAGAAGATTTTGTCTTGACTTTCAGAATTAGATGCTCGGGCCAGAACCTCGTCACTCTTGACTTTGCTGTTGATGACATAGTCCTTCGGGATATCGGAACAGCCCCAGTATCACCGGTCTGATGAAAGCTCTGCGCCCAACGCAAGTCATCTGCTGTCTTGGAACAGGGACTGCAACTCATCATTCGCTCTTTCACGTCCGCTTTTCTAGCAATTGCTTGTTTAGTCGTAGCCCCAGATCTGCTAGTTATGCATGTTATGTTGTCCTATGTACGCGGCAAGCAGCTTCTGCCAACATCAATCTATAATGCGCTGGATCATAAATGAGAAGAAAGCTACGTGGTTGAGTTGTAAGTGAAATTCTCGGACGGCCAAGTCTATCGTTCTAGCATTAAACAACACCCCAATATCCAACACGAAACCCAATGTGGATAGTAATGATGTAATGATGTGAATGGTCTATTTGTCGCTCATCTTAAAACCCGACGAAAAGCAGTAACTAAGCTGCCTCTTCAACAAATCCTTCACCTAGCAAGTCTTCGATGCGTCGGATTCACGTAGCCTTTCGTGATCGCGAGCTCAATCTCGGAAGTTCAGTATGACTGCAGCCTATATAGCTAGCAGCCGATGACTCGGGTTGAGAAACTCAATAGCACTTAAATTTCAGACAGGACTACTGGTTGAGAAGATAAAGCAACACCATACAATTTGCTACGGCCCATCGCTGACTCCCTTTGCATGTTTGTATAAAGCCTGAGAATCCTGGCATTATCCAACTTGGAGCTTAGGATAACCATGTCTTTGCCCTCGCCTGCCCCGATGTTCTGTGACTACCCGGGAGAGTGTCCAGGTTAATGTATGCTCAAAGCTAAAGAGTATACTTCCAACCCTCATCAGGGCTTACCCACCCTTCCAAAAAGTTTGGAAACGGCTGCCTGATCGGCTGGTTAATCAGAAAACCGCTCATCTCCTTCTTAACGCAGCCACGACGGAGAGGCTTGCATGATGGAGACAGGCGGTCCTTCACCCACTGCAGCCACTGCAACTGGCTGGCCTGTATAATCGAAAAGTGACTCATGTCCGCATACGTGATCATCTCCAACGACTCGTCCCAATTCTCCTGCTTCAGCATGGCGCATGTATCATCCACCACGGAATTCACAATGTGTATGGGTACGGCCAAGTCCGCAGTTCCGGCGGCAATGAAGAGCGGCCCCTTGAATCTCTTGCGTCCGATGTCAATCGCAGCCGCGTACTTTTGGACAGTTTCATCCTTCGTCCAGCCGTCTTGCGCGAGCTCGCCGGGTTTCAAGTCGCTGAATATATAACTGTCCGTGGGGAAACACCCAGACAGTGGCTTCAAGATGTTAACCCAACGCTCATACGCCGCGGGGGTCAGCCCTGAGTAGTTATAGGCTGGGTACGTTGCGGTAACAGAGGAGATGATCTTCGGCTGGCCGGCGAGAAGAGCAAGAGCCCATGGTTCCGTAGGGCTCTCCAGTGCGAGCTCGATATGTCTTATGACATTGGTAGGGGGGGCAACGAGAGCAGTTCCCTTGTACCCCTCAATGGGTTGCTTGACCAACCGCTCAGCAAAGCCCCAGGCCGTCTCTGCACCCTGCGAATGGCCCATGGCAACAAAGGAGCCAGACGGCTTCAGGTACTCGGGGAACGCCTTACGAGCAGCGATGATGGCATTGGCGAGGTCATTGGCCTGTGCAGGACCTGCTGCCCAGGGATGTGCAATATGCTCCCCAGATGGGAGAGTGTCGACACCAAGGCCGGCATAATCCGGGGCAACAACAATATTGCCCTGGAGAGCAAGGACAAAAGGCACCATGAAATGATATTGCAAGTTTCGATAATTGCTGGGGGCACAATTTTTGAAACTGCCAGATGTTCCATGAGCCCAGGCCACCATGGGATATCCCTCGGTGCTATTCTGAGAACCTGCAGGAGAGTAAGGCCAGAGAACATAGCCACTGGTTGGAATGACGGTCCCGTTCAGGTCGGTGGTTGTATACATGATACGTGAAAGAGTGAGGCCGTATGGAACGCTGTACAGAGATTGGTTGGTGACTCTCTCAACTTGAAGCAACGTCCCAGGGGCCAGGCTGGAAGAGAAGTTCGACGGGACATTGTAGAAAGCAAAGTCGGTCGATGCGTGCTGTTCCGTCTCCCAGTCAGATGCAATTTGTCCTCGGCATGTTGCGTTACACTCCCGAGTGTCTGCGGCAACAGAAGTGCGTAGCGCAGCAAGTGTTGCAAATAAAAGATAAGACAGATGCATCTTAGGAAAGACTAAAGAAATCGACTTTGTTGCTGGTATAGATTTATGGCATAGGGAAGGTGGGCCTGTAGGAGAGTTTTATATACGCATACATCAACTTGTTGCTTTGTTTGTCGAAAGGGTTGCCGCGCATTTGGATGGCGGATGGGGCTGGAACCTTTGAAAATGACTTTTAGTAATACGCCTTGGGATACGCTCTGGAATACGCTCCAGCTTATGGTGTAAGAACCGACACGGAAGAAATGATCTTTTGGGTCCGTCTCACCATATCGACATGGGAAGGTATCCGGGAATGATATCTACGACAACTGTATCCCGTGGCTAGGTTCACAAACCTACAAGTACCCCCCAACGTTCCTTGGACCTTTTTTTACAAATAGAATATAAGGCTGGGGAGAATCATTTCACTCGACTTGAGTGGTTGCTGCCCGCAGAAACAAGGGTCCGTAAGCAGGCAGACTTGGCCGGCGTGAGTGCCTTGTTCTTCATCTGTTCGAGTATGACCAGGCCATGCAAGATCAAACTCGACAGGGGCCCAGGGTAGGATGGCAATGACGGAGATATACGACACAAGCATTAAATCAGAATATTACAAGACTCGCCTCAGTGAGGCTTGGCTCCCACACCGCCTTGGTAAGAGTTTGAGGCACTCGAAAAATCAATTTTGCACCAGAAAGCGCCGCTTTCATTTCTCGAACCTGTCGTGATTAGGGGGCGCGGATATTGGGCTGATGCCGGTCGAGCTCTTTGTTACATGTCAATCCGAGAAGATAGCCTTCTCAATATGCGCCTTTGTAGTGTTGCTACTCTCTTCACCCAGGCTCACCGGCGGTGGCTGTCACCCACTATGAATGGCTCTATTTTATGTAGAACTTTTTTTAATCTCTAAATTTTACTCTTTAATACAAGGTATTCTGTGCGCCCTGTTGGTGGCAGCTTTCTTGACCAGCCTGGGTGGCTGGTGATGATAAGCAAAAACGCCAGTAAACCTACACCACAGAGGGCATCCCCCATGCCTCACCTGGCTCATGTAAACAATTCACCCAACAGTACCGTCCATCAACCGATCCACCAGCTCATCCTCGACGGCACTATACCACTCTTGCGTCTGGAACCCCTCGTCGACCAGAGCCTGCAGGCCCTCGAGCACGAAGTTTTGGTCGTTCCAGCTCATATTTAGCCGGCTTTTGACGGGGACTCCCGCAGTCACCGCAACCGGCACCATCTCCTCGCCCCTATTTACCACGACGGCGCCGGCATTTACGTGGGCGCAGTAGTTGGCCTCGAGAGCCCAGTCTATCGCTCCGCGTGCCCGATCCACCATCCACGGGCCCGTCTCGCCGACGCGCTGGATGTGCACCGTCTCGCAGAAGTCCGCAAGTTCTGGCGACGTAAAGTACAGGATGACGTGGCGCCTGAAGTACATGTCTGGCTCGCCGCGGAATATGAAGATGGTGAGGCATATTGTCGTGTGAGCGGCGTCAGAGTCTGTCTCGGGCGACTGCTCCTCCTCATCCTGTGGGATCGGTTCTTCGCCTCCGGATTGTGCGGGATTCGGGACCAAGTGGCTGGCAGATATTACGCTGGTAACCATTTCAGATCTAAAGTAGAGCTGTTATTCTACTTCTTATGAAAACTGAGTTGGGTCTTGCGAATGGTGGCTCAATGAAGGTGGCCGAATCTTGAACTGTGATTATTGATGAAGAACAAAAGAACGTCATTCGATCTGTCCCCGCACAAAAGAGCTCAGTTTCCTGGATCTGTGGCTCATTCCAATCACGGCTGTTATTCACCGTGGTCAGTATGTGGAGCCACTACTTTTTTCAGTTAAAAAGTACATCTTCTTTTCGTGGCAAACTCCGGTGGAGTTATTGTGCTTTACTAACATGCTAAAGTAATTTTTCCAGATTGTCTCCACTTGCCCTAACGCGGTTAGCACTACCTTAATGGGTTCCTGATCCTGGCCTCGATGATAAACAACCAGCAAACAAGATATCATGGTCCAACATCCCAGTGGTACTGGTATTTGATTGATGGACATATTGCATTAGAACTATTTATGCTGACTAACGAGATATCCCTTCGATTTTACTTTCGAATGCGGAGTAGAAGTTTCGTTAAGTTGTTGGCCTTGGTGAAGTGAGTTTGAGAGTTGCCCGGTTTACGACATGCAATAAAAAGCTTGCTCGTCAAAACCATGCACCAATAAAAAAAAAGCTAACGGGTAACTTCATGTGGCTTGCATAATTTTTTGTCCCATGGAAGAATCAGTAAATCACAGTCCAGTGCATGTATTTAATCATCTTCTTGTTTCCTCCTTCCTCCAACTTCTCCATCACCCACTTCGCTAAACACTCTTGCACACCAAAAGATTTTTCTTGCACGCGAAGATCTTCAACTATCAACAAAATTTTGCGTCGGTATCACGCGATATTAACGATGGAAGTCTATCTTCAACCATCCGATATGTCTTTGAGCGACAGCGTCTCAACCCTCGATCTTGGTCCAGCCTTTCTCGCATCTGACCTATCACCGGACGACGATAACTCTTCTGCACTCAACATAGATATTGAAATGGACCCCTCTCCAGCCGATTATCCAATCACGCAGGCTTCGGACGATTCGGACTGGAATTTGATGCAAGACCCTTCAGAAACCGATGAAGTTGATACGACCCATTCTGCGACCCTCTTAGAACTTGCACCGGTTCCCCTGCTTGACACTCTCCCCGATTTAGACCTCCTGCCCAACATCAGCAACATTGAATCCGAATCAAACTCAGCTTGGTCTTCTGGAGGTAGCACTCTGGTTGAAGACGACCCCGAAAATGAGTATGAAAATGTCGACTGGGAAGCCGAGTCGGCAAGATATTCTTGGGTTTCCTCTGGTGAAGGTCAATGGGAAGTGATTTCCTCTGAGGGCCATAATGCGCTCTCGATCGCCGAAGCTATGTCATCTGATGATGAATCCCGGATGGACACGAGTTACAGCACGCCATCTACTCGCCGCCGCCGGTTTACAAATAGGCGGCCTCGACAGCCAACCCTTCGCGAGGCGCGAAGAGGTAATGGATACGATGAGCTCCATATTCGAGATAACAGTTATGGGAACAATTTCGAATTTTCTGAGGCGAGCTCATCAAGAGTCAAGGCACATGCACCCTCACACCCCCGATATCAAACTCACAGAGAAAGCGAGGTTGAACTCGCTCATATGAACCCTTTGCACTGTTCAGGCTGCAACGAATCACACGCCGCGTCTCTCTTTTCTCCGCCTCAACAAAGCGAACATCCTATGAGACGATTATGCATTGGTTATGAAGGCTATTATACCGTGTGCCCTCACCTTAGGCTCTCTTACGCAAATATCCGGGACTGGGCCGCCAAAGGTCAAGGTCATGGTTCGGGCTACACTGTAGAGTGCGAGGACCCTTTTTGCCATTTTTACGACGCAAAGATACGATATCGTCGCTCTGAGACGTATGGAGATGAGATCATAGTAATGTGGAGTGCATTCCCTGAAGCCCGCGAGACGAGGCGGTATAGATCTCCTCAAGATAAGTTCTTGGATGATTGCGTGGCGAAGCTTACGGACATCTACACGTACTGTCCAGGAGCCTTTTGCCCGCATCTACAAATGTCATTCCAAGAGGCTGTGAATCTCAATGGCCTGAGAGAGTCGGCAACCCCTCGTGATTGGGGTATGCGATTCCCGATTCACTGCTCTGAGCCTGGATGTGCGGCTAGTATTGCTTGCAGTTTGCCTGACGGGGACTTTCGTTCGCTGGGCCATGGACCTGTCTCTTTCTTCGATAGAGTCAGAATTCTGCCGGGAACGACAGCGGCAGATCCCGACTGGATTAGCACATTGGATCCAAATAGTTATCGGGTGCCGTGACGATAACTGTTATGAGTGGTTCATTGGGACTTGAGGAAAAGTGGTGGTATGAAATTAGATCAATCTGTTACAAGGGAATCTCCCATTAATCATTTTCTTGCTTGTTTATTTCTAAACCAATCAATTTCGTTCATAGAAACCACTGGAAATTCAATTGATGCCGCTTTCAAGCCCTGTTGACCAATAAATCCACCGCTGAAAATCTACTTAGTGGGCTGGAAAGGCATCTGTTCAGTGTGATCAAACCCATTACGCAGAGCCTGGGACGACTGAGTACAGATTTTGCTGGAGGAAATCAACCAGGATCAATTGATTCATCGATCATAGATGCCGCGTTCTACAAGCCCTCCACTGATCTCACGGAGGTGATGCGAGACATGTCTGGCTGTCACTACTGCAGAACCTACTGAACAATCCATCTTTTCTGACCACATTTTGGAGTGATAATCATGACTAGAAATTTTAATTTATATGTATTATAATGGACCTTCTTGTTTGGCTCTATCCAAGGCGTACTTATATATCAATCGTTCTATAAAGGGGATAAAGAACGCCAGCCAGACAGTATGAATGCGAACCCTTCATGTCAAATCGTATTACGAGACACCGTCTTGGTTCAAGGCTTCAAGCCCTATCTATGGGTATTCAGCCCGGCCGCCAACTGGCTAGTTCCATGTCTGAAGCCCGTTACGGCATCAGTCTGGTTGCGGCCAGAACCTGGCGTAACAGTTGAAAAGGCTTTATAATCTGGGCTTTTCCTCTATTGTAGAAAGAAAATAAGGCGAGATTTAAGTAATCTAGAGTTATTTTAAGGGTTTCGCAAATGTTTTTAGGTTAAACAATAAGTAGGCGGGAAAAGTGGTCGGTTGACCGGGGCCATCTCGTAGGCTGTTTTTTTCCTCCGACAAGTCGTTATTAGTGTGGATCATATTACGTCGATGGGGTGGATAAGCAGGATGGGCACCTGGAATGAAAACCCAATCAAATCGCAAGGAGCCGGAAAAGATGATGGCTGTTCCGGAAGCTGGCTGTTTGTTTGGCCAGTCATTTCAAGGGGCCCCGCTTTGATCGGTTGTGCTCCCAACATCTTCCCCTTTCTCGACGAACAGAATATACAGAATCTGTATCAGTGGGATGGGGGTGTATTCTGGCATTGAGACCTTGCCTGCTTTGTCTTCTGGCCTAGTGTGAGGCATTTTCAATCCTTGGCTGTTCTCAATGTATTTGGGGGTAGCACTGCCTTCCAAACGCGAGCAGGTTGCTTGGGTATTACAGCAGGTGACTTATCTTTGGGGTTTGATTTCACTCAGCGCTCAGCTTAGTGTGGAAACTTGTGTGAGAACACCCCTCAGCGTGAGAAAAGAAGACTAGACTTGATCGCAAGGGAGTGAGACACTATTGCGGAGTGGACTCCAAGAACTTGGCAGTCTGCGTCCATGGGATGACTACGACGAGTCGAACAAGCATAAGTCCTTGAGCCTGGATGCCAGTAAAGGTAGAGGCCTCCGGTGGCATAGCTGCATCTACATGAGCATATGACCTGCTTGCGGGCGCCGGTTTACATCATTAGCACGTTCCCTCTGTTATTCTTCCTGGCCCCTCTCCTTCTCGACTGCAATTCCGCACCACTGTTCCCGATATTTTAATGCTGAATAGACGCCTGCTGCTTTTAAGTTTTATTGTCAACTTCACTGCGTTGCATTCATTCTGGCTCTAGCCCGCCCGGCGGCAAAATATATTCATCCATACTATCACACTATTCATAGATCTGACCTGTACAGCGGGTGTCCGACCTTCCACTTATTTCCAATCGAGCATGGCGGTACCGAAATGGCTGCCCATAAATTTTCTCACACTTCACTGTTGGTCTCACGGAGTCAGCCTGCGCCCAGATGGGCACTTTGTTGACCTCTTTGCCTCTAGATGCGTATATTATCTTCATGGGCCTTCTAGCCATTCCTGTGTTTCTCCCAGCCGGCAATGTTGAAGCCATCGATGCCTACTTCTTTGGCGCCAGCGCCTCGACCGAGTCTGGCCTAAACACGCAAGTTACGCCCCAATACAAATATGCGAACTGTGAGCCAAGGGATTGCTACAAGACAGTTGCTTACCGTTATCAGGGTGGACGTCAAAGACCTCCAACTCTATCAGCAGCTCTACATTTACTTCATCCCTATGTTCACAAATCTCGGTTTCATCAATGCGTTGACGGTCCTTGTCCGGCTTATCTGGTTCCGAAAATACCTCAAAAAGGCTGGTACGCTTAATTCTCAATCTCGGCCACACCAACACACTCAGCTAACATGTTTTCCAAGCTCCTCAGTTGTTGGAGCGATATCGTGGCGTTGAATCGCCTCTACAGCGCCTCGGTTACATAAAGAATATCTCCCAAGGTATCATCCTTAAGAATAGTGTCGCACCGGAAACGGACATGCCTCAAGAGCAAGCCGGCAGAGACGACACATCACACATCGAGTTTGAAGAACACCCCATGCCTACGAGAGATGCTTCTGGACCACACATTACGATTGACGATTCTTCCAAGCCTACTAGAGACGACTATGTCCTGCGCATCCCGTCACCCCGAGACCGCGACGAAGGAAAATCATTCACTGAGTTGTCTCGCCATCCCACAGAGAGCGACAATGGTGAGGATGCACCCCTTCAGGCATGAAGCCTATGATGTTTGCTCACACCACTCCGTAGAGATCTCTGCTATAGATGGGACTTTGCACCCAAACCCATCCATCAACGACGTTCGCAAACGGGTCTCAAACGCCTCGCCCCGCTCTCTGTCCCGAGAAAGCGTCACAGGCGTTGCCCATATTGCAAAGTCCATGCTGATTCTGGATGCTGACTCGACCCATAACCTAGAAAGGCGCCGCTCGGCACAGGTCCGCGATGAAACTCTTGGTCTGTCGCACTTCGCCACCATCGGCCGCAACTCTGAATTCAACAACATGACCAGGAGCGACTGGGAGAAGCTTGGCGGTACCGAGTACCGAAGCCTTAAACTCCTTTTAAAGATTGTCGTCGGTTAGTTTATTCCTGATCTATCCTCCTCCGGTGCAATCAAGTACTCGCAAGTAATTTCTTGCATCAGGTTACTTCTTTGGTCTTCACCTCTTCGGTGCCATCTGCGTTGTGGGTTGGATTCAATATGCCGATCCCAAGTACAAGGAGTTCCTGGCCTCAACCGGCTCAAATATGAACTGGTGGTACGTATCAAACCATCCATCAGTCGCAGCAATCAAGGAGGAGCACAACGTAGAGATAGACGCAAAAAGCAAGACTTGTCGGTTGTCGGAGCTGACCTCTTTGACGTTTCTAGGGCCTTCTATTCTGCTCAGACGATGGTTGATAATTTGGGTTTCACCCTGACACCCGATTCCATGATTTCATTTCGAGATGCAATCTGGCCTATGATTATCTTTAGTTTCCTTGCCTTTGCCGGAAATACTCTCTATCCCGTATTTCTACGTCTCGTGATCTGGACCATGTCTAAGATCGTACCCAGGACATCGCAAATGCAGGAGCCTCTGTTATTCCTCCTTAACCACCCCCGCCGATGTTACACTCTTCTCTTCCCAAGCCGACCTACCTGGATCCTTTTTGGTATCATCTTCGCTCTGAACTTTATTGACACGCTGCTTATTATTGTCCTCGATTTGGATAATCCCGAGGTTGCGGCCCTACCAGCAGGCCAGCGTCTGTTTGCTGCCATTTTCCAGGCTGCCTCTTCTCGCCACACCGGTACCGCGACCTTTAACCTAGCCAATGTAAACCCTGCTGTGCAATTTAGCCTGATGGTCATGATGTACATTGCCATCTTCCCAATCGCAATCAGCATTCGTGCATCCAACACATATGAGGAGAAATCCCTCGGCATCTGGGAACAAGAAAGTCATCTGGATGAGATCCATGGCCGCTCGTACCTGATGAGGCATCTTCAAAATCAGCTCAATTTCGATCTCTGGTATATTTTCCTTGGGATCTTCTGCATATGCATTGCTGAGGCCGGGAGGATCGCAGATACGACTGAACCAGTGAGCCATCCTCCACCGACCCCGTCTCATAACCAGCTCGAGGTGCTAATCGTACTCAGTCATTCAGTGTCTGGACCGTCTTCTTCGAGGTCGCATCTGCTTAGCAAGTCGCCCCTCTTTTTGTCGTTTATCTTCTCCCCTTTCCGCTTTAGCCCCCCCTTGGATCAAGTCTCTGCACAGCTTCTCAACCTCCAGTCATAGACTCCGAAAGCATACACATCATTTCTCCATCTGGTTTCTTTCCACTTCTTGTTCATTCCACCCCACATCCTCTTTCCAAATACACTAACCGTCTCTGCAGTGGAAATGTCGGGCTAAGCCTTGGCCACCCGTCTGTGTCGACCTCGCTTTCCGGTGAATTCACTACTTTCAGCAAGCTAGTGATCTGCGCCATGATGATCCGCGGGCGCCACCGCGGTCTTCCGTATGCTCTAGACAGAGCCATTATGCTGCCAGATCAACCATTACTTCATCTCGAACCCGAAGATGACAAAACAGTCTAACACTTGACAAATCTTTTAACAAGACAAGCAGCCAATCAAGCCAAACCAGCTTATGTCACGTCACCGTGATGCCGAATTCACGTGATGCTCTCTTGAAATCTGCCCACCACCCTCTGTTCCTTCGTTCATCAGGATGGAGCCCTCCCCGGCGCGTCTACAAGCATGAGCATGTTATATGTAGACTCGTTCGAATGTTTGCTTCTCTTTTGCAGCTTCTCAATCCCCGTGGCAGAGCAAATGAGCGGTGTGCCCCCACCCTCGTTCTTTCCCTTTTCTAGCCTTGAGCTTCCCGAGGCTTAAGAATTTAGTGCTTTTTGATACATTGTGTGCAAATCCCCTGGAAGGACTGGGAGATGAGTATCTTTAGTGGGGATTATTAGATGTAGATAGATAATACCACTTACCATCACGAATAGACTTGTTAGTAGGTTGACGGATCGCTTGACGTACCGGGAGGATAAATTCGAGCCTGTGCCTTTTGAAGCCGGAGCGCCTTCTTGAATATCAATATGTTCGATTTGGGGTCTTGTTGCGCGGTGTCTTCATAAAAAAGAGAAAAGGCCCTGTGATGATATGGTCAACTTGGATTCTGTTCGAGGGGGTACCGTGGGTTGGTAGGGTTGGAATTGAAGACAATTAATCGTATAATCGTGACATGCTCGGTACCTTGCAATTGAAGAGTGTCACCGTGTTGTCTCTAGCGAGAAGGGCAGTCGTCCAAGTAATCTGAGTAAGGATAGCGCGCAAAACGTTCTTCCTTTGGCGAAAATCGGGGTATTAGAGTCCTTTATGAATACTCCATGTCCAGCTACGGGCTTGTCTAGATACCCTAACGAGCCGTCACCTTTGTCGTCATGTCGGTTGCCTCTGGGCTGCCTCTTGGCTGCCTCCTGACTGGCTGCCTCCCAGGTCCTAACCGGTTGTGCACAAGATTGGATAGCATCAACCATTTACTTATCTAAATGGGCGGCTACATATCAATATAAGATATAAGCGAACTGAATTGATGCTAGTGAAGAAATCTCACCCAGCTGCCCCGTTTCCGTTTCCACTACACGCCCGTCCTTCATCCCCTTCCCTCGGCTTTCTTCACAACTACGAATAGAAGCATGACCTGTGACGTGTCCATCTCGTGTTGAAGAGTAAGAACGACTCAAGTGAGGCTTGCGTAGTATAAATCACCGTCGTTGCATGTGGCGTTGTTCTTTGGTCGTTTCCCTGTGGTCACTTCTTCCACTTGGCTTGTATTGACGCTCGCTCGCTGGCCCGTTCATCCAACTGCCTCCTATGGTTCATACACCTCCAGTCATACCTTGCCTCGAGTTCGCCTGTCTGCTGTCACTTCCCATGTTTTCTACGCGCACACTATACCTACATGCCCACTTATTTTACGCCGTCACAGCTGTTTCAACACCCCATCAGGTCCGACAATTCCCAGGCTCGTCAAGTTCATCGAGTGCCGGCGGCTTTTGAATCGTCTTCATCTAGAGTCAAGTTCGCGTACTCTTCCTGCAATGTTATCGGCTTAATGGTTATTGAAGGACACATCCCAACCTTATCGCTCGCCTACTCGTCCCCTTGCGCCGCCGTAATGTGTGAGCAGTCGGGATAACCTGTCAATAGAGAACTCTCTGATTCATTATTTATATGCTTGATCGACATCAGACATTGCTTAGATATATGATTGCTCCTATTTAAGTACTAGCTATTTTGCCCTACGTTCGATCATATCCTCGATGCTTGAATGGTAATGACGTTCTGCGGGTTTAATATGTAGATCAATGACACTATATTAGAATAATAGTTCCGAAGGAAACTTCAAGCCCGAGGGACTTGTCCCTGAGGGTTCGGTCTTCTAGTTGTTCCGAGATATACGTCCATGCCTCATCATCTCTCTCGCCTGACCAGGTGGTCATCACTCCGATCCGAGAATACCAACCTTTCGGACGGCCCTCTGCAGGGTTCAAAATCAAAGAATAAATGAGAGACTGGCCTAATCTTCCGGATTCGCGATATATGGGGAGGATAAAAACTGATGTGTGCTTGATGCGCTCCTCCATCTGGATCCGACCACCAATCACCTTGTTGTCAACTCGGAACCTCAAGCGTCTCCTGGCATCTGCATCCCGATCAAGAACATCAGCTTTGAACAGATGACCTTTCAAACGAATATGTCCATCGATGACCTCGGCTGTATCGTCGATACTTGAGAGGGGTGTGATTTTGGCTTCCTCAATCTCGATGAGACTTTCAGCCTTTGTCGCCCGCGCTATCATCGGCATTATCACTTCGCCCTCCATGGATGCCCACGACCAAGAAGGAGCTCGATAATTTTCAACTCGATCACCTTTCCCTCCGACATTACGTATCGAAGGAATGTACCAAACTAACTGATACGGGAGGTGCCTGGCCCAGAGGCCAGCAAGGTATTCATCGTTGAGAATGGAGCGCATACGTTTGGCGAGACCGCTAATGGCAACCAGCCTATCCGCCTCCTTCGTGAGCTGGGTCCCGCTATAGAGTCTGACTATGCGGGCCCAAACATCATAAGCAACATGCCTGGTGGGATCATACTTCCTCCAGGTACTAAGCCACTGCCTGTATGCGTCAGGATCAATGAGCTTGACCCGACTGGAAAGATTCTCGAGAACCCCTGGCAAGCCGTCCGGGTACATCTCGCAGGCCTCCATGGTGTGACACTCCCACGCTAGCTGGTTCTCCGCGAAATGCAACGTTCGTGGCGCCAGTGTTCTTTCCTGGAGCACCCAACCGCGCTCGTTCAATGGTGCCTGCTTAATTAGCATCTCCCACAGATCACTGTCTAGTATTGTTAAGTGTTTCTCCTCTATTCCAGTCCAGGAACTTTTGAAGCTGCAGTGATCCAACTCCCGGGGGTCCCTCTCTCTGTAGAGTCCCTGGTGACTATTCTTGCAAGCCGTGGCCATTATGTTCAACACGCCATTATTATAGACCTCTCCCATGAGTGCGGATTCTGTGTGCCAGTCTGTCAAGTCATCCTGGACAATGCAAAGAGAGTCTATCCACAAATAGAATATGCCAAGCTTTCTTGCAACTTCGACGGCATCTTTGAAAGTTTGAGGAAGATCATCGACATCAATTTCCTCTTGGAATTGTGCCAAGTTGTCCGTACGGAGACAAATAATGTCAGAGCCGCCCCAGCGATGACTCAGAGTAGCATATTCACGACAAACTCTCTTCTCGCCAGTTACTAGTTTTATCTGCTTGCGGTTGGAAGACAGCTCGAGAAGTCGAGTAGGAAGGAACGAGGATTGGCCTTTGGCTGCGTTGCATGTCTGGTGGTGGTTTCGACACTGGTTATACCAGCTAGTAGCTTGATCCCATGATGCTTCAGACGCTGTGGTAGTACCGTAATCAGCAAGTATCCTTTTTGTAGGACCGTCGTATCCTAGTGAGAAACTTGTCAACTCTTCATTCTTACTGGGGAGGCTCGACCAATAGTCGACCTACCTTCACTAGATATTGCAGATTGGTAAAGTGTGAACCACCGGCGTTTGGTACCGCGATACATATAAGGCGCACTCTTTGGGAATGATACAAAGATGCTAAAACTGAGTTCCCCATCCCTCCTGCGCACCAAAGTCCAGTGCGAGAAACCAGCCTCCTCGTCAAAGAGTCTGAGATTACCACAGCCCGCCTTTTGTAAGGCCCGCAATAAACGATAGCAAAGGACGCATCCCGAACGCACTGCTCCCTCAAACGAGCTGACAGATGGATGGTGGGTCGGAGGCGGCCCGTTGGAGTCTGGATCGCTTGTGGACAGGACATTTTGCTGGCCGCTGAACATGGACATGCATCGCGGGCAAAGTACATCCGTTTCGCGGTCGGGGCCGGGCGCGGCCATCTTCTTGGTCATGAAGCTGTGCGCTTGTTTACGTGTATGTTGGTGGTGAGGACGGGAGGTTACAATGAAATGTGCCTGCTGGGCAGAGCCAACAATATTTCTCTCAGCTCTGTGGGTCTCCAAGCCTTCCCCTGCACTGCCACTCAGAGGTTCCCGAAGTGTCAAGTTGCTAAACTGGTGGTCAGCATCAATGGGCTTCACTTCAGATATGGCATGGCCTGAAAAGTCTTTTTATTCACTACGTATATATGAATCCCTCCTGACTCCTATTCTTATATCTTGCCTGCTTTACCTCTCGCTCGACGAAGCCTTCATGCGTCTCTCTTCAAAGAGAGACGCAATGTCGGGAAGAATATCCTCAAAACTTGGTATGTCGGATTCTTGAGCTAGATACGCGATGTTGACGAGAATCTCATCAAGGTCTTCAGTTTCTTCAAACAACGAGGCGATATCAGGGAGGATATCGTCCACATCTTCGTCAGATATGTTGCTCTCTGCAAACAAAAAAGCAATATCTGAAAGAATCTCATCACTATCAGAGATTAAAATTGTGCTTGGGCTTTCATCCTCTTCAAAGAGATTCGTTATATCGGGGAGAATGTCGTCAATGTCATCGGAAATATCATCAATGTCATCGGGAATATCGTCAATGTCCTCGGGAATATCCTCGATATCCTCAGAATCTTCGGAATCCCCTGACTCGCTAGATTGGAGAGCATCATCCGGGGGAGCGTCGTCCTCGTTGGAGCTTGAGGAATCAGACTCGTCAAACAGCGACTCAACGTCAGAAAGGACATCATCAATATCTTCGGAGTTGTTTTCTTCTTGATCCAAGGGCGAGGTGCTATCAAGGATGTCATCTGGGTTCGGCTCGCCGGATTCGGTTGATTCTTCGGGACTCGGCTCGCTATCTTCATCGCTTTGACGAAAATGGTGATGGTTTGAGTTCCCAGTCAAGTGGCCATTGTGAAAACCTTCCGCGTCCTGGCACAGAGCACCAATGCTAATCTTTCCGCGTTCCTTGTATCAGCAAGCTGTGATGTCTCGGCCTCAACATCCGGGTAAGACTCACCACTTTGAGGGAACAGCAGGTCGGGTCGGCACGCTCGTATCCGCAGATTCTCTCGAGATCCTCCGCGGAATTAGGGGTTGAATCGGCTATGTTCGTAGGACATCAGCTTCGGAATCATAATACAGCCAGCATGTGGATGGTATATTCCTAGGTAAACTTATGTCTAAAGCAACTAAGGTAGGCGAGCTTTAAGAGGCCCGATCTACAGCACAAAAGCTTCCCTGAATGTGGGCAGGCTTCATAATCCCTTGCGGCAACGATTGCCGCGGCGTAAAAAAGAGCAACAATGTGATGCTTCATGATGTCGAAATTGGGGAATATTTAGCTCTGGATGGAATCTTGGGGGATAATCTGCCGCTCAAACATGGTAGGTCCAGGTGGCGAGATATAGGTCCTAAAATACTCGGCCCTTCTGTCTCTAATGTGGTAAAGAACTCATGGTATTCAAAACCGCCTTGCTTCGTACCTGAAGATGGCTAGAGATGGCAGCATTCCCCGTTGGATCAACTACCTAAGTCCACACCCGAGACATAACCCCTGGACATTCGAGGTCTGTATATCCTCAAGTTTGAGATCCAAACCCGATGTCAATAGCAATCCAACATTTAACCTAAAACTCAATGAATAATATAGACTCAGTGATATGCAAATAGAGGCCAATCTTCAGAGCTTGCGAAGATCATAAAGCCACACATATTGGTAGGGTCACAGAACCTTTGAATCTCAAAGACATTCAATACCATGATATCAGCCCATACTGAGACATAAGACATAGACGACGAAGTCCCATTGGTGGATTCAATGGTGCAAGGAACATGCGCAGTCTCGAAGGTCACGGCACTCTCTAAAGCGAGACACAGTTCTATCCACCCTGCTGGGTGCAATTTTTGAGACTTACTTGGAATGTAGAGCAAGCATTCATAGCCCAGCAGGGCTGCAGCGACGTCGCAATTCAATATCACGGCATAGCATTCTTCGATAGGGCGAGATTCAATCCTGGTTTCCATGGCCGCCGAAACCCAAGGTAATCGCCCTTCATCCGGCGGTTTGCTCTCGGATCAATCACATCTTCATCGCCAGCCATGAGCACCGGCATCTCTGGAGTCTTCAGAATTAAATGGATGCTCAAAAACATCATCTACTATGCAAACTTGACCTGCGTGTATCATATCAATCGCATTAAACTCATTGGGTATCTAGTGTCTACTCTATCACCACTCTAACCTATCATCACATTTCAACTCAACATCAAACCTCTCATCACCCCTATAAACTTTACCACCTGAGTTGAGCTTGGCAACTTCAGTGTGGATATTGGAGAGCATGCTGCCTGGGCCGCTTGCAACAACGACGGTCCGCCCGCGCACCACGTCATTAACGAAAGCCGGCACAACTGCGCCAACATCAGGGCGTCCTGAAGTATGAGTGTCCGTTCTTGAAGCACGGATCCTCGTCGCACTGCCCTTCTCTTCATTTGCCGAATGTTCACTGTCAGAAGCTTGTGATGATGTCGTCTCCTGGTCCTGGGTGACGAATATGCTAATGGTAAGGCCGTGTGTTGATGCAGCGGATCTGAGCTGCTCAAGCTCGGGCTTAACCCATTCCACGTCCTTGTGGTGCCTCACTGCCCACACGAGACTGATTTTTCTGTCCGCACTTGGAGCTTGCCGTTGGAGCCACAGCAGAACCGGCAGAACATATGTGATTCCAGTGCCACCAGCCACGCAGAGAACATTGACATCGGGTGTGAGATCCGAGACAAGGTTCTCACCATACGGGCCCTGCATGACAACCGGCGTCGTGACCGCGGTGTTGCCCTCGGTGGTGGAAAGCTTGCTCGCCACCTGCTTGGCAACCTTCCTCGTCTCGCCCTTCTTTGCGCGGAAGATGTAAGAGTGAAGGACCGTGCCGTCCTTCTCCACCGGTAGACTGAGCGGGGTGAACGGATGAGATTGCCAGATGCTGGCCTGGGTGAAGCAAAGATAGAAGTGCTGTCCTGGATTCCAAGGGCTTTGAGGGTGGCGGTAGTCAAGGCGAACAATGTCGCCATTTTCAGAGTCGGGAAACAGCGTGGCGACGGCATCGGCGGTTTTGAAACCCATCGATCCGTCGGGCAGGAACTGGTAATGAATCAAACCTGACCGGATCGCTCGAATGAGCCGATCGACAAACCAGAGGGCCAAGCCAGGCACCACTACCAAGTAATGCCGTTAGAGAATATAGACAACAAACAAAAGCTTGGGAGATTACTCACAGAAGGCCTTCAACGGTTCCCAGTGCCCCCAGCATGCGCCGATATATACCATGGCGAGAACGTAGTGGCTCTTACGGAAGAATTCGTAGCCGGTCAGTCGGATAGCCCACGGCGTCGACAGAACGAAGAGAAGAAGGAGAAGAATCATGGCCACACAGCCCCAGATCATGTAGAGTTGCGCGATCCATTTGTTGGCCACCTGCGGTTGAGGCTGGTAGTACACGGCTTCGATGAGCGTCCACCCAATGGTGTGGAGGAGAGACTGGACAAAAATGATGTATCCAAGCCATCTGTGGAGGAAGTTGAAATTCTGGTAGGGGATGCCGGTAAGCTGCGACAGAATCGACTCGCGGGAGGCCAACATGACGGAGAAGGGAGTCAAGGCGTACGCGATGACTCCGACGCGGTCGGACCAGGGCCCGAGGCCGGATCGAGTCTGGTAGAGGTTGTCGTAGCCCTTGACCGGCGTCCTCCAGGCCTTGTACGTGATGCCGACAAATGACCAGATGGTCAGGTAGCCAGTGAAGATGACGAGAACCAGGATTTGGAGGCGCGTGGTGCGGCCAAAGATGGAGCGCAGCGATTGAGGGAGGAGATATTGCCTCGTTGCAGCGCCAATGGCTCGTCGTATGCGGAAACCTGTAGATCTTGCCTTTGGCGCTTTCTCGGATCCGGTGTGAGCAGCAGCAAGAGGAGTGGCATAAGCATGGCGAAGAATTGCCCAGATGAGGAGGATGCCGCCAATTGTCGCCCACAGGATGCCGGAGTAGAGCATGCTGCGCTCATGGCCGCCGTAGACAGCCTCGAAGTACTCGCAGGTTCCAGCATCATTAGCGCACGGGACGACACGCACAGCGTACCCCCAGTAGGGGACGGTCGTGCTCTGTGAGATGTCCTGCGACTGGTAGCCCACACGGGCGAACAGGTTGATGAGTCTGTCCTTCATGTTGTCGTCGGCCAGCCGCCCGCTACAGATTATTACTTAGTAAGTTAGAAGGTGGGAATCAATCGCAGGCTGGAGAACTGGGACGAGGCGTCGATGACATTGTTTCTATACCATTGTCTGTCCCGGTTCACGGTCCGCTCCACCATAAAACAGGTGGGGATGTCATATCATGGATGAAGCCCTGGCCAATCTGCATCAAAACTGACGACTAAATGGAAAGAACGCTATTGGACGGCGTCGTATATTGACACCTAAGCCTCGTTCTACGTTGCCGTCTCCTGATAAATCAGTACCGATTAGACTCATTGCGTAACGGCCCGCAGGGAGTTTGAGGGGATTCGTCTTCTGGTATCCAGAAAAACGAATCCGCTAGAGCACTGTTAACCTTGTTTTCTGGCCAATGACAGCCCGGGAAACTTGCTCAAATACGCTCAACAGCGTGGGGTCTGCTCCTGGCTCCGGCTCTTGGCTGTAACAGAAACGGAGATGAGACCGACAGATCCATCTTTTCTTGTTTGGGAGGGGCTGTTGTGGCCATATCGCAGCAGTTAGTTGTTGCATGGCCCCGGAGGTTTTGGTACCGAAGAAAAACGAGCTCATTTCCTGACGATTGCCTCCGAGCTTAGATATCATCAGTCAGTTCCTCTCTAGTATCAGAAGTCGAAGCCGTATACCCCCCATTTTCTCTGACTAGAGTCTTGTTTTTAAGCATTCTGTCAATTTTACCAGTCTAGACCTTTATCTCAAAGGCAACCACTAGCCATCATGGATCACGGTAGCGCAGATTCAACAGAGTGCAAAACGGCGGTATGTTATTTCTTGACGATTCATCCTCTCGTGCCCAATTGACCAGATCAAACTAACGAGGCATGGATTCATGATTCCAGATGCTATGGAATTGGGACACCGTCGATACCTGCGTGTTCGCTTCGTCATGGCAAATCACCAGCGGCGGCATTATGGCTGCTTCATGCATCGGCGTAGCTCTGCTTGTGGTCCTTCTCGAGGTGGTGCGTCGTGCATCCAAGGAGTATGACAATTTCCTCCTGGGCCAGTATCAGCGCCGAGCCTCTTACGTCTTCTCAATCGCATCCTCCGATGGCAGCGAGACCAAGTCCAGCATCTCCGAGCCGCGCACTCTCGTATTACGCGCATCGCTCCTCCAGCAGCTCACGCGCTCAGTCTTATACGCCCTTACGTCCGGTCTCACGTGGGTTCTCATGTTGATTGTAATGTCGTTCAATGGATACCTCATCATCTCCATGATAATTGGCGCAGGGCTGGGGAAATTTCTGTGTGACTGGTTCGTTGTTAAGATAACCGAGGGGCCGTCGACTAGAAGCGGCACTACGGATGCCACCTCCAACCAGCAGCAATCGAGCAGCTGCTGTATCTAGATTATTTTACTCGATAATTCATTCGCTCTTCTCCCAGCGTGCCTGAGATGTCTGCAATGGTGATTGTGACAATTCACGCATCCATCACATTTACTGCTCCTCACCTACCCTATACTGAAGTTTCTGCTTCATGGTGGAGATTGAAAGTGCTTCAGGGTCACCCCAATTGAAATGAACTAGGAAGCTTCTGTTATCCCTATTGTGATTGGGACCTTCTGGCGAAGGAGACGAATCGGCTATCATCCTGCAAGTACATAGTCCTCGCTCGTGCAGGAGCTTGAAAGAGGGTAACTAATGAGTAACTCCAAAATTTCAAGTTTATATACCACGCCTAGTTTTTCAAAGGCTGTGTTACTGGTGGTATTGTCATACCTACGCTTCACAAAATCATCATCCTCTCCATAGCTGAGTGATATCTGAAGACACCAATACGCGCTCGTTTTTATGACTGGTCTTCCGAAAGTTCTTCTTCTAGTGGCATCTCTGAAGTGACACATCATGACAATGGCGACGTTGATTGGTCCTTACTCCCGTAATCAGATGCAGCAGGCCAAATGCGCGAAATGGTGCGTCAATGGACAAGTCTATGATGATATCAAACTTTCATCCAGTGAAATTGACTTTACGTCCCGGCGCTATTTATTTCCCCGCATCTCGAGCGTTTTGTTTCAGCTCTCCGCTTATGCGTATTTAATTCTTTTAGGTGTGACTTTTGTTTTGTGATGCGCTACAATGGCAACAAGAACTGTCAAGCAAAACTACTTCACATGCACGCTAGGCCATGCGGCGCAGAGCAAGGAGCAAACTGGACATCTGGATCACGAATATGGTACTGTACTGCAGTTGATTGATGGGAACTGTCGCCGCTTTCCCCAGGTGCCCGCTCTGGGCTTTGCGGACTGCGCATCCGGGCCGCATAACGCTCATGGTAATCACATGGATCAACATCTCCATAGCTTGAGTGAACAAGAGCTAAGAAAATTGTTAGATAGGGACTTCTTAACGTTCGGTGAATTGTCTATCTTATCATATCATGCCGCCGATAGATTGCGAACTTTGCTTGGACCAGCCTCCTCAAGGAATATTCCTATTGGATCGAATATCGGACTGCTGTCCAGGAGCAATATCGACTTCGTGCTGTCTTGGCTTGGCCTTTTGCGACTGGGACACACGGCAGTGTTTCTTGCGTAAGTGTTCAATCATTCTCTCAAGCTTGTTTTGAGAATTCGCTGACTGTTCTTTAAGCCCCCAATTGCAACCACAGGCAATTGAGCACCTTTGTGCCACATTGAACGTACAGATCTTGCTTGTGGAGGATTGCTCGAATATATCCGTAGAAGGAGTGGAGCAGGTTGAGATTCCTCGTCTGTCGCCATATCAAGAATATGTCGCAAATAAAAAGGCCCTTTTGAAAATTGAGAGCAACAGAGAACCCGAAATCGCTTATTTCTCTCATACTTCAGGAACATCATCTGGCTTGCCCAAACCGATCCCCCAGCCTCAGTCCGGAATAGTCCAGGTTCTCCCATGCTTTCAAGAAGAAAATCAACCCGCCACCTTCTCTACAACGCCCTTGTATCATGGAGGTCTCCCGGACTTGCTCAGATCCTGGATGAGCGGCTCGATGATCTGGTTCTTCCCTGAAGGGCTCGCACCGATTACCGCGTCCAACATCATTAGTGCCGTTGCGTACGCTCGGAGGAAATGCGATGCTCCGGTTCAATACTTTACATCAGTTCCGTATATCTTGCAAATGCTCGCCGAAGATAAACGCGGTGTCGAACTTCTCCAGTCAATGGACCTTGTTGGTGTGGGCGGCGCACCATTACCGCCCACCGTAGGCGACGGGCTGGTAGAGGCTGGTATAAATCTTGTCTCGAGGATGGGGAGCATGGAATCCGGATTCCTCATGTCGTCACACCGGGATTATCAACAAGACAGGGAATGGCAGTATCTGCGTCCTATTCAAGATGAGCGATATCTCCAATTCGAACCAAGGGACAACGGGCTATCTGAGCTTGTTGTGAAACCCGCGTGGCCGTTCAGAGTTAAAACAAACCGAGAAGATGGGTCGTACGCAACCGCAGATTTGTTCGAACCTCACGGGGCGATTCCAAACGCATGGCGCTATCACAGCCGTGCTGATTCTCAGCTTATGCTCGCCAATGGAAAGAAATTTGATCCCGCGCCCATGGAAGCGGACATCCTCGCTGCTACAAATATGCTACGTGACGTCTTTATCTTTGGGAACGGCAAGAACTATCCCGGTATTCTTCTGTTTCCCTCTTCCTTGGATACATCAGACACCACCGTACTTGATAGCACTTGGACTATCATACAAAAGATAAACTCTCAGTCTCAGGGTCATACTCGAATCTCAAAGTCAATGGTTATTGTCGTCCCCGTGCCTCTAGGTGAGGCAGCCCTGGAAAAGAGTAGTAAAGGCACGTTACTTCGTCTTCAGGCCGAAGAACGATACAAATCTTGGATCGAGGCGGCATATAGAAAACCTGGACTCGTGGACCCAGTACAAATCACTAGCCGCGACCAGCTCTTCCAGGCAGTGCTGGAGTGCTTTTTCCGAGTCCTTGGCCGCAATATAGACCCCGACGAGGATCTTTACAAACAAAACGTTGACTCGATGGCGTGCTTGCAAATTCGGGCACAGGTTATGCAAGTTTGCCTTTCCGACCCGGAAGAACAGCTTCCACTCAATATCATATATGAGTGTGGGAGCGTGAAGAATTTAGTCAAACACCTTGAACAAGTTCGCAGTGGAGAATTCCCCGAGAAGCGAGACCAAGATGAGAGAAGACATCAATTGATGCGACAAATGGCGGATAGATACAAAGACTTCCCTGGTTCCTTGCGCCCTCACATCCACCAACAAGGGTCTAGAAACCTGGTAGTTCTGACTGGGGCTACGGGGTTTTTAGGTGCACACATTCTTCATTCATTACTCTGCAAGGAGCAGAAAGTCGATGCTGTGTATCTGTTGGTCCGAGCCAAGACCCCAGAAGATGTTTACCAGAGGGTTGCCGGTGTTCTCATACAGTATGGATTGATTGATCTTCATCAAACCTTACACACAAAGTCAAGTGTCGTGTGTCTACCCTTTGACTTGTCGGATGGTGCAATAGGATTTTCGAAAGAACACCTAGACGATTTCTCGAAAGCATCAACAACCTTTATTCACACAGCTTGGACTGTCAATTTTAATCTGCGCCTTCCCTCGTTCGAGGACCAGGTATCTGGGACTCAGCAATTGATACAGTTAGCTATCAAAAGCAGTGCAAAATTCGTCTTCATTAGTTCAGTCGCAGCTGTGAGCTCTGCAGCCTCTACCCTAATACAGGAAGATGTGTCCGAGGACCCTGCTGATGCTTCACCCCTGGGATACTCGGAATCCAAATGGGTTGCGGAACAAGTTTGCGCAGCGGCGTATAAGGCAGTAACAGCGACGGAACGCGCTCCGGGCTCAGACATGCCTCCGTGGATGTCTATCATTCGCGTTGGCCAACTGTGCGGCAATCAGTCCGGTATATGGAACAAAAGTGAGGCATATCCTTTGATGCTGTCCACAGAATCGCTCGTCGGGTGTTTGCCCCGCCTTGAAGACCAGCCCCTTGACTGGTTACCTGTTGATATTGCTGCCGGTGCCGTTTTGGAAATCGCGCTGGGAGCGCAGGCCAAAATATCAAAACATCCTTCCCATCGGAGCAGTTTGGCGACTAAACCACCTGTATACCATGTCATGAACCCATTCAGATACCCTGACTGGTCGCAATTACTCTCATGGATATCTGAGGATCTTGGGCGAGGAAACTTGGAGGTTGTTCCATCGTCGGAATGGGTCACGAGACTGGAAGACACACTAGCTCAAACGAATGGCCACCATCCGTCTCATGTTCTGGTTGGATTGTGGAAGGGGAGTTTAGCTCAGAAGGAAGTGGCAAGCCCGACGGGTAAAATCAGACCCGGCATGGTTCAGAGCTACGAGATGACCCATGCCAAAGAGAGTGTGCCTACCCTACGGGATCTTGAGCCACTGGACAAGGAAAGGGTGCTAAAAATCTGGGCTTGGGTGCGTGGGAACATCTGATATAAGGCTAACCGTTTACCCGATTCCGAAATCTCCGGGAATCGTGATCCCGGGGGCCAATAGCCATCGAACGGAAAGGTTCTGGGCCCCAGCTTTTGGGTTTCTGGGGAACAATTAGCGTCAGAGGAGATGTGCTTGATGGCATGTCCCCAGGCCACTTTGGCCAATCGGGTGTCGATTACCCGGTGCCAGAGGGAGGCCTGAAGGGATCTCTCCCCCATCTTCCCGAACCGAACCGCGCATAAACCTGTTTGGAAATTGATTATAATAGCATGTGTAACACGCAATGATTATCGTCTTGTTCTACATCAAGCAACCCCGCATCATTTCCACGTGCCTGCCAGGATATAATCTTCCTCATCCTCACAATTGCACGCTGTCCCCTTGAAAATCCTGATCCGAGACAGCTTATATTATACATTCCTCAGTGGTTTGAGACAAAGAACGCTCTTTCTGATTGGATACACCTATAAGCATTTATCATACAGAGATTTCTTGACCACCCGGTGATTGTGTGCTCCGACTGCTTACGCCATTTCGCATCAGCAGCCTGACCCAGCATCAATACGACATCAAGAGAACCCCGCATTTACAAACCTCAAAATGAAGTTGAAGATTATCATCGCAGGCGGTGGCTTGAGCGGACTCGGGGCCGCCATTGCCCTCAGACAAAAAGGCCACGATGTCACTGTTCTCGAGAGCGCATCTAGGCTCGCAGAGGTCGGCGCCGGCATCCAAATCCCGCCGAATAGCACCCGGGTGCTGAAAGAGTACGGAATCTACGATGAGATTCTGAAGTACGTCGTATGGCCCAAGAGTATCCAGATCCGAAGATACGCGACGGGAGAGATTCTTGATCGGACCCATTTGCATCCACGCCTTAGCCAGGTTTACGGCTTCCCGTTAGTTTTTTTCCCTAGCACATCTCTATCTGAATTCACCGTCAGGCTAACTCGCCTACTAGGTACTTGTTGATTCATCGCGCAGACTACCAGAGGATCCTGTGCCAGTACGCGGAGAAGCTGGGCGCCAAAGTCTTACTCAACAGCCCGGTTGACAGTGTAGACGAAGCCGGCCCAAGTGTGAAGCTGGCCAACGGCGACGTCTTGACTGGAGATTTGATTGTGGGTGCAGATGGAATTAAATCAAAGACAAGAGCGAGTATCCTAGGCAGCGAGAACCCTGAGCCTGTCGATTCGCCCGACTGCGCATACCGAGCTGTGATATCTCGGGAAGCGATGCTGCAGGATCCCGAGACGGCCGCGCTGATGGACGACGTTAACTGCAACTGCTGGATCGGGGAGCAAGGCCATATCATGGCGTACCCGATTGACAACGGCCAAGCTTACAACGTCGTCATGCCACACCCGGGCAAGGCCACTCTCGGCAAGTGGAATGAGCCAGGTGACCTCAACGAGATGAGACAAAATTACCAAACCTACGACCCGGTCATCCGCAAGGTCCTGGCGAAGGTAGAATCTGTCCTCAAGTGGAAACTCGCAGAGATGCCCCCTCTTCCTCGTTGGCTGAGCAACAACGGACGCGTGGTGTTGATCGGCGACGCTGCCCATGCGACGGTTCCCTACCTTGCACAAGGTGCGGCCATGTCTATTGAGGACGGTGCAGCCTTGGCCGAATGCCTCAGTCTTGCAGATGACATGGACACAGTGCCTTTCGTCTTGAAAGCGTTTGAAGAGGTGCGAAAGCCGCGCTGCGAGACCATCCAGTCGGTTTCGCGTGGCAATGGGGATGTGTGGCATCTTCCCGATGGCCCCGCGCAAGTGGAGCGTGATAGCAAGATGGGGAAGGGTTTGAGGGAGCAGGCAGAGGCAGAGGCAGCGGCGGAATTGGATGGTTCAAATTCGAACCGCTGGTCCGACGGCAGCTTTCAGCCCTGGCTGTTCGGATATGACACTGTGAACGAGGTAAGTTGCCGGCTTGCTAGACATTTTGATGAAGAACTATAGGCTAACCACTTGACAACCAGACGAGAACCTTCGTGAAGAAGAGGCTATCGCCCTCTCTTTGAATAGTTTTATCGTGGAATTAGCAGAACGTGATATACAACAATGTTGTATCTTTTGAGCAAAGATTTTAAGAATTGGTAGTTAGTGCAAACGAACAATAAACATTATCTTGACAGAAGTCTAAGAGTGATGCTTAGCCTTATCTCCCACACTTCTCTATGGCCTAAGTAGAGAACTGAGATATATTGTATTTCCCCTTAATGAGAGTATATACTCTGCTGCCCCGCCTCAGGCTATAGCATTCAATTGAAGTTTTGATGCCGAATTTGAAACCTTTATGCGGGATTATGTCTCCTAGCCTTGATTTGGTCCATCTTTCGATCGTCCAGTTTGCGAGCAAGAATATGTGATATGACAACCAGGAATACAGTGAGTATCAGAAGTGGTAGTGCGAGAACTGCAACCCATTCTACTGCAATTTTGAACTGGGACATGCCCCAGACACTCTGTTAAAGTGTTATCGCATATTCCTCTAGCTGATCAGGGACGGAGGATACTCACAGTCGCGAATGACAAGGGCACGTAGATAAATGCAAGGTATGTGAGCCTGTTGACTGACCTTGATTCGTTGACCGCCGTGATGTTGAAAAGCTGATGCTCATTAGAAAAAGTACCTCGAGTGGAATATTACAAATATAGGGCATACTAGGCTGAGGGAATCGTCTACTTTCTTCAGAAGAAGATCGATAACCTTCTGGGTAAGGTCTGCTTGATGGATCATAGACTGTACCCTAAATTTGAGTCCTTTCGGATAATGGGTTGTCCTCCCGGATAGGAACAGATCAAGGCGCTGAAACACAGCCCCTTGGTATCTCTTCAATTCCAGCAAGTATAAGAGACGAGACTGTCCTCTGTGAAGAGAAGAAGAGAGTTGAGTGATGGGAGCTCTGGTGAAGTCACTAATGATGCAATCTCGCTATCATACGAGACATTTAAATCAGCATTATTATCAACAAGAAAAATGCGCGAAGACTACTAACATATTTCTCAACCTCGTCTGCCAGCTCATTGTGCGTTTTGTTCCACATGTTGATATAGAGAGAGGTATAGAGATCGATTGCCAGCCACCAGGCAGACGTTTCATAACGAGCCCAACGGCTTGACACTTTGTAGTGATAAAGAAGTAGGGGTGCGATAGAACTCTGTTCTCGCAGTATCTGAATGGTGTTCTGGAAACCATCCCAGTTTACTGGCACCGGATCGGGAGGGGTCAGATTCTGGCGTACGTCGTGCACAACCGCGAAGAATTTGGTCTTGGCGATCCAAACGCGGATGTAGCGAGCAGCGAGTGATTCTCGATTTTCCTGAGCTGTGCAAGTATTAACACACAGTTGCAAAGCATTGGGTTGAAAGAGCTCCAAGATACTGCACCTTCTGAATAGAGAAAAGGGCTGTCGAAAATGAGATCCTCTAACTTTTCTTAGCGGATAAAAATTATGGTGAGAATTTAGGACATACCTCTGCCGCAGCTACTCGGAAGCTGTCTGTCAGACCCTTGCCTTTTAAAGAAACGTCGAGAGCCCCCACGGAAACCTGGAACACGTTCAACATCTTCAATCTGTACATCCGTCGGCGTCCCTTCGAAGATACTTTGGGGCGAAAAAAGACCGTTAGGTATTCGTAGTATGTAAAAGCGATCAACTGTCTGGGGCTCACTCACACAAGAAATATCCTTTTTTCTTCAACTACTGCGTCCAAAGCTTCGCAAAAACTGGTCCAGTTTTTGCGGCCTTGGGGTGAGTCGGGAAAATTGAAGGCTCTAACCCTCGCTTGATGGGGGCGCACGGCATCCCGAACGTCATATTCAGCGACTATATCCTGGCGCTTTTTAGTCTCCAATAAGATAGCTCGTTGAAGGCCAGGCAGTTCACCGCCATTAGGCAGTCCAAGATGGTCTTCTCCATTTGGATCTGCTCCAGGAGCCCCTTGGTCGGCGTCCTGAGCTAGTTGTGGAACGCCTTCATCAGTGTCACTATCGTAGTCCACCCTTCTTCTGACATACCCAGGAGGAGGACCCTCGTTCCGCACAGAATTGGCACTTTCGCTTGAGTCCCCGGTCTCCCGGTCGGTCGTCAGTTGGCTGAAGTTTGTGTCTTGACGCTGTGATAGTCTTGTGTTGCGCCGAAGGCCGTTGTTGTTGCGTGCAGCAGGTGACAGCCAGAATGGCTCATCCTGCCCCTGCAGCCTTCCCTGTTGGACCGGAGGTGCTGCTGAACCCCTTTCCTGAACAGGGTGTGACGAAGTCTCTCTTTCGGAGTCGGAGTCTGAAAACTTAGGTTTTCTGTCAAATGAACTCGATTCTCGCAACTCCATCTTTATTGTCTGAATGTTAGTCTCGGTGATCGGCACCTCGATTACCATAGAATCTCTACGGACACCTTGCTCCGCGTTGAGCCGCCCTATGCCCCGGATTGTTACTTCGTCGGCGTCAATAGTTGAGATGAAGGGGTCTCGTACACCCCTTCACGAATCAAAGGATATCCGAGAAGAAACGCTCGAGAGAGGTATTGAAGGGATGATGTGTTAGCTTTAATGGATCGAGGCCTGTGTTTCTTTTGTGTTTGCGCTTGGCCTGTTATACTTTATATATTATAGTTACATTCGCATTATATAGCTAATAAGTTAACTTCCTCCTATTATCTTACTTTCCTAGTTAGAGCTATTAGTACCTAGCTATAAGATTATATATATTATACTAATAAAGTCTAATTTCCTATATCTAGTTATTTAGCCTTTATTCTATTATTATAATACTTAATCCTCCCCCTCTTAAACTTAAACTTCTACTATAAGTTAAAGAACTAATTATACTTATACTATCTTATAGTTATTACCCTTCTATATCTATAATATTAACTATCTCTACTATACTAGCTCTAAAGTCCTCTCCTATTAAACTATAATCTAAATCTCTTAATAAGAAATACTATACTATATAGGATACTATTTTAATCTTTTATATCCTTATTAATAAGTAAGGTACCCCCTTTTCCTAAGCTTACTTAAATAATCTCTTAACTTATAGTAATTTCTCCTTAAGCTTTAATCCTAGTCTTTATAAATTTAATCCTAGATTAATTAATACTAAGTTAGCTATTAAATAGGAATTAAGCTTAGAACTTAATATTAATATAGCTACTAGCTATATCTTAACCTTATTTATACTTCTTACTTTAGGGAAACCTATAAATATAAATATCTTAAGTAATTTAAGTAACTTAAGTAACTTAAGTACTTTAGCTCTAAGTACCTTAAACCCCTTTTAGGCTATTAACTTCATATTTACCTTAGACCTTAGAGAGAAATATTAACTTAAGTAAGCTATAAACCCTAAAGTAAGTAAAGCTAGTAAGACTTATTATAATTATTCCTTCTTATCCTTTATTATTAATATATACTTTATATATATTATAGTAAAGAATATAATTATTATAATAGCCCTCCTTATAATTAAATCTTTTCTTAATAAGCTAAAGTAGTCCTTAAAGGTTATTAAAGTTATTAAGTCCTTCCTCCTTAAGCTTAATAATACTTTTATTAATAACTTACCCTTAATATAGGCCTAGATATAAGCCTAAGTACTTTAAGGTCTTAATACTTATTAAGTAGATTTTATAAATAATAATATTACTTATAATCCCTTTACCTTTATCTTACTTATTAATAATTATTAAAACTCTATTTATAATAAAAAGGCTTAATAAACCTTTAGAAATAAAGATAATATTAATATTAAACTTAGTTATAAATATAAGCCCCTTAGATTAAGAACTTTTAATAAAGCTCCTAATAAAGTTATTCTAGCTAATAATACTCCTAATAATACCCTCTTCTATACTTAAGCTACTACTTATAGCCTTAATAATAATAGTAACTATAACTATAACTTTAACTTTAACCTTAATCTTATCCTACTTAAGAAAGGTTTAAAGGTAGTATATTTAATAGTTATAGTACTAAAATCTATTATTAAAAAAGCTACTTTAATTTAATAACCCTTTAAAGATAATAAAGTCTTTTTATACTTCTTTATTTAGTATCCTTTTTAAAATTAATATTAAATAGCTATTTATATATAAGTTATCTTAATTTATTTATTTTTAGGTAAAAGTATTATAAAAATATATTAAGTTTTATTTAACTTTATATTTACTTTAATAATTAAAGCTATTTAATAAACCCTTCTTACTAATTATATTAAGCTATATAAATAACTTAATATTATAGATATTAAAGGTATATAAACTTAATATATTTATATTATCCCCTATATCTCCTCTTAAATCCTAATTTATATTAATCCTTTTAATATTATAGATTATATTAAAATAGAAATCTTTAAGAGAATTAATTAAGAGCTTATTTAAATTATTAAAGGTAAACTTTATAAGCTTCTCCCTTTTAATTACTTTTACTATATCTTCTTTACTTTTTTAATTACTCCCTTTTAACTCTTTAAGATTAATAAATAGTTTAAACTATATAGTAAGAAATAACCTTTATTATATTATAGATATTACTTTAATTAATATCTAGAGGAATCTTATTATAGTTTAGCTATTTACCTCCTTTATAGTTACTTAGCCTATAAAGGTAAGTCTTATACTTTTCTCTTTAAATATTTAAATTATAAGGCCTTAGGAAACTCTATTTATAAAGATTACCCTCTTAAGCCTATTTAGTAAGGTTACTAACTTAAAAGGCTTACTTAATCTTAAAAAAGGTATATATAATAAAATAGCTTAAGACTTTACTATAAAAGGACTAAATAAATACTATCTATATTAGCTTTTACTTTCTCTATCTCTATAGCTATTATTAACTTTATTATAGCCTTAGTAAGAGGATTATAAAATCCTATCTTTATACTTAATATAAATTTAACTTTAGGCTTATTTACTCTTAATAACTTATTAACTCCTTAGAACTTAAAAATACTTAAAACTACTAAGAAGATAGTTTTATTTACTTTATTAATAAAGAATAAAAACTTAATTATTATTAATACCCCCTCCTTTATCCTTTTTAACCTTTTAGATAATATAATAATTAATAAAGTATTTAGGTCTTTTAAGTAAGATAGGATTAATATAATAATTACTATAAATAACTTAAGTAGTAAGATCTTATACTTAAACTTTAACTTAAGGGATAATAATAAAATAAACTTATTATATAACTTATTAACCTTTATAAGTATTACTTAAATTACTTATAAATTATTAATTAGATTTAATATAAGATAATAATAAAGAATACCTAGAAGATAAATATAAGTATTTACTATAATAATTACTATAATAATAAAGTAATAACTTATATTACTTTTAACTTTACCTTTTAAGTAAGTATTAATATTATTATAATTATTAAGCCTTAATACTTTAAGCCTTTTAAAAAAGATTTAACCTATATTATAATTACCTACTTAATATATAAAGTCTTTTCTTTTATCTCTACTTAAATTAACTTTAAAACCTAATTATATATTACTTTATATATTTATAAGGATTATAATCTTTATCTCTCCCTTATAAAAGTCCCCTTTTATAAAGGACTTATAGAAGTAAAGATTATAAACTATTACTTCTTCTATATATATAAATACTTAGGTTTAAAATCTCTATATAGCCTCCTTAAGAACTAGATACCTCTTAAGAATACTTTAATAATTAGTAATATAAATATTAAGTTTATTAATTAAGAACTTAGTATTAAGCTTAACTACTTAATAAGGGAATTTACTAAGTAGTTTAATAAGTATAATCTTATAGTCTTTAATAAACCTAGTATTTTAATTTATAATAAAAAGTATATTTTTAACTTAGTTATTTTAAATATCCTCTTTATTAAGTTAGAAGTTATAAATTACCTTTATATTAACTTAAACTACTTTACCCTCTTTATTATCTTCCCTATATAAATAAAGAACCTTCTACCTCCTTTATTATTTTACCTTCTAAATAAAAATAAGGATATTTATTTTATAAAAATAAAATACTAAATCTAAGAACTCTTTAATAATATCCTTAATAAAGCTACCTTAAATACCTTTATAGTTAAAATAAATAATATTCTACTTAAGACCCTTTAGGTCTATAGTAAATAATATTATAAAGATAGTAAAGAGACTTAATAATAAAATAAAATATATAATAATATAGCTTATATTTATTAATAAGCTTACTTTATAAATAGAAATAATAAGGAGATTAAAAATTAATAATAAATCCTTTAATTTACTATCTTAAATATAAAGGTAAAGTTTAATAAAAATATTATTAAAGGGATATTTATTAATAAAGATATATATTAAATCCTTAGCTAATATTAACTAAGATTATAATTCTAGCCTTTATTACTAAAGATAAATAAGAAAATTTATATTACTTTTAAAGAGAGAGCTAAAGCTTTTATAAAGATATTACTCTAAAGAGCTTATAAAGATAAAGACCTTAATACTATAAATATTTTAATATACCTTATTTATAGTATTCCCTAAAATAACTATATCTCTTTAAAAGAGATAAAGGTAGCTTTAATTAAAGTTAATAATATTACTTTAGATTAAGATAGTATTATAATCTTACTTTTTAAGTTTATTTTCTCTATAATTAAATAAAAAAATCTAATTATTATATTAAAAGAACCTTAATATAGGATACTACTTAGCCCCTTAGAAAATTATATTTATAATTATAATCCTAAAGCTAAATAAGGACCTTAATACCTTAAAGGGATAAAGGCTTATTTCCCTCCTTTTATATATTAATAAGTAATTTAAGAGATTAATTACTAAAAGAGTCTTATACTTAGTAATTATTTATAAGGTTATTTTACTTTAGATTATTAATACTTTACTAAAGAGGTCTATAGTTAATATTATTTAAGCCTTTATTTATTAAGTTAAGGATATAATAAGTTATAAACTTATTATTATTATTATTACCTTTAATATTAAGAGAGCTTTTAATTATACTCTTTTATATTATATATATTACTAGCTTATTAATTAAAGCTAGCCCCTTAATATATATAAATAAGCTCTTAACTTTTATCTTAATTATTAAGCTATTATTTAGCTTAATATAATCTTAATAAATATATAAAATATAATAAGTAGCTCTTTATAAGGATTATTAACCTCCTTTATCTTTTATATTTTATTTACTATTTTCTTTAATATAAAAAAGGGTATTATAATATTTAGATATATAGATAATTAATTTATTACTATAGTAGTAAAGTTTATTAAGGAATTTACTATAATTATCTAAGGTTAAATTAACTTATTAATTATATAAAGAGATAAATCTAAAATAACTTTTAGCTTAAAGAAGACTAAAATAATATACTTTATCTATAAGAATTATACCTCTATATTATAAATAAAGGCCTCTATTAAGCTATAGGAAGTTATATATAAAGTAGATTAATAAGAGCTATCTTAATAATTAATAAGAGATTAACTTTACTTTCTTAAAATAAAGTCCTAAATAAAGACTTTTATAAACTTATTAGTAAATACTTTAGTATATATATATATTTATTTTTAAGATAGAAATACTCTCTTAAATAATTATTAATACTATTATTATTATTTTTATTAAAACTAGCTCTTTAATACTTATATATTAATAGTAACTTATATAGTAATTAGATAACTTAATTATATTACTTAGAATAATTATTATAAATAAAGGCCTCTATTAAGCTATAGGAAGTTATATATAAAGTAAACTAATAAGCTCTACTTAAGGACTAATAATATTAACTTATTACTATAGTAAAGTAATAACTTAGTAATAAAATAGTAATAACCTTACTATATATATATATTTATTTCCTAAATAGAAATACTCTCTTAAATAGTTATTAATATAATTACTATTACCTTTATTAAAACTAGTTTCTTAATACTTATATATTAATAATAACTTATATAGTACTAAGATAACTTAATTACCCTCTTAAAATAATACTTTAATTAATTATATTTTAGACTTACCCTAGACCTTATTTAGTATAAGTCTACTAATTATTATATATTAATAACTTTTATTTAAATAATTACCTTATCTTAATTACTATATAATAAATAAAAGATATTATAGCTACTATAGTTCCTCTTACTTATTAAAATAATATATTTATTATTATTATTAACTAAGCTATTATTATAAATACTATAAATAAAAATAATAATAATAATAATAATAATAAAGAAGATAATAATATTAATTTAAAAATTTAACTTCTTTATAAATAGATTATTTAACTTTAAGCTTATCTTATTAAACTTTAAGGAAATTTAATTACTATAATAAATTTAATAAAATAATAAGTTATAATAAATATTAATCTTTAAGCTTAAGCTATTATTATTACTTAAGGAAGAGAGCTAGAATAACTACTTAAGCTATTAATACTTAAGCTATTTAATAGAACTTAAGCTAAACTATAAGGGTTTATTATATAGCTTAAGGTATACTTTAATTATTTTCTTATTATACTTAATAGTAATATAAAGAAAGTTACTTATATATATTTATACCTTATAGGAATTATACTTAATTAGTTTAAACTTATTATAAGGGAATACTTTAATAAAAGTAATACTTAATAAACTATAAATATTATAATAAGCTTTAAATACTTTATAGAAACTTTTTAATAAACCTTTAGAATTTAAGATAAGAAGTAAAAGTTAGAATATAATATTAATTAATTTACTTAAACTAAATTAGCTTTAACCTTTATACTTAATACTTATAGCTATTAATAAAGACTAAATAGGACTAAGAGTATACTATATCTTATTACTTTAATAAACTTAAAAAAGAAGTCTAGAAAGAACTCTATAAAGAAGATAAGCTAATAAGTATTTATAAATATATAACTATAGCTATAAGAATTAATAATTAATAATACTAATAATAAACTTATAAATAATAATTAATAGTTTATATTAATATTAGAAGATCTTAATAAGGATATAAATTAAGAATTATAATCTTTAAGATATATATTAATCCTATAAAGTTAGGAGCTATAGAAAAATATAAATATTTTAATTATAATAAGGTTAAATATATTATTACTTATTATAAGAAATTAAAAAAGATAAAAAAGATTAAAAGCTTATACTTAAGAGAAGGAAATAACTTAAGGTAATTAGAAAAAATAATACTAAAATCTTAGAAATAATCTAAAAGAAAGAATACTTAAAGGATATTATCTAAATCCCTAAGTTCTTTATATAACTTATATCTATCTTCTATAAAATAGTAAATAAAGAAGATAAATAGGAAGTTAATATTATATAAAAATAATAATAATAAATTAAGGGAATATTCTAAAAGTTAAAAGAGAAACTTAAGAAAGAAGAAGCTTTAAGCTATAAACTATTTATAACTTATAAATATATATTTCTCTATAAAAATAGGTTTATATTATTAAACTTAAAAGAAAAAACCTATATTTATAAGTAAAAATATAATTTAAGAAGAGTATAAAAAAGTTTATACTTATTATTAATAAAAATAAGAGAATAAGACCTTAATATATTAAATACTTTAATACTCTATAGTAAAATAACTAAATAAGTAATAAGATATTAAAAATAGATTTATAATATACTTACTTATTTAAAGATAAAGTATAATAAAGATTATAATAAAGAATTATAAATATTATACTATAGTATTAATTATAAGATATACTAAAAGAAAAAGTAAAAAATAACTTCTTTTTATAATAAATAGAATTATATCTATTATATATATTAAAGAATAAGTATAATACTTCTCTTATTTATAATATTAAGTAAATTAATATATTATTTTTAAGGAAGACTTAGAAGAATACTTTACTAAATATAATATTAAGGAAATATTAATTAACTTATATTATAAACCTTAATATAAATTTATAAGGAATCTAAAATTAAGTAATAATATAAGGAAAAGAAATATAAAGATTATATAATATATATATATAATAATAGAATTAAGTAGTATTAAAACTAAAAGTATAAAAACTACTTAAATAATAAATAGATTATATTTAATATAGTAAAAGATAGAGATAATAATCTTAATATAGTTAAACTATATCTCTAATAATATTAAGTATAAGAAGAAAAGCTATAATAATACTATAAATAAATATACTATTTTAATAAATAATAGAGATAATAATAAAATAAGAAATAAAGAATTACCTCTATAAATAAATAGGAATAAATTAAGAACTATCTTAATATAAAAGTAATAACTCCTAATAAATAAGTTAATTAAGTAAAAAATAATAATAACTATTTATAAAAGGGCTATAATATAATATAATAATAATTAGTTAGAGGACCCTAAGAGCTATTAAAATAGGAAGCTTATATAATATTATTATTAATATTAAAATTAAAGGGAATTAGCTTATAATAATAATAAACTATAAAGTATAGGAAAATTATATCTTATTAATAGTAATTAATTAATACTTACTATTATAAAAAGGGAAGAAGAGACTTTATAATATTATTAATATTAAAGGAATAAAGTTTAAGTATAATAATAGAATTATTAATTATAAGACTAATTATCTTATAACTAAGATTAATAGAAAAAACTTTAATATTTCCTATAATATTATATAAATTAATACCTATAATATTATATTAAGTATTTTATAATTAAAAGATATAAACTTACTAATTAATTAATATACTAGCTATATAGAGTAAAAGGATACTCTTATATATTAATATTAAAATTAAAGAAATTAAAATTTTATTAGAACTAGAAGAATATAATAACTCTTTAATAACTAAAGGTATTACTATAAAAATAAAAGATAATAACTTAATATAATAAGTAGATATAGTAATTATAGCCTTAATAGTATTATAACTTAATATAATAAGGAAAATATCTTATTAAGAATTATAATATATAATAAGAATATTAGCTTAAATATAGAAATAAGATATAGAACTTATACCTAAATTTAAAAGTTAGTATTATAAGAATAAGGAGAAATAATAATAAAAAGAAGTAATCCTATAAATACTAATAAGAAATATAATAAAATAAACTTTATAAATTAAATATAAATAATTAACCCTTAAAGAAAGGAGTATAATATTAAGAACTATTTATAGAATAAGGAAACCTATAATAAATAAGTAATAAAAGTAATATTAAAGGATAAATAAATAAATTATATTCCTTAAGAGTATTATACTTATAAGAAATTATTTAAAGAGACTCTTAATATTAAGCTATTAAAATATAACTAATAAGACTATAAGATCTTTATTATTAATAAAGGAGAATTAGCTTTTTATAAGCTATATAACCTTATAGAACCTTAATTATAAATACTTTATAAATATATTAATAATATATTAATAAAAAGCTATATATAATTATTAACTTTATTTATAGAATATTTTATAATATTTATATTAAAGAAAAATAAGAAATTATAACTTATTATAGATTATTAATAACTTAATAAAATTATATATAAAGATAAAATACCTTTATTATTAATTATAAAACTTAGAGATTAATTATAAAGTAAATAGTAGTTTATTATATTAAATCTTAAAAGAGCTTATAATTTAATATAAGTTAAAGAAGGAGATAAATAGAAAATAGCTTTTAAAATAAAGTTTAATTTATATAAGTATTTTATAATACCCTTTAGATTAATAAATATATTTATAATATTTTAATAAATAATTAATTAAGTACTTTAGGAGTATCTTAATATCTTTATAATTATTTATTTAATAATATCTTAATATTTTCTAATAACTTAAAAACTTATAAAGAGTATATCTATAAAGTCTTAAGAAAGTTAAAAAAAGTAAAACTTTTAGTAGAATTAAAGAAAAGCTATTTCTATATATAAGAGGTTAACTTTCTAAGATATACTATTTAATTAAATAAAATTTAAATAAAGAAAGGTAAGATTACTATAATTAAAGATTAAGAAATACTAAATATTATTAAAGAAGTATAAGCCTTCTTTAGATTTACTAATTATTATTAATAATTTATTAAAGACTATAAAAAGATTACTATACTCTTATATAATATTATAAAGAAAAGAATAAAATTTTAATAAGATATAAAATAATAAAAAGTATTTAATAAAATAAAGAATTAAATTCTTTTAGAACTTATATTATAAATATTTAACCTTATAAAGAAAGTAGAACTTAAAATTAATATATTAAACTTTATAATTAATATATAATTTAATTAAAAAGATAATAATAAAGTATTATACTTTATAGTATTTTTCTTAAAGAAACTATATAAAGTAGAACTTAATTACCTTATTTATAATAAGGAATTTATAGTTATTATATATATATTTAAGGAGTTTAAGTATTACTACTTAGAAATATAATATAAGATAAAGGTCTATATAGATTATAAGAATATTTAATATTTTACTATAATATAATAACTTAATAAAAGATAAATATATTATACTAAATATTTATTAAAATTTAATTATAAGATTATATATTAAAAGGGATTAAAAAATAAAAGAGTTAATACCCTTAGCTAAAAATCTAAATATAAGTAAATAGTTCTAAAGATAAATAAATAATTATTCTTAACTAATAATAATAAATATCTAATATAAAAAACCTTAAAAGCTATACTTAAGGGAATAATATATACTAAAGTTTAAATAGATATTATCCTAAGTTTAAAGAAACTATAATAAAAATTAAGAATAATACTTATTAAAGAAATTTATAAGTACTTACTTATAAGATATTAAGGAGTTAAGAAAACCTTTAATAAAATTAAATAATATTATAATTATTTTAGTTTATAAAAGGAAGTATAAATTATAGTTTTAAAATATAATACTTATATATAAAGTAAATTAATATAATATAAACTATATAAAGAACTTAAATTAATCTTAATACTAGAATAACTATAGTAATTAATATCTAGGGGGGTGTAAGGATAGGTGTGTGTTTATGTATATTTATATATTTAAGAGAGATAAGTAGGCTTATATTTAACTAGCCTAGTTATCTATCTCCCTTCCTTCCTTCCTTCCTCCTCTCCTCCCTAGTTATATATAAATATTCTATTAACCTAGGTAACCTTAGCAGCTATCTTTATAATAATAGCTAGAGGTTATAGTGGTTATGATCGCTATTTTATATTAATATATACTTTAGGATTAGAAAGGTTAACTAGTAGAAGTATATTTTAATAATTATAATCTAATTATCTAAATCCTCCTCTTTAAAGGAGTTAGTTCTATTAAGAATATAACTACTAAAGTTAAATAGGCTAGCTAGCTACTTAAGATTAAGGTCTTAAAGTATCTTAATCTCTAATAACCCTATAGCCTTAGTAGTACCTATAAGCTTATAGTTACTTATATCTATACTAGGAAACTTAGAGATTAGTGAGTTATATAGCTACCTATCCCTAATAATAGGCACTAGTACCTCTAGCGGCTTATACTTTAGTATCTTATAGGATATATCCTTTAAGTGAGATATTTGTGTGTTATACTTGTGGTTAGTTAAGTTTAGAGTAGATCGGGCGAGAGCTTGGTGGGATGTTTGAGACTTGAGTGTGTTGATGAAGGTAGCGATATATGAAGTGGCGAAGGTAGCGATGTGTTGTAGTTGAATTGTCTTGGAGCGATGAAGGCAGCGATTGCGGAATAGACGGATTGTTGATGTGGACTTGAGCTATGTGGTTCTGTTAGGCTGGGGATAGCGGCCTTTAAATAGATAGAAAGTAGTATTTTAAGGTTTATAAAAGGAGTTACGCTAATAAAAGACTTATATTTAAGATATAAGCTATTATTAGTATTAAACCTTATATATAGCTAGGCGTAAGCCTTATAGCTAGGCAAAAAGGCTGAAGTTTAATATATTATAATACTAGGTATAGTGTTAAGTTATTTAATTCTTGGTGTTTAGGAATTTCCCTTTTTTTTTTTAGTAGCTACTATATAACTATATAGCTCTCTCACTTACTACTACTACTAGTAATTAATATCCTTTAATTATATTATTAAACTATTATTATTTAAAGAATTAATAATTAAAGTAAAGTATAATAGTATTCTAATAGTTATTAATAAACTTATAAAGTATAATTACTTTATACTATATAAAAAAGTAAACTTTATAGAAGATTTTATATATTAAGTCTTATAATATATAATTATAAACTATAGACTACTTAATAAAATAATATTAAATAAAGGAATAATATTTACTTTTAAGTTCTAGTAATTACTTATAGTATAAATAAGTATAAAATATAAGCTTTTAACTATTTATTACTTATAAAGTAATAAATAAATAGAATATTTAAATTAAATACTAAAATAATACTTATAAATATATATTAATTATAAATAAGATAATTAAATATAATTATTACTTATAGTATAAATTATATATAATAATATAATATAAAAGTTAATTTAATTATTATTAATATATATAAACTATAATTATAAACTAAAGTTCTTAAGAAAATTAAAATTTAATAAATTAATAATATTTATTATTATATTTATAAAGGAAATACTATACTTATTATATATAAAAATATAAGTAGAACTAAAGTTTATATAATAAAGAATAAAGAAATATTATAATAAAATAAAATTAAAGGGATTAATCTTAAAGGAGAGAGATAAAGTCTATTTACTTTAGAAAAATATTATAATAATAAAGCTAAATAATAAATTAAATTATAAAAAACTTAAACTATTTAGAATTATAAAGAAAAAAATTAAATACTAACTATAAACTTTTATTATTAAATATAATATATATTTATTTAGTTTTTTATATATTATTACTTAAAAAAGTATTAGAAAATATATTAAATTAAGATTATTTAATTAAAGTCTATAAAGAAGAATTTAAATTAAAAAAAATCCTAAAGAAAAAAGTTAAAAATAGATAAATATTCTATTTAGTAAAATAGAAAAGCTATAATAAAAATAATAATATATAAGAACTTATTAAATATTTAAAGAACTATTAGTATTTAATATATTAATTTTATTAAAAGAAAAAGGATTAATAACCTTACCTTAAGTAATACTATTAAAAAGGTCCTTTATAAAAGAGTTAAAAGTAAAACTAAAAAAATTAATAGCTTATATAGTATATAAAGTTTAAACTTAGAATATAAGCTTAACTTCTTAAGCTTATACTTACTCTAACTCTTTTTAATAACTTTTCTTCTTTATTTCCTTTTACTCCTCCTCTTCTAATTCCTCTATATTATTTAACCCCTTTTTTAATATTTTTATACCCTTCTTATAGAGTTATTTTTATATCTTCTATAAATATAAAATTTATATAAATATTATAGCTAATTCTATTTTAACTTTTAACTCTTTATCCTCTAAATATAATAACTCTTTATTAATCTTTTTAACTATAAATAAGTTAGTATATATAAAAGGAATAAGGAAAAAGAGTAATATATTTAAAGATATTAAGGAATAAATACTATTATATAAGTAATTAATATAAATATATATAGTATAATAATTTAAACTTAAAATAATAAAATAACTTATATCCTTTTCTATATACTTAATATAAAATATAACCTTAAACCTATAAGTAAAAATATACTTAGATTTCTAAGTATATTTATATACTAAGTTAGATTTCTTTTATTTTAAAATATAGCTAAATATCTTATTAATATATATATAATATAAATAAATATAAGGCTAAGTATATACTATAAATAATAAAGTATAATAAGCTAACTTTAAGGATAAGATTAATAAGAAGAGGGTATTATATTATAAATAAAGGCCTTTATTAAGTTATAGAAAGTTATATATAAAGTAGATTAATAAGCTCTACTTAAGGATTAATAATATTAACCTATTACTATAGTAGAGTAATAACTTAGTAATAAGATAATAATAACCTTATTATATATATATATTTATTTCCTAAATAGAAATACTCTTTTAAATAGTTATTAATATAATTACTATTACCTTTATTAAAATTAGCTTCTTAATACTTATATATTAGTAGTAACTTATATAGTATTAAAATAACTTAATCACCCTCTTAAAATAATACTCTAATTAGTTATATCTTAGACCTACCCTAGACCCTATCTAGTATAAGTCTATTAATTATTATAATAATACTCTAATTAGTTTAACTTTAACCTACCTTAGACCTCTATCTAGTATAAGTCGCTTAACTATTATACCCTAAAAATATAATTACTTACTATAATATTATTATTAAACTAAAAATAAAGGTTAAAGATAAGAAGGAGAAAGAGCTAGCTACTAAATAGCTTAATATTTAACTAAATTAAAAGCTCTTCTTTAAGTTCTATATTAAGAAATAAATTACTACTATATAGGTTTTACTTTACTATATTTAATCCTTAAATTATATAATAACTAATACCCCTTTTATAGCTATTTAAAAAGCTATTATAATAATAATCCTATTAAAACTATTCTTTAATATTAAGATCTAATATCTTAAATATACTAAAGAGAATAAGAAGAATAAAATATTAATAAAAACTCTTTTTTATATTAATTATATTAGCTTAAAGTAAAAGATCTAAGTTCTTCTTAATATTACTATTAAATACTATATCTTTATATAGAAATTTACTCCCTTACTAGCTCTATATAAAGAATTTAATATCCTTTTAGTCTTACTCCTCTTAAATAAACTTAAGTATAATTAAGATATCTAGCTACTTAATTTAAATAAGAATTACTCTCTTATAGTCCTCTTTAATAATAAACTTATAAAATAAGCTTAAGGTTTCTTTTTTACTTTTATAAACCTTACCTTTATTATTAATATAATCTTAAATCTAAATAATTTTAAAAAGTAATTATTACTTTACTTTTTAAACTACTTAAATAACCCTTTACTAAAATTTAATAATAAAGAAGAGATAGTTATAGAGTTTAAGGCTTAAGCTATAGTAAGAGTTAAAGAAGAGATAATTATATACTTAAATAGCTTATATTACTCTACTTTCTATAACCTTAATATATATATTAACTTTAGCTATAAATATATAATTTTTAATAATATAAAGGTTATATATAGTAGTTTTACCTCTCTTAACCTTATAAAGGTTTATAATACTAAAGTAAAAAGTACTTTTAATAGCTTCTAAAAAGCTATAAAGTACTTCTTACTCTTATATATTATTATTTACTTAAATAACTCTTTAATTATTTATTACCTCTTTAAAGATAAACTTAATTCCTTTTATAAAACCTTTAAAGTATTCTTTAAGATTATAAATAAATATAAGTTAAAATACTTAATAAAGTAATCCCTTAAGTACTTAAAGATCTTAAATAATAAGCTTATAAATAAGCTTATAAATAAAAGCTTAAATTAAAAAGAATAAAAACTCTTTAAAAATACTATTTTAATAATAAACTATTTATATAAAAAAATAAACTATATAATTAAGCTAATATAGATAAATTAATAATAATTTAATATACTAAAGTTTTACCTTTATTTTTAACTTAAGTCCTCCTTTAAGAGGAACTTAAAACTCTCCCTCCTTTATAAGATATTATATTATTTAATAACTATAAGAACTAAATATAATAACTTTATAAGATATTATATTATTTAATAACTATAAGAACTAAATATAATAACTTTATAAGATATTATAAAGACTATAATTATAAAAGCTATAAACTACTTTATATTTATAAATATAGGAAAACTTTAACTTATATCTTTATTTACTATCTTATTAAATAGCTCTAGCCCTTTAAGATTTAGGGAATTAATAAGATAATAAGACTAAAATAAGAGCTTTTTACTTATTAAGCTAAAAAGTCTAACTTCTTTAAGCTAAGATATAATTAATATATCTCCTCTTACTCTCTCTCTTACTTTCTCTCTCCCCTTTATCCTCTAGTACTTACTCTTAGATACTTACCTTCTCTTTTTTTACCTTCTCTTTTTCTCCCTCTCTCTCTCTTTCTCTCTCTCTCTCTTCTCTCTCTCTCTCTACTTACTCTAAGTTATTATTAAAGGAAATAACCTCCTTTATCCTTTATTACCCTATAGCTTCTTTATTAACCTAACTTTTATTAAAGTAATAACTCTTATTCTCCCCTATCTTATACCTCTATACTATATTCCTATCTAGTTTATATATATATATATATTAGCTACTATATAGCTATATAGTTCTAGATAGGTGCCCTTTACCCTTAGGATCTACTAGCGTTAAATAATAATAATAATAATATATAGCTAATAAGTGTGGGTGTAGTTGCACAAATAAGCCCGGTGATGTGGTGAGCGCTTAAAGTCGTCTTGCGATTTATGGCATTTCAGTGCAACCCCTTAAGCTAAGGGCAATGGCTACCTCTTAGATGCTGATTCTAAATCCAATCAAAGTCGTCAATATTGTACCCAACTAGGTATGGCCTACGTAGGCTCTACAAGATCAAGTATAGATCGCCAAAAAGGACATGATTTTGTCAGCTGAAGACGGTACAACATTGACGGGCACTGCTACTTGGGGCTCCCTAATTGGTCGGCCCACGGACACGTCAGCGACACACGCAATGAAAATTGACTTATTTTAATATCTGATTCTTTTATAAAATACCTCTTGAGTGTGTCATTGATGTGTCCGTCGGTCGCTGCCTTGGCTGTCCCCTCGCGTACCAAGCGAAGGGAGGCCGACCAATACTTATGCTCTCCAAGTATCGGTTATGTGGTCCAGTGTCGTCTTCTACGTTGCTACCGTAAGCTTGATAGGTAGGTATGTTAAGGAAATGGCCCGACCAGTGCTACATTGGGTCCCAATATAGAAGTAGAAGGCCATATGGTACATTTTTAGCATACAATATTATGGATACTTGACCAAAGCCACGAATTCAGTATAGTTGTTTATATATAATAGGTAGACATAAGATAACCTTAAAGTTTAAAGTTAGTGAGCCTTTGAAAGACATACGGACATTACCTCTTTTCTTCTAGTGAGAGTCTTCCCCACCGTGTTTACTCTTCTTCTCATTCATTTGTTTGAATACATCCTCCACTTCCTTCGCAGTCCAGAACCGCGTGTAAAGTCGTCTCACTGTCCACCATTGCGCGATGCAGTTTAATCTTTTGAAGGTCATGTCAGTGTTAATACGCCCTTGGTCACAGTCCATTTGACTCACAGTGCAAAGACCCCGAGCGCGCCGCTGGCTGCCGTCAATTGGCGAAGGAGCTCTTCTACAGTTGGCAGTGCCGTACTTGAAAAAGGCGTGGGACTTGCGCCACGCCGCTTGGCGAAGCGAGCGTCGTAGGTGTCTGACCGTTCTGTCCCGATTAGGAAGAACATGAGGATAGACACTACGATCCAGCCGAGTGTATAGAATGTCAAACGTATGATGAACCAGTTGGTCGGCCCAGGACTGGTGGCACAGTGCATTGTGGGCCGAATCCAATGGAAATGCAGCACTGACTGCAGGGTGTCAATCGCACTGGTTCATAGGTATACGCGCCAGTCTCGACTTACATGCACGAGAGAGTATGCTGCGATGGGAAGAAGGATTCCATCAGGGACTTTGGCCACGATAGTGGCACACATGCCAGCGACAGTCATAGCAGTGAGTAGTTGTACCGTGCCGAGGATGGCTAGGTAGTAATAGTGCTGACGAAGCGTTCTTGAAGAAACCTTTTTCATTTTGGTCAAGCAAAGGGCTCATCGAATGCTGTTTCCGTGTTGTTGAAATTTGTGTTGCTGAGCGACTGCTGGAACCGTCCATTAAATAACCCGAGAGAACAAAGGTTAGGGAAGAGCCAAGCACGAATATGCCTTGCCGGGCAGAAAGGAGCTGAGGAATGCTTAGAAACGGGGCGCCATAACCACATTAATCACCTGATCGACATACCAAGGCTACCTTACTCTATTAGTGTGCTAAATTCGATGTGGTGCGTTCTTGGCATGCAATTATGGACACTTGACTGGAAGCCACGGGTTCAGCTGGCAAAGTGTATGACCGTTTTGGTGTTACTGTATTTTGGTAGTATTAGCTGGCTGAATACTGTATCCTGCTATTTTAATCCGCCTTGGATATTTCTAGTATAGTTGGTCGTAAAATGACGCAGAAGGGGCCTATATCTCTATAATAATATCGTATACATTCACTTAATGAATTATCATATAGTAAGTAAAGTGAAGTAATGATAATATAAAAAATTATGATGTTAATCTATAAAAATGTAGATCTTTAGAACTCACTCCTTAGGTGTATAGATTTTACCTTCTTTACGTAGCTGGGTTTATAACCAGCGTCGGGATATGGAATAGCCTGTCAAGGCTCACAATAGTCATACGTATTATGCGTACGTAAGAGAAAGAGAATAAAGTTCAACAGCAATGGAAGCTGCCAGAGCCCGACAATGGTCATATTATAATTGTACTCTTCTCATTTGTAGCAGTGATCATCTTCTTCCTAAAACCATTTAAATATAGCCATATAGGAGCATCCAAAACAAAGCCCTTTAAACAGAAACTTCCCGGCTTATCATGCACGATCCGCCCGCTTCCGAAAGATGTCTCGCCTTCGGGATGTGGACGCGCACGCCCGAAAATGCAATCCGTCGGGCAGTTACACCCAGCATGTGGATATATGGCTAAATTGATTATTTTACTGTCTTAATATACGTATAGATCCCTTCTTCAACTCTCTTTGGTATTTTGTCAGCTACGTGTTGCTTGCCATTTACATTCCTTGATGCGGTTCGAAATGCTTAACTTAGAGAGATCGAAGCAATGTAATGAGGGCGGGACACTAAGCGAAATGATACCATTCGAGATCCGTGGGATTGCTCTGATTCAATTTAGTAAAATTGGAATATAAGCTACCAAAATCCCACCAGATTGAGCTTCATTCCCAAGCCGTGGATTATCTTGGAATGGCATCATTAGTTGTCTGGCCCATTTAGAATCCAAGACAAGTTGAATCTTCTCCAGACAATGTTCATGTAGCCATCCTTGTTTGCTTCTACCAGAGCTCCAACCTTGGCGTCACCGGTTTTCGTCATGCTCGAGTACCCCCCCTCGTCCCCGATACCGCTGATGGGTGCATCCTTCAGTTCTCGCCCATAATTGAACTTTGCCGCATCGTCGTCGTAGCTGATACGCACTCGCATAAAAGTCCGCAAATCCTTATGAGCCGAGTTCATAAACAACACTCGAGCCGGCCCAGCATCATTGGCCAGGTTGTAGAGCAAGGTTGAAGCCTCACACGCTGGGTCCGGGAGTCCGGTATCGAGTGAAAAAGCCCCGAAGGATGAAAGATCCCCTCGGGCAACTTTCCTATAATCGTCTGGTTTCCCAGCTCTATCGTTGCGGTATAGCTTGCCATTAGGTGTTTGGGCGATAGTGCCCTCTGACCCGGCTCCTGTTAGAGGTTGATATGTCCAGGTACGCTGGCCAGGAGTGCCACGCCCAACGATGTTGCGGCCGTTGGCTGGTACAACGATTTCGCCCGATGTCGTGACGATTCCATTTCCGGGACCAACGGCATCCCACGCCTTTCCATTAGGAGTAAGTGTTTTTGTTAGGTCATTGGGCGTTGACCAGGTCTTGCCATCATCAGTACTCTTAGTCAGGTAAAGGTGTCGCCTCCCTTCCCAGGTAGAATCCACCATCTTTGTTTTCTCGCCGTTTGGCAAGTCATCATCCCCGTCTTGGCTGTACTGGCCATCGTTCCAGCTCATGAAAAGATATATTGTATCGCCATCCACGACAGGGGTAGGGTTTCCCCAGGTCCCGTCCCCTTTGCCAATCACCTCTTGCAAATTTTCCCAGTCACTGGCGGTAAGACCATGGCTAGTTGTCGTCTTTGTTCTCTTATACACCAAGTTGATGTCACCCCAATCGTTTCGATTGAACCTTCTCCCTTCGGCGAAGGCGAGGATGCGACCCGTTTTCGTGGTGACAACAGCAGGAATTCGAAACGAGTGAAACCCAATGCCCGTCGATAGCTTATCTGGGCTGTTCATATTAGCACTGCGGAAGAGAGAGAACTCGGTGTGGTTTGGTGTGACATTCTTTGCTGGGTCATCGACATTGGCGAGTGCAAGGCTGGGGAAAAGTATAGTGCCCACAGCTAGAAACGAGCCGAAGCTGCTAAGCATGGAACCAAGCTTTTTCCCGAACATTCTAACTTTCTTTTTTATGCAAGAAGAACAGATAGATAAGTCTAAAATGAAAAGAAAGAGTCGAAAAGGCTGTTTGAGGCTTTTTGGGGCTTGTTTACCTCTTCTCTAGGGAATAGCGTGTTTTATCTTCCGTATTCTTCGTATTTGTTACATACATACAAAGGTCTTTATATGATAAGGGAAAATCTAGTCATACGATCCTGCAAATTGCGCCCTTTTTGTATCCACTGAAAAGCATTCATAGGAGGTACGAGAAGCTACATACGGAGGCACTTGATAGCTGTCCCCGATTATGATATATCTCTATAAATTGGCTCTCTTGGCAAGAATGGACTCAAGCCATTCTTATTTCAATCCGTCCAATAGACCAAACTATCTCTATTTCACTATTACACCATAACAGAGTACTGGAAGCTTATCAAATGACAGTTTCACAGTTCTAAATCTTAGCAACTGTCCGGTAGCATGGATAATTACCACGGTCCAGCGAGCGCCGCAACTCCCGGACGCGATCCTCCGTCAAAAGCAGCGACGTGGGGAAATCTTCAGGCACCTCCTCACCCAAGAGCATGGATGCGGCAGCTTGAGAGGACCGAAACGCCTTGATCATACCGGTGGCATGGTAAGCACCGCAGACAAACTGGTGACTACGGCCGGCAAAGGGAACAGGGCCAATAAAAGGAAGGCCATCCTGAGTGAAGCTGACAATGCCGGACCAGGCGTGGTCGATGGTCGTGGCAGCATCGGGCCTAGGGCTAGCAATAGCCTCAAAGGGGAAGCCTCGCAGATGTGCGTGTGGCGATAGGTCTGTTGTAGTGTCATCGCCAGTCGTAGTACGTCCAGTGCAGGCACGCCCAGTAACAACCCCTCCATCGGTACGTTGGATGAGATAATCATAATCCTTGCGTCCGTAGCGGTACCAAATAGAGAACTCGGGGACAGTACCAAGAGGGGACTGGCCATTCTTATCGGCAGCCCAGTGGACAACGTTGACACGGACTGGAGAAAGAAAGGGCTGCATCTCAGGCAGGAGGTAGCCCATCCAGGCGTTGGTGGCATGGACAACCTTCCTGGCCTTGATACTACCGCGTTTCGTCTTCACAATAGCAAACTCTTCTCCATCGCGGTCCTCGATAGCCTCAACAGGAGTGTTGGTTTGCATGTTGACCCTCTTATTTCCAACCAGGGTCTCCCACACCTTAGAGATCCATTTGTACGGCCAGACAGAGCCTGCAGGGATAGTGATTGCTCCAATACAGCGCTTGGATAATTTCATCTGATGCTGTAATACGTTCTTATCCGTGCAAACTGTATGCAAGGCAGCTAGGTGAGGGGCATGAACGCGGATATCCTCAAGTGCTGCAAGATCCTTCTCGAAAACGTCCTGATTGTAGTAGGCCTCGACACCAGTAGTATGAACCAGGTCGCAGTCAGCGCCATCTTCTTTTATAGCAGCGGTCAGGGCCGCAAGATGGCTTTGTTCAAATTCGGAGATCTTGATGGCTTCTTCAATTCCAAACTGGTGCTTGCGTTCATTCCACATCGAGAACAGCATCGTTTTGATATGGCCGCCATTACGTCCAGTAGCACCGGAGCAGAGGCTTCGCGCCTCCAGGACAACAATCTTTAGGTCGGATCTTCTAGCACATAGAGTGCGGGAGAGAGCCATGCCCGTGATTCCGGTGCCAATAATGACAATGTCGGCAGGCTCCTGGGGCCAGGGCGAGTTGTGGTTGGCGTAAGCATGAGGATTGATGTGCCAGTATGGGATAGTTGAGTTGTCACGAGGCAGGCCAGGATTGACCACGCCTGGCTCGTAAATTCCTTCCAGGGCTCCAGACATTGTGCAGATGAGACTTTGCGTTGATCTGATTAGGGGAAGGATGATAAGAAAACGTGACGAATTTGAGTGGCTACACCGATAAAAGCTTAGCAGCACATCAGCAATCTTCTTCTTTCGTCTAATATCCAGCAAATGGACTTTATATCGCCAGATTAATCAGCTCCGACCTAACCATGCGAAGGGAATACATATTTTTGCCTGTTTGAGAAGGTAGATGGCTCTCATAGACGCCTCCACCGTCTAGTCCGAGAGCGGAAATTTTGGAGGAACGCATGAGTGGAGAGGACGTGATCATCAGACCGACTGTAGGCCTACTACAGTTCCCAAATTAGTGCCTGAAGTAGTCTGATACCAAATCTAAGGGTCTAGGGCGTTCCCCGTATGAATTCGATTCGAGTCAAGCATCGTATACTATTTTGTGCTGGAGAGTGTCATTGGACTTGGGCACAGGAAGGGAACATCCACGCCATGGATATACCGCCGGTCTGCTAATAATTTGCACCATTTTTGAAACCCATTCTATGGGCAAGGGCAAGAAAATTGGTACGTCGGTCAAGATATTCTGATACACGATTCTTCATTGTGTTGAGATGTCGGGTCTGGCATCTTCATTGCTGTTTTTACTTTGTACTGGAACTCTCTCACCAGTTTAAAAAACACGATTCCTAGGCATGTTGTTCAAATTACAGTAACTAGAGCAACTGTCCCATATTTACATGAACAGACTTCGTCTGCGTATATGCAGCTAGTCCAGCCTCTCCAAGCTCCCTGCCGATGCCGCTCTGCTTCACGCCGCCAAATGGGACCCTGGGGTCAGAATCATTGGAGCTATTCACCCAGACCATGCCAGCTTCCAACCTTGCGGCCACACGATGGACTCGCTCATAATCTCTTGTGAAAATGGCAGACCCCAGACCGTATGAGCTGTTGTTCGCTAGACGCACAGCTTCAGCTTCCTCCTTGAAAGGCGTGATGGATACAAAGGGACCAAAAACTTCCTCCTGAAAGATGGTCATATTTTCCGTCACATTGGAAAACACAGTTGGTTCAATAAAAAAGCCTTTGCTGCCTCCCACGTTCTTAAATGGCTTCCCGCCTGTAACCAGTTTAGCCCCATCCTTCTTTCCAGTCTCCACGTAGTTGAGAATCTTCTGGTACTGGTCCGAGGTAATCTGAGGGCCCTGAAAGGTATCATCCGAAAAGGGATCTCCGATCTTGTGCTTGGATATCACGTCTATGAATCGACTGATAAACTCTTCCAGGACATCCTCATGAACTAATAGTCGAGAAGTTGCCGTGCAGATTTGTCCCTGGTTACCCATGATGCCGCCGTGAGCCCACTTAGCAGCCTGGTCCAAATCGGCATCTTTGAAGACTAGTAGAGGTGACTTGCCACCGGTTTCCAATGTAATATTCTTCATTGTTGCGGCGGCCAGTTTCATCACAGCCTTTCCAGTCAGGCTAGAGCCTGTAAAGGCAATCTTATCAACTCCAGGATGTTCTACCAAGGCAGTTCCAGCCTCCCGACCGTACCCATTGATGATATTGATAACACCAGGAGGGAAACCAGCCTGTGGAATCAAAGATGCGAGATACAGAATAGAGAGGGGGGTTTGTTCTGCGGGCTTGATGATGACTGCATTCCCACAAGCAAGCGCCGGGCCTAGCTTCCAAGCTGCCATGGCCAGGGGATAATTCCAAGGGATAATCTGGCCGCAAACTCCAACAGGCTGTTTCAGAGTGTATGCGAACTTTTGAGAAGTCAAGGGGATCGTCTGCCCATAGATTTTATCCGCCCAGCCAGCATAGTACTTTAGAGTGAAGATGACCTCGGGAACATCCTCGGTGAGGGCAGTCTGATATGGCTTCCCATTATCCCAGGTCTCCAGAGTGGCCAGGATTTCTTTATGCTCCTCAATCAGCTGTGCGAACTTGTACATGAGGGCTCCACGATCCGAGGCAGCGATGCTGGACCATTCACCCTCAAGCGCAGCGCGGGCCGCGTTAACAGCCTTGTCTACATCAGCAGCCGAAGCAGCTTCAACAGAAGTGATTTCTTGCTCGTCACTATCAAAAAATGGACTTGTCAGTATGGTGTCAATCATTGCAACCTAGATTCGGGGTGACTCACGCTGGATTGATAGTTGTGATCTTGCGATCATTCGTTGCAGCAATAAACTCGTTATTGATGAATAACCCTGTGGGCAAAGTGATTTGGCGTCCGTTAGGAGCTTTGAGATTGACTTTGAGGGGCATCTTGTGAATGAGTGGGTAGAATTGTTCAAAAAGATCAGGTTGAGGTTGTCTTGACTGCCAGGGAACTTAGCTGCCAGGGCATTCATCAAATGTGAAGAACGGCAAGAAGAAAACTGTACTCCAGCCTACCCCAGGCACACGACGATATCTCATATAGAGGTTTCCATCACAAATTCAGACTAAGACCGCTTATCTGTTCGATATTCCAAAGCATTTCCCTTTGCCCCCGTTCAACAGACCAGAGACTTGGCTGTATCGGGCATGCAGGAGAGATTCGTATGTGAAGGCTATAGGGTATGTGGTCAAGGTAAAGCAACTGACTCGCTGACCCACTTTACTCCATTTCCCCGCCAAAGGCTTGTGGGGCAGGCTAGTCCTCGATGGGAAATCTATGGCGAACTCCTTTTGATTGGGTACCTAAATAATGACCACCACGCCAAGCAGACGTCAATATGGAATAGCTGCATTCAATTCCCTATCAAGATGTATTTACTGGGTATCACTGTTTCCGCCATGGTCCTGCTGATCCCGCGCTAATTTCGAGAAATGGGATAATTAGGCTGCTAATCAGAAGCTCAGCATTGGTCCACCTGACCACGGAAAAACGGAACCAATCATGTCTACCTTCACCCAAAGTCTGCTGTTGGACCTCCTAACTTGACCCTTGCTGTTGATATCTCAAAAGGCCGCTGGCAAGAAAAACCGTATCCTTGCGCAATAGTCCTGAAATTTCTCCTGATCGCACAATATGGGCAAGCAGTTCACTCTAGCCGAGGTGGCTCAACACAATACGAAGGACGATTTATACATTGTCTTGCGCGGTAAAGTCTATGACCTTACACCATTTGTTGACGATCATCCGTAAGTGTTGAGGTGTTTTTTCTCTCTCTTAGATGTCGAATTGGCACTAAAGGTAAATTTTGGGCAGTGGGAGCGCAAATATTTTGATTGATGCGGCAGGAGAAGATTGCACAGAAGCCTACGACGATGCTGGACACTCTGATGAAGCACATGAGATTCTCCCAGAACTCGAAATCGGCACAGTCAGCGTTTTGAATCCGCTGACAGAGCCATCTCCGGTACCGCAAGTCACCACGAATGGTGTCGAGAAAGTCAATGACATTGCCAAAGGGGTCTTAAAGCCTGATGTGTTTCAAGAGTTCAAGCTGCATCAGAAGACGGAAATTTCACACAATGTCGCTATGTGAGAACCTTCACCCCAGATCATTGAACTTGAAGAAGTAGACTCATAAATTCATCTACCATCAGTTACCGGTTCAAGCTACCTACTGAGGGGTCTATCTTGGGTCTGCCGATTGGACAGCACATTTCTATCGGGGCGATTCTCATCCAGCCGGATGGCACAGAGAAAGAAATCATCCGATCCTACACTCCTATCTCTGGAGATCATCAGCCTGGATATTTTGATTTGTTGATCAAGGTCTATCCTCAAGGTAACATCACCCAGCATTTGGCGGGGTTAACGCTGGGGAATAATATTCGAGTTCGAGGACCTAAAGGCTCCTTTACTTATACAAAAAACATGGTCCGCCACTTTGGTATGATAGCCGGCGGCACAGGACTCACACCCATGCTACAGATTATCCGTGCCATCATACGTGGCCGATCAGAGGGTGATAAGACGGAGGTAGATCTGATCTTTGCCAACGTCAACGAGCATGACATCTTGCTACGGGAGGACCTAGAGCAGATTTCCAAAAATGATAATGGAATCCGTATCCACCATGTTTTAAATAACCCTCCGGAAAATTGGTCGGGTGGCGTGGGCTTCGTCAACTCGGACATGATCAACGTAAGTTAACCTACCTCTGCCGTTGATACCAGGCAATTTTGGAAAGGCGAACGAGCTAATATTCTTCTTTCTTTCCATAGAGATGGCTACCTAAACCAGCACCTGATGTTAAGATTCTCCTTTGCGGGCCACCGCCAATGATAAGTGCCATGAAAAAGACCACCGAGTCCTTGGGCTTTAGCAAGGCCCGCCCGGCTAGCAAGTTGGATGATCAAGTTTTCACCTTCTAAGGGAAAAAAAGGAAAAAGAACAAAAATATCGGACTTGATGTACTATAGTGACATTGAAGATCATGTGAAGACAGGGCAGTCTTGCCGTCTCTGTCTTGGTGTTGATACCTGTAGACCCAAATCCATGATTGTCCACCACCCCAAATGGATTCATTTTAGTATAAAAAATTTGTTGTCACGAGGGCACGATCTTTTGTGAAGCTCTCGGGATGACTCTTGGGTGTTTTTCACTTCAATCAACTTTACCACTGTGCCAGATGGCCAAGTCGCTTGTGGCCGAAAAAAGGTTTCCTTCTCGTTGTTAAAGCATACTAATTTTTTTCTCATACACCACATTTGTTCTCACGATCTTGGTTTAGGTCGATTCTGAGATATAACTTCATTCCTGGCGTAGATAGTCTGGTTAGTGGGCAAGATCCTGCGGCAATGGGGTATATGAGAATATTTTCACGTGAACGAAACTGCGCGGCACCATCACATCATTTACACCCTAAAGACCAGCGAATGAAAAGTCAATTTGAGAAGGGCCAAGTATAGACGTTTTATTAGTGCGGGATATCAGTCAGTCGCTATTTTAGCACTGCGCGATGACCTTCTCCATTAGGCTGCGGGGAAGAGACCAGAGCTACCTAGTAATGGGCATGGAAATCATGACAGGTCTCCTCCATGCGACCGATTCCTTTGCTTGGGCATTCGTGGGTGACTTTCGACCACAGTAAGAGGCAAAGCAAAGCACACAGAGCTGGCCACCTTTAAAGCTATTCCACCACTTCAACACCTACCACCGAGCGCATACAAGCGATATATTTCGTTTTGTTGCAATCTTCTATCTGATCACTTCAACAAGAGTTTGAGAATGTCTATGACGGAGGAACAATGTCGTATTGACGATCGGGACAGCCGGCCGATCCCAGACACTCCAAACAATGTCCTCGATCAATTCAAAATGAACGACAAGGTTTCCATCGTCACGGGAGCAAGCCGTGGTATCGGAGCGGCTATTGCCGAAGGTCTCGCTGAAGCGGGATCACACCTTGTTTTAGTATACTCGTCGCACAACCCATCCATGGATGAGACGGCTAAGCAGTTGGCAAAGATTCACGGAGTGAGGGTGTCAAATGTGCGATGCGATGTCACCAACTTTGAAGCCGTCAAGGACCTGGTGGCCCGCGTCCGTATTGATTTTGGCAAAGTCGATGTCTTCGTGGCAAACGCCGGCGTCTGCAATCCAAACCCGATCCTCGAATCATCACTGGAAGAATACCATGCTGAGATGAATGTCAACGTTCACGGGGTCGTCTACTGCGCAAAGGCTGTCGGCCCATTGTTCAAACAGCAAGGATTCGGAAACTTCATTATCACTACGAGTATCTGCGCAAATGTCGTCACCGTTCCTGTCGACCATGTTGCTTACAATACTTCCAAAGCTGCAGCTTTGCAGTTTGGCAAGAGTATAGCTCGTGAGTGGCGTGGTTTTGCGAGAGTGAATATGGTGTCTCCCGGCTGGATCGACACAGCCATGAGTGAGGATCGTGCATCTCTCAATGAAGCCCGTCGCATGGCGCCATTAGGAAGACTAGGTATTTTAACTCCCAAGCTGTCTTTCATTCTACATGTTGCTGATATTACCTTATCTTCATAGGTGATGTCCGTGAATTGAAGGCTGCATATCTATATCTCGCTAGCAGTGCAAGCTCATTTGTTACTGGTGCTGAGATTGTGGTAGATGGTGGTTACACACTTCCTTGAATAGTCTGTGTTATCATACAATCGATAGACAAATATCAATTTGAGTATTGAGTTATTAATCGCTTCTTTGCCAAAATAACGCATACCGCTACATCTCACCCTATTATAGTGAGCAGACCCATGGAATGAAGCACGTCCATCCAAAATATATCCGCCCCAACATCCAAGCGTTTGAATATCTCCAACACAATACTTCGGACATACTGAATGGGAGCAGACAAGTTCGTCATCGACAGAAACTCAAGGCGATCCAGTACAAACTGCCGGGCTCGAAGAATATCGTCCTTGTCTTCCATAAAATATTCTTGCTGCTGCTCCCCAAGGCCAGCAGCGGCCTCCTCCTCGGTCTCTCCTGAACTCAAGGAGAGTGACGTAGCTGCCACTAGCAGGAGCAAAGCTTGCACACACGACGTTCCAGAATTGGTCTGGATCTGCTCCAAGCGAATAATCACATTGCGGCCCAGAAATCTCAGCCATTTCTCCGTACCGTCCTCTTGCTGCAGCATCACCGCCCATGAGCGGACTTGAGAGGCAGCCCAAGGTGTTTGGTCGTATGGCTTTTGCGTAGCTATGAGCTCTCTCATCCACTTAACCCGCTTCCTTCGTACGTTGGGAAAGATGCGGTAGAGTTGATAAATGTTGGCATACATGTAAGCCTCAGCAAGTAACAGATGATGAATTGCCGGGGTATTCGGGTCTCCGATATTACTGATAGAGTGTAACTTGGGCAGTTCGTAAGCCCATATCGACTGATCTAGTTGCCTTATAGCCTCCAAAAAGTCGCCTGGTTTATCAAGGTTCTGTCCTCCCACCGGTGATGCCGATGTTGAAGATCGCAGTGCGTGGATTTGTCTTGATATACGAGTAAAGATCGCTTGCGGTTCCGAAGCAACACCCGTCCACGGGTGTGGTACCATGCGCGATGGGCTTCGTTGAGCTCGATCCTTGGCAGCCAGAGGCACCGGTCTAGGTTCCTCAATTTCCTTGGGTCTCATCTTTTCGTATTCATGATAAGTAACCTTATTGCTTACGGCGCATGAGACCATCTCCCAGTAGATTAGGGCGTTTTGAAAAAAGCCGATGGCATCGAAATCATCAGAGAACTGCACCTTTCCGTTTAAAACGGCATGTTGAACAGCCTCTAGATGAGGTATGCCCAGATCTCCTATGTCGAACCAAGATGAGCTCACGCCTAGCAAGAGGACAATAAACAAGAGCTCTGTGTCCCAATACTGCGCGGTAGAAACTCTCTCCTGGAGATCATTGAGTGCAAGCGAGCGGAATTCTAGCGATCGAGTCCTCATCTCAGGCATGAACCACACCAGCTTAGCCGCTGCCAGACTCTGTATGGTATAAAACATAATAGAAGAGTCTTGCCACTTTTTACTGACGAATGTACGGAACACGTTCTGCTCAGAGTCGAATGTGGAGAGAATATGGCACACAACGTTAAAGTAAAACGGCACCAACTCAACCAATGCACCCGAAGGCTCATGACAGAATGGAGGAGAGGGGGTGCGAAAAGGCTGTGTATCGTTCGATATGAATGGGGATGCAATGTCGTCAAAGGGTGGGGACGCCGGTTTTGATGTGTTTTCATCGGATTCCTCTCCTGCTGTCTCCAGCATGACCGGGGCAGTTTGTTGTTGGACATGCTCCAATTCAGTTAGGGGGGCACCCAGAGAAGTCAGGCTTGAGGCAGGGCTCAAGGAACAATCAGACAGCACTTCTTCATCTTCTCCGGAGGGTACCTCTGCATCTCTCCGTTCCACGGTGGTTGGGTGTACTTCTGAGTTCCAAACGTCCACAAAAGTTTCCCCGTCAGCATTGGGCGGTGAAGTGTGAAGAGTAATTGGGATCACATCGTCGCTCGGGAAAATCTGCTCGTGCATTCTAATGCCATACTCGAGGTTGGATAAGTGAGGGTCTACCGAAATAATGTCGCCGTATTGTCCTCCGTAGCCGCTGCTGTTATCAGTATGATCTCGTTTGTCCTGATCCAGAGAAGTCTTTCCAGAATGCTCGGCATCGCGCTCTTTACACGCAAGATTTGTAGATTCGGTGACGCTGGTATTCGCCTTTTGCGGGTCAAAGACTTCATGCTTAGTCGACCAACGGAGCAGAGGTCGGGAAGGATATCCAGGACATTCGAAGCGCTTGTCGTCGCACTGGGTACATGATGGCCGTCTCTCGTCGCATTTTATCTGCGGCAACAAACACTAATGAACGAGTGGTTCTTTTGTCTGGTTCTTGGATTCCAAAAGACCATGCAGTCATACCTTTCTGAGTCTGCACCGTTTGCAGCCTGTAGATGACTTGTGGACTGGTCGTCTACGAGGTAGTTTTAAAGCAATTGCAGATCCTGTAGACATGGCTGGCCGGCTGACTCGTTGAGAATTAGGAAGAGGTGGAGGTTGGGGGATGAAAAGGAGGACTGGAGCTTTGAATATTTAGACGGGCATGGATCGTGGGGTAGAAAGGGGATGGATCCGGACTCGGGAGATCGTTAAGACGCGAGGCGTGCCCGTGTCATTGCGGGGTAACAGGGCGTGAAAAGGGGAGCTTATCTACGAATCAACGGTTCGGCTTCTCCGCTTACTCGTACATGGAATCCGGATTAGGTTCTAGGCTCTATCACAATCAAGTGCTAACTAACTAGTCAACTTAGTTGGTGGATTATCGGTGGGGAGTCCAGCAAGGTCCTGATAACGTCTCTTGGAACTTTGGCCCTGTGAAGATAACCAGGGGTTTATTCAACGTATCCAAGATCCACCTATAGATAGCGCTACGGCACGTTTCAAGCAAGGAGATGGACATCCTTCCTACGCCGATGGTACTCGTTTCAGTTGTAGTAAGGCTAACTTAAACGGGTTATTGTAGACTAGTAAGACAACGCATGATAGTGTTCGAATACGATCTCAAAGGGGATGCAAATCATCAGGAATTCGAGCGGAAAATAGTGGATATTGGAGGAAAGTCACAGCAGCCAATATGTGAACAACTGGCCACTAGTGTTAAAAAATAGACATAGGCCAAGTAAGGCACACAACTAAACATGGTAAATTGAAGACCTATCTTAGCTCTAGCTAACCCCAGAAAGAAGTGAAACGAATGGAATCATAACCAACACTGTAAGGCGATGGGTATATTGCGAGTCTTATTTCTCGCTACCCTGAATTCTCGCTCAAGTGGTCGTTAACTGGTGGTGGGCCTCCGTAATTCGTCTTACCCCAAGCAAAATACCACGCGGTAGCGAATATGATGAATCCAACAAAGACCACGCTCGCATAGTTGACTGTTTCGGCTGTAACGGGAATCCCAGCGGGCATACAAAAGAGAGGCACCACGAGGAAAGACCATACTGCATGCCCTTGGTTAGTTGGCAACATGTGAAAAAGGAGTGGAGTGTGACGAACATAAAGATACCACATTGCAGAATGTACCCCAGCGACCCAGATAGAAGGCTCCATGCTTAACGTCTTCACGACCCCTAAGCATCGATACCATGATGGGTGTGGCGTAACTGATAGTAAGACAAATGACACCAGCTGAGGAAAAAGAGTTGAAAGCTGTAGCAGATCCAAAGTAGATGGCTCCGAGCACCAGCTGGACAATCATGCTCAGCATCATAGCGTTGAATGGTATCTGAAGCGAGTCGTTGACTTTGCGCCACCAAGCCGAGCCTGGGATTCCGCCGTCACGAGAGAAAGCCCATGTTACCCTGGAAGCAGCCGTGGTGCAGCAAATGCCACACAGAATAGCTAAAACTATAAGCGGGATAAGGAGTGCAAAAGCACCTGCAGCATTTCCCACTGCACTTTTGACAATAACAGGAACTGGCTGCTCCGAGTTGATGAGAGTTTCCAGGTCTGGAAGGACGAACGCAAACGCAATCAGTGTTATCAGGCCAGCGACCGTGTTTAAGATGACAGTCCCAACCATGGCTTTGGGGACCTGCACTTTGGGGTTTGGTACTTCTTCGCACATGCTACATTATGTGCAAGGGCTCATGTCAGTCCAACGAATCGGATGGTTACGATAAATGGTTGAATACACTTACGCAATGAGCATTCCCGTTGAAGAAGTGGCATAGGCAGCATGTAGAAGCCCAACACAAAAGGCCCATCCAGAAGGCCATCCCGAGAGAGGTTCAAAGTGGCCAAACGCATACGAAGCCGAGTGTCTGCCCTGCTTAGCTAGCACTAAGATGCAAATGACCATAGTGAGTAAACCGATTCCGGTCCAGTAAATAGCAAAGGTCTATCAGAGAGATGATAAATGTTAGTGCGAGGGCTGAAGGTTCTAGCACGAGTAGGGAAGAAGTCTTCAAGATCTAGGTGACTCACATCGAGGTAAGGGAGCCATCGGTTACCCAATGAAGAGACAAGATTGCATAGAATGGTCAGAGCCACAAAAATGAGATAGACTTGATACGTCTCCGCTGGGAATATACCTTCCCCATCTTCGGTCTCAAAGACATTGATGCAGCCGATGATGAACAGAGTCGTACCAAAGTTGACCGCGAGCGTGATGAGGATGTTTCCGACAACATAGGCCCATCCGCAAATCCAAGATGTAATCCGCCTCGAGCTCTTGGATGATAACATGAAGGTCTGGTAGTACACGCCTCCTGCCGTAGGATACACGCTCGTAATCTCCGCGAGAGATAACGCAACGCAAAAAATGATGACAGATACCAGCAACCAACCCCAGATCATGGTGACTGGACCACCATTCATGAGGGGGTAGATGAGACTTGTCGCCAAACCGTAAGGAATGGAAGCAAGAATGAAGGCCATGAAAGCCAGCTGGAAGGTAGATCTGTTCTTTGCCAGCTCCGAAACGTAGCCTGTCTGCTCATCGAGGTTTTCCACTGTGCCGTTTCGCTGTTCCACGTCATTGTATCCGTTGTCGACTTTCTTCCGGTCCGAGGATGAGAGTGCAGTGTCACTCCGATCGTACGGCGGTAGCTTGTCGGAGGCCATGATGTGTCTGTTGGCTGAAGTAAGGGGCTACTGGTCGCTGGCTATGTCTGAAGGTGGTTTCGAGATAGGAATCAGTGTTCCGGACGTCAAGGTAGAAATAGTCTATGTCAAACTGATGATTTCGATCACAATTTTCTTTCAAAGAACTTGGATGTGTGTGTTACCTTCGACGTCCGTCTTAAATATTCTTAAGATTGTGCCCAAAGCGTTAACCCGGTCGAGTATGAAAGGCTTATCAGTTTGGTGTGACTGACTTCTCAGCTTCATTTCCAACATAAGCCAAGCGCTGGGGTATACCGCAGCAGAGCTCGCGATTGGATAACGGGCCAGGCTAGTTCCCCAAACAATTGACTTGTGACCCTTGACTGGCATAACGGACGGCTGGTGGAGCCAGTTGGCTCTTGACTCTGGGGTAAAGCAAACTAGCAGCTCACAGATTTGGGAGGAGCGAATAGAAATAGATTGATTACATGAACCATAGACAGTTAACTTAGATTGAAAGCCAGATGGAGTTTATTCAATTCTACTGCTCTCATTTCTCGCGTATTAAACACACGATACTTTCCTCGTATATCGTCGTGTGCTCTCTAGATACATGAAGGTGAGATGATCGTAGTATAGTTCCTATGTGTCTTGCTGTGCTCTGAGATTCTCCTGGAGGTGCCGGCCCGTGTTGACACTGAGGAGCCACAGATATGATGGGCTCATGTTTGATACTCAGTTGAGTCATTCGTTCCGACGCAATGATACAACCTTGGCCCGCACTCAGGGAAATTGTACTTCCCCGCGTCACTCACAGGAGAGCCACGACATCCGTTACCTAATTTGGAGATTTATGGCGTGGGACATCATCACCTTTTAGCTTGCTCACTCATATCATCCAGTCCACATTTGATAACGGCTTGAACTATCCAAATTGGGTCTAGCAGCCTCAAGATCCGGGGGAGACCATCATCGTTCATAACTGCCTTTTTAGGAATGGGGCTTCTGTGGCTGCTTCGTTCGAGAGTCTCTCCTCTTTGTCTCCAACGCCTTCATGGGACCTTTGCCAATGAAATCGAGTCAATTATTAAAAGACCCTTCTTCCACTATTCTCCTCGAGATTATCTTGATTGCTTTGCCTCATAATACTATATCAAGCTGGATTCTGCTCTTGCAAACAACTTCATACTCCAAAGCACTTTGCAAAAAACTAACATTTGTTCTTCCCCGTATTATTCATCTCCCTTCTCCACAATGTCCGTACCTCTCAAGGTTCCCGAGGGCAACATGCCTGCCTCCTGGTACTACCAGCCTGCCTTTTTTGAGTTAGAGAAGCGTGCCGTCTTCTCTCGCCATTGGCTCATGACCACTCATCGTTCTCGGCTGCCCGAGACCGGTAGCTTCCTTCGTTTTGAGATGGCCGGCTTCGACTTCTTCCTGATTAAGGATAAGAAGGGGGAGATCCATGCTTTTCACAATGTGTGCCGCCACCGTGCTTACCCTATCCTTGAGGACAAGGACGGTCGCGAGGGCAAGAAGCTTATCCTCAGCTGCGGCTACCATGGTCAGTTCCCTTGCCAAAAATTACCGATATCTTACCTTATCGAATATGCTAACCAGGGCATCACGGGGTTACAGGATGGTCATATGGTCTTTCCGGAAACCTAGCCAAGGCCCCGAAGTTTGAAGAGGTCGAGGACTTCCGTAAAGAGGATTACTCCCTCTTCTCCATCCACACTCATATTGATAAGCTCGGCCTTATCTGGGTCAACTTTGACGCTTCTGACACTCCCATTCCCTGGGAAGAGCTCAATGGTGGTACAGACGAGCAGACTCGCTTCGAGGATTTCAACCTCGACGAGTACGTTTACGAGCGTACGTGGACTACCAACGGGAGTTACAACTGGAAGCTAGTTGGTGAGAACTACAACGAGGTAAGAAAAATCAAAGTTTGCGGGGACTGAATCTGAGTGAATCGGTTCTTGGCATTAGTACTGAGATACTAATACAACTCTCAAGTGTTACCACTGCCAGGCATCGCACCCTGGTATCACCAAAATCACGAACCTCGACCGCTATTCGGTCGAGACCAGGGGCGATAACAAGGGACGTATGGAGCACTTCCCGCCGAACAGAGATGACATCAAAGAAGAGGATGTTCAGTTCTTCGGCAATGGCGCTTTCACGTTTAATTACCCCAACACTTCCCTGAACCTGTCCACTCCCTACTGGTTCCTGATGCGCGTGGTTCCCAAGACCCCAACCACGGTCACGACTGAGTATCAGGTGTACCGCAACCCAAACTCGGCTCGAGAGCACTTTGATCGAGCTGCTGAATTCTTCGAGGGCATCGAGGTTGAAGATTTCCACCTCATGAATGGTGTACAGCAGAATCTTGGTAACAATGTCTTCGTCAATGGACCCTTGCATTCCACTCGCGAGTCAGGCACCATGGCCTTCAAGCGCCTTCTCAAGAAGGACCTCCAGAAGCACTTTGACGCCGAGAAGAAGCTTGGCGCCGAAATCCACTTCTCTAGGAGGAACACTCAGATCCACCCCTCGATCAATGTGGAGGAGAACTTTTGCGGTGAAGTCTGCGCTTGCCGGGCCGCTGCCGAGGCCGCTGCTTAAATCTCAATATAGTCTTAGGTAGCTAATATACCAAGTTTGTCAAGCATGACTATCGTTATAGACTGGCGGCAGTCTCATGTTCCTTGAGTAGAGCAAGGATCTCGTGTAGGCCCTTTGTTTCTGCCAGTTTTAAAGGTGTATCTCCTTTTGCGTTTTGCAAACCAGCTTGTGCGCCTCGATCCAAAAGCAATCGAACCATAGGCAGATTCCCTGCTTTGACAGCCTCCATGAGAGCCGAATTAGTTTCCGTTTCTGGAAACTTTCTTCCAGGCAACGGTAACCTGATTTCGTCTACCTCGTCCACATCTGCTCCAGAGTCCAAGAGAGCCCGAACACCTTCAATTAGTCCAAATTGCACCATCAGCCGCAGTGCCCCAGTTCCCTGTATCCTCACCCCCCTTTTAAGCAACCAAAAGAGCATGAATTCAGTTTCAGAATCCTCCTGCTCAAATGATAGAGCTGTGCGAAGAATGCTCACCCGAGGCCATTCGTGATTTATGTCAACCCCCTGAGCCAGCATGTAGTCCACGTACTTGAATCTCCTGTGCCTCAGTGCTGATATGATGAGGCTCCCGAATCGTCCCGAGGGATGTATAGAATATGGAGGTGCACGAGCCAGCGCCGACGGCTCGCATTTGATGAAAACAGATGCAAGTTCGATGGTTCCATTAATTGCCGCTTGCTTGAGGCACTCCCATGGAATCTGAACCCGCTGATCGCTACATGAGTGTTGTTCATGAGAATTCGAATTCGAAGGGGGACCGAGCTGGTCCACAAACTGTGGAGCGTAGAATGAGTCCCAAATAATCTTGAAGATAGCAGGGACCTCGGCCTTGACAGCGGCTAACAGTAATCTTGAGGGTAGAGAAGAGGACGATGCTAGCGCGCTTGCTGTGGTGTACTCATCCCGAATTGCCGGCGTGAGCTGATGAAAGTCATGCGATAAGAATTGTGAGAGGATACTGGCATTCCCGTCTTCTATCAGTTTCAGCAGGTAATCATAGATGCTTAGTTCACTCGAAAGTGATGTCATATCGTCATCCAAAAATTCACGCGCGGATATAAGTTACATGCTTCAGCAGATCATCAATGTCAAAAAAAAAACACTCAAATGACCCGCACAATAATCCACGTGACTCGATATTGCCTGTACCTAGTTGACAAAAGTACAACTCAGGACACGATTCAGAAATAAAATAAAGAAATCGGCGTAAGATAAATGACTTGGGATCATTCCAAGTGGTCTTATTTTGAGCGAAAATCTTCACCCTATCCTACATGCCTTATTGTGATTCTTCTTTCTCTTCTCGACGTCCCTCATCCTAGCAGGCTCTCGTGTCAAGCGTCGTATAAATTGAGACTCTCAACAGCTCATCATGCTTATCTAATTTTTAAAAATAATACGAAAGCCACGAACCTCCATCTCTTTTGCGAAAGAAAACAAGAGACAAAGAAAGGTGAAATATAGGACGACGGCATTTCAGGACAAAACCAGAGGAAACATGTAGATCTTACTTGGATGGTGCTTAGACAGTAAACTTTTTCGCTGTCCTTCGGTCTGAAACTAACTTTCACTGCTTGACTATGAACAATGGCTCACCCAGAAGGTCCATACGAACATCACCAGACCCATTGCCCGGCAAAGCACTGGCCGTGATTTTACCGTCGTTCTCCAAACGAGGAACATCTGCGATCAACGGCTCAATCCATTCGCATTGCAAGTCGACCGCCCGCAAGCTTCGGCTTGGGGTAGTAGTAGCCAGCACCAGGTTCTGTGAGGCGGTCAAGGCCGAGCCCCAAGTGTCGTCGCTTACAACCGTCATGCCAAGCGCTACGGCCGCGTCTCGCATAGTTCGGGCTTTTGTCAAGCCCCCAACCCGAGATGGTTTGATGTTAACCCCTGCGATTCCGGCAGCATGGGCCTCGAAGAGGTCGGCCAATGTCACGACCGCCTCGTCACAGAAGATGGGCAGCCCTGTGCGGCGACCAACCTCGGCGCACTCGAATATGGTTCGGCAAGGCTGCTCGAGACCTACAGCCACATCTTGCCCAATTGCACGGGCAAACAGAAGCGCTTGGTTCAGATTCCAACCTGCATTGGCATCGGCCCAGACCTGAACATGACCAGGAAGCATTTCGCACACGGCCTTCACTCGCCTGGCGTCAGACAAGGCATCGTCTCCAGCTTTGAGCTGAAGTGCTCTAACGCCGCGGCTCAGCTCTTCTTTAACTTGTGCAATGGCTTCCTCTGGCTCTTGGATTCGAATGACTGAAAACGACTGAGGTCTGGGTGTAAGGAAACCTCCGAACAAAATCGCAGTCGGCAAGCCCACTGACTTGCCTAGAAGATCCCAGCAGGCCATGTCAATCACGGCCTTTGCATGCAGTGCCCCGAGCATCGCCTTGTCCATAATCTCGTCGATAGCTGCGGGCGATCGAGGATCTTGGCCAAGAATACGCGGACCCAACTCCTTAATAGCTTCCAGTTCCCTGGTAAAAGAGCTTGGAAGATAATCACTTCCGAGAGGAGCCGACTCGGCCCATCCCTCGACACCATCATCAGTGCGGATTCGACCAACAATGGACGGATGTCCTGTTGCTACCCGACCGCCTGACATAGAATATTGACCATGGACGTATCTAGCCTCGTAGGAGAACACAGTAATGTCGGTGATTTGCATTTTCGCTGCGGATAAATAAGTATATATGTACAATAAAGCTTGAGTTTTGGAGTTCAGACTGAAAAGGGGGTTGGGGCTCTGGGCTGTCTTTGCTTCTTAGCTTGTCTTCCCCTGGTTTCTTACACAATTTTCGTTTGTCACAATTATCCAAGATACTCGTCAAGTTGCACGAATGTCAGGCCTCTTTAAATATCCAGCCATGAGACGGACTTGGAACGGGAACAAACCGCGTGGGGTAACCAGTAATTGGTGGGGACGGGATCTGTCCGTGGATCCGATCATAGTTCTATTTGGATCTGGCCTGTTGATACCCCCTTAACCCTTATGACGCATTCCAAGCTTCACTGTGTAAAAATGGTCCTTATCTACTCAACGGTTAGTAATTTTGTCCAGGCTACATGATTGCGTTTGAGGCGGAATTTGGACGTCTTCATTCTCAAGGACGCCCCCTCAAACGAGACCGCCCCTTCATCGACGAAATACCGGCCGGATGCTTCGTCAGAGATAGATACACCGGATTACTGTACTAAGAAGTGACTGCGTTGAATGGAGCAGAAACCCACGAAGCATTCAATAACACGTGAAGAGTCCAAGTGAGATTAGCATGGAACTGCAACGCTCCAGATATTTCAAAGACCCAACATAATACTAAGTGATATCGGGCATATCAAAGCTTATCCAGTCATTTATCGCCTTTCCAAAATCTTCAGCCTGCAAAGGGAAGTAATCTTGCTGGTCTACCATGTTCAATTCCCCGAGTCCCGTGAATGGTTGCTCACTTAGAAAGCCAACTCTGTCCCTCTCACCTGTTGTCGTAGATGTGGGATGCAATACATTACTGCCCTCCTGCGGTGCGTACGCGAAGTGTTCCTTTCTTGCTGCCCTGTGCCCGAATAGGCCAGCGGATCCAACCGTAGCACATTCGGTTACATCTTGTTGCTGCCTGTCCTCTAAAGTGATGGTATCGTCAAACATAGATATTTCCGGGTCAAGGGAACCGGCTTTGTCATATATCAAAAGCTCCCATAATAAGTTCGCATTAATTGACCAAGATTGGTGACTAGGCACCTGCTGTTCGGTTCCTGTAGTTGTGTCGATCGCAACGCTATCTCGCAGTTGCTGCAACTTCTCAGTCTATGGAAAGAGCCAAGTCAGTCATGTTTCATTGGTCATCGGATAGGGTTGACATACCATGCACATAATACGTGGCCACACTAACGCTCCCTGCTTCAAGAACCGTAAACAAGTCTCGTATCCGCTCTGTGCCTTGTTCCTGAGAACACTATCTTCAACGAAGCTATGTTGAAGATGAATCGTTGCCACAATGACTACACAATATCACGGGATCGTTAAGCTGGAACTTTTGTTTCTCAAGAACATTCAGGAAGAAAATAACCCAGCCTGTCTCTCTAGATAAATGTTCAAATGAATGGTGTATGAACGTAAGCGGCAGCATGTGTCGGAAGTTCCTCAGCCGCAGCGACAGCAGAAATGGGTGGTTGAGCAATATGTAAGCGGTCTCATGTATAAAGTGAGTCATGAAAAATGATGTCCAGTAATCTCTTCTAGAGTTTAAGGCTTCGCAGCTCATGCCACCGAAGTTGCTGGTGGCGTATCGATACTTCAACGGGAACCGACACTCAAACTCAAGATTACGCAACATAACCAATGAATAGTCAGACTGCGGGCTCCATGGGGGAAGACTATCTGCTCCGACGCGAGCGGCTGCGTAGGCCCTGACCATATGCCAGATCTCAGCTGCTTGTGCCTTGTACGGCAAAATGCCTTGGTAGAACTCTTCACCCGCGTCTATCTCTTGCGCGATATGGGCCTTCTCATAGTGCTGAGGTTTATTCGAAAGTTGAAGAAAGGTACCTCCAGGAACAGATTTGTCCAAGTTGGGGATACGGCCTTGAAGATACTGCAAGGTTGAAATACTATGGATACATAATTGGTATTCCTCTGGATTACCCAATGATGAGCCTATAGTTAGGGCATCCTTGAGATAGGTAGCCGTAGTAAGATCAAGTCCCGCCTGAGTTGAATCACCGTCTTGGTATCTCACATTAGCACGGTCTGCGCTCCAGAGACATGGATGGCTTACTTGGTGATATTTACCTGCGAATCCAACCATACTAAGAATGCACAGACATTGTAACGTAGACAATCTGACCTTCCCATTGATAATCCGATCTGTAACTAGTTTTCGGCATGATCTCACTGTCGAGGCCACTTCCTGTCGCTTTTCGGCCTTGAAATCCCCAGGTGGGAATCGAGCTGTCAAGGCGCTAATTGCTAATTGAAGCTCTTGGTCACGAGATCCCAAGGCGCCGAGGAACTCGTCCTTCCTAAAGAGCGATATCGGCTGGTCGTGACACCATTGGAGATATAGTTCTCCGGCAAGTTCAATATCTATGCCTACTAATTCCCCTCTTGGTTGTAAAATGCTATATGCAATCAGCGTTACCCCCATAAAAGATACTTGGGTCTCTTGCGGCCTACGTTATAGTAGAATGCTCATTGTGAGCTTGGACTGGTTGATCAGGGTCGAGTAGCTGTTGTTTTGGCTGGGAAGCTGAGGACGAACCCACAGCACTTGAAGAATGATTCGGTTGAGATGTGCTACATACTGCATCAGTTTCTGCACCCTTATTACTATCTTTCAAGCTGACCTCAGCGAATTAAGAACTTGATCCAATTTCGTCTCAAGGCTATTCATTCGAGAACTCTTAATATCCGGTCAGTTATTTGTCATCAACAACCGAATTCCAATGTCATCATCTCCTCGTTGACAACAAAGGCAAAACTGTTAGATATTGAAGCTCTTAGTGTAATGCAGACATACTATATTAGGGCTTTCGGCTTCCTGGATCAAATCATATGCCAGAGGCTTATATTCGCAGGCCTGTCCGAGCCTCCGACAGAAGGAGCATACCGGCTGTTCCCCTGTACATTTGACTTTTTTGCGTCTACAGACAGTGTTTCAATTAACCTGTTAATGTTTGATAAATGAGGCTCAGCGAACCTACCGGCAAGGCACACAAGCGCGACTAGTTCTCCTCGACCTCGTGCGCTCCATGAGTGGTCATGTGGATTCATTCAGCAAATTGGCGGACCATCAGTGAATTGGTTGGAAGCGGGGAAAGAAAGAATCATGCATGAGGGCATAGACGGAGCAGATCCCGGCCGGGACCAAACCCTCTCCAGTGAAGATGGGATTAACCCGATTTGTATTCAGCCATGCATGCTAGCGAGCAAGATAAAAGGGGCTTCCGGGAACTATTCCGAGGCTGCCGAACGGGTTGACCCGTAATACGTTTCCATGGGAGATATGGAGTAGAGAAGTCCACATGATATTTGCTGTACGGTTCCAATGTGATGGGGTCTGGTTTCACAATCATTTAAGTTGCGTACCTATACGATGTTGAGGAGCAGCATCGTGTGTGTTTTGAAAGACTCATGTATTTACAACCAGAGCTCCAAACGATATTCAGGACATAGTGTTCTGTCCATGACTTACAAACTTCTCAAATAGGCCGTATTTGAACTTTAATGAGTCTTGACCAGTGGTACAAACAACTCTTCTTACTTTAGGTTGTTCTTTATCAGTTTTTCGAGTCATTGCATTAGGAGGTGTCGCATGGAGCGATTCTGTGACGATGCATCATTTCTTTCAATATTTCGTGCAAGTCCAACGTCGGCCTGCAATGGCTTCCCGGAATGCCACATGTGGAAAAAAGAAGTTTCACCTACTGCTTTTACGAAGAGGCGGATAGTGCGTGGTGAGTCCGGGAGTGGAGACTACACGGGGTTTGTTTAGACCGCAAGCGGACTTTTCTTATACCTCAACCCACCATCCCAGGGCTTGATGAGAGAAATATGGCAAGAGTAGCATTATATTAATACGCTATGAGGCCCATTATGTTCCGTTCTATCCGAAAGAGTGGATTCTGGTTCTGCGCAAATCATGCTTCGGCCCTCTGTAACTTCCTCAGCTTGGAAACCCGTGGATCATGATGAGAACATCACGGATATTCGGCAACACGATAAAGGTGATTTTAATAATCTTCCCCTCCGCAAATGGACCGCTTAGGGATATAAGCATTTGATCATTGTCGGAGTACTCCATGGGGCTATTTCGACCCCGTTGCGATGCCCATGGGGCTTTTGCGCCTGAAGCTTCACATGGTGGGGACAGGCGGACATGAAAATGGGCTCGCAAAGACATAAAGTCATTGAGTTTGCCATCGATGTTATCCTTGTGGCTCAGTCTTCCCTCGGTAGCTGGCGTTCGAGTATCCTCAAACTACATCATCATGGCACCAACAGCTCCATTTCTTGGCTTCAGGGGCTCTGCTCTACGAGCTATGCAAATAGCACTCGTCGTAGCCCCTGGATTCACAATATTCGGCTACAACCAGGCTGGAGTGGGGCCTCTGGCAACTCTAGAGAGCTGGGTTGAATTGTTTCCTCAAATCGACACTATTCATACCACTGGTTCGGCTCGGTCCACCAACTCGACAGGAAAAGGAGCTGTCATTGCTTCTTTCCAAATAGGCGCCTTGATTGGTGCTCTCTCCTGTCTCTTCATTGGAGACATTTTAGGAAGACGCAAGACAATCTTTCTCGCGGCACTATTTACTCTGATTGGACAAGTTCTGCAAGTTTCGGCATACAATCTGATCCAGTTCGTCGTCGGTCGAATCATCATCGGGATAGGCGTTGGTGAAATCAGTGTCGCAATCCCAGTTTGGCAAGCGGAATGTTCCTCGGCCCAGCATAGAGGTCGAGATGTCATCACCGCTGGTATCTTCATGTGCCTTGGGTATGCTCTCTGCAACTGGCTAGATTTCGGCTTCAGCAGAATTCCCAACTCCACGCTTGAATGGAGATTGCCCCTCGTTTTGTCAATTGCGCCTTCTTTGACCATGTTGGGAGGCATTTTCTTGCTTCCAGAGTCTCCTAGGTGGCTTGTACGGGTTAATAAAGAGTCCAAAGCCACCCAAGCACTCGCGGCCCTAAAATACCTCCCGGAGACAGACGAGGCTATCAGGACCGAGATTGCACAAATCGAGTCCTCTCTAGAGTTTTCAGCACATGGCAACACCTCTCTGTCCCAGATGTTTTCCAAGGACGACAACGAACGGCTGTTGTACAGATTCTGCTTGTGCTTTGCTCTTCAGTTCTTCCAGCAGATGTGCGGTGGTAACCTCATCAGCACCTATGCCAGTACAATCTTTGAGGAAAATCTGGCTCTTGGAAGCACACTTTCGCGAATATTAGCTTCATGTGCACTTACCTGGAAATTCCTCTGCTGTTTTATTTCCTTCTTTGCCATCGACAAGCTCGGAAGACGGGCCGTGTTTATGATCAGCGGGGCAGGAATGTCATTGTGCATGGCAGCTCTGGCTATTACAACTAGCTTTCCGTCGACAAACAAGACTGCCTCCATAGCATCGGCTACTTTCATTTTCCTCTTCAACTTATTCTACCCCATTGGCTTCTTGGGAGGAAACTTTCTCTACTGTACAGAGGTTGCCCCAGTACGACTAAGGATTGCTATGAACTCCATTTCCACCGCAAACCACTGGCTATGGAATTTTGTGGTGGTCATGGTGACACCTGTAGCCATTGACACCATCGGCTACCGCTACTATATCATGTATGCCATCATCTCAGCCATGATTCCCATTCTGGTCTTCTTCTTTTACCCAGAGACGATGAACCGGAACCTGGAGCTCTTGAACAACGTTTTCCGAGACGCGTCCAGTCCCTGGAAGATCGTGTCAATGGCAAAAAACCTACCCCAGGGCGAGCTAGCAACACTCAGCCCTGAAGGAAAAACCGGTATCAAAGTTGAGCAAAAGGAGGAAGCAGCGTGAGCATCGACTGCTAGAGTAGATTTGTATATTTTAACTCTCATGAAGAGTAAACAAGATGGAGTGAGCATAAAATGGGCCTTGTAGACTGGCTGGGTTACCCCAAAAAGTAGCTAGTTAGCATCAAGCACTTAGGAAGCTTTTCACAGCTAAAATCAGCACAATTAAGCGTATCACAGCATTTTCCCAAGTAAAGCACGTTATGAGCCCTACCAATTTCCGGATTCCATCTGTCAGTCTTGCTAAAATCTGCATTTGAGGGCCACAGGAAAACCAGCAAAGTAGCTTCAGGTGTCGTCAAGGAGAGTGTATGTAGGGGCTGAGCCTCGGAGGGAGGAAAGGGAGGACACGCCACTTCCCCGATCACGACGAGTCGAATAGAGATTGTATTTGCAGTCCTTCGAACATGGTCGCTTAACTCAGTTGGTTAGAGTGCCGTACTAATACCTTCATCCAATGTGTCTAGTAATGCGGACGTCGCCAGTTCGATCCTGGTAGTGACCATCTACTTTTGCCTGCGTCCGGTCTGGAACCAGTCTTACTTTTTTTAGGCCCCTTCGGTGATAATCCGTCATGTCAGCATTCAATTACCAATCTACAGCCGTCATCGATACGTGGATTTTTGATGTTTTCTTAGCGGCTGGGGGGGGGGAAAGTGTGTGGCTCCAAAAGGAGGTTTAATTCCGGCCAGGTGTGTCTAACGAATAAACTAAATATCAACGGCCGTAACTTTCAATAAAAATAAGATCGCTTGCTCAAGTTAAACTCAAAATCGACCCGCCCGACATAAACATAGCCGACTCCCAAGGATACCGCATCTTGACAGCATGTGATCCTGGCTGGGCAGGGGTCAGTCCCTCCCTCCCTCCTTCATTCTTCCCCCTTCTGCCCTCGGCTCTTGTGTTCGACTGGGAGCTAGAGGTGCTTTTTCTTGACGTTTCGTCGCTGCTCAAATCCCGCCTCCGCCATACATTCTCGACGACTGCACATGCCGCGGCAACACTCTGCAGAAAGGAGATGGGTTAGGGATGCCTTGTTCAGAATGGGGAAAAGGAGTGGCGTGAGAGTGTTTGCTTACCCCGAATAGTCGTTCCCACTGGAACCTTTCTAGAATGCTGAGGAATTTGACGCGGTCGTCCTCGTTCGTGATGGAGCAACCAGCAATGAACATTGGCCATATCGGTAAAGCAGCTGTTACAGGTTGACTTCCGCAGACGACCTCAACAAGGGAGAAAATCTTCTGGATATACTCGTGACGGTGCCGCCGACACGCAGGTACTATATCTGGGAAATGAAGCGAGCAGGTGTCGTCTAGAAAGATCAATGCAGCCAGCCGGTTCGCTTCCGCCGTCGCTTTTATCGTCTCGAGTCTGAGGCCGGGTGATGCATCGGCATCGGGGCTCTTTCTTATCCCTTCTTTGTCGGCTTCTATGATCGGGTTCTGGCCGGCCTCGTTCGGTGGTACCTGTACCAGGTTTTCCAGGGATGTGTTCAGCTGTCTGATCGTTTCGCTATTGCTTGTACCGCCTTCAGATGGCTTCTTCACATCAACTAGGTCACTAATACTATTGATCAGAACCAATAGCGTGTTGCTGAATCCCTGGTGAAGCTCAATCTGATCAGGGTGGAGTCCTTTGGCGAGGAGTCCTGCACCGATCTGCGTAGACCCTTGCTCTGGTTCGTGGTTAGTCCCGGCTGGCTCCAGGACAAGACGACTGAAGTGTTCTTCAGGTGAGGACACCTCAGAAGTAGCCGCAATGTCTGTTTGCCCGAGGTATCTGGATAACGCCGACCTCGAGTTGGGTATGAAACCATCGATCGAAAATGTTGCTTTAGCCATTACGGTGTGATAGACAAAGTATTGACGGCAGAATTGTATAAGTTTCATTGCGTATGGATCTTCGGATGCATCTTCAGGGCATGCGTCGAGCAGTAATGATATACCCATCAAGTGGTTCGTCCAAGAGGGCTGGCAGCGGTCAGATATCTAGAGAGGGGTCAGCCGCCATCAAATGCCGCAACAGCTATGGTATTCCCCCTTACATCGCACCAACAAAGCACTATTACCGACACCAATGCCTCGAGGTAGTTAATAAGCTGCTGGTTGACAGTCTGAAGGGATTTGGCCAGATTGGAAATAACCTCCTGGCGATGGCGCAATGATTTAGCCCGGAAGCGAGGGTCGGTGTGGGCCAGCTTCGTCGCGCTGATGGCGAGAACAGCAGAGAGTACCGTGTCAGAAAAGGAGATCATCGGAAGGACTGCAAATCGTAAGGGGTTGTACGTCTTGTCATCAAGCAGGGTTGTCCGGGTGCAGACATCGTTGTCGTAGAATCGTAGAATATAGCCATCGTAGTCGTCAAGCGGCCGTACCAGTCCGGCTGAAGACTGCACATTCAAGTTAGGTAATTTCCATTGATGGGAAAGAGACCGCTGAAGGAGCCTCAGAAGCTCTTCACTCGACAACCCGACAACTGGCTGTCTGCCAGAGTTACCGAACGAGGTTGCGTCTTCGAGTTCCCATAGGTCTCTGTTGCCACCCTCATTTCGGAGACTCAACAGCAACGCATCAGCGCTGTGATGAGTCTGCGACTGGGAGGCTGCATAAAACTCGACATCACCTATTGATGTATTGATAAAGAAGAAGCGCGCAGGACTGGGCTGTGGCGACAACGCATTGCTCGGAACCTTTTCCGAATGTCCTCGGGATGTATCCTGGCGGCGCAGCTTGCCGCTGTCTGAGGACCAGACACCCTGTCTGCCATGGCAGATTCCCCGGGCAATGGAATCTTCTACCCACTGCAGACGCACGCCATATTGGCAGGTTAAATCCAGCTTCCTGCACTTCTGACACTTGGGGCGCTGCTCTTTGATTGGAACCAGTCAGCCACCTAGACAGCACAGAAATAATGAGCAGACAAGGGGCTAAATAAAACACCAAATTACCGTCACACTTCACTCCGCGGGCGCGGCAAGACCAGCATCCGGTGCGGGTTCGTGATCCTCGCGGATTCGATTCCGATGTTGGTGGTTGGTCAGGGGCATGCAGAAGGCTCTGCATTATCACGGTGCATGTGATGGAATCTGCAAAAAGACACAACCTCAGGTAAAATAAATAATGAAACCCCCCAGGAGAAACATGAGCCCAGAGAGATCAATCACATAGCCAACTTATGAGTGTCGACCATGAGCCAAGGGAGTAGCATCCTGATGGGAAAGCAACGGAAGATATCCGAGAATGGAGATAAGGAGGGAAGAGCCATGACTCCAGAAGGCAAGACGAGCTATTACGAAGCAGATAAGATCAGTAATCACGGAAATTGCGGGGAAGTGCTTTTATCCATCGCTGGTAACGAACTCACGTAACGTCTCACCCGGCAGCCTACCCTATATCCCGGCCTCTACGGGAATACCTTACATATGAGGCTTCATCAATGGATTGTATTTCTTCCAGACTGACTTCCAAGTAAGATACGGTAGTCACAACGATTTACCTAGAAGCAACATGGATATAGATCGAAAGGTTAACAACCCTTGCACTCAAAGAGATCAAACTTTTAACGTTTAGAAACAATTGTCCTTCACAAATGATATTAGGTAGTTCTCATATCATTATTGGCAATAGCTAAGAAAAGCAGTGCCCTCTCTTTGGAACTTCAGGGAGTTATTTTACGAATAATATTGTATTGCTACATACCTTAGGATTTTTCCAAATTGAATCCCACACCCAGGCTCTAGTTAGCTAGACCTTATGTAACGCTCCAGTGGATGAATCCATCATCCAGTGCTGAGCAGGGAGAACCACCGGATTGGGATCAATTATCGGCTGGATCAAAGTCTTGTGCTCTTCGAAGTGAAACGAACGTATAAGTTGTGGTTGGATGATGGTCTGCTTTTGAGGTCTTATCTGTTCATGCACAACTGCACGCCGATGATCAACCGTGTTATCAACCGTTGGTGTCGCATCATTCTCGGGAGAATCTCTTATTAACTGTGCTTTGTCATTTGCCCGTGGGCTGCTTGTGGAGTCTTTTGAGGCGGCAATAGCTAGTCGTTGGAATTCTGTGACTATAGACTCCTCTGCTGGCTGAGTCTTCTCAGCGACGCAGGTGAGCTCGGTCTGGTCCAACTCTGAATCCTGGGAGACGGATCGAACAAGTGCTGGGTTTTTCAAAGGCGGTAGTGGTGACCGAGGTCGCAACTTCTTTCCCAAGGGCCGTACAGCGGGGTGTTCCCTGCAGCTCAAGTTTCTGGTTCGAATTTCAGATTGTAAAACCGGCTTCGATGGTGGTAAGCCTTCAAGGCGATGATCCTGGCCAGAAGAGTCTCGATTTCGGGCCAGCCCGCATTGATCCACGGCTGTGGAGTCTTGGGACGATGCCCGGTCAACAACAGGGCCCGAAAATGTCTTGGGTGCATCCTTTTTCATGGTTCAATGCCTCGTTTTGAGATTTTTCTATAGAGTTGGATGGTGTAAAAGTAGAAGAAAAAGCAGACGCGGACCGAGCAAGCTCATTCCCAGGGCAAACTCATCCTCAGGTTAGGTTCAGGTACTATGACATGTCTAGCCGTGGCGAGCATGAAGTTTACATTGCATTAGGCCATTGCGTTAGGGCAAAGGGATTTCTCATGACGTCGCCGTCCATACAATAGTGCAGCATTAGATCGAAATGTATTACAACTTCCTCCGATAATGAAAACGAATGTCATGCCTCCTGGATCTGGACTTGACTCTCCAAATTCAGCCGGCATCCCCCCTTTGGAGAACTAAGTTGAGCTAGTAGAATACTCTAATCCCCAAAATGTAACTTAGATCAGCGGCCTTCAGCTCGACCTGGGGCCAATTTCGACTGTCGATATATCACCGATTGACGGTAGGGGTCTAGCTCCGCCTGTGTTATGCCCTAACGAGAAAGGGGCATACTTCATGACGCCGACATGTCGACGGAAAAGTGGAAACGACTGCCTCATCACATTCCCGATGGCGATGATCATTCGATAGCAACCTCCGATGGCTCCGTTAAGTATGTGATTCACGGCCCTGCCGCTCCCTCCACCCACATTCCTGATACAGCTGTGGTCTGTCTGCTGGGATCGACCAATTCGATGGCTCATCCGCCGCGTGCGATAGCACCATTAGCTGTATCCAGCTGTCGAGACTCAATTCGTTAGCCCGTCGACAATCACGCCGGTCCGTTCTATCTGTGTGTGGCTGTTCTGAGAAGCTCCGAGGCTATGACGATGACGAAAAAAGTGGCTGTTCTCGGTCATAAATGGTCATGCACATGAATTCTTTCAAGACGTCATATACGTCCCTAACTATATATCCAGGCCTTCATCCTCGGTTTAGCAGATCAATTCACACACAGTCATCAGTCTCAAGATTGTAACTTAAATTCTCATTCTTACATTTCACCGTCCAAAGAAATACAATACAATGGATAAGGCAAAGCGAGTAGTGAGTGAATTCCTTCATAATGACGGAAATCACAAAACAACCGTGGACCAAAACGTCAGAGGTGCTGTCACCAACGAGCACATTCTTCCAGAAAAACATGAGCACGTCACGACCGCTGTCGACAAAGATGTTCACCAAGAACATCACCAAACTCGCATCCAGCCTGTGAAGGACAAAGAAGTTCTGTAAGTCGCATATCTGGTATGACTCCTCTGAAAGCAGTCCTAACTGGTCCAAGCCCCGAGAAGCACTCGCACAATGCTCTACCTGTAGAGGAGAGAACTGTCCAACATGGCAACCCTGACGAGCTGCACCGGACCCTCGAGAGAGATGCTGCCAAGTTCAAGGATACATCGACTACACACGATACCAGACATTCTACCACCACCAACCCGACCATGGCGGGAGAACGCGTTCATCATCATGTCCACGAACACATTCAGCCAGTCATCGAGAAAGAAACCGTCCAGCCCCACGTTGTTCACACTACTGCCCCTGTCCACGAGGTCCACCACGCTGCGCCCGTTCATCATGAGACGACAACACTCCCCACAAAGACATTGGATGAATTTACACAAGGCGTAGGTCAGTCTGGACTGGGAGCCAAGGGTACCAATGTCCTTCGAGAGTACGAAGGTTGCCCGCAACCTCACAAAGACACTCCCGGGGCTCATCGCCTCATTCACGGAGAAGGAGGGGTTGGAGCCAGCTCTGGGAAGTACGGTGAGAATCTCACTGACAACGGTGCTGGATCAAAGACCCTGCATGGGGGATATGGTGAGAACCTACCAGCTTCGACTGGACATGAGGCATACGAGAGCAAACGCAACAACGCGTCTATGAACGCCGATGCCCCTCGGACCACTCAGGTACATTCATCCCGAAGAGCAAAATCATTTACGGCTACTGACGCCTTATAGGGATCATCGGGATTCAATAGGACCAATCCTAACACCGGCAGCGCTTTTGAGGAAAACTTCTCTAGCAAACAGAATGCATCACTTGGTAATACTACTCCTCCAAAGAAAAGTCAACCATCCGTCAAGGACGTTCTCCACCCACGCAGAGATGCCGATGGCGATGGGAAGGCCGGAATTTTTGATTAGATTACCACCCCGACATCGGGTGCGGTAGCATGCTGGTGTTGGTTATGTCACCATGCCTGTCAAGATGAATCAAATTTTGAAACAAATTGAAGGATGTAAAGAGAAGAGGGACACAGCAAGGGGGAAGGGAGGAATAATATGTATTCTCTTGGATATTTTGATCACATAATTTCATATCGTGTACTATTTGCAATTGAAACTATCAATACATGAAAATGATAATACCACACGCATCTTTTCTCTTTCTCAATACTTTCAATGATTTATTGTACAAAAGAGGAACCTAACAGTTGACGTTATCAAGATAATCAAGTAGGATATCCCTTGCGCTTCCAAATTGCAAAGGATTCGGGGTTGTCACTACCGTGTATGCTTAACTAACTACATGATGGTGAGTAACAATAGCATAGAAGGAGGGATGAGGCCGGTGTTTCTTTGAGGCCGGATCACGTTTTTTCGTCTGATCTCAAGTTGGAGTTTCCATAGGCTACTTCAAGGCTGCAGAGGAATGACATGGGCCATCAGGGTCAAGGAGTTTCTCTGTAGATCAATAACGCCCTGTGAGCTAATTAGGGTTTTTATTTAAAGTGAGTGCTGCTCCCTGCGACCATAAAGCCAACTTCCTCTTTGGACACAAGGCTACTTCTTCTTCACAAATACCTGATTTGTTGCAGCATGACCTTATAAATATGGGGCGAATTGAACCTGAAATCCTGCCTGTCTATTAATGGACTGGATAATAGGGCAGCTCGGCAAGTTAGAGTGTTACACAGTCAATGGCTGGGAACATTATTGGATCCACGGCTGTTACTCCTGCCTCCTTTATCAACCGCGCGGGGTATTAGCCCGAGTTGAGAATTGAGCAAGATCGTGCTCTTGTTTGCTCCAAGGAGCACCCTCTATACTTCCTCGTCGGTGTTTACTCTATCTGGTAACCTCTCTCACCACAGAGTCCCACTTGCTGACCATGTGAGCCGATCAATCCGGCGATCTTCGTGGCGATCGATTTCCATGGAAGCTCGAATGTTGCGGGCGGCCTCATTGCGAGTCTTGGCTTTGATGGATCATGATTCCCCCTGAAGCGGAGTTCTCGGTCACTTGCGTTACAGAAGTCGTAGGGCCCCCATTGCTCAGTACGTGGACAAATCCTTTTGCGAGGCTAATTCTGGTCAGCTTATGTTGAATTGGCGGGAACATCCCTACTGGTTTTAGCTTGCATAGCCGTGCCCAGCGCCTAGTTGCAGGTTCGCCACGACAGGGATGCTCAACCAAGGCTTCCAGCAAATTAAGGAGCGGGAGCCCTACGCCATGACCAATGCCCTCCTCACCAGCATCCTCTGTGGCAGGGGTTATTGGGACTTCCGCATTCATGCCATGTAGCATTGCTAAAAAAGGCATCTGAGTGAACAGACTACGAATCCCCCCCTACGTGCATGATCATGATGCTGGGATGTTGCAACACACCAAGTAAATGGAACGTAGTATATAATAGATGCCCTATGGCCTAATACCAAGTAAATAGCTCTAGTAGGATAATTCCCTTCACTCTCAAGAGCTGCAAGACACTATCCAACACCATGTGTTCGCTCCTTTCGATATTCGGGCGGCCCGCCGCCGATGTCCTGCTGCTCAGCATGACCATCCTCTGCCTCCTCACCGGCCAGACCTACGGTATCACCAAGATCCGGGACGGTGCTGATCCAACACTTATGAAGGTTGGAGACAGCTGGTACTCGGCCGAGTCTTCCGGAGGCGGCATCTGGGTCCGCAAGGCTTCATCTATCACCGGCCTCGGCGCTTCTGACGTTGAGCGCAAGGAGGTTTGGTCTGACCCCAACGGGCTCGGCGCCGTCTGGGCCCCTGAGATCACCACCGAGGACGGCAAGACATACATCTACTTCGCTGCCGGAGAAAGTGAGAAGCACCGTATGTATGTCATCAGCGCCTCTGATCCCATAGGCAGCTACAGCGGCGAGACGAAGCTGGCCCTCCCCGACGACCGATGGGCCATCGATGGCGTATACTTCCGATTCAATAACAAGCGATGGTTCGTGTGGTCGGGATGGGCTGGCACGGAGAACATTGAGCAGAACCTGTACATTTGTGAGATGGAGAGCCCAAACAAGCCTATCGGTGCTCGATACATCATCTCGCAACCTCGCGAGTCATGGGAGCTTATTGGTAACGATAAGCCTCTTATTAACGAGGGTCCTGAAGCCATTGTTGATCCCAATGGCCAGCTTCACATTGTCTACTCAGCCAATGGCAGCTGGGGCAGCAAGTACTGTCTCGCTGATCTCCGTCTCAAGGCTGGTGGTAACCCCACCTACGTCTGGGATTGGTACAAGTCAAATGGGTGTCTCTTTGGATCTGACCAGGCTGCTATGATGAACGGTTGGGATGCTACCCTCTACGTCAACGGCCCTGGTCACCACACCTTCGCCCTGACTGATGGTGATGTCGGCAAGAGTCCAGTCACCACCGAGAAGGTTCCCTTCGTCTTCCACGCTGTCCCCAAGGGAACTGACTACTCATGGAGCAACCGCGATTGGTTCCCTGGCACCTATGTCTGGTGGGGCAAGATCACTTACAGCCGAAAGAATGTCCCAGGAGACAATGAGAACACTGGATACAGTTTTAAGTTCTTTGAATAATTACTTTGGATAGTAATATAAGTCGTCTCCAGAAACCCTCCCCTTGCAACATTTGTGTATTTCTGTGGGACAGGTCGACTCGTAAATTGGTGGCACGAATTTCCACGTAGAATAAATCGGTGGTCATAAATTTCCACGTACAATAAATCGGTGGTCATATTGGAGGCTTCAACTGCTGAATTATTGGCGTCTCAATGCTGCCAGTGCTCCCGTACTATTATAAAAATGTGGGCAAAGAACCGTTGAGGCTGTCTCTGCCCAGAAAAGGGGAATTGTCCTTCCGTTCGATTATCTAAAATCACTGTCTCAGCCCCGTAATGCGTCTGGAGGTGGAATGTATGCGTATGTCATTAGGAGGACCGAATTGTTTCAACAATTGGTTATCGAATAGTCAAAGTTACGATTGGCTAAGTGGAGTGCGGACTGATACTCGGCGAGTCAGTTTTAAAGAGCTGTCTGTCTTGGCTATCACTGCCGGCACAACTACGATTGATCCTATATGGGTAAATAACTAGCATAGAGCATTGTGTCAAGGCACATATTGCTTTCTAATGTAGCTTCATCTCATATCTCTGGAATCAGTTGTCTATATGTAATTTTGGATACCATCTAATGCGCTGACTTGAAGGAGTATCCTCTGACGAATCGATCGCGAAATTAAACATGGCAAAGCTACACTTCTCTTAGTTTTTGGGTAATACATAGACGCAAGCCAAACATATACATACTCATCTCCAGTAAGGTCATCTTCGAACCCTGTAAGGACAGAGCCGAGGTTTCGTATGATGTCTGTGTCTGTGAAGTCCTGGCTTCCTTGTATCGGGCCATGCGATAAGCACGTCGTCTGCGTTTCGAGGTTCGTTATCTTGGCTGTCTCTTGTAGAGTCCGCCGATTTCTTATCTGAGTCTGGGCCTGGGAGAATAGTTGATGTAAAAGTGACGCCCCAAAGTACGTCTTGCGTAGTTCATTGGCGACAAGCATACACAAGTCAAGGCTTTGTTGTCCTAATGTCGCTATGAGGGGCTTGCTCGATGTAGAATTCAGGAGATGAAGCTGCATGGGTGGAACGAGGGCAATGCAACTACAATTCACTTCAATCAGCATTCAGTAGTTTCGTAAAATCAAATCCGAAACTGACATAATATTCTGACATGCCATGACCATGTCTGCAGTTATCAAGGCCTCCAAAATTTTGTTAAACCCTGCAGCAGCAGCCTGGGCTTTCCGCTCTATTGATGAGTACCGCCCCTGAGACAGACTGGATGAGTGTTTCTCGGACAACCTCAGAAGATAAGGTCGATACAAGACAATTAGAACCGATCTAGACTAATGATCAGCGAAGACAGACCACAACGGGAGGAGAAAAATACTGTAAAAACAGCGTCAGATGGCAGGCGTGATAGTAAACCATAAGATCCTCAGAGCTTATGAACCAGCGCGCTTTACTATGTACTGCTGATATTCTCTTCTCGACCTCCATCACATCGGCTGTACTGGGCCTAATCTGGCGAGCTCGGTAATGCGTTGATAATATATTAGATTGAATGATTGCAAGATTTATCAACTCAACAAAGAGCTCTGATAATTCGGGCATGCGGGCTGGGAGGTACTTTTCGCGAAGTGTGTCCGGAACACCTAATGCCAACGCATCCAAATCAGCAGCGACTGGAAGTTGTGTGTCGCAATCGTCCAAGTTGATGCGCACTGGCCTGCCCATGCCAACGGAGAACCATACATCTTGATGGACGCATGACCACCAGATAAGTCGCCAGAGTCTCTGACGATGCTGCGGTATACGACTTGCCGTGGAGTGAGGGTTTCGATGTAGTCCAGCCGTCTGACTGAGACCAATAGCGACTCCGATCCAATGCCACGGGCCTGTCTTATCTTCAGTATCAGAAGAGTAAAAGCTCATCAGCAGCACAGCCTGTATCAACGTGGTTCTATCTTTTTCGTGTTGCATGTCGTATAGAGCCTACATCATAGTATGAGTTATGGTTTGGTATAGGTATGATGGTGAGCTAAACTATACCTTTGCCTTTCGATAGATTGATCGCTTCATTTCCTTTCTACTTGTGAACCCGGCTGCCTGAACTGCGTCCTCCCCCAAGAACTAAGCATGGATTAACATGGCCATTGCCAAGCTGCACCATGAGCATGTGTGAACTTACATTGCATGCCGCAAGGTACATGGACCATAACAGATGAGCACTAATCTTATCAAGTGCGGCGCTTTCATGCTTGGGAAGAAAGTCTTGAATGTCGACAATGGGAAAGAACGGATGGACGTAATGGAAGTATGCCCGAACTAAGCTATCACGTACCCGAGCTTCAGGGAACATGAATACACCCTTGCGTCGCAAGTATTCTTGATCTATCGGGTCGAGTGAGGCAAAAATACCATTTGGGAGAAGAAAGTGGCCGCTCTTATCTGCTCCTTCCGGCTCACAAATGTTTGCGACGGCGCAAACGCCTGTGGGATCACCTATTGTAGAGTTAAATTGTCAATTCCAATTTCTTTGGAGCATGGCAAGAGGTCCCTGAGTGAGGCAAGCAGGGGGGAAAGGGAACGGGTTCTCATACCATACATAGGTGTATCAGCTGGGAGAGAGTCTGTGTTCAGCGCGTCGTCCTCCTCAAAGTGGCTGAAATGCGACCGGAATGGGCGGTAATTGCTAGAGCAGGATACATCTGACCTCTTATTGCAGGCTGGCAAAGCCTCGGAAACAATGGCATTGGTGCCGTCTGAATCTCTCAATAAGTCGTCTAGTTCTCTAGTACTGTTGTTCCCGGGGACAGTACGGCGGGAGTCACTGGTTGCCGGACGTGCGTCTAGGTCTACTTCTAGTGATGGAACAAGAGTTATGGAAACATCTGCTTGGTCATGGTTGCCAAAAAGATTGAATGACCCCGGAACCGCTTGTTGCGAGGGGGTAGTCGAGGCGGATGTCCTATCGTGTGCTTGTTGAGCAGACACCGCGACAGAGAGTCCGACTCGTTTTTGTGACTTGCGAACTCGAGGCTCACATTCTTTATCATCCAATGAGCAGTTTGCGCAGGGTGGACCAGACTTGGCCAGGCTACACCTCACTTTCCGATCATGGCAGGCCTTACAAGCACCTCCGAGACGTTTGCGCGATGCTTGCCGCTTTGCTGCGGGAGAGTTTTGCCCCGACATCGTGGAATATTCAGCGAAAATGGGTTACTTGCAGGTATCCAGCCGGGCCGTAGACGTCCATTCCGCCTCGGCGATTCTATATACGAAAAGTCGGGCCTGGGTAGAGTTGTCACATGTACCGGCCCTCCAACAGTTTTTACCGAGGTAGTAAACTCACTTATTCCTGTTTCCAAGTGACCCACACTTCCCAGCTGCCGAGGAGCTCAGGCAAACCCTATACGCCCTACGAAGTTGGAAAATGATGGATAGGATAGCTTGATTCTTGGAAAACTACCAGTAGCACGCAAATGTGAACGGCAGCGTGATGGCAGTAAGTGATGGATGAGGATCTAGATGTTTCCAGTAGTTTTTCTAGGTGATATGTGCTCGTATATTTATCAAGAAACGAACTACTGAAGTCCCAGCACGTCTTGTTATTAATTTTGTTTTGCACATCAATTTTTACCGGTGCAATCCGAGATTAATGAATCGATCTCTTTGATTGCGTTTTGTGACGATCTGCACCACCACACATCACTGCGTCTTGTGGGAATCAATGCTGCTGAGTTCACTCAGAACCAACGGGATACAAGTCTTTCTTGAAGGGATACACGATAACAGAAATCATTTACAGTTTTCCAGAGACAGGGCCCTGAATCTCCAAGTCTCGGTGTGGGATGTCCAAATAGTCCCACATGTAGTGAAACCTATCACTCCCAAAGAACGGTTCCGCATTCCCCTTGCCATCGTGCACCCAGAACCACGGGCATCCAAACGCGCCAAGATCTTCAACAGCATGCTTGGTCACATCATTCAAGGCTTGCTTAATCTCTGCTGTTTGTGCAGCGCTCAGAATTTCCTCCGCCTCTTGCTTGTTGAACGCCTTAAGGAGCGCAGTCATCATGTGTTCCTGGTTTGCCAAGTCGAGATGCTCAAGCCACAATGACTCAAAGCATGACTGGAACAGATCTTCGAGTTTCTCTGGGCGCTTCATCTTGAGATATGTAAGACACCGTTGAGGCTAAGTTTGTTTGAAGTAGTATGTTAGAGCGTGAATATGTTTCTGTAGGAGGAATGTTTAGTGGCTTACCAGTAATGAGAGGATCGGGAAAAAATCGGGAGTCTCGAAGTTGAGTTTAAAATACTTTTGAGCTCGTTTACCGTCATACATGGAATAGCTCGCCTTGGCCGGGAGAGTCCATGGCGGCTTATTTCCTATTCAATCTGTTATCAATAGCAGATCTCCACGGAAGATTTCATGCACATTACCACTGCCGACGTTAATCCCACCCAGAAACACGGGAATGAATCTAGATAATCAGCACGTAAGAAATACTTGATGATTTTTGTCTTTCTCGTCTGCACCTACTCGACTTCCACGCCTTGGGTTCTAAATGCGCGTCTATTCTCGCGAAGATACGAAAACGCGTAAAAGCTGTAAGGTGAAACTGGAATCGCGTAAGCCCTCGAAGTGAAGGTCAAGATCGAGGTAGACAAATTACCGCAATCAATATACGCTTCAATCTTTCTGTCCTGCGAAGGCATGATTGCTGCCGTTATGGGGACGTTGAAGCTGCTAGAGTCGACTCTGAGCTGTTTATGATGGCCCGTCGGAGGGATTGCCCAGATGCGTTCTCTCCAAGTGTACAAGTCCGTCTTACTTGAAATAAAAATTCAATGGAGGTGCCATTGATAATGTCTGCTGGTGATTCTGATGTACAAAGTGGGTTCTTATTAGACTACTTCACTTCAACCTGGGGGTAAAATTTCCTCGGCGATTTGTAGAATTTCCTCGGCGATGGAATTTTGAGTGGACATCACACGACGATAGAAAAGTCCGAGGCACTTTAGCTCTCTTAAACAGGTAGGTAAGGTAGTATTGGTGAGTACCCCACAACTAGGAGAACCTCGGCCTTCCAGTTCCGCGGAAGGGTCATCATCCTAACAAGCCCGACCTGAAAATAAAAATAACAAAACAGGGAACGGAAAACTGAACTTCTTCTAGCAAGTTCCGCCCCCGCAACTTAGCTGAATTGACACATTACGGAACGAAGGACCACCAGAAAAGTTCTAAGATGTCTGAGCAATTGAATCCTGTCGCCCTGGTCGTTGGCGCATCTCGCGGCATTGGCCGCCAAGTTGCCATTGACCTGGCCAAAAATGGATTTAAAGGTACAGCACGCAGCTTAGCTTTGAGGCTCCGGAACTGACTTGTTTGCCAGTTGTTGTAGCAGCCAAAACCGTCAGTGATGGAAAAGAAACGACTCCTTTCCCCCCCGATCCCAACTCTAAACAGTCAACTATTACAACTGTGACCCGGGAAATCCGTGAAGCTGGTGGAGAGGCAACGGCAATCCAGGTGGATACAAGAAGTTCCGAGAGCATCAAGGACATGATTGACTCTACAGTGAGAACATACGGATCACTAGATGTGTTGATTTATAACCCAGGTGCCATTTGGTGGTCCTCAGTTGAAAAGACACCCCTGAAGCGCTTCCAGCTCCTTTCAAGCGTGAACATGGAAGGCTTATACGCTACCATTCAGGCTGCTTTTCCGCATTTCGAGCGCAATGGCTGGAAGTGCCGGGTCATAGTAGTGAGCCCTCCTATCTACTCTCGTTTTTTTAGAGGAAAGACAGCGTATGCAATGGGAAAAGTTGCAATGTCTGTACTTACCAAAGGGCTGGCTATGGACTGGAAGAGAGAAGGGAAGAATGATATGGCCATCACCAGCATTTGGCCTGCTGTGGTATGTTGTGCCATATTACTAAGAGCTTGTTAATGACACTGACGCAAGCAGGCGATTCAATCAGCTGCAACGCCTGACCCGAAGATGCTGTCAGATTTGAGAAAGCCGGTCCGTCCATTTTATTGATCAAGTAACTTGCTTCAAGGAACTGACAAACTGCCAGACAATCTTCTCGGACGCGATCTTAGAGATGCTAAGGACGCCTCCGGAAGAGATCAGCGGATGTCTGGAGCTTGATGAAGATTTCCTACGCAAAAGAGGAGTAACTGATTTCTCCAAGTACAGCGTGGTGCCTGGCACAAACCCGCGGCGGATGCTCCCAGCTACACTGCCGGTATTGACAGTGCCGGAAGAGGAGGAGGAGGGGTTTCGGGTTGATAGCACAAAGATGAAACCCAGTCTGTAGAGGCAGGATGCGGCAAGGAGCCGATATTGGTTTTTCTCAATATTCAATCAAGCTCTTGTATCACGGTGAAGCATTGCTATGAATGGTTGTCAAGACGATGGTTGTGTCCCTGAACATACCTCTAAATAAGCTAAGGTTTTCTTCCTATTAGGCACTATTGCATTCAGGAGGATTTCGTTTGAGATTGCCTTCTATGTGAGCATTCTTTTAATTGGGGAAAGTTGGCTAGCTCAAGTTTGCAATCGACGAGGGTGAATTTGAGAAGCATGTGCGCTTGATCCATCGGTATTTCCCGAAGCCGGGACCCCCGTCAGAATGATGCTCTTGTCCGTCTTCATGTAGGCTCGCATGAATTTGATCGCTTGGTCCCGGACACAACCAACTGCTGTGCTGTCGAGCACACATATATACCCTCAATTCTCGAATCGGCAGCTTGGCAGACCAGCCCTTTGGGCCTGAGAATCATCAACAAGTTCGAGGGAAAGCAAGAGATGTAATTACTTGTATATTATATCAAAATATACTATTAAACACTATTGTTTCGAGGATCGCCATTATACACGCACAGTTCAACATCGATGTGATGCCGCTCCTCTAAACCATTCCCGCATCTCCCCTGCCTCCCTTGGGGCGAACGCTCATCTCCACCGGTCTCGAGTTACGCTGGTGGGCAAACTTGCCATCCATGCCCAGCTTCTTCTCGGTGAACCACTTCCGAACCCAGATCAACCCATAGACGATGCAGAAGATGATGAGGATGGCGGCGAGGATTCCAAAAGCGTAGGCGGCGACCATCCCGCGGCCGTCACGGGTCGGGTCCAGGAACGAGTACACGTAGAAGCCCTGGGTGGCGTAGGTGAGGTAGGCGAGGCCGAGATAGGCGGCAAGCATGATCAGGACCCAGAGCAGGTGAATCCAGAGCATCGGCTCGGTTCTCGGGATGAAGATCTCGAAGAGGGCAAAGGCGCTGTTGAGCCCGTGCTGCGTGACGTTGGACCATCCGTCGATCTCGGTGTCGAACCACGGTCCGCGGAAGAGCACGACCCAGTAGACGATGGTGACCAGGAAGGGATAGGTGACAATCGTCGTGTAGAAGAGCGAGTGAAGAGCCTGGAGAAAGCGCGGGAAAGACTCAAGAGGAGAGCGTCCGCGGAGGGCATAGAAGAATGTGTGGAAGGCGGCCACCAAGAAGTAGAATGCGATGCCCCAGAAGGTCAAAATGGTGAAGTAGGAGAAGGACTGTTTTGCTTGTGTGCAGCCATCGCCATCATGCGTACATGTGTATCCAATGAGGAACAAACGGGTCACCAAGGCGTATGTTCCCTGTTTCGTGGGTTAGCGACCAACGCATTAGAGGGACAGGGACGCGGAGAAAATGGGCACGTGAACGATTTCCACTTACGATGAGGAAGCGGCAGGCAAAGAGAAGCCAAGGACTCAGCAGCCACGACGTCTCGAACCGGTGAGACGGGTCCCAGAGACCTGTGCCCAAGGCGAACGGGTTGCCACAGGACCGCATCGTTGGTGATGGCGACACGGGGAGAGGTTTGGAAGAAAGGAAGCACAGCTGCTGGGAGCGAAATTTCAGTCGTCGTCAGCACGATGTAACGATTCTGGCCGGGGCCAACCGAGGAATCACCGACCAGCCAAATTGAGCGAAGCTTCAGCCCCTTGAATGTTATCCTTCCGCTAATTTGCGCTGGTTTGAAACCTTGACTCTGGCAGGCAGCGCGACGCCCCGATGTTGCACCAGAGAAGCGGCCACGAGATCTGACCAGGAGAGAGAACCTGGAGAAGAACAGAGATCACGGGAAATTCTGTGCATTTTATCCAACATGGAGCTAATAATAACAAAGGAGCCCAAAACTCCGCCTGACAACTCGCCGCGCCAATCAACGGCCCCAGCAACGGCCAACTACCTGGTCAAGCGCAATCTTACGGACAGGGTCTATTCCCCAAGAGGCATCAGTAATACCGCCTAAACGGCGTTTCTTACCCTACATCTTGTGTCTGTTGGTCACGCTCGGAGACCTTCTTTCAATAGTCCGTGAATACGTGTCACACAGCCATTCAGCCACTGTAACCCAAAGCACGTCCGAAATGTGCTAAGAACAAAGACTGACGCTCTTTGTATGGCGGCAGAATTGAAGAGAATTCAAGCTAGAATGCAAAAAGACCACACCTATTGGCTCGGGGGCTTACGGTGACTAGCACATTAATGAAAATCTGGGCATCTAGCTTTGCAAGAGTGGGCAGTTTGTTCAAATTTTACTCATCCTGCTTCAAGGAGTAGGAAGAGCGTGCCACCTCGATGAAACTAACTATTAAATTGTACATTCTCACGTAGAATTATATGGTTCCAAAAACTTTATATTCCCCGTGGACGACTTGTCGTTTACATGTGGCGGGATTAGCATCAGTTCTTAATTCCCTTATCAAATTCTCTTCAATCAATTTCAGAGTTTAGACAAATAAAAGTAATATGTCCCGGCCTTTTTTGGAAGGAGTTTGCTGTCCATGGCCCCAATCACAACACCATCCTTAACATACCGAAACGAGTCAATGATGGGCAAGTTGTCGTACACCATCGCTGTCGAGACCACGCCGCGGAACTTGATCTCTCGTAGCTACAAGTTTCCACATTAGTTTGAGGAATCCTCACTTATGATTCTCCGGATGGGCTGTAGACTCACCCGAGCACGGCCGTAATTCTCAGCCCACACCCGCTCCCCGTTCTCGCCGTACACGACCATCGGATCAACGTCCTCCGCCGAGCGGAAGTCCTTCCCAGCCCACCTGACCTCGCCGAGCTTCTTGTGAGCCGGGTGGCCGGTGTCGAAGCTGCCCCCGACCCATGACCCGGTGAGCTGGCCTGGCGCGACGGGCTTCGCTTCGTCAAAGACTTCTGCGACTTTCTTGCCGTCCACTGGGCCGGTCTGGTTTTTCAATACATCGAATTTCTCTTCAGTTCTGTATGAATATTTTGTTAATGAAATTCACATCTAAAGTAAATGGCAGATAGTTAAAATTTACGTTTGGCCCATGGTTGCTGTTGCGCAGTGCCGAATATTTGTGGTCAGTTGATCAAGAAATGCAATTGAGATGAATCGGATGTTTATCCAGGTGGGTGGGAATGTGATTTAGTTAAGGGTTTAAGACACATGTCTTAAGTTCCGACCAAGATTCATCCATAACATGTGCTGGTTGCACGCGGTGTCTACTTGCTGTGCGAGATCCCGAAGTTTATGTACCCCGCTCCAAGAACTATCCGCAAGCTCGGATGTCTGTGTTAGCTGCTGCCATGGACGAGTAGATTTACGCAGCGAGTGTATTCAATGTTGGCGGCTGCATTGGGCCTCGGCATCTTGGTTTGTCATTCCCCAGACTCTTCTGGGGAAGTAATTTTCATTCGTCGAGTAGGAGTCGGGGTATTTCCAACTGGAATGCCTACGTAATATATAATTCCTGCGTCACAGTCGCCGGAAGCTGAAATAAAGCATCAATCACCTCAATCTATTTGGAGCTTAAGAAGAAATCAATGTCACGGAGATAATGACCTCCCACCCACAGAAGACAGGTAACCGGGCTGCCGTGTACTCGGAGCCTGGTTCTTTGAAGACAGAGATCAAAGACCTCCCTGTTCCTAGCCCAGGGCCGGGGGAGGTGCTTATACGATTGTTTGTTCCACGATGAGTTTCTTGAGTATCGGGTCAATCGCTAACCGTGTACGAGACACTATTCTGGTGTGTGCCACACAGATATCGCCTTCTGCCTCAATGAATTTCCGAACCAAGCCGCGCCAACAAAGAGGGGTGAGTTAACGGCACAAATAATGAGTATGTCTGAAGTTGACGAACAACCTTAGGCCAGGTCGGAGGTCATGAAGGTAGGGCGTCCCCCACAGTTTATTGTCCCAGCCTAACTCTAGACTGTAGGAATCGGTGAGGTCGTTGCGCTCGGCGAGGGGGTTCAATCGACTTCAGTAGGCTCCAAAGTAGGAATTCAAATCGCCGGGGATGCTTGCCTCAGTTGTGGTAAGATCGTTTCACTCACCCTCATGCCATGATTCGCGACGCTCACCGGTATATTTGTAGATGCGTGCCTCGTCGGCGGAGAAACTTCATGCTCAAGCTTAAAGATCACGGGATACTTTACCCCGGGCACGTTCCAACAATACAAAATCGCTCCCGCCAGATACGTAATGCCTATTCCGGACGGTTTGGACATGGCCGCTGCAGCACCTCTCATGTGCGCTGGAGTCACGGTCTACACGGCTCTTAAGAACTCTCAAATCCGACCTGGCGACTGGGTTGTTGTCTCTGGAGCTGGGGGTGGCCTCGGCCACTTGGGTATCCAGTATGCCAAGGCGATGGGAGGAAAAGTGATTGGAATTGACCACGGTTCCAAGCAACAGTTCTGTAGGGACCTGGGCGCCGACGAGTTTCTTGATTTTGCCCAGTTCCAGAGCAATTCCACGCTTGCCCGTCAGATCAAGAAGCTGACGGGCGGAGGAGCAAAGGTCGCGCTGGTTTGTAGCGCGAAGAGCTATCCGCAAGCATTGGGCTGGCTGGGACTTCGAGGCACGATCGCGTGCATTGCTTTGCCAGAGAAGCCGGGCTCGTTTCTGCCTGATGTTGGGACAATGATCGTTCGAGAGCTGAGGATCATCGGTGAGTATTGCGTACCTGAAGCCGACTGTCTGCCTTTGTCTGACACATGGACATCAAATGGTAGGTGCCAAATCGGGCAACAGGCTGGACATGAAGGAATGTCTCGAATTGGCAGCGCAAGGCAAGGTGAAGCCCGTCTACCAGCTGCGTAGTTTGGACGATCTTACGAAGGTGAGAACAGCTTTTGATTGATTGAACAGAATAACTATCGCTAACACAGACATGAAAGACATTCCAAGAAATGGAATCCGGCGCGATCCAAGGCAGAATTGTGATTGATCTCAAACCCCGACTGTAGGATCTCTTCTGCGGCCGATGCATTTCAATTGACTCAATTCCATCCCATTACAGGCCCAGGTAGACAAGGCCAAGACCGATGGTTGCAGGAACCATTTGCACGTAAACGATGCGCTTTCCAACAGTGGCACCGCCGTAGGCACCGGCGACAAAGACGAGACTCAGGAAGAAGAGGCGGATCTGGGTCGCGAACTCGGGCACGGGGTGGACGAGGCCCCAGATCAATCCGGCCGACAGGAAGCCGTTGTAGAGGCCCATGTTGGCGGCGAGAGCCTTGGACTGCTCGGCGAACTCGGCCGTCAGCTTGAAGGACTTGCGACCGCGCGGCGTGGTCCAGAGGAACATCTCGAGCACGAGGATGTAGCCGTGGAGGGCGGCGATGCTGCCGGTGGCGAGGGTAGAGAGGGCACCCATGGCTGAGAGACGCGAAGAGTAGAATATGAGTTGGTGATGGTCGGTTTGAGGATCTGGTCTTCAATTGTCCGCGTCGTTTGTTGTGTCTCAGGCCTTTTATTGTATTTTTGTGCGTGAGCGGTGGCGCGTGTAGGGAGACGATGGAAGCTTGGCCAAACGACGGCGCTGTTATTTATGTCTTAGCTTGAATTGATTGGAACGAAGCTGACAGAGGATTTACTCACTTATTTATGACAAGGATTTACTGCTACGGCGCGCCCGAAGGCCCAATAGCCTCAAGCAGGAAAGTGCACCGCGTTCCCCCACATTTGTCCGCAGGCCTCGGGCCATTTGATAATCAGTCCGACTCGCTGTCTGCAGCAGCATCTGGCACCGGATCGACTCAGCCCGACGCAATATCCGTCCTGTTCCACTGTCCCCCGAGAAAACAAGGAGGATGAAGCTCGTATCTGTAGACTGTGGTCCTGTGGGGGGCCGTTTGACGTGCATTTGACGGCGAGTGCCTTTCCCCGCATACACCTTCCAGGCTGAATGTGCTCTGGCACTATTAAAGATGTCCACGTTGCATCTAGGATGGATTGTTGCGCGAGCGGGCTTAGTCAAGACATAACATGACTCGCGAACCATTCAGACCCATTCTATAGATATCCCGAGGGATTTCACTTGTGAACTGGTAGTTCTATAAGTTAAAGACCTTAGCTATAGCTCACAAATGAATGAACCTTTTGAGCTTCGTCCACTCCCATAGGGATGGTATGGGATGAATCTTTTATATTGAGAATTTATGATGTCTAGGAATATATTATCCTGCAACTGAGCCTGCCCGAAGCTACTTTCTCCAGGTTCGAAAGGAGGCTATAAATGAAAATGACCTCTTGCACCGGCGCGAACCATTCAGTTATATCCTCCTCTTGGAGCCTAATCTCACATGACCTTTTCTGCTTACTGCCGCAGCGCGGCTGCTCAGCCTATAGTACATAGCAGCAACGCAGATCTCTTTGACCCCGCTCCAACTTCCCAACCTCCCATCTAGCTATCAAGGCTTCCGGGCTAGGGTGGTCACGATATAAACCAGAGAATCAAGCCTCCCACTAACCGGTAGCAACACCGTGCACCCCTTCCCTATTTGTAGGCTGTGAGACTTTGCCATCGATAACGGTTGCTGCCTCTGAGCGGTCAGGATGGAGAGCGGCGAGCGCTTCATAACGCCAGCAGATGGCGACGAAAATGATATATCCGCGATCTTAGATTGCGCGCTCCAGAATTACGATGCATATCTCGATAAGCAAGATGACCGCCAATCCCCACTCTATGGAGGAAGGATGTTGGATCTTGCCAAGTGCATTCAGCTCTACCAGAAAGTGGTAGCGCTGACAAATGAAAATGACCGAGATCATCTACTTGCTTTGAGGGGTCTTGGAGAAGCACATCTCGACATGTTTAATGAAACAGGAGACCTAGATGACGCTGACAAGTCTATCCGGAGCCAAGCTAAAGCAATGCAATTGACACTTGAGTTCGATGTCATTGGAAAGTTGGATACACGCAAAGCAATTGGAAGAACATACTATGCCAGGTTCCAGAAGTCCAAGGAAGAAGGTGACTGTGACCAAGCAATCCAGTTCTGGGAGTCTTATATAGAAAGTGGCTCTGCAGCTTTGGCTGATGGCTGCCTGGGCTCTGCCCAGATCTTTTTCAATTTCGGCTTTGGGCTTCTCGGGAAACTTTACGATCACAGAAATCTCCACCGTTGCGACGACAAGAAGGCAGACCTAATGTGGGCTATCGACCTCCTTCACCAGTCGATCAACCCACAGATGGGCGAAAATGAGTATGAAGGCCTTCATCTTTTTCACTTGGGAGGTGTATGGGGAGATATATCTCGCTACTGGTCCATCAAGTCGCAGATGGACGAAAAGCAATATCGAGGTATCGCTCTTTTTCGATTGGGAGTTGTGTGTGGAAATCGATATCTGGAAGCAGGCGATGTGGATTTTTTGAATCGATGCATCGCCTTGTATGAGGAAGCGTTGAGTCTGCTCGCTCCAGACCACCCGGATACGGTAGATCTCCTAAGGAATTTGTGTATTGCTTATCGAGACCGGGGACTTGACATGGGTTCCCTGGAGGATCATGAGCTTTCTATGCACTATGGCGAAGCTGCGGTTAAGTTGCTACCGGAGAACGAATCCTATCTGGCACAACGATTGGGTACTCTTGAGAGTGTTTATGAGGCCAAGTTCCAGACAACCCGGAATGTCAAACATCTCGGAATGTCCTTGAAATGTAAAGAGGACCTTCTTAAATTCACTCCTCCAAGCGACGACGATCACAGAGCCTGGCTGCTCCACGCCGTGGCAAGCGGGTATGCGCGCCAGTTCTCCTGGACGAAGAATATTGCTGATATAGATCACTCAATCCAACTTGATCAAGAAGCACTTGAGATTACCCCGGAAAATCACCCAGCCCGACCCGACTTTTTAATTACGCTTGGTGATGGCTACCACACCAGATTCGAGCACAACAATATGGAATTCATAGAGCAACATGATGACTCTGAGCACTTGATCGAACGAATTGATGTGGCAGATCTCGAAAAGTCAATACAACTAATGGAAGCCGCTGTGAATGAGACACCAACCCAACATAGGTGGCGTGCATATCGACTTTCCAGACTCGCCCGAGCCTATGATCAGCGATATAGCGTCACGGATGACTACTCTGACAACGATAGAGCTCTTCTGTTATATGAGCAAGGTTTATTCTGCGATTCATCCCCAGCTTACGATCGCCTGATTGCTGGTCTTGAGCTGATCAGAACATACACGCTCATATACAAGCTTTCTTCATCTAGCCGGGAGCACATGTACAAAGTTGCTTTGGCAACTATGGAAATTGTCCCTCTTGTTGCACCTCCCTCAATGAAGATTTCTGACAGGCTCATCATGCTTGAAAGTGCACAAGGGCTGGGCTCCATAGTCGCTGCAATTGGTCTGAGTTGCGGGCTGTCGCCGCTCACTGCCCTCCAACACGTTGAGCGAGGACGAGGAATTCTTTTCAAGTTTACAAATGACCTGCGGGCTGAAGAGAGCCGCCTCCGGGAAACGCACCCGGATATCGCCGACGAGCTGGCAGGTCTCCTGGCTCGAACTGAGGCCCCGCCGGCGGAGACGCTGCACCAGCGGAGCATTCGCCATCTGGCAGGGCAAAGGCTTGAGACGTTGATCTCGAAGATAGACGGACTGCCTGGTTCTGCTCTGAGTATACCGGCCATGTCCGAAGACGATCTCAGAGTTGCTGCAGAACGTGGACCTATTGTTACTATCAACTTAACCACTTTTCGGTGCGACGCGCTAATCGTGGACAGAAGCCGTACTTGGTCGCTATCACTACCCGATCACTCGCATGAGGTTCTTTTACAGTACATGGCTGGGGATCGAGGGAGCCCAGAAGTGCTTGCGTGGCTTTGGACGAATCTTCTCAAGCCGATCCTGGACGAGCTGGGCTTCACTCACGCACCAGAGGGTTGCAGCTGGCCGCATGTTTGGTGGATTCCAACGAGTATTCTTGCGAATTTCCCAATTCACGCTGCCGGGCTGTACACCGAATCATCTTATGATGGTGTTCTTGACCGAGTAATCTCCTCATACAGCAACTCTATCCATACGCTTCTTGAGATCCGCTCGCGCCAATGTCAAGTCATGAATCCGATCAGTGGCCAAAAAATTGTGCTTATCGCGATGGAGGAGACTCCAGGGCATTCCAATCTGCGATATGCTTCCCAAGAAGTTCTCCAATTGGAGAGTCTCTGCAAGGAATCCGGGCTGAATGTTAGCAAACCTCTGCCGAACCGGGAGAATGTCCTGGAAGCCTTGAATGAGTGTACGATATTTCATTTTGCCGGACATGGGCAAAGCCTCCACGGGGCGCCCATGGACAGCACTCTCTTACTGGAGGACTGGAAAACGAACCCTCTGACCGTGTCGACTCTCTGTGAGACAAATCTTGCCAAGCAAAGACCGTTTTTGGCCTACCTGTCGGCCTGCAAAACTGGTAACTTGGTTCATGGCCAGGCTGAGGGGCTTCACCTGATGGGAGCATGCCAACTTGCGGGATTTCGGCATGCAGTTGGCACGCTGTGGGAGGTGCAAGACCAGACAAGCGCAGATGCCGCTGTGGAACTGTATAAATGGATGCTAAGGGGGGGGATGACCGATGATTCGGTCAGTGAAGGTCTTCACCACGCGATAAGAAGCATCAGGAGTCGGTGGATAGAGTCCATGCAGTCAAGGGCAGCGGATTTAAAGGAATGCTCCGATCCTGCGTTGGAGAGACAGTGTCCAAGTCGTGCAGGAAGAGATATGGTCCCCGAACCAGATATGCAAGAGGCTTTTTGGATCCCCTTTATTCACTTTGGAGTTTAGATACACCACTCTAGGGCCAGGTTACTTTATATAGTATCCTCATTGGTGATTTCAATATGATGCCGTTATCTTCACTTAAGCTACTCTGAAATCTATTGGTGGGTGTACGGCAAAAATCTTCCAACGGCTGAGACAGAAAACTCTCATAGGGTCGTTTGCTAAAGCTTTCCAGCTTCTCGCGATCCGTGATACGTATGCTCGATCAACCTCGGCTGCTTGGCAGAGATGGTGCGGCCTGCTTTGGGGTGTGATAAAAGGAGTGAGTACCTTATGCTTGGATAGATGCCAAACTCAGCCACCCAGATTGAACCCCGCGGTCGATGATCGTTTTATTCTTTCCTAATTCATCTGGCATGGGGCGTCACTGACATCTCTGTCCACCCCCCGGTCATTAATCTGCATGTGGATGCTTACCCCGATGACGTCGTGATTGTTGGCATCAAGCCGCGGCAGCTGGTGATTCCTGGTGGCCTGGACCGAGGCACCCCTGCTGCGAGCTGGCTGCAGGATGCCCAGCGTTGCACCCAAGGCTCATGGTTGGCAAAGAATTCCCCGCGATTCGCATATTCCTGGGGCACAATAGCAATTCTCGATTGGTCGACTGGCCTTCTAAGTCGTCACCTAGGGTTGGGCAAGAAAGGCGGTGCACGTGGGATTGATAGCTGATATCTTCCCCGCGTTTCTGGGTGTGTGTGATGCATTGGCTGTCCGTTAATACGCCGATATGGCTCCAGTTGCCGAATATCAAGACCACTAGCCGTTGATGATATCCCCGCATTTATATGATCGTTAGGTTCATCTTCATCCCGAAGCCTCTGGCGAGCCCTCCCTGGTGATTGAACACAGCTGTGAAACAAGGTGACAAAATGAGTGTTGAGACTTCTACAAACATTGGCATCGCGCTGAATTTTGGGCTTTCACACTGTGCCAAACCGGGACCCAGACTGAGACGAAAGAGATCCCCGAGAGCTTGTTTGGTTTGTCGCAGCAGGAAAGTCCGATGCGATGTCCTCCACAAGAGTCGCCCATGCACCAATTGTACCCTTGATGGAAAGGTTTGCATTGTTCCCAGTAAGTCTATCCACGCAACCAGAACCAATTATGAACCATATTAATGGGCTTCCAGGCAAGAGACGAGGGAAGATGACGTACGGGGATGATGTAGACCAGCCTTCTCTACAACATGCCGAAGAGGCCAACGACCAAGATTTATCGATGGGACAGCACGAGTTTTCTTTCGCCGACGAAATCGATATTGATATAGGAAAGGGGCTAGACGACAACGGCCAGGCTCGCGACTCCGATGACTGGCCACAGGACGCGCTTTGTTCAACCCAATCGAATAGTACAGTGGTCGAATCTTCATTAAAAGAGGTACTTTCGAGTAACTTGAAAGGTATGACTCCGAGCTAAACTAAATTCCAACATACTAAAGCTTTCTAGAAACCCACACGGAACCTCGAAAGGACGCTGTACCCGAGGAGTTCCTGGCAATCACGACGCCCGCATCTGATGCCATGGAACTTTTTGCGGAAAGAGAAGTCAGCTATACAAGATACTCATTCATCATTTTGAATAACCTACGGAATCTCGGACCAGAAGATGTAGCGTACTTGGCATCCCAAGACTGTCTTGTCATTCCCACAGGGGAGACCCTCGATCATTTCTTGGAAATCTACTTTCTGCATGTGCACCCTCTCCTCCCAATGATCAACGAGGGCAATTTCTGGAAGTTATACTGTCATGGACCATGCGACGAAACCGACAAGATCCCGTTGGTACTATTCCAGGCTATTCTATTTGCTGCCAGTAGCGTAAGTCTTACAGATTCTGCCAGTAAACCAGGGCTGACCATAATAGTTTGTATCGGAAGAAATTGTGAAACACCTGGGATTTCCTCACACTCGAGCACTAAGGGCAGCTTTCTACAAAAGGGCAAAGGTATGCAGCGTTTTGTCCTGGATCGTTTTACTCAAATATGCTCATTCATTTCTCGCTAGCTCTTGTACAACTTTGAAACCGAGTCTTCACTGGTTCCACTGGCGCAAACAGCTCTTCTGTTGTCCTTCTGGGCTCCCAACCCCTTGTGCGGGCAAGGCGGCTTATCGGATTGTACTAAAAACTCGACCGAGGCCTGGCTGGTTCTCGCGATCCACGATGCCAGAAATGCAGGCGCCCATCTCCAAACGAGTACACCTCCTTTGGCTCCCGTGGAAAACTACAGCACAGAGCAAAAACGCCAAAATGCTCTGCGGAGATTGTGGTGGTGCTGCCTGATCCGCGACCGCATCCTTGCGCTCAACCTGCGGCGTAATATCCAGATCAAGCGGGCGTACTACGATCCCGACACTCTTTACCAAGACTTGAGCGATGAGATTCACCAATCGCGGGTCTACAATGCCGACACCAAACGCTGCACGGCCCAGGTCCTCGTACAACTTGCACGTCTGGCAACGACGCTCACGGACGTGATCCCACTCATCTACCCATCAGACGACGAGCCGAGGCGCAATTTTCAAACAGGCAAGGGAAGTTCCGCGAAGAAGTGCAAGGAGTTGCTTGATTCCTGGTACAAGTCAGCTTTTTCGGAGCTTTCAGGTCTTGCCGGTGGCGCTGACAACCTCAATCCCGTGATATTGTACACAAATTTCACATACATCTACTATTAGTAAGTTCTTTGTTCCTTCAATTAGGCGTCCGAGGAAGCAAGCTCTGAATCTTAACTAATTGACCCGTTCTTAAGCTCGGCCAAAATCGCAGTTTGCCACCATGAGGCTTTGCAGCTGGCGCTCTCCAACACCTCAGCGATACTAGATTCAATAGCTTTTGCTACGATCTGCGACAATCAACAACAACTTCGGGAAGCCATTTGCGGAGTCAGCGACTGTCTGGAAAGTCTTATTCAACTGGGCCTAGTTCGCTGGTTGCCAGTCGTAACGTAAGTCCTCCCTCCCCCTATGAAACGGAGTTGATTAACATACATGAATTACAGACTCGCCTGCCTCGCCCTCCCTCTAATGTTGCAAATTCTTGATGTCAAGATATCGTCCATGAACAGAAACACGGCTGCAGTTAAGCCCTCGAAAACTCAAGCAACCGTAAAGCAGCGACGGCTTACAGTTTTAATCGAGGCCGTACGTGTATACCACCCAAGATACGCTACCGTTGACTACATCTGCAAGACGATTCGACATGTGACGAACCTCGCGAGACTAGACGTCATGTCGAATGTGGGTGTTGATACGGGAATGGGTCAACCCGTCATCTCCGACTGGACCGACTTTTTGATCCTATCACCGGGCCATTACTTGCAGCTGTCGAATGCGCTAGACTTCAGTCTTAAAACTACTTGCTTGGCCCGAGCAGACGATATTTCAGCTGACCTGAAACTACTACTGGGCCCGGGCGCAAAGCTTCCCTGGCCTCAGGAGCCTTCATTGACATACCAACGACTTTCTCCGCCGAACACATCTGCCATCCCTGGCTACTCCTGGGATACAGATCCCGAGGAACGGCCAACCTCAGCGAGCGCTTCTTCGAAATCGCACGTCATTGAGGAACCGATCCTGGCCGAGACCTTTCCGGTTCCAACAAGTGCGGCAGATCAAGAGACGCTTTCGTGGCCGGCACCTGAACGATCCGTCTGTGAGTTGCCGCCTTCAGCCGCCATCGAACTTGGTCTGGATGCGATGGACTTTGGAGGGTTTCCGGTACTAGACCTGGGCCCAATGTGAGTTATGCGAACTTTTATATAATTGGAGGATGATGCATACGGGGTAGGATATGTTCTGTGTCCGAGGCTCTTTGGCTTGCTTCGTATAAAGTGCTGGAAAAATATTTTGAATTAATTAGATATTCAACATCGGTTCTAAATTTTATTCCTGTATCCTATCTGTTGTAAATGCTTTAACAATTTTCCTTCCTGTCTTCGCTGTTCTATCACCATGAGTGACGTCGGCTAAAATTTCCCAAATTGGTCAAGTCCAGAGGTGGCGACGGTTGACAACCGGATTGCTTATCCAGGACGAGTAGCATATTGCGAAATGATCTGATACTTGCATTGAGATTCTTATCTGGGTATTGGAAGAGGCCCGATTTCTTTTTTAGTAGGTGAGTACTTGCTCTTCAAGGACAATAACATAATATCTTGTCCCGACAGCTTTTCGTTCTTATTCATGTTCCCATGGAGTCTCGGATTTACTTCGTTTTATGAAAATAGCTGCATAATGTCGGATATTGTATTCAAATGGCCGCAACACTTGGCATTAGAGTTCTACCTCGCCATTTTCATCACTGCCAGCACATTGGCTTACTATCTGTACATACGCAACCCCTTCTCCCTATCGGCATCAGCTCCTTCAAAACAGAAGCGAGGGCTGGAAGACTATCAACAGGTTTACAACGAGATTGCTAGGAGACTGGAGGAAAACCTTGACTACGATGATGGCTCCTACGGCCCTATTTTAGTTCGATTAGCTTGGCACGCAAGCGGAACATATGACGCGAGAACGGATAGCGGAGGTAGTAACGGTGCTACTATGCGATTCCACCCAGAGTGCAGCCATGAGGCTAATAGTGGTCTCATGATTGCACAGAATTTTCTTGAGGATGTCAAAGGTATTTAATTGGGACCAATATACCACATGTCTTTTTCGCAACCCCAGCTAATAGCTTTCTATAGTAAAATTCCCGTGGATCACCTACGCCGACTTATGGATCCTTGGTGGCATAGCTGCTATACAAGAGATGAAGGGACCAATCATCCCATGGCGGCCGGGCCGTTTAGATAAAGATGCGAGCCACTGTCCTGCTGACGGACGGCTTCCTGATGCAACTAGAGGATCCAGCCACCTAAGAGATGTTTTCTATCGCATGGGGTTCAACGACCAAGAGATTGTGGCACTCTGCGGCGCCCATAGTCTTGGCCGGTGCCATGCAGACCGTCTGGGCTTCGAGGGTGCATGGACATACTCTCCCACAATATTCACCAATCAATATTACGATATGCTCTTGGGAGATCAATGGGTCCAGCGGAAGTGGGATGGGCCTCGCCAATTTCAAGGTTCAATGAGCCAGACCCTTATGATGCTTCCAAGCGACTTGGCCCTCATTGAGGATAAGGCGATGAGGACATGGGTTGAGAAGTATGCCGAGGACACGGAACTCTTCTTCAGTCATTTCCGCGAAGCAGTTACGAAGCTATTTGAATTCGGTGTGCCGTTTGCCGAGGGCATTGATAGGTGGAGCTTTCAACCTCTCTGGCAGTCATCTTAATGCAGTGTGTTGAAACCGGTCCCCTGATCCCTCTTCTCCTTTGCTTTCAGGTTTATCTCCGTTAAGCTCCATTTTTTCTTGTGTCGATATGCTGTACTGTTGATATTTAGTATTACATGATATTACCAAAGAATTCTGTTCGAGTGGCTCTCGGTTATTCCCCCCGTGACTGCTTGCAACTGCACGACGAACTGGCCGAAGTCGCCGAGTTGCACGTGGGGCACTCAGGGGAATATTCTTTCGATTTTCTGACCACCATTTGCGCTTGAACTTCAGTTTTGTGAATTGTTCTCCATTTTGAAAGGACTAAAACTACTTTTAGAGGGTCAAATGCCCGTTTCTATTGATGCCCGTGAGAGTGGTTCAGGCTCGTCAGAGCTTTTTTCCGCCTGCCGTTTTAGACCTTTCCCAGCCATCCTCTTCCAGTCTTACGCATCCTGACAATCTTGGATGCAAGTAAGAAAGCGGACCCCAATGCCAGAGATGCGCCTGCAAAACCCTGCGCCCCCTGATAGCTACCAGTCTTGTCGATTATGGTCCCAGCAATTGGCGACCCAGTCAGAACCGCGAACGAGACAACTGTGAAGACCATCCCGGTCCTCACCCCAATCTTGCTCATATCATCGCTCAGGAGGGACAGAGCAGCCGGAAAGAGACTCTGAATTCCACCGGCGAAGAATCCATAGAACACAGACCATGTATATAAGCCGCCAGGTGATTTGACCGACATCCAACAGAAGACGAGGATAGCGGTGGCGGAAGATACCGGTATCAGCATGTTGATAGCTCCAGTACGGTCGGCAAGATAGTTTGGTATAATCCGGCCTAAAAATCCCACGGCATTCGTGATCAGCAGCAGGTTGAGGGAGTCCTCGAACTGGAAGGCGGACTGAAGTGCGTTCCGAGCGAAAGAGGCAAGGTAGAAAAATCCGAAATAGACACCCCAGAATATCTGAAAGAATGTGATCAATGTTTAGTTCCCTTGATCAAAATCGAGACTGGAAACTTACTAGAAATGCCCCCAACGCATAGAAAGTATACTCCATTTCCTTGAACGCCTTGGTGTCGATGAGTGGACCACCTTTGCGTGGCTTGACCCTCGGCTTGCTAAGGACGTTCGCCACAAGTAAAAGAAACAGCTGTACCAAGGCGATTGCGCGCATGGTCCATGGAAATCCAATCTTTGGGAGCAGCTGCCGGGCCATAAGTGGGAACACAATTCCTCCCGTGACAGAACCGCAAGCACCAATTCCCACCGCAATTGACCTCTTCTTGAGAAAGTAGGTGGAGGTTATGGTCAGGGAAGGGCAGAATAGGAAACCATTTGCAATGCCTACGGACAGACCTTGAGCAAGCATGAGCTGCCAATACGTAGAACAAAACGATATTGACACACTTCCCAGGATTTGGAAAATGCTGCCTAATACAAATACAGTTCTGAAGTAGCCAGCATCTGTGAGTCGGCCAGAGATGCTGGCGCAAAAGAACATAAGGAATATCGGCAGCGTTCCAATGAAGGAGATGTCTGATGCTGTTCGATCTGGAAGAAGCGTCATGTAGTATGTCTGAAAAGTCCCGAAGCTGTTGGCCATACCCCAGCTGTTACATCCGACGGCATGGAGAGCAATACCTGTTGAAGCAATTAGCCAGACGAACCGCACGACCAGCCATTGGAACTTACATTGGGACCAAGCTGTCCACCCGCCATCCGGTGGTGGATCGTCAAGATTCGAATTACTCTCACCGGTTTCTGCCTCTGGATCGGAATTCAGAGAAGAAACGGCCCCAGATTCCGAAGATGATGAATGGCCAGGTTTCTCTGTGCCGTTGCCAAGTGTGACTTTTGAGCCTACACTCTCATAATCTGAGGCGCTCTGCTCGACATTCGACAGCTGAGGTGTTCTTTCCATGGCGGGTATGATTAATAACAGGTGCCATGAAAGCTGGAATCTAGAGAGATAGCGAGCAAACTGGAAATTTGAGGGCATAAATAAGACCAGGAGAACAGAATCAAATGCACGAGAGCGGCCTGCCTTCATATACGTCCCGCAACCAGTTACACTACTACGTGGCCGCCATGGGCCATTACCATGTCACACTGCTTATTTCTCACCATCTCCATATCTAGGCGTCTTCGGAGTCCCGAGTCTGACGATGTGAAAAATTAATCCCAGGCTGTCTTGTTAGTAATTGAAAGGGCGTGGGAGGCGCTAGTCGTGAGCGAAAAGTCAATACGCCGATTTCGCCGAGATGGAACCCACAGTTCTCCTAATTCTCCGACAAATCTTGTTTTTGCAACCTTCATTCCTACCATTACACATTCCTCCAATTCAGAACACGCCGTATACCGAGTGGCCCAGAACAACAATGTCCGTGAGGCTTGCTGCTTGCGAGCCCTGCCGACTTTCTAAGCTTGCCTGCAATCACGAACGCCCTGTTTGCTCAAGGTGTAGTTTCCGTGGGCAAGGTAGAAGTTGCACGTACAGAGATCGGCCATTCAAGCGAAGAGAGCGAAGAAATGGGACGACTCCTGGGTACAATTACCAAACTCCCTTACAGTAAATTTGACATGGTTCACTAATCCGGGTCGTTAGTGTGGGCAGAGCTTCACCGCAGAGCTCAATATCACCCCCTGAGCAACTCCTTACGACGCCGAGGCCTCATCACTATCCGAATCCTGGGTACCTCGGGCATTCTAGCCATTCAGCTATTTTCAACCAAGTGAATACAACCGATACATCTCCCGGTGGTGATCCTGGCATTCTCCCTCTAGATGTGGAGACCCCTCTGGGCACAGATGATGTATTCAAGGATCAGGATGTTGCCCACAAAGCCATCCAGGCATTGAGCCAGTTGGTTCAGATGGACGTTCCCAACATATGCGGACTATTAAATGACTGGGTCGGGCGAAATGTGAATCTTCCTCTGGCCGAACCTTTCGTGCCGGGGAGTATTGAAGCTGCGCGGGCATTTTGGGAGCTCCGTGGTCATGAGTGCGGTGGCAGTGCTCAGATATCCGACCAATGGGTAACCAGGAAAGCACGGTTCCTGCTCAGAAACAGCAGAAGGCAGATTCGACTCGAGAGAGATACCACCGTGAGTGAATACATGGCGCAGATCTTCGACGACAGCCTGCGCTGGGAAGTCCTCGGTATCTTCTTTACCGCGGCCTCTCGTGCCGCCCTGGATACGGACTCATGGCCGGGGTTGTATTCCAACTTTGAAGAGAAGCGACATTTGATCAAGGCCGTGGCCTATATAAGTGACTGCTGCCTCGAGATTTGTCTGTCTCTTGATTGCCTCAACGATCTGCAGGCAGTTCTCCAATATGAGAACTTGATTGTTCACTCACAGGTAGACGGAGACCAAAGTACGCCGATCCGCTAAGCATACCACAATTCGTACACATTCTCAAGCCATATAGACACTAATTTCGAAATGGGCAGGTTATCAATTTTGGCGCAAAATAGGCGATGCCGCAAGCACATTCTTCGCCCTCGGATTCCACGAGGTCATCGACGAAAACTCAGCTCGGATTCCTCTATTCGTGGCCGAACTACGAAGAGCCATTTCAGCTCGAACGTATTCTGCGGATAAGAAAATTTCGGTCTTCTTGGGTCGCCCTCCGCGTATTGTGAAGGCACATTGTACCTTGCAATTGCCTCGAAACATCACGGATCTGTGGAATGAAGACGCGCAAGAGTCACATTTGCGATACGTGAATACAAATATTCCTCATTCTGAGTTCACAGCCTTTGATTCACTTGAGAAGATCAACTACACCGCGGATACTCGATGTAGTAGTCTTTTCTCCGCTATCAAAGAGGAGATTATAGAGCTATTCCGAACCCGACACTCTCATGACCAAGTGGCCAAAATAAGGTAAGAGATCTCCAATGTCTAATTGTTATCTCGTATTCTAATTTTTGGGTTACTTCCATACAGTTCTCTGCAACAAGCGGTTGAAAACATTTGGCAAAGCCTACCAGTTCACTTCAAATTGTCGACCAGCCTCCGAGACAGCCCTTCCAATTCGTTCGAACGTGATTTTCTTGTCGGAACCCGTCTTGAATATTTGCACAATCTTCTCCTTCTAGACCTGATCTCTCTCAAGAATTCGACAGGCCCTAGTGAGGCTCTTCTCGCGGTCGCGGGCGAAATGTTGTCTTATTCAGTTGAGCTTATCATACTACGGCACACGCTGGTCAACTCCGGGACATCTCTAATCTGGAAGGTATGCATGTCGTTTCACCTAATTTTCTTTGATATCTGAATAACTTAGTTGGCATTAGATTTCCCAGTATGGCCTCCCAGCTGCCGCGGCCGTGTCGCTATCCCTTCTCAATCCAGCAACGATCTTCAACTCCAAGTCCAGCTCCCGCTCCAACCTCATCCAGAATCTCAGCATCTTCGTTGGGGAATTCAAGGGAAACACCTTCATCCAACCCAGTGAACCTAATTACGCACTATTCGCCCGGGCCACGAGGACAATTCAGAGCATACTTGACGCGGTGTTGTCCAGCCCGTTGCTACCATTGCAGCAACAACGGCCTGCGCCGGTATCCAACGATCCCACCACCGCTTTCACGTATTATTGGGATCCCTGGGAGTGCGAAAATGACTTCTGGGCGAACCTAGCGGAGCATCCGAATCTTCTGGGATCATGAGCCTGTTTCGTAGCGCATATGTGGTGTCGAATTATCTCCAGGTTCGGGGATTTCAGGTGATATATTTCAATATTCCCTTCACCTGAATGACCATTCATTGCACGGAGTCAAACGCTTTCTTAAGCGCCTGATAGAATGGATGATTCCCACCTCTCGTCGCGCGGAGGAATTGAAAAAACCTTTGGAGCAATTGCTCAAAGTCTGGGATGAGCGGTGCAGACGCCGGGTCAGCAACGCAGTGCTGCAATGCCATGATTACCCCCATGCCAATATCGTATATTCGTTCGATCTATAAAGCATTAGGTTAGCCAGAGAAAAATTACGGTCAAGGTTACTTGGCGGGGGCGCAACTAACGATTCCGATGCCATGGGTTGCCAGTCGATCTTCACCACAAATGTTGGCAATGTCCAGGGCCTGTCTCGCAATGTGAACCATATAAGAGGGTCTCAAGTTTTCGTGCGGAGAAGTCTCATCCAGCAAATCGTGTGTGAGGCAGGAAACCCACAATCTTGTAGTGAGCCAGAACCGCAATATACTGATGTCAATGACTTGCCCCTGGGTCAATATCTCAACCCCCTCGTGTGCAGCGCGATCCTCCAATATGCGAGCTGAAAGAATGTTTTCCGGGTCGTTGGGGTCTTCGCTGGGCGCAGCCGCACTCTCTATGCTGTTGAAAACTTGAACCGCCTGCTCGATGGTGACTTTTGTGCATGCCTGTCGGCCGGAAGAGCAGCTGGAGTTCCAGCATGAGATGACGCGTTCGTCAACGGCGCTGCATAATTTGCTGAGTCGCAGCAAACCTACCGTGGCAGAAGCCATTCGTGTGTCAAAAATGACAACGCCGGAAAGCTCTTTGACGCTTGCGGCGCGTAGCGAAACGTGGTAATTATGCAGATCCTGAAGTGGCTGGCCTGTAAAGCTGATGTAGTGATTCCGCTGAAGTGCCACTGATCTGTATTGTGCATAATATTAATGTTAGCGTCGATGATCAATTTTCCTTCATCCAAGAACTGATATCTATCGGGGTCTTCACTACCTCTCTGTAACGGAAAGCACAAGGTAGACTCGAAGTCTGTGACTGATTTGGCGGGGTGTCAAGCCCTCATACGACTCTGGACGATGTAGACCGATCAATCGACCGCATTCGACTGCTTCTCTAAGCTGTATCCACGATGAATTCTGCATGCGCAGGTTAAACAGGGTGGCAAACATGAAGAAGCTTGTGATGATGATGACGAGATTCGGATTTTCGGCAAAGTCATATGAAGCCCTCGCGCGAGCAGCCGAATGGAGCAGCTGTTTTGCCCTGGATTCTCGCGATGATATGAAGCCCAGTTCATTCTCATGAACTGGCTGCATCATCGCGAAAGCACAGAGAGAGTAGATCATTGCTCGGAACTGAACATCATGTTGGTGTCTCTGGGCCATGAGGTCGCGGCCCAGCTCGGCACGGTCAACCACTGGGACGGTGGAATACAGCCGGTCAAAGAAGACCTCAACCCAGGACATGACTTCTGCTTCGTCGAGTGTCATATAAAAACTGGGGTCTGCGGGGGGTTCTGTGTCTCGGGGTGTGGCGCTCATGTCCTCCAGTCGGCGCCAATCTCCTGGATGGTTGCGATCCGCAAGTGCCATGTTGTCACTCACAAACGGACGGCTATATTGAGGTGAATGATCTTCCAGAGGACTCGCCCACTGACTATTTCCACGATTATCCCTGATGCTAGCAGGGCTATGGCTAGAATTCGACGGTGCATAGTTGTCGACTACCGGCCGATCTGAGTCCGGCGACTCCAAAGCATAACGTTGCTCCGGGACTGTCAAGGAACTGCCAGCATCCGCGTGAGGAGTGTTTGAACTGCGCAAAGCTTGGATACGCCTTTACTCGTTGTTTCGATTAGTCCACCTAAGACACGGCACTGGACAGGGCTAGAGTGGTCAACGTACCTCCCGTTCGATGGCTTCAAAGGACGCGACCGGCTTGAGGAGCACCCCAGCCGGGATTTGGCGCATCGCGAGCAAGGCTGAAGTCCATCGCACTAAGTCACAGCCGTGTCAGTTCGCTGGCCAGTCTGATCAAATAAACACGGGGTTCCCAAAACCCACCTTGACCTTGCGATAGCTGCACTGATCGCAGGCTCTCTTAGGCCTGCCTACCGGGGCCAGGGCCCCATCACTATCGTGATCCATCGCCCCATGGAGTACCTGCGTGCGCCAAATACTTGATATGATTCAAGAAGATGACGGCGCCAGGAGGAGTATCTACACCATTCCGAGGCTCGTAGGTGTTGATGCGACGCCGGTAAAAATTTGCACGTGAATATGTATGGCTATCGCGTGACGTAGCAAATACGTGGAGGAAAACATTGCAACTGGGGCATCAAATCAAAGGCGGCCGGATTGCGAAAGGGCTAAACCGGGGGCCTGTTTTTGGAAGTGTATCCACTCAAGTGGCTGGAAAAACGTGACGCACTAAAGTCCTTTTCACATCAGGTAGGCGTAGTTTTCTTATTAAAATAATATTGAACAGAATAATAAGAAAATATTGAATTGTTCTATGATATTTAGCTGGATATTGTGTTCATCATTAGATTTGATATTGTGTCAAAATTCAACGCGAGGTTCTGGGCGTGCCATATTTTATGTCAGTCGCTTGCACTACGAACAAAGCGAACTAGCGTCCTTTCTAAGCTAGTATAGCGCTTATGGTTCTTGTGATTAGCCAATCAACGGGCTGTGTTTCGGTAGGTACCCACTGTATTTACTTGGTAGTGTTCACAAGTGCACTTCAACATTATTAAAAGCATCTGAATGTGTGAACTACATCACAGTTTTGACCATCCTCATGTTGGATTTAATTAAAAAGACAATTAGATTTTAGGAAATGCACCCGGCACTATCTAATTCCCATAAATTGAAAGAAACCAATTCGCATCTTTCACCCTTTGCATGTGTGCTCTCTACGAAAGGTCGCACCCCAAACGAGGTGCCGGATGTAGGGTAGACTCTAGTTGTGATGGCCGTCCTGCCATTGACAAATATTTCAAGAACGCTGCAATCGTAATATACGTGAAAATCAAGCGTCTCGAGCTCTTCAGTCTGTTTAGAAGAGTCCAGGAAAGTAAACAATGTATGAGGTGCGCGTTCAGGCAGACGGTTGATCCCGGGGTAGCTTGTGGATGCCGACCGGTCAACATAGAGCATCTCATTAGCGGGTTCGAAGTAAACACGCGTGGTCTCTCGGTAGTCTAATATGAAATCTCCAGGTTAGTACACGTCATACAACTATAACGATGGTGCTTGGGTAAATCAACTCACCTTGTGAATAATCTATCTCGAAGCCGCATCTAGTAGCGCTTCCGATCTTCAAAGACATCTTCATCTCCCAGCTATCGCATCCGTTGAGCAACTCAACCTGATCTGGAGCCCTGGATGTAAACACTCTTGGCTGTAGTGAATATTGAGAGCGCTGAAGATTTTGGAGTCTGGGATCTGGTAAAGCACAAAATGTGAGAATGGAGAACGTGTCGTTTTCCGTAGGCGTGGCTTGGAGCGATGTAATTTGCCTAACGTCCGTCTGGAGGGCTTTGGTTACGGAGTGAAGCTCAACCAGTCGTAGCACACGCGGTATAGAGAGGCATCCACTCCACTTTTGGCGAGCAGTAAGGTCTGGGGATAGATCTTCTTCCAAGACCCAACCAAATGCTACTTGCTCGCCTGTGACCGGATCAGGGAAACTGGCCATGGCATAATAGCACCCGTAGTCGATAATACCGCCAAATTTGAAGCCTAACTCAACACCGTTGGAAGATGGCTCTAATTGCCCACAGAGCCACATTTGGGAGTGGTCATCAATAACCTCTGATCTCTCTTTCGGTCTTGGCTTTAGACACCCCTCTACACCTAATGTCATGATATTGTGTCTTTCCCCTTTCGAGTCCGCCAAAGAGATGAGATTTGCAGTTTCGAAATTTTGACCATAGTCACCGGTCCAGGCCGAGGGGGTAAAGTTCATACCCAGGTCGCTGAGTGTGCCGATGTATGACCACTCTATGAGACGAGTCGGGTTGATCTCATAGAGAAATACTGTTGGGGTCTTGCCTCGGATGCTCCCCGCCACCAAGCCGTATAGTGATGGTGACGTCCGCCCAAGTAAGATATCGGCCTCTTTCCAGCGTGTGATGAATGGATCTCTCCATCCCAAAACACTGTGTTCCTTTGGTGGGAGACTGACAATGGCGTTGTGCTCATACCTAGTCCAGCTCCTCCCACCATCCGTTGAGGTGGCCATGTGGATAGACTCAGCTCCCAGATTATAAGGCAAGGTGTAATGGAGGGGCAGATATCGCGCAGATGTGAAGAATGCTGTCAAAGATCCATCTTTCTCTCCTCTCGGATTTGTAGGCAGCATCGAGCCGGTGAAAACACCTTCCTCACCATGAGACTCATCAGGCTCCATAGAAGGGGTTTTTTGTACGTTCCAGTGTAAAAGATCATTGGACAAAGCACAACCCCAAGACATATTTCCCCATTCATAACCCTTGGGGTTCCATTGGAAACCAGCATGATATGTTCCTGTGGCCTCATTGTAGCCGAGTGCACAAGGGTCGTTCATCCACCCATGAGGGGCCATGAGGTGGAATTTGGGTCGCCATCTGTCAAAGGCTGACCGGATCTGATGTGGGCTTTTTAACTTTGAACGCGTTTTGTTGTCATAAAAATCGAATGCTGAAGCATCCAAGGTATGGTTGAACAAGTGCGGAGTAGGAGACTCCCGAACTCTCTCCGTGGCGACGTCGCCCCTGGAGTCTGCTGTTAACATGGCGTGATGTGGAGGGTGAGACGGTTGGATTTGAAGCAGACAGATGACCTTTGCATTCATTCAAGACTATGGAGGAAATGGATATCTTATTTACTTAGGAAACACCATGCCCCGGATTTTAGGACCACGTGAACGACCCTGGGTCTGCATTAGTCACTTCTGCTTGAGGCTGGGAGCGGCATTACCGTAGCTCCACTTGTGCTCGGTGACGATTTCGGGACATGAATCGGGATACTTCTCGGTGGCGGATCCATCTTCAAGGTAACTCATTGGTTCGGTATATTTCTCGGTAAATGTCTCGGTGTGTGATTCGGGAAAGACTCGGCCTATGGCTACATCGCCTCGTCTAGAACGGTTTTGTTTTACGCTAGAGGAAGAACTTTACGGGGGCATGTCACCGTCTCCACGGTTGCCGAGTCTGGGGAAGAACTTCTCATTTCTTCATCAGTCTGCATGAAGTGAGCTGTTCTCCAGACTCCGCAATCCACGTCTTCCATCCCCATGGCACAAACTATATAAGGCGGCCCGATTCTGGACCACATCATGATTTCATCTCGACAGAGTCACTCATCTTCTTTCTTCACAGCCATCATCCATCCGACATCCCCGACATGAGTTCCCAAGAACCCAAGTCCCAATTGGAGCCGATCCAGAAGGTCGAGGGCTCTGCCACTGCCATCGAGGTTGACCATACCCATGACACCATGGCATCTGGCGCAGATTTTGACAATGAGAGCCCTTGGAACTTTTTCCTTCTCCTTTCTTGCTTCACCGTGGGCGCATCATCTGTCTTGTTTGGCTACGATGACAAGATTGTGTCTCCAGTCGCCGCCATGACGCCTTTTGTATGTCACAAGACCCGGATCTAATCTGTACATCTCTAATCAATCAATAGGTGGAGCGATTCCAAGGGGCTGATCCCAGCGTTGAAACGCCTATTCTGAGCTCCAAAAACCAAACACTGGTTTTTGCAGTGCCCCTTGTTGGTGCCATTGTTGGCGCAGTCATTGCATCACCACTGACAACCAAGTTCGGTCGCAAATGGCCCATCGTGGGTTGTTATGGCTTGTCATATGGCAGCACGTTTATGCAGACATTCGCACCCAAACTCGCTGCTTTTGTCGTCGGTAGATTCATCAACTCCATCCTTATGGCCATTGCTATGACAATCACCCCCTTGTACCTGTCTGAACTGGTACCGGCCAAGTATCGTGGACGGGCTGTGACCTCTGCTAATATTTTCAACCTGATTGCTGGCGTCATTGGAACTGTCATTGCCAACGCGACACACACCATGACTGGATATGCCTCGTACCAGATACCCATTGGAGCGCAGGCAGTCATGCCCACTTTCCTTATTCCTCTTACGGCTCTCATCCCCGAGAGCCCGCTCTGGCTTGTTACCAAAGGCCGAGATGACGAAGCCCTTGTCAATCTCACAAAGCTTCGCAAATACGGAACACAGCTAATCGCCGATGAACTTCGAATCATGAGATTAACCCACGAGCGAGGCCAGGAACTGTCGAAAGGTGCCACTTTCTGGGATCTGTTTGACAAGAACAACATCCAACGTACTCTTGTTGCCGGCTCCATGTTTTCAGTGAACCAGGTCACCGGTATTATTCTGTCCACTACATACGCCACTGTCTTTCTCACACAGCTGGGCGTTGGAAATGCTTTCCAGTTGACTATTGCCTCTTCTTGCTGCACGCTTGCTGGAACCATCATCGCCCCCTGGACTGTGGATAAGATTGGTCGTCGGCCTACTGCTCTGATCGGAATGAGCGTTCTCATGGTCATTGACTTCACATGCGGAGCTCTCGCCTTCTTCACCGATAAAAAGGCCAACGTCACTGCCATTGCTGCCCTATCCTTCATCCTGAACACATTCTGGGCCGCGTCATTCTACCCTCTCTCTCTCGCCCTTCCAGCCGAGATCCCCACCCCGCGTCTTCGTAACTTGACGTCTGCTTACACCATTGGCTGCTCCTACGTTACAGCGGTTCTTACGACGCTGGTCGTGCCCCAACTCACGTCTGCCGACGCTGCCAATCTGGGAGCCAAGACGTATTTGGTATTTGGAGGTCTGGTGGCCATTATCCTTGTATTCTACTACATCTTCCTCCCTGAGACTGCTGGCCGTACTCTGGTCGAGATCGATGAGCTTTACGAGAAGAGAGTTCCTCCCCGCAAGTGGGCTAAGCATGAGACTTCTGCCGCGTCAAAGCAGGGTGGACTCTCTCAGAAGTACGTGGAGGAGAAGGTTTAAATGGAACCAATGGGGAAGTATCCGCTTATAGCACACTGCTGGGGATCGTTGGGATGTGTCTAGATCTCCTTGTACTAAAAGAAGCAATAACAACGCCTTGAATAATTGGCAAATGAATAAATTACGTAGCCACAGACCCGTGTGATGCAGACGTGTATGAATACCATGAGCCCGAGGAAGACTCTGCTAGTCTTCCAGCAGGTCTGCTTCCGTAAGCCCGAGTTCAGCTAGAATACTGGCATTGTGATCACCAACTGCCGGCACAGCCTCCATCTTGACTTCTTCCTCGCTCGCCACGCCAGGTGGCAACAGGGCCGGAACAGGACCAATTGGAGTGTCAACTTCTGTCCATCTCCCCCTTGCTTTCAGCTGCGGGTGGTCCCAGAGCTCTTCTGCCTTGTTCATCCTGGCATTCGCAATTCGGGCTTTGTCAAGAAGAGCGAGGACTTCCTCCACCCGGTATTTGAGAAAGATGGAGCAAATGATGTCTCTTAGCGCGTCGCGATTCTCTACACGAAGCGAGTTGCTCGTGAACCGTCTGTCGTAGCTCAGTTCGGCATCTCCAATAACTTGCTCGCAGAATAGCTTCCACTCGCGCTCGTTCTGAACCCCAAGTATGATGCAATCCCCGCTTCCGGTTGGAAAGGGTCCGTAGGGATACACAGTCGCATGAGATGCTCCAGTCCGGTTCGGACCGTCTGCGCCGCCGTACGAGTAATACATCGGGAACGACATCCACTCAGCCATGCTCTCCAGCATGGAGACATCAATCGAAGCGCCCTCACCCGTCTTGCCACGCCGGAGTAGAGCGGCGAGAATGTTCTGGTGCGCGTACATGGCCGAAGCAATGTCCGCAATCGATATCCCTACCTTTGCGGGTTCCGACTCACTCCCTGTCACCGAGAGCAAGCCTACCTCGCTCTGAACCAGCAGATCGTAAGCCTTCTTATCGCTATAAGGGCCATCTGGCCCGTACCCCGAGATATTGCACACGATAAGCCCCGGGTTCTTCTCACGTAGCTTATCGAAGGACAAGCCTAGCCGTTCTGTAGCTCCTGGTACGAGATTCTGCACGAGGACGTCGGCCTTGGCGAGAAGACTCTTGAGCACCTCGAGCGACTTTGGCTTCTTGAGATCGAGAGCTAGACTCTCCTTGGACCGGTTCGTCCAGATGAAATGGGACGCCATCCCCGCGACGCGGGTATCATATTTGCGTGCGAAATCGCCATCGCCCGGCCGCTCCACCTTGATGACACGAGCGCCAAGATCGGCGAGCTGGCGGGTGCAGAAGGGGCCGGCGATGGCTTGCTCCAGGCTCACGACGGTGATGCCATCGAGAGGGAGGCTCTTTTGGTCCTTGGGCGCGTTGGTGGCGAATCCCCGTGCCTGGCCCAGACCAACATCCCCGCGTCTTAAGCTGTCTGTTGTGGGGATCCCGCTCTTTGGCTGGGGTGAGCTGGGGGCAGGAGGTAAAGTAGCGTCTTTGCAGGACCTGGAGATGAAGTAGTGTCGCTGCTGTTGCGTCGCCGCGGCTGGGACGGGGGACAGCGGGATGGCCCTGAGGGCTTTTCGGACGCTTAGGACCATAGCTGCTGGCTAGCTCATGTCTGATATCTTTGATTTGGAATGATCTGGTGAAAAGGTGAAAAGGAGCCATGTACTGAAACTGTTCAACATGGAAGCCCAACTTGCCTGATGACACCCCTTCCATCCACCCGGTGATTTCGGCTCGGACTTCGCCTGGAAGTCGGCTATTGGGCTAGTACCCGGCGAGGTTGCATTTTGCATGCACCAAGAGCTCACCGGTTTATGATCTGCATCCCTAATTGCCATATGACTTCGAATTTGGAAATCTTTGTGACCTGTCATGGATAAGCATTACTCATTCGGTGTGGTAATACTAACTGATAGATAAAACGAGAGGCTAAAAATACTGTTACTCATGCATGTCACTCTTCTAGGAAAGCCCTTGCTACCCTCCATGACATGCGACCGTTTTGAGACGAGCCGAGGCAGTGATCACAAGCATGGAGACAAGCGAGGTTTAGCCTATTCAACAAGAAAGTGCGAAGAATATGTAACACCCGTGTTGAGGTTGGAAAGAGATATATTTAAGCCCACGTTGGTATCTGTTGTCATATTGTACTTCTAGCAGTTGTGGTTGAGAAACTATATGTCTTTCGATAACACTTCATCTATCTATAGCCTGGATCTAGTGCTTGATTGCTTCAACTCCAAATGGTAGTACTGTCGAAAACTTTCCAAGCAGTGACTGTTTACCACGGTCGAGCTGATTCTCTTCGGCATTTCGCCACTGCAGATGACCTGCTTGACCAAGGTTTCTACCTTCTTCCCATTCACCGTAGTCGGTATCTCCTTCACCGGCAGCACGAATCGGGGAACATGTCGCGCGCTTAGGCCAGAGCGGATAGCGTCGCGGATGTTCTTCTCTAGAGTGGCATTGAAGTGGTGGCCTTCGCGCATTATGACAAAGAGAAAGACCGATTCGTCAGTGTCGAGCCCTTTGCGTGTTCTACCGACACAGAGGGTGGTCTCAATAGATTTGTTGAATGGGAAAGCTTCAGTGATAGCGTATACCTCAGATGACCCGAATCGTATGCCTTGAGGGTTGAGAATCCCGTCACTATTCGGTTAGTTCAAACTCGAGCGCAATGAAGTTCAATGCCGAACTTACCTTCGGCCATGAATTGTTGAGCCACCGGTCACAGGGTTGAAACTGATCCAATCGTGCTGAGCCCAGCATGGGAAATCAAACTTCTGGAAATAGCTCTCCTTATACGTCTTGTTATCCTTGTCTCCCCACATGAAGACTGGCATCGAAGGAAATGGTAGTCGACAAATCAGCTCACCAGCATCACCAAGGTCCCTTATTGATTGTCCGGTACTGGGGTCGGCTACGTCCACATCGTGGCCAAGTGCCGGCATTTGTGTTTCGCCAGGGTACACAGGACCAGTTGGGTCTGAGGCAACCCACGAAGTCGCAATATCAGTGCCCCCTGCGACGTTGGTGAGGTGAATGTTGGATGGGAACACTTTGTAGAACCAATAGTATTGGCTAGCTGATAAGTGTGCCCCCGTGGTTTGAACCATGCGCAGGGATCCGAGGTTATATTTGTCTTTCAGCATTGCTCCGTCAATCTCCAACTGTTGGAGATAGCGTGGAGATACCCCCCAGTAGTTCACCCTGTGTCTTTGTACGATTTCTAGCATCTTCTCTGGAGACGGGAACGTTGGGGAGCCATCATAGAGTACCAGTGTTGTTCCCACAGACAAATGGCCGACCATTACATTCCACAACACCCATGATGGGCTGGAGTATTGAAAGACGATATCTCCGGCCTTCAGTGAATTGTGCAACTTGCCTACTTTCTGGTGTTGGAGGATAAGTCCATGATGGTGAACCAGGCATTTCGGAGGACCCGATGTTCCGCTGGAATACAATATGTATAGCGGAGAGGAGAACGGAAGGCGCTTGAAATCGAGCCTGTCCCTCTTACTGGACCTCGAAAGAAATTCTGATATAGTTAAAAATGAATGTTTTGGTGTTCGTTGAAGCTCAATAAGGACAGCCAGAGGCTTATGGCTCAGCCGGGACAGAATGGAAGATATTTTGTCCAGATTTGCCCGCTGATTGCCTTTGTATGTGACGTGGCTATCCGCGAAAACAATAGATGGCCCGACTAGTTCTAGCCGAGATGCGCATCCCTTGTGATGAGAGCAATTAGATCAGGCGATGATTCATAGGTTGAAGATGAATGAAGAACTCACCTCGACTCCAAAGTCAGAGGCGATGGATGTGAATATTGCCCCCAAACTTGCAGCGGCTAGAAAGATTGTGACGGACCAAATTGATGTTGAAATGATTGCAGCAACCCGATCACCCTCTCGAATGCCACTTCTGACCAGAGCGCTACGAGCTTCTCGAACCCTTTCGCGCAACTCGGACCAAGTCCATTGCTCCCCTTCCAAACTCTGGCCCTCGCGGATTCCAATCAATGCTATTGAATGGGGCGAGATGTGAGGCTGATTGAGCACATTCTCAGCGTAGTTGACATGAACACCCTCAAAGAATGGAGGTATTTCATCTATGGGGATGGCGGGATCATATGCTCTCGTCAATCCGTTAGGCAATTCCGGTACGATCTTAAGGTAGGACCAGAGGTCAATCCAAAACTCATGAGGTGAGGAGATAGACCACTTCTGAAGTTGCCGGGTATTTTTTAAATCAAGATGGAATTTTTGGTTGACGTGGTGACGATACCTGTTCATCGGGATGGTGGCCTCTGGCGTTACCCATGGGCGCCAGACTGGCTCCAAATCCCGAGAAGGCTCCTTGGAGTTGCTCTTTGCGCTCATCTTTAGCGTAATAATGCAGTGATGGAGATTGATGATAATACGGGCGAGGGCGCACGAGGGCTTTTGATAGGTGTTGGATACACACTCGGTGATTCTTATCCGATGGAATGGATCAACATCCACCCCGCCCTGTGAATGAAGGGTAGCACTCTTACCCCTCAGGTTCAGGTAAGAAGCCGAATCGAATACCCCCGAAAAAGAGATACCCGAATTTTCGCAATTCATGCTGTCAATCAAGTTTCAGACTTTTGACTCGCGTTTCCGTCGTTGTAAACCTGTCTTATAATATAGAGAGACTAGGCACGTTATTTTTCTATGTGCATCTTATAAATATCCAGACTGGATGCCATCCACAAAGATGAGTAGATAATATTAAGCTAGATTCAGTCGTGAGAATTATGAATTTTTCTGAACTAAGGTATTCAAAACAGACTGATTTTCTTCTATGGTCTCTGACAGCCTCACCACTGTTATCATTTGTCCCGTGCTATGGTAGTGTTTTTGAAATCACTCTTCTTTGCTATGAAGTTGATACAATCTAATTTGAATTTTACTAAGCTTTAGGCTATATCTTCTTCATATACTAAGTAGATATAAACCTCTTTGTACTATAACCTTCCTCCGCTTAAAACATTTGCCTACCTATGCTCAGTTGACGAGGTTGTTGAAATTCGTGGCAAGGTTCATTTCCAATCAAGCGACCTAGCTGCGATTTTGTGTTGGTGCGTACGCCTGAGTCCCACCTGTGGCATGATTATGGAGGTCGGCTTTTAGTTATGATTGGCTGACCACTCATCAATAGAATGTAATATTTATGTGACCTTATGCTGTAAGCTGATGTGTGAGGCGAAGCGTTGAGCGGCCACTTGGATGCCTGATATTAATGCCTAACGGAGAGGGGACATCGCCCTTTTCTCTCCTTAATACTAATGCCACTTCTATTTGTCAGTCTCACCTCTAAATTGAACCTCTCTATTCATCATTTACCAACTCGAGCAGTTTATTCCCTTAGACGACTGACTCTTGAATATGAGCTCCGTCGACGATTCCACGTCATCTCGCATGGCAAGCCAGGCCCATCGAACTGGCTATCATGCAATTCTGATAGGGATCAATTGGTATCCTGAGAACTCTCTGCAGGGCGCCGTACGAGACGTCCAAGAGCTCAAAGCCCATCTTGAAATGGAAATTGAGGCAGTTAACTTGCATGTACTCACCGCTACCGTGGACGACTTGGACCCGACCAAGCCTGTTGAAGACCCGGAGTACTTACCCACTTGCTCGAACATTATTCGTGATTTCCGTGCAGTGACTGAGAATGCAAGACCTGGCGATCGAGTCTATGTTCATTATTCCGGCCACGGGACACGGGACGTGAAAAGCGGTCGTCTACTATTGGCAGTCTGCGGTCCATACATCACGAGCATTCTTCTGGCTGCTTGCATCAATACAATGGTGGTGAAGGGACTTGTCGTAACCCTGGTCATGGACTGCTGCTTCTCGGCTTCAGTTCAGCGCGGGCCCCGCGTACGCTTTATATCATACGACCCAGCACTTGGCGAAGCCGCTGAGATCGCCCAAGAAGAAGAACTCAGATCTTGGATTGGTAGATCTGGTATTCGAGACGCAAAAAAATCCTTTGAAGAGTTTTTCATTAAGGATTCTAAGAAACATGCCATCTTAGTCGCCTGCGGGGACGACGAAAAGGCTTGTGAGGTGCAGCTTCCTGACGATTCATACCATGGAAAGCTTTCTTGGTTTATTCTCAACATTCTGAAGGCCGAGAATGGTCTTTCGGGAAGCCTCCGCGACATATTCGCACGTTTGCACTTCGACTTTCGATACAGCAGTCCTCCTCAACGCCCCGTATTATATGGGAACGAAGGTCAGACCTTTTTCAGAGAAGCATCAATGTCTCGGACTAGTCATCAAAATCCCTTGTATTTCCAAGTCGACAAAAGTGAGAACGGGAGATTGACATTGTGGGCTGGTAAGGCTCATGGCATCAACGACGGAGATCAATTTGCATTGCTCCCTTCGAGTTCGACAGCAGTTCTGATGCCACCAAATCCAATTATGGCTCGAGTTTGTGGAAACTCATCATTTAGATCGAACCTGGAAATTCCAGACCCGACAAGCGTTGAGACCGAAGACGAGTGGAAGGCAACTGCACTGTCCCAGCTCGCGCTTCGGCAACTTCGCCTAAAGCTGGGAGCCAACTTGCGCAATAAAGCGACCTGGATCAATTGTCTCCACGAAAGATATTTGGAGGGCTTCACGGAACCTCATAGAAACGACTTTACCTTCCAAGTCGACCTTGCTAGCAGCCGATTTCGTGTGACGGACTCCCGTGGTCAAGAGCTGTTGAACATCCCAAATGTAGAGGACTCGGAAACCAGCATCATCCAAATGTGCGATATCCTCAGGCATCTGATCCGATATCAATTTGTGAAAGACTTATGCAACTTAGAGCCAGCCAGAGATTTTGATAAGTCCATTGAGGTTTATTTATCTGTGCAGGGGAAGCGATCAGATGAAACACGGATAATACCTATAAAAGAGGGAGCAAAGATCACTATGAACATTACTAATGAGCTCGAAAATGATGTATATGTTTCGATCTACAATCTCGGCCCTCAGTGGCAGATTATCAATGTATGTCGTGAATCTTACGACAAGGTCCCTGGCCGGGGTCGCTTGAACAAGTCGTTCACAATGAAGATCCCTCTTATTATGAAGAATAATGGACATCAGGAATGCCATGACGTTTTGAAAGTTTGGGTTACCTCTAAACCAACCTCGATGTACAACTTACGGCTGCCGAAGCTGAACGAGTTCCCGGGAACGGATGGATCTGCTGTGGTGAGAAGTTCTAACGACGGTAAGAGTGAAAATTGGACGGTTAGGAACTTTCAGCTTTGTACCAGATCAAACAACATTTCCGAACCCAGCCAAGCCTGATGGTAGTAGGATTTGAGGAGAGCCAATATCTATTTCGCTAGATTCCAGCTCTAAACGTTAATAGAATCTAAATGAGATATTAGCTAGATACCAACAATGTTTAGCCGCACACATCATGATTGGCTTATGGCGATGTTATAAGCCAAAATGGACGTATGGAACCCAATCTGCTGGGCTAAGAACTTCATCACAACTTTCGACGTCCCTAGATCTCCCGTCTTCTAGACTGTCCTTCCAATTTGCATTCACTTGCCTCATCCTAACGAGATTCACTGCGCCTCTTGCAGCATTTTCCACCACCCATCGGTTTCGAAGATGTCGAGTTGCGTGATGAAGACCTTCGCTGGGCGAGACGTTTGTCATACCTTTGCTGAGCATCCATTTATACACTTCGACAGCTACATCAACGCACAGACTATCATTCACCTCCCACAACGTACCAATGACATGTTGAAATCCAGCGATTTGGCATGCGCTCATCAAGTGGAGGCCCTCATTGACAAGTGTGTTGTGCTTCATCCTTCCGGTGCCACACGCTGAAAGGTACGCAAGAAACGGTTTGCGGGAGGATAAATTAGTCTCAAGAAGATGGGCCACTGTTAAAGGGTCATCTCTCCAGTCTTTCAGGAGTAGACAGCTCTTTGTTGGATCCATTATGTCCGTTTGTCCATGCCCGGCGAAATGGAATACCTCGCAGTGGCGCAACGCAGAGAGGACACCGTCTCGATACGGCCGAGGCTTGTCAACCCGCAGAGTTTCCTGACAGAGGCTCGATACTTTTTCGATCTCAGTATTGACAAAATCAAGGTCGTCCTGGAGGGGCGTCTTCTGCATAGGCACAAGCACGATCTTTTCTTGACCAGACATATTTATTTTGTTGGCCGAGGTCTTCCGGGCAAGGATGATTGCTTTCACTGAAACACTGTAGGATGATATGACTCTATCGAGGACTGATTCTGAGCCGTCAGGGAAGTGGTAGCCTGCTGCATGAAGAGGGAACTTGGTGAGTAGTCCTGAAAGCACCCACCAAATACGGGGCCAACTGCTCGTTGTAGGAGTTTTGTTGTAACCTAAATCTTCAAGGACGGGCCTGGCTATGGCCGTCCAGAGCCACTCGAGTAAATCATTATCGGCCAAGTTAGAATCTGCACGAGTCTGGATGTCATTGCTGCAGAGATCAGGTAGCGGTAGACTCTTAATCTGGTTGTGCCGGATAATCAACGCATCACATCCAAATTCGCTTACGTTGATCATCACGATAGGACCCTGATCCGCAGCGGTTTTCAACTCTTCTGCCGATGGAGCTAGAAGAAAATGGTCTTGATTAGGCAAGGCCCGAATCTCCTGAATGAGCTGCTCAAACTTTTGGGCCGCATCGTAGCGTGTATCAGCTGAAGAGGCAGCAGAGACCCGGGAAGAGTCGATTTGGTCTCGGAGCCGCACAAATTTATCTGCATGCTCGGGATATTCCCGCCGAAGGTCTGATACATCACTGCGAATCTCGCTGAGCGACCCAGAAATGACCCCACGACCCATCTCGAGCAACTCTATTACGTCGAAAGGTGACCTCCCAGCATTCAATGCTACGGCTGCAGCATCACAGGATAGCTGGCCGGCAATATCCAGCAAATACTGTTTGTCCAAGTTCTCAAGGAAGCGAGGTGTGAGTTGAGGAACAAGGAGAACAGTCATGTGGGCGACCTCGTACGCCTCTTCCCAGAGCTTCATCCCGGCCAGCACACCCAATAAGCTAACTCCAGGACCCATGCGATGCCGTATTGGAGAGCTCCGATGATGCAGCGCCTCCCGAGATATTTTAATTGCCTTTTGTAAATCTGCGGTGGCTCGTGTCTGGCTGTGAGCTTCACCATAAGCGAGGGCTAGCCGCCGAAGACGGTCTGCCCGTTCTGGATGATGGGCCGGGGTCGCATCGACGGAGTCCTCGAATTTTTGAATAAACTCCATTAAATCCGCTTCCGAATTAAAGACTCTGTATCTGTCTTGTATTGCGGAGCCAAGATTTCGACATTGCTGCGCATGGTCGTGATGGCCTCTTGGTGTCAAATCGGTCGCTTCCCTAGCCAGTGCAATGCATCGATCTATATCTTCGGTACATCTGGTTCGCATAAATCTTTCCGAATACGCAGCACTCACGTTTGAGAGATTCTGTGGGCGATCAGGGTGTCCCAGTGGTGTCAGGCTTAGAGCCGTTTCGAACAGCCGCATAGACTCTTCCAGATCTTGTAAGTCTCTGCTCCTTCCGTACTTATTGAAGTAACAGGCACCCATATTCATTGAAATATCAGCTTGGAATCTCTTTCCAACAGCAGCGGGTGAGTTTAGGCCTTTCTCATAGTGTTGAATTGCGACTTCCAAATCACAAATTGCCATGAAATTTTCATATCGGGTAACGTGTGCAGTGGCCAGACTTTGTAGCGCGCTGAGCCAATCTGCGCTACCATCCAGATGTGACTCTACTGCATTTTGAAGATGCCTCAATCCCTGTTCCAAATCGGATTGTTTTCCTTGATCTTCGAATCTCATCATATGGCTGTCGCCCAGAGCTTTGAGAAAGGATGCCCGCTTTACATCGTCCGTTTGCGTAATTTCTAGCGCCTGGTGGCAAAATTCCATGGCTTTCTCAATATCTGTTGAGGCTCCAGTTTTCTGATATAGATCTAAATAACGGTTTCTAATGTTGTGGAGCGCGATTGCTCTCTCTGCAGAATCTGATGGTGTTATGTCTGCAGCTTCGCGAAGGAGGTTAAGGCTTCTTTCAGTGTCTCTATTATCCCCCTTTATAGCATATCTCTCATCCAAAACGACCGAAAGAGCATTGAGTCGACGGGCTCTACCAGAATTTGTTGTCTCAATTGCAATGCTCTCTTCAAGCACCTCCACAGCATCGTCAAGGTCTTCCGGCTTCTGCTCGACAAGAAAGCGAAGATATAGTGCAGCTCCAACGTTATGCAGTCGGTGACCACGAGCTAAGTGACCTTGAGGGGATAATTCCAAGCCTTTATGGAAATGTTCAAGTGCCTTGTCTAGATCTGCCAATCTGGATTCTCTTTCGTACCTCTCCACGTATCCAAGGCCAAGTTGTTGAACAAGCTCAGAGTAGTCGGGATCATCCACTGACCAAGCCCACAGAGCCTCTTCAAGGTATTTAACAGAATTATTTAGATCAACAAGGGACTTTGTCTTGTCGTAGCGACTCCTGTACGCGTTACCGAGGCTCTGAAGCTGCTCAGCTCTTATTGGAGACTCAGGTTTCATTCCTATCATGGTCTTTTCAAGACGGTTGATAGAACCAGTGAGGTCCTCTAGGCTTTCACCTTGGGGCTCATTTCTTGATCTTGAATGCTTTATCTCGGCCCCTAGATAAGACGGGCTTTCTGGGATATGATCCCTAGGCACTCCCTCGTCTAAGGTCCGCTGTTCTTCATTCATCGCTTTTGCTGTCTCGATATATAATTTCACTAGTTTGAGGCAGCCGTTTCAAGGTCGCTGACACGGCTTCGAAAATATGCCGATGATCATGCAAGATGACTTTTAACCCCGCTCCTGGAGATTGACCCATTATGGTTGTTATCAATTATTGATGTCACACGTGACATGGCAGTAAGTAACAGTACAAGACACGAGTGTCCTTAATGGGTTTTGTATTATCTTTGATCCAGTATGAGGCGGACGTGAGGCGGACGTGAGGCGGACGTGAGGCGAAGCTCGTTGGGCATAGATGCATCAACATGTGGAGAGTATATTGGTATACCAAGCCCGTATTTCGGATTACGGTTACACGATCAGCATATTTAGGCAGCAGTAGCATGTACCACTGCCTCGATTATTTATCGCACGACCAGCCGCAGTCTAATCCAGTCTCTTCGATCAACATCCCGCATCACTTCTCATCGCTTAGGCAGTCTAGCATTGATTTCGACGCGGGGTTGCCACTATACCCAAGCCACAGTCGAGCAAGTATGTTTTGCCCTTTCATCACTATACCATTCTTCATTCGGGTCTAACTGCCCAAAAGCATGGCGTCCCCCGCATACACAGACGCTGGTGATCGCCCGAGTATCGCACCGTCAGGAGTCTGGCTCCCTACAAGTCCTCTCAAACCACTCTTACTTACTGAGATGCATGCAGGACGTGAGCTTTCGCGCAGGCCAGCGAGTATTCCTCGTCGACCACACTGGCGTTCAAGGACCATATTACGTTTCGACGGCCGAGAGTAACGGAAAATGCATTCTGAGTAATGAGGATGGAACTTTGGTAAACAACGGATTGCAGGTAGAGACATCTAAGCTGCAGCTTGCGTGATGACTCTTGAACTCAGCGCGAAGGGGATAACTGATATGCGATGGTTGAAACGCTGCCTGTGAGAATAGCATGAGACCCCTCCAAGCGCCTAGTAGGTTGAGATAAGACTGAATAATGTAATTTTTCTCCTTTAAGCATCTTGAAATTATCCTAGCGAAACCTCCCTTATATTTGAGATTTAGAAATATGTAGAGTATAAAATTTAGATACGTGCCGCAGTCATGGTGGCATGTACATACCTACATACCTAAACAACGTTGCTGACTACCCTACAGGATGGTAAAAACGCAGTAATGAATTTCCTGCTATGTAGTCAATTGGAAAAGGGTCAAAAACCAAGGATGTACCTTATTACTGTAGGCACTAGTAAAGTGACATCCCGCCATTTGCATATCTCGGATCCATAGCCTACAAGAGATAGGTATGTCATGTCACTAGCTCTTATCGGATTGCCGATGTCTGAACACTTTAAGCGATGTACATATTGTACCGCCGTTTGGAAACATCAACAGTGGTGCGGTAAATCTGGGCAGTGACAGGGTGATGCATCAGCAATGTAACTGTTTCAGCCAAGATCGACAAAGGGTTACATCTCGTATGTCCAGGCTTAGCGGCCCTGATCCTTGGGGTCCTTTGGCACCTAAATGGTCCCTTTGGTAGTCCACAGATCACGCAGATGACGGAATATGATGGAGGGGATTGACCTGGTCTTTATTCGGCGGTGTGTTATTTCACATGGCGTATCACTCCGACGCTTTTTAGGATGTTTCCAACTCTGGACCTCGCCCCGCGGATATTGTGTACCATCTGGCGGTGCCATTCGGATTGGAATTTGCTATTTCGTTCACGGCACTGAAACGGTGTGTGTTACAAGTGGCATAGACAATAGATCGCTTTACTACTGGCAGAGCGAGCCAATCCAGTTGAGAATCGAGAAAATAAAGTTGTGTCTGCCGGGTGCGTGGCAAGTCCTCGGCACTTTGTCGTATTGCCTTTAAGGGTATCGTTTGAACAATGGAGCTAGGCGAGGGGTGTGGGCCATGATGTCTCCGGAGAAGCTGTCCAGTCCCACCGAGTGGCGAGCATGTCCAGCCAGAGTCGTAGCAGTCAAATCCGATGTCATGACCTCCTGCCGTAAGTAAGACTAGGAGAAGATGACCGGGACACTCTACGGGTAGGTGCCAATAAAGTACCTTTCGGGGAGAAACTCCCAGGCTGCTTATGCCGGGAGCCTGATACACCTAATCCCAACGGGGCAGGTAAGTGCCGAGTTTGCTTGGCAATGAATGACCAAGTCAGAAGAACTTGGGCTCATGTACAACTGCTCTACTGCGGCCATGGCTGTATCAAGAAGGTGGCGTGTTCCGCTGCCAGTGGCTTTGTACCTTTCGTAGTGCTCATTCCCTCATTACTTGGGAATTCGGCAGGTCGCGTTGCGTTATCAGCTAAAAGGCGCACTTTCAAAAAGTTCCAGTGTAACTCGACGCATTAATACTATGGCTGAAAGAAGCAAGTACCAAACAGATCGCACAATGAGGGTTTGTTAGCACGCCGTTAAACCCCTCCCAAAGTCTAGGCCACCATCGCTCTCTGTCTCAAAGTATAAAAACCTGGCCGCCCATCCAAGACTTTTGGGCTGTTGATTTCCACTCAGTGCTTTGGAATAGCTTCCTTGTACCCATTGATACCCACAGACTGTACAGATTACACCACCATGAAGGTGTTTGCCACTCTCGCAGCTCTGCTGCCTCTTGTGGCCGCCAAGGTCACGTATGAAGGTTACCAGGTGTTTCGTGTGGAAAGCCATGACTCGTACCCGGCTATTGAAACCGCTTTAGCAGACCTTGGCTCCATCACTCTCCATATTGATGGGGCCTATAGCGCTGTCAATGTCGCTATTGCTCCCGAGAAGCTTGAGGATTTCCATGCTCTCGGACTTGATGCTACATTGATAGAGGAGGATCTTGCCTCAACATTTGAGGAGGAGAAGTTCGAGGTTTACGAGTGTGAGTAACCTTTGCCTTCGGCTACTTCTTTTGAAACTTCTCTGACAAATTCCTACCGCCAGCTACGCTCAAGACTAAGGACACTATTGCTGCCATCCCTCCTATTTCCTATTTCAATGCGTATCACACTTTCGCCGAGCACGGGACATTCCTGTCCGATTTGCAATCAGCGTTCCCAAGCAACTCGGAGGTCTTCACAGTTGGCAACTCGTTCGAAGGCCGCGCTATCCGAGGCATCCACCTCTGGGGAAGTGGAGGCAAAGGCTCGAAGCCCGCCATCGTGTGGCACGGCACAGTCCATGCCCGTGAATGGATTACTACCACGGTAAAGAAGCCCCTTTATCGTATAGTTTGACAGGTTGCTAACTTTATGTATAGACTGTTGAGTATCTTGCATACAAGATTGTCGAGGAGTATCTGGCCTCGGAATCCACTGTTGTCACCGCATTAAACAACTATGACTTCTACATTATTCCTGTTGTCAATCCTGATGGTGAGAACTTTGATAACATACAAGCCTCTGTCATTGAACAGGGAGTGTACTGATACTATTGTCTAGGTTTTGTTTATACCCAAACCACTGAAAGACTTTGGCGCAAGAACAGACAAACTCGATCTGGAGTGTCCTGTGTCGGCACTGACATCAACCGAAACTGGCCTTACCAATGGACTGGCTCCGGTTCTTCAACCAACGCCTGTGCTGAAACCTACCGCGGTCTCGCACAAGGCGACACACCCGAGAACAAGGCTCTTGTCTCCCATCTGACAACCCTATCATCCGGCAAGGGCATCAAATTCTACAACGACTGGCACTCCTACAGCCAGCTTATCCTTCTGCCATTTGGATACAGCTGCTCTGCTCGCGCTACTAACCATGCAACCCAAATGGCCGCTGCCGGTAGTGTCGCGACCGCCATCCGCGGCGTGAACGGCCTCAGCTTCACCTATGGCCCTACCTGTTCCACGATTTACCAGGCCAACGGTGGTAGCTTGGACTGGGCCTACGCTGTTGCTGGTGCCGAGTACTCGTGGTCTATTGAACTGCGCCCCAGTTCGTCCGCCAGCAATGGCTTCGTTCTCGCTGCTTCTCACATTGTACCATCTGGTGCAGAGCAATGGGCAGGCATCAAGAAGTTCTTCACCCTCATTTGAAAGAAAATTAAGATAGAGCGCAAAATCAAAAGCTCCACGTTATTTTCAGTGCGGTCCTAAATTCATACGGGTCTAGTGATAGTAAAACCTGCTCTAATGTGAAAGATCCTCTGAAAATGTAAACTTCAATATCTATTTTATGCCTTCATCTGGTATTTGAAACTAAAACTCTTCACCAGACTGAAATCTTTACATACGTCCTTTTCACGCTGAAATCCCATCATTTATTTTTCCATAGTTGACAACTCTTTAATGAAAGCTTCATTTATGGAGCTGAAGACTCAATAGCCGGTGTTTTTCACAACCAAACTTCAAACAACTCAACGCATCTGGATTTCTTTTGAGAAAATCACCACTTCCTCTAACCTGGTCTCTTGAGTGGGAAGACATGTATTAGTGGTGAAGTTTGACATCTTCGCCTGTATATACTTTACCCTCCCGCTCAGCACGGATACGTTCTCTTCTAACATCTTTGGTATCTTGCTCCACCGTCCAAGTCAAGTATGTGAGCCAGATATTGGATATGATCGCTATAGCCACAGAGACTGTGCAAATGATGAATGACGTCTTGTAGCCATTGTATGCGTATTTGGACTGGAACAACTGAGGAGCAATGACACCACCAACCTGAGCAACTGATGTCTGCAAAGCCAATGTGAATGCTGTTCCGGTGGTCCCGACAAGCGTAGCAGATCTCCAAGCCCAGAAGGGCACGAAGAAGACGAAGTAAAAAGCGTTTCCTAGAACGACTGCAGCATAGGTGGCGCCGTTGCTTACAGGGACGCAGAGGACGATGAAAAATGCAAGGATTCCAACACTGAGTGCGTGGATGAAAATAGGTCGGGGGACGTATGCCCGTCGCAAAAACCACGCAGCGAGTATGATTCCAATGACAGTTGCAGCAGCAGGTGGGATATTGAGAAGTTGATTCCGGGGCAGACCTGCGAAGCCGAGAGAGGTGGTGATTGTCGGCAACTGCCAACCTAATCCGTACCCAGCAATATTTAGGAAGAATTGAGATAATGTGAATCCAATGAGCTTAGGATCTTTCAGCGACACAATGATTTCAGATTTGTCAAAAACGGCATCATCAGTCTTTGGGGCATTTTCCGTCAGACGATATTCGAGATATTGTTGCTCGTCGGGAGTGAGCCAGCGGCTTGATCTGGGAGATTTAGGATAATCAGGCAGGACATAGTAGATGACTCCGGCAAATAATATTGTCGTAAGTCCTTCTAGAAGGAAAACCCTGTGAATTTATCAGTATCAGAGGCGATCCAGAGGTCAAGCGGTGTATGAATGACTTACCATCTCCAAGCACTCAAACCTCCAACACCGTTCATGTAAGAGATGCCGTATGTCAACAAGCTTCCAATGATCCCTGAAAAGTTTTGAAATCCAAACATCCACATGATGGGTCTTCCATACTCGTCGCTTCGGTACCAACTGCACATCTGTGCTGCCAAACAAGGGAAGAATCCCGCTTCCATTGCACCTAAAAGGAAACGGAGAGCATAGAAGCCGCCCGCGTTTTGGATAGCCGCGTGGCAGGCGACCACGATGCCCCAGGTCAAGAAGATTCGACTTTGCCATTTTCTAGGCGTGGCTTTTTTGAGCACCAATGTGCTTGGAATTTCGAAAAGAACATATGCGATCTGTACAATAGAGAAGTTAATACTCGCATTATCGTGTAGGATATTGGGAGACGAACGTAGTAGACAGTCTGTACCCAATTATACTGGTCAGCGGACATGTTTAATTCAGTCAACACGTTTCTTGATTCGCCTGGCTGCAAGACCTTGATGGAAGCAGCGTTGGAGAAATCGATTTGTTTGACGAGATACATGAAACCTATCAGAGGCAAGAATCTCCAGTCAACCTTTCTCATAATCCTGTGGTCATCTTCAGCCGTGAAGCGTGAGAGAAACTCTCTACGAGTCTCTTCATCATCTACATCCGCTTTGTTCAGTTCTTGGCCTTTCGTTGGAGACTTGTTAACTTCCTCGACTGAATCTGACCCTGGATCAAGAGTATCGAGCCCGGATTTCGAAGCCATCTTTACCATCCAAAGGACGATGGAGTGATAAAAGGCTGTACTGGCAAATTGGCGGTTGTGTTGATTAGCGGAGACATGCGTACAATGACGGGACGTCGTTGGTATATGTATGAATCCTTGGGTTTGAGGCGCTAAACAAATTGCTGATGACGACTTATTCTATTAACTAGGGGTGACAGGCGCCCTACCAAGAGCTGGGAAACTAAAATAGACGATTACTCAACGTTTCAAGGATTTGTAACTACATGAGGAGTAGGCCATGTTCTCTTCTGATGTCTGGACCCTTAACTAACCTACTTCTCGGTGCATGTTCATGGGTCGCTGGATACCTCATCTCACTCCAGAATGGCGTGCTCATCTAGGCGAAGAACAGAATGAGATAACTTGCCTATAACGCGATGGCCTGCCTAATTCAATGAAATTCGTCTTTAAACCCGCAGCTATTTCCAGATATTCCCCGGTCATCGTGGACTAGTGTGAATGTTAACGTGCATGTTAATGTGTTTTCTTTTGGAGTCCGTTGATTTTCTGCTGTAAGACCCCATTATACGGGAACTTGCCTCATCTTTCTCCATCATGGCGTGCCTATATCCACGTGGGGTTAATTAAATTTTCAGTCCTTGCTGATGTTCGGCATTAAATCCACGTGGGCAATAATTGATTTATATATCGACGAATAAGAAGACAATGACGATCTTGACAGACGGATTTTGATTTGACTATAGTGCTCAACACATTTCTGTTTTCCCCTGACGTTGGAATTCATAATGGCTTCTCAAACGAAACCAAAGAAAAAGATAATCTTCAATGCTTTCGACCAGTTTACCGTCGGACACATGTCCTTTGGCCAGTGGCGCAATCCTAAAGATCGATCCGCTGACAAGCGCCGTGACCTCACTTACTGGACGGACCTAGCGAAGATTCTCGAAAAGGGAGACTTCAATGCAATCTTCCTTGCTGATACCTTTGGCTGGTCCGATGTCTACAAAGGCACTGCAGAACCGTGCGTGCGCACAGCTATTCAGTATCCAATGGGTGACCCTGTCATTCCCGTGTCTGCCATGGCTGCAGTAACCAAGAACTTGGGATTTGCTATCACGTCGTCTACCTCATTTGATAGTCCTTACGTGCTGGCTAAGAGGTTCTCTACGCTTGATCATCTTACTGGTGGTCGATTTGGATGGAACATTGTGACATCTTGGAAGGCATCCGGTTTCAAGGCTGTTCGTGTGTGCTCTACATAGCTTTCGCCGCAGGCTACTAACAATATCTATAGATTGGAATTGATCCTATCGAGCATGATAAGAGATATGAAATAGCGGATGAATTTATGGAGGTTCTCTACAAGTGAGTTTTCAACGGGATCCTCTGCTGTGGGCATAAATATTGTGTCATGAATTTCATATCGGAAACTCTAACACTTTGCGACACTGCTAGATTATGGGAGGGATCTTGGGCGGATGATGCCCTGGTAGAAGATCGGGAAAAGGAAATATACGCCAGATTCGACAGAATCAAGACTATTCATCACGATGGAAAATACTTCAAAGTTGACGCGCCACATATCCTTGACCCCAGCCCTCAGCGGACCCCTTTTCTATTCCAGGCTGGAACATCGCCGTGAGTACGAGCACTCAACGCTTCTCCATATGACGTTAGCTAACTTCGATTGAAGTACGGGAATCGAGTTTGGAGCGAGGCATGCCGAAGGCATTTTCGTTGTTGGCTTCACACCGGAAATGATCGCACCCAGAGTAAAAGCTATTCGGGATAAGTTGGTTGAGAATGGTCGCCAGCCTGATTCAGTTAAAATATTTGCATCAATGACCCCCATTATAGGGAAAGATAAGGCCCAAGCGGAAAAGAAGTACGACGAGGCACTTAAATATGCTAGCGAGGAGGGCGGATTGGTATACTGGTGTGGAACAACACACTTAGACTTGAGCAAGTTCGACTTGGATACCGAGATCACGGCTGCCGATGTTGGGTCCTCAAACAGCCGCATAGAGTCTCACCTGGGTATCCTGTCGTATAGTGGCGATGGTGTACCCAAATGGACACCCCGCAATATCGGAAAGGCGGTAGCCCTAGGTGCTTCTGGACCTGTGCCAGTGGGTACAGTTGAAGAGATTGCAGATGAGATGGAGAGATGGATAGAGGTGGCCGACATCGATGGGTTCAATGTCGGCCACATTACAACACCGGGGACGTGGGAGGATGTAGTAGAATTACTCGTCCCTGAGCTTAGACGGCGAGGTCTTTACGCGCCTGCTGGTGAATCAGGCACGATGCGGGAAAGGTTCTATGGAAATGGGAGCTCTAAGCTCCCAGATGATCATTATGGATCAAGATTTAAGTTCGAGAACTCGAGATGATACTGCTGGATATATATGAATATGAAAGCAAACCTATATCTACAAATGCATCTACAGAAAGGAGGACTGCAGTCACAGGTTCAACCATATATGAGGCAGTGTTGAAAATCAGTATCTTTCAGTAATTTCTGGTAGGTATATAGAGTTGAGTACCAAAGCTAGCTGCCTGCTTATGCAGAATTGAACTACTGAGGCCTGGATCAAGTATATACATCGTTTCAACATCACCATGGCTTCTCGCTCTGAGTAGCCAAATGACGAAAACCATCATGATACCGAAGCCACTTAAAAATGAATGTGAAAGTATCGCGATTATAACCGTTGTCCTTGTATTCTGTTGCGGGAGCGCCGTAGATGAGACCGTCCACACGTGCCGTTCCCATGAGTTTGTCGCCATACCAACTTTGATCATGTGTCAATGTCCAGGAGAACACCTTGCCAAATGCGTCCATTTCAACCGCCTGACGTAGTTCTGTACAGGTTTTGTATTCCTTCTCCTGGCAGTCGCCAAACCCTGCTTCAAGGAGCCCCCAGCCGTAGGACATGATACTCTGTTGCTTGGGGACGGGGAACTTGAGGAACGAGGAGCGCACCAACGCCCGGGTCCCTTCAATATCAATAGCCTCCCGGGCATTAAGACCATCCCGGACACGCCTAAAAGCCTTGCCGCCGACTTGATTCTCGTAGAAGCCAAACAGAACTTGGACACCGACGGGCTCTAGGATACTCCTCGCCAGATCCCGCAGGGCATCGATGGAGCACAGGCGCCACTTTGGATCGTCTGGATCGCACCAGTCGGGGTTCTTGAGGTCCAACCAAACGAAAATGATTGTCTCGCCACGTTCCCGGAGGCGCCGGATGACCTTGAATAAATCCTCGGCTTTGTCTCCATAACTTGTGAGATGGCCGTCGTGGTCTGCCCACCATCCTTGTTTCCATGCCGTCATGTCAATCTCGAGGGCATTCGCACCATGTTGGACTGCGGCTTCAACCCCGTATGACGACAGCACTCGATGCGCGATGGCATAGAATGGACGCGAGCTGGTGATGTTGATAGCAGAGCCATAGTTGGTTGGCGTGTTGGCGAGGATTTGCTGCTGCAAAGCACCATCCTGAAGGCTCCCCTGCTGACCCTGGACGAGGCAAATAAGATTGAAGAGTGAGCTTAGGGCTCGTAGACTCGTTGGAAGGTGCATGGTAAAGTCAATAACTGACTTATAACAGTGATGTTTTGTGAAAAGCAGAAGGGTTTTAACTCGAGCAACTGTATGTACCAGTGCCTGTTCACGAGCAGCTAGAGGATGAAAAGTAAAGGGCGGAAGAGATGTTGGCTTGTCCTTGGGAACCTTATCTTTAATGAATACGAACAAAAATGAAGAAACGAGTTCCTGGGTGAGTTGCAGCATTGCTCGCGCTTCGCGATTGCGTTCTCACTGCTCGGCCTAGCCAATCCATCTGGACGGTCAGCCATTCTGACTAGAGTAACCTTGGCACATGCTAAGGGAGGAACTATCTCAGGGGTTTCATGCGAGCCGTCCCTAGCTCGCTGAATATACCCACGCACCGCCGGTTCTAGTCCCAACTGAAAAGCCATTGGGCAGACCAATTAGACACCGGGTAGGCGTATAACTTCTCATGAGGTTATCTCAGTGGCGCTGCAATAGTACAATAGCACTATTGGAAATGTCTTGGAAATTGTCGCATGACTTTTGCCCGGCGGCTCGAGACCAACTAATCTACAAAGCGACATGGATAGACTCGTCATCTGAGACAAGTTCGGAGACCATCCAATCCAAGTCTAGACTAGCATCATCCAGACTGATCTTAAGCTTAGTTGCAGGTTCAGCCAGCCACCTTAGCGGCCACCCCGCCTCAGCTGCGAGTTGCTTGTTCTCGACCCGCCACAACGCCGACACCAAGAAGGCCTGGAACTATCAAAGCCTCCTTCAGCTCTTAAGACAATCCAATAATTATCCTATAATGTAATCCCGGACAAGATGCTAGCACAGGCTGTTACGCAACAAGTTTCTTTGCCAAGAAATTGGAGATATTCACAGGCGATTGAGTGGTTGAGAGAGTCCCAGCTCAAGCAATATCGTCTCACTATATTGGCAAATTACAATCACGTCGTGAGATATGGGGCTTTTGTCAACTGAATGGTACTCACATGCAATGATATTGAAAGTTCAAGTTCATTTTCAAATGTTATTTAACTTGTGCTCCCCGGTGAACACCACCAGAGCTAGCCCGTGCAACCACATCTTGCTATTGCCTCATTACTTTTCAACAGGACCCCCTACCCTTTTCATTTAACAAGTTATTGCAACAATGGCACCTTCGCACTCAACGAGGTGGATGCAAACCCACCGTCAAGCTCTTGGGAAGACGCCGCTCCGGGATATCTGCTTGCCAAGTTCGCACGACTCCGGCACGTACCGCCTCGAGTTTGGCACTACGGGAGGCGGAAAGGGTACCGTCCTTACCCAGACGAAGACCATCTTCGAGCAGCTCGAGCTCGGGGTCAGGCGCTTCGACATCCGTCCTACCCTTGCAAACAACCCTGCCCAGGGGTCTAATCCAAAGTTCTCCTGGAACTGCGGGCATTACACGCCAGAGGGCGCGGACAAAGTTGGCTGGCAGGGCGGCAGCTGCGCCCCGATCGATGAAGTCGTTGGCCACATCAATCGCTTCACTGAGAACAATGCTGAGCTCATCATTGTTGACATTACACATGTTATGTCGCTCTTGATTACAGATCTTCTGGTTATATCGCCTGCACATTCCTTGCCAACTCCATCTGAGAGTTGGGATGTTCTTTTCTACATCTTGAAAGGCATCAACTGCTTGTTCCCTATGAGCCGGGTTGGTGGCGACAACGGCAAGCCGCTCCAGGACTACACCTTGGACACTTTCATTGGGGACGGAAAGGCTGCCGTCGTTGTCATCATCGAGGGCGATAAGTACCGGGAAAGTCTCATCGGCCACGGCTTCTGGCCACAGACGACGCCCAAGGGCGAGCCTTCTCTGGCTGTAAAAGAAATGCCCGTCACCCGAATGCAAGGAACGTTCGAAGCCATCACGTCCCTGGTCCTGCCAGGTACTGCTGTTCTCAACCTTGCGGCCAAAAGGCAGGAGGAACGCTTCCCATGGCTGCTCCAAGACATCGCTAGGGACAGGCTCGAAGTGTCGGCGATCTTAATGGATAAGATTGAAAATGCCGATCTTCTCACGTTTTGCCTCGCAGTGACTCTTTGCCGCAAAAGAAGCGGCGACGAGATTATCATTGTGTACGGAGGAAGTCTAGTGCCAAGCTCCTCCTCGGCCTACGCCAGCGTCCGCAGCGCTATTGACCAGCGCAATGGGATCACTGCGAGCAACTCTCTATTTTCAGATACTTGGCATGGCCTTCCGAAATCTTGTGCCGTTTTCTATAGGCAAGATGATATCATCAAGGGTCGTTGGGCTCGGGAGGGGGCCAGCCTTCGGTTTGATGTTGATATCGTGAGCGCTCATTATGGCGGCAAGGACATTCTCGACCGCAGGATGTACTACAAACTTCTTCGGGCTCTATGTGCTGATGAGTCGATTACGGTCAATAACCAATCCATGGTTGGGACTGACAAGCGTGATCCTAAGCCAGGCGTTGAGAAAGAGTGTATCATCAAATATCGTGCTGGTTCCCAAACTGAAACGAAGCCCTTTAAGGAGTATACAAGTATTCAGTTCTCCCGACGTATTTCGATATAAGTGGTAAATATTAAAGAACAAGGTTTAGCTTTACAAGGTCTAGTTCGATAACTCCCGGTGATGCTGCTGGATATATAGGAATATGACAGCTAGTGCCAGTACATTCATTGTGTTGAGATGTCGGGTCTGGCATCTTCTATTGTTGTTTTTAACTTTATACTAGAATTCTGTCACCACGTTCCAAGACATATGCAGTGACTTCTACGTACCAGCTCACTGTCGTGTTGTGAATATATGTGATCGACGGCGAGTTAGCATATCAACTCATTGGACGGTTCTTTAGGTCCTGACAGACCGTTCCCCGCCCTTGACATTTCAGTTGTGATTCCTATTGAAGCTTGATTTAATAACCATTTGTAGGGTACGTTCAATTGATGTTTAAGACATCGTACACTAATAAGGAGAGGGGACAAGTGCTGAGTGCTGACGAGATCGAAGGGTGGTTCGCGCCTGTCAGTGGAGACCTCCAGCTTGGCGGCCGGTACCAGGCTCAGGGCAAGGCAGGCGGAACTATCGAGGAATACAATCCACTGGAGAGCTACCGCCTGGGTTGGGAGTCCAGGTCAGGGCCAGTCCCGTCGCGCCTCAAGCTCACTCACCTGGTCCCGGCCAGTGACCACTGGGACACGTTTGGCGCTGGAGCTGCCGGCGTGGGCTGGGACACGGCGTACCTGCACAAGATAACGTTCGGCGATGACTGGTTCAACGAGCAGCCCGGCAAGGACTTCCTCAAAGCCTGCAGTCAGGTATGGGGGGGGGGAGGACCCGGACGCTGTGAACTACTGTTGATCAGAGCACAACCTTCTACGTGCCTTCGAGTAGCAAGATGGGTTGAAAAGCAAAGGCCTTGTAGACTTAGAAGGCAGTTATCAGAATAAACTCCCACCTTGGTAGGGACGTGTCACGGAAAATTAATTTGGTCGGGGAAAGGTACAGTCCAACAGAGCATGAGTTAAATTCAACCTCTTACTACAATTTATTGTCACAATGTTTACTGAGACTCATCTAGGAAGAACCGACCCGTCCGTTCCATAGCAACCTTGTGATACCAGAGACACGACATTGTCATGCCACTCTCCTGTCCTTGCATCGTACATGAAGCAATGGCCAAAGGTCTATCCCCCCACAGACATGCTCTCAATCATCGAACGTCCAACCGACTTCCACTCGACGTATCGTTCATGCCCCGCATAGGCAGACTGGACAAGACTGTCAAATTCCTGCCGGGATCCAGGCTGTCCTGGTCGGAGCTTCGGGCTCCATGGCCACTTCTCCACAATCGTGTGTGTCTTCTTCATTTCCATGCCGCAGACGGATCCGACCAAGTCGAAGTGTTGATCCTTGATATACCTTTGGTCACCGACCACTATCAGCATCACCGCGTCACGATTTTGAGATGCCCTCTTGTACATACCGGTCAAAACAGGTTTCAAAGTCCATGTAGAAACCCGCGGCTCTGATGAAAAGCATGAAATCGGGACCGTACGGCTCTGAACCAGGTCGAGGCGGCCGCACGAAACCTGCCAGCGCCAGCACGGGAACGAGCCTTGTATTTTCTGCAAGTTCGTCCTGCGTCGTGAGCTTTTCGCGAGCCGCGTTCATGAACAGCATGAGGAGAGTGGCGTGCGGGTTGTCGGAAGGCCGCTGCAGCAGAGGACTGAGGGTAAACAGAGACATTGCGCAGCCCAGATACCCAACGTCGCTGATGTTGGCCATCTAGAATCGCATTAGCCTCAGTGACCGACGTGCCGCACTTTGGATACATACCTCGATTCGTGAAAAGGAAGCCTCCTTGAGATAATCTGGCAGCTCCGTGGCATTCAGATTGAAGAGTTGGAAGGAGCAAGAATGGGTCCTGAGTCGCGAATGGAATAGCTGCAGTAGAGTCTGAACATGAGCCTGAAGGATCCCATACCGATCTGAAGTGGCTGGCGAGGACGACTTCGCCGAGATTTCATGCATATCCCAGCCGTGTAAGGGGTCCGCGACGTATGGCATCGGCCACTCGTTCGGGTTCTGGAACATGGTTCTGCAGTGCTGTTAGTTGAAATTTGATAGTCCAAGGTCTCGTTGTACGGTGAGCCAGCTGTTGGAACTCACGGGTTCGGGACTGTGTATGGCTTTCGACTACCAGCAAACGGCACCATGAGGCCATCCTGACGAAACCGTTCCTCCGCGAGGCGGTGGGCGCAAGGCATGGTCGCATACTTGCGGTCCCTAAAATCCCGGCACTCTTTTGCAAGAGTGACGGCGGTGCGAATCTCATTAGCCCGATCGACAGTCAGTCCAGCCGGCACTTTGAGGAAGTTGAGCAGCCGCTTCCAGTCGTCATTTGACAAGGCCAGCTGCAGTGAGCTGGGCCCGAACTTCCAGGTCACGAGAAGAGCATCTTGGGAGTTGCCTTCAGTCTCTGCGCATACCTTAGCAATCAAGGGACGGATATTCTCCTGAAGGAGGTTCATGTGGCTTTCCCAAATAGAGCTGGAGTACCATATGTGAGTGATGGCACTGGCTGCTTCCTCCGGATCATTAATGGTTAGGCATAGAAGGAGCATGATCGCATTGCGGGCGACAACATCGAATTCTTTGTCGTTCAGTACGGCAGACAACCCTTTGTCAAACGAGTCTGGAAGGGATGTGATGGTTGCGATGACGTTTCTCAAGTCCCCAGAAGCTGATGCCAAGTAGATGCTGATCAGCCTCGAGCCGTCTCGTCAGAAAAGCGTCTCTTCAGACTTACCAGCAAATAGCACATTCAACTCTTTGTCGTAGGATACGCCCTCGTTCTTGTCCAGTCTCAAGACGTCGATGGCGGGAACATTCCCCCAAAGGTACTTGCTACCACCGAATTCGAAAGACTTGATCACTTCTTGCACAAAATCTGGCGTGCGGTTCTCCACTGTCCAAGCTGGCTTCCACGTCTTGCTCATCACGTCGCATTTGCAGTCCTTTTTGTGGATGGCCCAGTGCTCCCTCTGACATTCGGAGCCGCAGTACTATGAAACGTGAATCAGCGGGATCCCTCGATGTAGGTAGGTTAGACTCGATCGGAGACTCACAGAAACCAGGCGGCAGTTTTTGCAGGAAAACGGGGCGGGCTTGAGGCAACTCTCGCCGGCGCTGCTGTGGTTTGCGCAGGTTGACGCCATAGGGAGTGTTTTCGGTGAGGTGATCGTCTGTTGCACGGATGTCAAGATGCGGCGGTCGGGATGGGAGAAGAATTGGGAAGAGGGGTGATAGAAAGAAAAAAAGGATGAAAAAAGAAATTGGAAAGTGGGAGATGAAAGAAAGAAACACGAGGCGCAGAAGCAGAATTTTCCAGCCAAGGTGAGCAGTGGGTGAACACTTGGCCGCCGGCTGCCTGCAGCTGCCCGTTCACTTGACGGACAGCGACTTTGGCTCTCTCAGTATGAAACAGTTTGGTGCTACAAGAACCTGCTTCCTCAGATGCTAGTACCCTTGACCCCTAACGGTCCGTAATGAAAACACGGGTAGTTCAGTGACGCGTTTGAGACGCGACGTGTTTGTGCCAGATCCGACATTGAAGCCATCGTCGCACCAACCAGCGGCCATGCTAAGAACAATTCGACATGGGCAACAAGGAAGACGCACACCAATCTGATCCTAGGTAGGTAAAAGAATGTATGCGATGTACTCGTTAAGCTTTCACAACTCACTATCCACTCCCATCAGAAGCAATGGCGAGTGGCAAGGATGTTGTGCTCAAGTTCGACGCAAGGTTTCATGTCCCGTCTCTCCCAATCCCCAACTCGTTCCAACTAACCCATAATAAACCCAGCTCTCTGCATAGATCAACAAACATGACCTCCAAAAGACCTACTATTGCCCTAAATGTCTCGTGATACAAGTCCAAAATCTACCATGTGGAGGCTAGTAACAACACTTCATGCCCTACGGACAGATCATGATCCCCTTCAAAACCTCATCTCTCCAGGTCGCTAGACCTGATATTAAGGTAGGTGTTTTCTTCGTCTCAAAATGCAGCAGCTCAATCCGATGTCGATTCGCCATAACCTTGTCCCCAGTCCGCATTCCATAGTGCGCCCGGCCAGAATTCATACCTCTCACTGAACCCTTCGCCTGCTTCGGCCTGCGGCATGAAACCATCCGACCGCTGCGTGCCATCGACGTGCATAAAGTCGCCCGAAGTTGATCCAAAAGCCGGCCAAGGGTTCGCGTTAGCTGGAGCTGGAGGAGTCACAGTGTGCAGTTGATTTATTTGCCTCAGGGTGGCAATGAGTTCAGGAACCTCGACGATCTGCCCCATTTCGGCCAAGACGCGCTCTCGCTCGCCGAACGCCTTTAAGATGAACTGCGACGGGGTGACTGCGGCATTCGGCCTATGAGTGTCCAGCAAAGACTGCCTGGCGTAAAGTGACTCAAGCACGGTCCAGCCGCGGTTGGCAAAGGCATGCGTGGGACTGTGGAACAAGAATGTGGCGAGGGAGGCAAGAATATCAAAGTTGAAATGCATGCGAACATACCAAGCAAAGCCCCATCGATCCATCAAACCATACGAGTTGCTCGCGTTTTCGCAGCTGGAGAGAATGAGTTTGAAGAGGCTATCACGAGGAGACAAGACACCAGCAGTCCAGTCTGGTGATTCTTGCCTAGGATGCGTCACGTCGTGCAGCCGTTTCATAAGATGTGGGCGGATTCCCAGAGCCGCCGCATGGATTTTACTTGGAGCGGATGGGATAAACCTTTTTTCGATTTCCGCAAGGTCAGCGTCAAGCTGTTGAACGAGAAGCCGATTGTGATTTAGGAGGGAAGTATCTATGCTTCCACCGTCTTCGCCGTGACTAAGAATGTTCGTCTCCATAGCCCGACGAGCCTTCTTGTCGAGTAGATACGCGGATACCCGAGTCATAACTATGACAAATGCCATCTCCGTAGGTCCCTCTTTGTGTACCAGCGGGTCTGTGGCATCGGGGAACAGGTCGGCATCATTGAGGTTGAGAGGGCGTTTGGTGTCGAACCGCTCAGGCACGGAGCTATTTGTTAAGCCAGAGTCGATGCCCAGCTTGATGTCGTAAAAGACAATTTGCCACCAGATGCGCCGGCGCATTTCTGTTTCAAATGGCGAGAGTGACAGATGTGTGCCATCACGATGATAGCCCATGCTCATAGCAATCCGCACCAGTGCACCTAACAGAACCCATGCAGCATGTTTGTTGCATTGGCCCATGAGAATGATCTTGACCGTCAGCCGCTTCCATGCCCCACGTAAAAGCCATCGAAACTTACAGAGGTATGTATCAGAGCTTGCAGGACAACCATGTTGTACCGTCCTAAAGAACCAAAATGCGCCAGAGAGACGCTGACTGCGGTAAGAACTTCTTGGAGGAAGTCGTCTCGCTGTTTTTCCGCACCTAGTATGTTCGCAATTTCGTCACTTCTAAGTGCTGATACTGCCAGCCCGAAAATACTGTATACCAGTGCTTGTTGATCCATTGGAGCCAATTTAATGTCGGCTGTTGTAGAGACGATCAAGGATTGAACGGTGGGTGCGTGCACTATCTTGAGCAGTGGATTGACGCGCTCGAGATATATCTGCCACAGCTTGAATGCTGTGATCGGGTCGAAGGACGGACAGTCAGTGACCCTCGGGGGTTGATAGCGTGAGGAATCATCAGATGCATTCTCTTCGCTGAAAGCAACCTCTGGCTGATCCTGTTCCACGAGGCTCTTCATTTTACATATCTGTATTGTTTGTCAGTCTGATTGGCTTTTGATGCCGATTGAAGGGCAAATACCTCATCGTTGAGAGTCACCCACAAATCGCCATCAACATGCCTCCCCTCTATTTCGCCAATTGCTTCACTGATAGCTGGTGCGATGTCGTTATTGCTACTGGTGGTACCTTCCTGTCCTGAACGACTTTTGGAACTGTCATCCACTGCGACGTATTCTTGAAGCAATGTTTCACATTTGGCAAGGCGCTCCCGTATATCCAGAGCAGCAGACCTAAGCCTAGGCCTTGAGGGTGCCGGCTTGGAAGGTATGCAAGGGATGTTGTTCTGTTCCTCTCAGAGTCGATCGTCCAATTGTAAGCAAGATGTTGCGGGAACTCTATCACGAGAAGTGATAAATGGTGTCGACGAGACTCGCTGTGATAGAGAGAGAATGACTGACCTTGATACAATTTGCACAAGGGATATCCTTGTTGCAGAATGTCTTCTTCTGGCGGCAATTTACGCAAGAAAGGACCCGATTACTCGGAGTGCCAACCCCTCCGTCTGTCCGCCTACTACTCGCGCCCGCTGTCGATCCTCTTTCCATGATGGATTGCTGGGTCTAAAGCTGATGGTGTGATGAGTGAAGTAATATGATTGTTGTGCTCAGTGGCATGATGGCGGACTTTGAACTGTCCGCGACTCCCGCTTCATGAGGGATGGATGGAACAACTGGAAGGCGCAAATCAGTAAGATGCGGCACTCCGCGTTCTCAACATTCCGAATGGTCATCGCGGAGCTACGCCTTCAGCCCCAAGAACAACATGCTGAGGACTTTTCCGTAAGTAGTGTTTCTTTCCGAGATTTGGTCGCATTAGGCAAGGCCGGCAGGCTGGGTGCGTTCTGATACGACGTGGATCCGGTCCCGTTGGTGGCGTGGGGGCAGGCGCCTTTCAGGGTTCTGTCCATCATGCAATCCTTCCTGGGCTTGTTGCTTATTGTCCTTCTATTAGTATTCTTCGGCCATTCTCGCTTACCCGTGTACCAAGTCTCCTGGGAAACAAGAACGCAATCAGGAAGTTTACCGCTAACATGGACTTTTATTAGCTGAGCGAATGCTCGCTGTTTGAAGCTTCCAGCCTCTCGAGAATTCATTTAAGCTCTAACCGCATCGTGAGTGAGGTTATCACCACCCCACCCACGTCCGATACCTCGGCCGTTACAACACCAGCCCCTTAAGGGCCCAAGAGGTAACGAAAGAATTGCTACAAGGACGCGCCACCAGCCCTCATTTCGGTAAGACGCTTACAACACATCGGCGATTTTGTCTGCCCTCTCAAGAAGGGAGAGAAAGGTATATGCACACAGGGTTGGATCGACTTATATATAAACTAAGGGCTACGGTCTGTAGAGAAGAACTTCAACGAGTTCGGTAGCGAGGGATAGCGCCTTCTTTGAGGAGGTTTTGGGTCACAAGGTTGTCAACACATTCCCCAAACACATGACGAGTTTGAGTCATTCCACACAGCTCATATTGAATATCATCGCAAATTATGTACCCTAAAAGTTTGGACATTCACATAATAGCTGTTCCCTTTGTGCCAGCTTTTTTTCTAGATTCGTTGGGTTCAGTGGCCTTGCCATGACGGGATGTGCTGTGAAAGTAATGTATTTGGCATGTTCGGTAGCAGGGTTTTACAGATGGTTCTTGTGAAAACCCGGGGATCACGTCCAGCTTTGATTTGCTGAGCGTATTTCGCTTCAATTTAGTCACTGCTCAAACTCTGATATCCCCAGTATAGATCATCCAAGCCTTATTTCGTCAACGCCTCCCCTTTTCTGAAGGTGGTTTCAAGGTAGCTCCACGACCTGCTGTGCTTGGCCACATTCCAAGACACGGAAAGGCAGTCCGAGTGGAACGTCCCGTATTGGCCGACAGTTATAGTATTTCAAAACATCATTGGGCACCTCACCTACCCCTGTTGCCGTCCTCCCGTTGGAGCCGCCAGAAAAGAACTGCTGCCATTGGTCAAGATGCGTACAGTGAGACGCATCCATTTGCCTCCCAAAGCTCGGATAAGTCGACCCTCTCCTCAAACAAATCATTAGCCCTTTAGATGCCAAAGTGTGCGTATTAGATTTCCACCCTCCATACTACGGTAGTTGGAAAGTCACCAAGATGTCGTAGCTAGGACCGACAAGCAAAGATATCGCAAGGCACAAGGAGGCATTTTCATATCATTTGTTAAGTCTCACCGAATCCAAACGCACAGCTTTATGAATGAGTCCTGTCGAGATGATATATGACATTCTCGTTCGCGATACGTTAGAGGCGCATAGCTTACCTAGAAAAGATTCATTCAAAGAGAAGAACCGGCTATTGATGAGTTACAGATTTGCAGCACCCCGAATCCTCGTTCAGTTAGGGTGATGGTACGAAAAGGGAGTTATCAAAGCGTCAGTTTTTGGATTTCTCCAGCGGGCTGAAACAGGCAAGTCCATGTCATGATTGGTCCTTTTGACGAACGCTACATGGGAAGCTTCCTGGTCACATCCGGGATTTTGTGAATGAAACAATCAAATACCGCTTTTGGAATGTCGTTGTACTTTGGTTGCATCAAATTATCGCCTCTTATATATCTCGGCGGTTGATCGACAGCAGCATGACACTCTGCATTAAAGACGTATTGCCGGCTCCTTTGGATATAAAAGGAGCTCTTTGCCGACAAAGAAATCGAACAGTTCCCCATCGACTCTACTAATTTCTTCATTATCGTACAAACACAATCCATTCTCTCCGCGACATCATGAACGTCTTTCTCCAAATATCCCTCATTGTGATGGCATTCGCCGTCGACATCCATGCCGCGCCTCAGCCTATCGATTGTTCAAACAAAGGTGGTGTTTGCGATGGAGGTGGCTTCCCTATCTGCTGCCATGTAATACACCTTCCCTTCTCTCGATTGAGCGGCGCTAACTAGTGTAACAAATCGAGATAGTGAGAACTTGAGATGCCAACTACCACTGCGAGACCCAGTTGAGGTTTTGCCTTAATGCAGGTCAAGGATCAAGGGGCCCTCATCATGCTGAGAGACATTGGACTTAGTTGGCAAGTTGTGTTGGCTTGGCCAACCGCCGGGTCATTGCTGGCCACAATGGAAGACATCCGGAGGATCAACAAGTGGATTAAGGCTCGAGGAAATTGTCTACTACGTGAATTTTCAACTATTCATAATGTAACATTAGTTTCTTGGAGATGTACCTAGTATTTTCTATTCCACTTGCCATCTTTACATAAGATCGGCGAGTCCAGCAAGTAATCTCTATTTTGGATGGTGACGTTGAAACCAGTCATTGATAAACCGGCTTGGAACCCAAATCCATTCATCAAATAAATACACTCTCCTACCTCCATCTGCTATAACTTGAGTCGGTGTCATTGGAACTTTCCCGAATATAAAGTCGGAACATTCTCTTCTCATGATATTACTTATCATGGAGGCGATGTACCCCCACGTTGGTTCCATCACAAGATAACCAAACACCTTTGATACTCGGATGAAAGCCCGGTCGCTCTGCTTAACGACTCGACATTCCACCAAATCGTGAAAGAATGCGCTTGTAAGCTGCCCATATAACAGGGTTAATGATTGTTTTGGTATGCTGGGAGTGTCCAGTGGCCACCTGTCTGGTGGTGATTACTCGCTCGATTGTAAACTGCCCAAGACACGACCCAGCTTCTTCACCTTGGCCTTCATATTGTAGCTCACATTAAACAATACTTCACACCGCTTGCCATTGGGCAGAGCCTCCCCATACTTTCCAGGCGGTGGGCGACCACTGGAGACGATATTGATAATTTGACCTGATACCCAGCCGACTCTATGCCATAGGCCAATCTTGAGCCACCATGTCCCCAAGTTTGCAATCTCGATAGGATCCCAGTCGCCAACTTGGCGAGGCCCTCAACATCGTACTCGCCCAATGAGCCCGCCCTTGCCAGTTCATCCAGCTCGCCATTCTTATTCACCAACAAGTCAGCCACGCCGCTCAGGATGGAAGCACCGAGAAAAATCTTGCAAAGCTCTGCATTGGGATCTGTTGGCTGCGCACTGAGTAAGAGTGCAAGCTTGTAGCCATACTTGGCACTGTGTAGCAGTCCAAGCTTTGACAATGATCATCCATTTCAATTTGCGGTAGAAGCATTATATCATCACTACGCGTCGCTGCATGACGCGGAAGTGAGAAGTTGGTGAGAACCGACATAGTGACGAGTCGCTCACTTGCCACTCAGCCATCGCCTGCGGCAACCTTTGACACACACCTACATACCATAGGTACCAGCTAGTCGTATTGAATTTTTATAGACCAGTAATATCTACCTACCTACTAGGTAGTAGTAATTGTAGTAGCGTATTAGGTAGGTAGGTAGTAGGTATATGTAATATGCAGGAAACGTAGCCGAGTTACCTGCCTTAGAAGTAAGATTCCCACAAGTCTAAACACATGGACGCAAATCAAAACCCTTCTCCTACCTATAATCATCCTGAGATCCAAAACATCCAAACATCAACATCAGCAAAACACCAACAACAACACCACACCACCACAAGGTTTTCCCTCTCTCTGGCCTTCCTTACAAAGACTATTGGTTCACTGCGGGCCCTTCTCTTCTTACTCTTTTTATCGAATAAAACGAGAGTTTGCTTTAGGATGGAAACCAATCTTCCCGCAAGGGGACCGGCGAATGGCCAACACCCGGCCCCATTCCGCCTGGTTGGATCCGGCAAGGGTTTGGGGCCATTCGAGCTGACGCCCGAGCAAGAACGGCAGATGCGGGATGGCGCCACCCAATTCAAGCCTCGTAGGCAATTGATGAGGTGGTATTTTGAGCAGAAGTTGGGAGTCCTACAGGGCACTATGGATCATATCTGGATGTGCACGACCAGGACACTCTGGCTCCTTCTGCTCAACAAAGGGCATACCCGCGTCTCAAGAGACTCCATACTCGGAGAAATTGACGCCAAGGTTATTGTGGAAGTTTTTGCGGCTGACAGTCTTCTCTTCCCAGAATACCCGTTTGGCAAGCATCCTGGCCACGACGAGAGCGCTCCCATGTCGCAAGAGTTTGACAAAATGCGAGAGAAGATGGCCGTTTCGCTTGTTCTCCACGGTAGCCGTACCCGCGCCCCTCCAATCCATCCCAGGGACTTGACAGTTGAAGAGTTTCGGGCTTGGATTGTAGAGAATGGGCTGTGGGGGATCGTTACGAACGACGCCACAAACGAATACAGTGATCCGCTCCCTCTGCCATTTCAAAAGCCCCAGACTTTTGCGTCGGCAGCTGCTGCGAGCACTGGCAATACCGAGATCGAAAGGGCCGTGACTGTTGATGTCAGCACGGGCACGACTTCAATTGGAAATAAATCTCGAAAGGGTTGCTCTGAGAAGGTCAAGGCGCTGTGGGAAGATCTTGCGTTTTTTGAATGGGCCAAATGCCCCAGCGCGTTGCTCCCAGGACATTATCAGGTTATTGTGCCTCATGTACCGGAGCTATTCCAGCTTCCCCAGGGCCAGGAAGTCATCCGTTGTATACTCAAGACCCGTGCCATCGTACGGCGTCAGTATTATACAGTCGTTTTCCACAGCAATAATCAAACGCTGGTGCACAGATACGCCATCGGCCCAGATCTTGATGATGGGGATGTCCAGCACATTAACCGACAGACCGCAAATGATCTGGCGGATTGTACTCAACTGGGCCTTAGCCGTGTGGTCTGGAAATATGGTTAGGTTGGAGGAATGGTCAGAAATGACCAGACAGAATGTCTACCCACCTATGAAGGGCCATGAATCCGCATTAATGATCTACTTGGAACTCATTGAGGCGTCGCACGAGCACGATCTGGACAGTCTAGATGGGCTGGTCAAACGTATCACTGCCTTCTGCCTTGCCGTTTTATCGGACTCGTAGATGGCTATGTTTTATGTGTCATCCGTTGAAATCTCCACTTTCCAAAGCAGGTGGTAGTGAATTGAGCAGAGGTTGACAAACTGGTGGTCAATTGCAAGGGAACGTCTGATGCTGCTGCGGTCATTGCATGGAGACCTTCTCTCGATCGCTATGAGCGCCCATACGGGTTTACTGCCGCACATCTCAATATAAAAGAGTCCTTTCATGCTCTTACTTACTCTCAGAGGTTACGGCCAACATGATATGATATCAGCTTTTGGCAGCTACCCTGAACCCTGAGCCTTTTATCCGTGGATGGAACTCCAGGCGTAATTCTGGGTATCAGCGGTGAACCGCTCAATTCTGTAAAATGAAAGGTTAAGCATAAAATCGCAACCCACCTGAAAGTGTGGTGTAGCACTATATTCAACAACCAAATCATAGGATAGCACACTTCATTATACTGAGGAAAATGATCCCCGAGGTGCCCAAGTGCCATGCTTGAAACCTCTTGGCGCTTGTTTAGTGAGCCTTTGGCAAGGATCCCTTGTCCGGCGATTTCACCACGAGCCAATAAAATGCTGTTTATCCGAATCCCGCCGATGAAATCCGCTGGGTTATCAGAGCGCGACTCTTTTGCCAGCCCCCGACAGCTGAATCTCCGATCTCAACAAACACCGACCAAATCAAAACAGTCCAATCCAATGGAAACCCGCAGCCTTGCTTCCATTGGACACAAGCCTGCTCCCTACGGTCATGCCTGTACTGGCTGCTCCAAAGCTAAATGCAAGTGCATAAGCCGTGGAGTAGGCGTGCCTTGTGAGAGATGCCATCGCTTGCTCAAGCAATGCTCGCCCTCCACGGTGGTTCGGAAAGGTCTTTCAAGGCGGGTGGCAAGTCAGTCAACAAGAGAACGTGCGAGCGACAAGCCTAGCAGTCACAGGGAGCAGCAGGTTGCCATCCACCCTGTTTCTGAACACACAAACTCGAGACTACCGGCACCTGCGGAGAACTCGCTAGCTGTACCATATCATATGGTTGCAGATACTGTTCACGCGCAATCTCTCGGCACCAGAATAGCTTGCGCACCACCAATACTGCCAAATGACCAACCAGATTTGTTGATGGCTCCTTCTGTTCCTGCGCTGTCACCGCCCCTGGAGCTATGTCCAGTTGATGCGGAAGCGGTGCTCAAAACCTTCAAAGAACTCCACCTCAAGTCTTTCCCATTTATTTATTTTGAGGAGAGTCTTAGGTAAGACTTCTCCCGTCGTAAATGGGCTCGTTCTGACTGGTATTGTGCAGTGGCACACGGCTGCAACACGAACGTCCATCCCTCTGGCTTAGCATACGTATTATTTGTTGCCGGTCATCAGAGAAAAGGCGCGCTCTAGACGCACGTTTTCGCGAGAGTCTAGGCCGTCGAATCTTTGTTTATTCTGAGCGAAGCATGGACCTTCTTCTGGGCATCATTGCTTACCTTGCATGGTGAGGCGACTTTCGATGAGTGGAATATCACAAGTGCTGATGGCTGTTGAAGGATAACCGATCGGATCCGGGACAGAAAATTTCTCGGCGTCTGTTCAGGCGTAGCGGCCTCCTTGGTATTCGACTTGCGTCTTGACCGAGTTGTTGCGCAAGAGAACCCATACAAGGAAACGGACATCGGACGAGCCTACACCTACCCAATCCCACAACATGTCCCGTCGCCGGGAAGAACCAACGAAGAGCGCCGTGCCGTGCTTGCCTGCTTCTGTATCTGTACCGCGTACGTATACTCTAGTTTTCATGACCTCGCTCGAGTTTTTTGAGGCTGATATCGTATAAGCATTTCGGAATTGCTCGAGTCGCCACCGATGAGATGGACTTCGGACATGGAAGCAAGCCTTCAACATCTCGCTTCTTATCCGGAAGTTCTTCACGATAGGATACTTGTTGCCATTGTCAAGGTGTTTAAAATCATTGACGCTGTTAGCGCGGCTTCAACTTCCCGGCATCTTGATATGTACGCGGAGCGGGACTCAAAATTACCACCTGCCGTCTATACGTCTTATCTTGTGAACAGATTGGATTCCCTCAAGTCTGAACTCTCGCCGGACATTCTTAATGAAAGTATGAAATACTATTTCTAGCCTTCCATGCTATCATTTTTGAAGCACAATGCTTACACAGTGGTTTCATATCAGAAACGATCAGATCTTACATCTCCTATGTGGAGGCTAGCATCAATGACCTCCCTTTACATCGTCAAGCTAATCCTGCAGACGGGAATTCGTGGCTGGATTTCCGAAAAGCTGAGCACCTTCATGCATGTCTCAATGCATGTCGACAGCATCTAGATAATTGGTCCCATTTTACAATCGACGAGCTCTATTGTATGAGCATGCCAGTACATTGGTACTTCGCCCGTTGCACGCAAATTTTATATCGCCTATCTCTCATGAACGATCCATCCTGGGACAAGAAGACGGTCCGCAACGCGGTCGATCTTCTGGGTGTTATGGAGGCAACGGCACAACGTTTCCTCGCCACAGCAGAAACAAAGCGATTGGATGTAGATAGCGTTAGCTGGTTTACAAAAGCGGCAGGTGCATTGAGACATGCTGCTTCAATCTGGGGAAAGGCATTGTCTAATGACAGTTCTCTTGATGAAATGACTATGGTGTCCCAGCAAAGCGGGAGTGTTGATAGTATTCCGGGTGTGGGAATTGCTGTGCCAGCTGATCTTACTTCTGACGATTGGATGATGGATTTATGGACTGAATGGCAGGAATAATACCCAGCGGCACTTATTTTACCAGTCTGATAATCGCATTCTACGGTGGATGGGCCATTGCATCTCACGTTAGGTAGATACGCTTGGCACAAGGCGAACCAGGGGTCGGCGGAATTCAGCTGGACCGGCGGGATTCGACAAAGCTCACGGACATATTTAAGGGTCTACGCCCATGGAAGAGAAATTATGAACCCTCGTTTGAGCGCTTATTTCGTTTCTCGTGCATCTATTTATCGTTGAATTCACGCAACGGGCTCATCTTTTTGCCTTCCACCCCACTATATCACAATGTCGAAAGACGAGTCATCGTCTTCCATCGCGCAGGCGTCTTCTCAGTTTGAGACAGGGGAGATGGCTGGGGAGACGAAGCACTCACCTCCAGGCCAAACTGAAATACCTGGCCATGATGGTGATATTCAGAAATTGGAAGGTGCAGGAGCCCAGGACGGAGCAAGATATCTCGCCGGCCTCAAACTATTCTTAGCCATGACAAGCATCACCCTCCTGATCCTACTTACAATGCTGGATATTTCTATCATTGGAACCGTATATATGAACCAAAACTCCGATATCCCAGAAACTTAATAAGCTAATTGCAAGGCTGCATCATCTCTTTAGGCTGTTCCGCAAATAACGAGTGATTTTCACAGTCTTGAAGACATCAGTTGGTACGGCGGCGCCTATCAGCTAGCGAGTGCAACAGTTCAGCCCCTTACGGGGAAGATCTATACATATTTCAGCATCAAGGTTCATACTTTCTGGAACTCGCATCAAGTGAACTTCTGGACTAACAGACCTCAGTGGACGCTACTTGCCTTTGTCCTGATATTCGAAATTGGTTCCGCGATCTGTGGAGCAGCTCAATCCTCGCCGATGCTCATTATTGGCCGTGCTGTAGCCGGGCTGAGATGTTCTGGTCTAATGAATGGATGCCTCACACTCATATTTGGAGCCATAACCCCGGAGAAACGAACGTGTAAGTTTCAAGTATCATCGAGCGGGCAGAATCTTTCTAATTCGATGGGTCCAAGTCTATACTAGCATTGCTATGGGAGGTGTGTCAATAATGTCCAAAGCCTCACCGCTCTGAATATTGATTATTAACCATACTGCAGTGGGCCAGATTGGTATTGTTTTCGGTCCATTCCTTGGGGGCATTTTCACCGAGCATGCTAGCTGGCGGTGGTGTAAGTAGGCCCATTGTGGTCGACCCAAGAGTGTATGGCTGATTCAAAGATTAGGTTTCTACATTAACCTTCCTTTAGGCGGACTTGCTGCGCTGTTGATCGTGGTCATAGCGATTCCTGACCAGATCCAGAAAGAGCCTGCAAGCTTCTCTCTTCTTGTGAAACTAATTCCCGACTTTGATCTATTCGGCTTCGCACTTCTCGCCCCTGCTTCATTAATGCTTCTCTTGGCGCTACAGTTTGGCGCAAGTGACTACAGCTGGAACTCTGCAACAGTCATCGGCCTGTTTTGCGGATCCGCGGTATCAGCAGGGCTCTTCATCGCTTGGGAGAGGCGGGTCGGTGAAAAAGCAATGATCCCTCTTCGTATCCTCTCTCAGACAACGATATGGACTAGTTGTATTCACTACGCCTTTCTGATTGCTGTTACGACCGGAGGCGGTTACTTCTTGCCAATTTACCTCCAGTCGGTTAAAGGGTTGTCGCCTACTATGAGTGCGGTCTACATGCTCCCAACAATCTTGCTCTCGGTAGTTTATGTCATCTTCTCTGGAGCTTTGAGTCAGTCCCCATCCATCTGCATTCCATTTTTCACTGTGAGTTTGACTAACCTCGTGGAGTGCCAAAATTTGGTTATTACATTCCCTGGGCAGCGCTTGCATCTGGGGGGACAGCTATTGGCTGCGGTCTTATCTCTACCTGGACCCCGGATAGCAACCTCGGACAGCTGATAGGCTACCAAGTCATGTTTGCCCTCCGTGGATTAGGAATGCAGATGGTAATATCCCTCTCCGCAACTCAATTTCTAGATGTCTGACTGGTTGAAATAGTCCACGGTAGCCATTCAGAACGCTCTACCCCCTTCGGAAATTGCCATCGGCAACTCGATGCTTGTTTTCAGCCAGAGCCTTTTTGGGGCCATTTTGATCACTGCCGCAAACACAATCTTTCAAGAGAGGCTCAAAACCTACATCAAGAATGAGACCCCATCTATTGACCCTATTGCTGCCATTGCTGCCGGTGGGAGCGCTGAAGCGGTTAGGGCTCTTGCTCCAGCTGGTGGCGAGCTCCTCAGATCTGTCCTCATTGTATACTCTAAAAGCGTGGGGAATGTCTATTATCTACTAATCGGTACAAGTATCGTCTCGCTGGCCGCGTCTTTTGGTATGGGCTGGGTAGATGTTAGGAAGAAAAAGCCCATTGGCACGGTGCCCAAGTAACATTTATCAGGTCCAGTGCTAGAGTAAAAGTCGATTTAATACTGTCCGGCAGCTCTCTGGCCTGAATTTCCCATGTCAAGAGGCGGTCTAACGTTGGGATTAGGCAGTTATCCGGAGGGCTAAGGGTCTTAGTGTCCTCTATGTGTATGTAAGGTATAAAATAATATCAATGCATCAAGTATTCGTATTTATAAAATCTCAATTAACGCGGCTTGCGCATATAGGAGTTCGGGACCAGCCCGAAGTGGTGTCTAACAAAGCAAATTCACCAAACAAGTTCTACAAAACTCCCTCCCAATGAAACGCTAAAACGCTAAAACGCTGGCTTCTATGAATCAAACAAGATAAAAAGCGGACGCAGAGAAGTCTTCAAGTGTCACTTGAGCTTGAAACCTCCCGGGACTTGCTTAGTGAAAACCTGACAAGGATCCACCTTCTTACCTATGCTGCGCAGACGCTTGACGTTCTCCTTTCCGTAACTCTTCACGGGATCCTGTGATGGCCCAGCGTAGTTGTAGTAGACGAATGGGTCCCAAGATCCCAGTGCCTTTGCATCTTTCTCCATTGCCTCCATGATTGAGTCGACTGCATTCTTCACTTTAGCATCGTCAGCTGGTTGACTCCAACCTGCCGTGAACAGCCCCATGAAAAGAGCCGCGTGCCTGTCACCCAATCCTAGGGCATTAGTATCTGCATGGCGGGAGTATATTGCTGGTGGCAGCGGCTCGAGTGTGTATGACCAAGTCAAACCCTCAATGTCCTCGACAGACTTGAGACTCTCATTGAAACGAGTGTACGTTGCCTTGATCGTTTCTTCGGTAGCCACGAGCGTATTCGTGGCCCAGAGTCTTCTTTGAATTTGAGCCTGGGATCCTTTCATCTCTTCAGCAAAGTCCGACACATTTGAAGTTCGCATAGTGCTGTACAAAGAAGGAAGCTCAGACAACGTCTTGAACTCCTCTGGACTCTGGACACCCTCTTTGGTGTACTCCAGGAAGTTCAGAATCAGAGGTCCACTCTCTTTAGAGTACGCCCAGGTGAGCATGATATGTGAAAAGGGGTCGTAGCTATCCGCTTTATTGATGTCGACAAATTCTCGGGCGTGAGTCTCCACATTGGAAGCAGGTAGGTAGATGATTCCTCCCCAAAAGGGACCCTGCTGGAAGGCTGAAATGTCTATTCGTGTGACAATTCCAAAGCTGTTGCCACCACCTCGTAGTGCCCACAGAAGATCTGGATTTTCCCTATCGTTTGCATTGACGATGGTTCCATTGGCCAGGACCAGTTCATAATTGATGATGGTATCGACTGTCCATCCATAGCGGGTGCTGAAGTATGACATGCCTCCTCCAACACTGAGTCCGCCAACGCCGACTCCAGCGCTTCGTCCTCCAGCAACGCTGAGGCCCATGGGGTCGAGCTTGGCGTATACGAGGTCCCACGAGTTTCCCACCCCAATGGATACAACAGTCTTATCCTCGCTTACATCGATAGATTTGAGGCCCCTGAGATCAATAGTAATGCCATCCTGGATATTCGCGGCATCAGGCTGGCTACTGTGACCTCCTGAGCGAACAGCAAACTTGCACTTCCGATTCGTGCCAGTGGTCAACAGCTGGACCGTAGAGGCCACCTCAGCTGCTGTCTGGGGCGAAACTATACATTGCGGGTGGGTTGAAGCTTCCTGTGCCGCAAAATATGAAGCAAGAGACGAGTCGTAGGTGTCAGTACCGGGGAAGGAAACCTTTCCCGTAAGTAGAGACGATAAAGCCAAGCACTGTTATAAAACAGTCAGTGTCCTTTTCTTTCTATGATCAAGTTGAGAAAAGCCACTTACACACTGAGCGGTTGCTACAAATGAGTTCACCATGTTTTAAACTTGATGAGCTAGGGGTGTAAAGAAGTGTCTAGAGTTATTGATGGAGGACTCTTTTTTGCTGCGGTCAAAGAAAGGTCTTTATATCTACGTTTTTACGCCATTTTCCACTTTCTCTCGCCCCCTCAAGCCTCGGGTTTGTAGCAAAGCCCATGGTCAACGTCAGAAGGACAAATGTGATGACGGAGACCAGAGACCTCGGACTAGAGACCTGATTCGCGGAGCATCCAGGCTGCTCAGCTCATCTCGCAACGAGCCATCCGAAAAATGCTTCATTTTGGGGAAGTCATGAGAACGATTGACCCGCTGGACCCAAAGTCCAGTCATAGCAGATTCAGCAGGGCCAGCCTGTGTTCGCTGCCGTCGTCCGCCAATCCGGGCATATCATTCGCAGGCTGCAAGGCTGTCACGACACCCGCCCTAGCCCGGTGTGCAAATGCGACAATTGGCGAAGAGCCTTTCAGCGCGTCATTGGGCGAATCAGATCTCCGATGATGCCTACTAGCTGGGCAAAAGAGCTGCGCCGCAACGAAATCAGCCTGTTCCTGCCCGGGTGACTCCACTCGCATCCCGTATATCCCTGTTTTCTTCATCAATCCATCTGAACTATTTAAAAATCCCACCCCAAAACACCGGGATTATTGGCTCATCTTGCATGTGAACGCCGGAAGTGGAAGTGGTATGATGACCATGTGGAAAGCTCGGCCCCGGCTTCAGCAGGCCAGCAGGGTTCCCTTCAGCTAAACATCTCCTGTGAGGCAATGGCTAGAAAGCTCGCAGCACGTCATTGAACCCGATTCACAATTGTGCTTCAAGTTGACTCAAGCCTGAAATATCCGGTGCGCGAATGTGATGCGGCAAAGTAGACGGGTCACACGCAGTCCCGATAACCTGCTAGCTGGCTGGGGTCACCTGCAAACAGGGCTCTTCAACGACCAATGGTAGACATACGAGGAGCCTTGGGAGAATATTAGGGTTAGTGTGGTGCTGCCAAACTGGATTGCCCCCTTTCTTGAGAGCACTCGGAACGTGGGATCCTGCGATGCGGTTATTACTCTCAACATTGCTAGCAGACGGTGGATCAGTGAGGGAAAAGGTACACCTCTATCCTCAAGTCCCTTTTTGGGAAGATTTTAAATTTCACTGGAAATATTCATTCCACCTTCATTTGAACACAAGTCCAAGGCTTGTACAAAGAAAAGCCAACCAATTCTTCAAGTGAAAATCAAGAATGCTTCCCAGCCCCAATTTGGATCCTTTTGCTAGTGAACCCATGATAGACTAGCGATGTTTAGTCAATCATGTGGCCAAACCAAAATATGTCGGCTCTATTCCCATCATCATCTCACTTAGCATCTAATTCTGTGACTTCAGCTTACTATAGGGCGTTACTAGGAGCTGGAATACATCACTCACTCAAGCGTTATGAAAAGATTAGGTCGGAGGAGATATTTGAATGCTTTCTTGCCGCATCTATCATGGTCATTCCACTGAAAGTCATTTAAGGCCTACATTGGACACATAGGGGCAGTTCTGCAGATAAACTATTATAGATGCAAACACGCTTTCAATTCATGTAGACAGGTTGGATCTCGGCATGTGGAAATTCATGCTAGAGATAGGAATCACATTCAAACAGACTCGGTCAGTTTATTTGCCACTGAAGATGCACCACCTCCTGGACCAAACATCTTCTTCAGGTCCCCAGCCAATAACTCAGGCTTCTCATGCGCAGCAAAGTGACCCCCTTCTGTGTGGTTGGCCTCAAAAACGACGGGCCCCAACGTTCGGCCCCACGCTCTAGGAGGTACAAAGATATCTTGTGGAAAGTATGAAAGTCCCAGAACGACTTTGGGATTGTATTCATAAACCTTGTTCGAATAGCTTTCGTGCTTGTTGGGCTGCTGAACTTCGTAGTAAATTCTCGCACTAGCCGCAGGGCCGGCAGTAGAAAACTGGTAGATCGAAACCCAAGTGAGAATCTCGTCATCCGTCCACGGATAGTCGTCTGCCCAGTCGTGAAGTTTCTCCCAGATCCAAGCCAACAGAGCCACAGGTGAGTCGGCCAGAGCGTAGCCGATGGTGGATGGCTTAGTGGTTTGGAGAACGTTATACCCAGCTCCTTCCTTTGCGAACCAATCCGTGCGTTTCAGGCCAGCCTTTTCAACTTCTGTCCGTGGTATGAATCTATCTTTCAAGTACAATAAGGGATGGTTGGCCAGCGTGGGAGGCTTTGCGAGAACCATGTTAAGATGAGAAGCGAGGCAGTGTTGAGGAAAGAGGATGCCGATAAATCGAGTGACTTTATAGCCCCAGTCCCCTCCTTGGCTGACTATTTGCTTGAATGTTAGAAATGAACTGCATTTTTAAAATTGCCGAGGGATTGACTCACCATATTTGCCGTATCCAAGGTTTATCATCACCTTGTGCATCGCTTCTGCGTACTGCGCCACGCCAAACCCTGACTTTGATGCACCTTGTGAAAAGCCAAAATTGGGGAGAGAAGGTGCGACCACGTGAAAAGACGGCCCGTCTTTTTGATTCAATAGAAGAGGAAGAAGTTTTTCTACCTCGAGGAAACTTCCAGGCCCTTTGGATTATGCGTGTTAGTCAAACATCGAAGGGAAATACAGATCGGGGGTAGTGTCTCACAGCCGTGGCAAAAAAGAAGCGGAATGCTCTTTGGGTTATCACTCTTCTGGTGAACGAAATGCATTTCGAGATCTCCAAACTGGTCAATGTGCACGGTAGTTGTAAACTGAGGCAGTCTGCTATTTATTTTCGCCTCCTCAGCTCGCCAGTCGAAACCGTCGGCCCAATACCTCGCCAATCGTTTGACGTCACGCATCGGCGCTCCGTAGTCCCAGTCATCGGCAAACTCTACCTCTTCAAAGTATGTAGAGGATAATAATTTATTTTTCAGGGACTGCAGTGCCTTCTCGGGCACCGAGATCTGGAAAGGCTTTGGTTCGTGCGCCATCGTGACAAAATACTTTATGTAATGACGGAAATTGGTATGCGTTAGATCTGGCGAAAACCATAAAGCTGGACAAAAGGCTAGGAGGCAAGCAGACTGAAACGCGGGGATTTTATAGGAAATTGGGGGGATCATTGATTTGTAACACATCTAATCATTTCAAGGGCGTGGTCACATTTCAGGTATTAACTTTGTCGATCTGTCCTCTCGCCCTCCATTTTAGTCGTCAATCATCATAAGATGAACAAATATACCTGAAAATGGATAAAGGGCTCTGATTCTTGCTTTTGGCATTGGTTTATGCGTAGTTTATGTTATAGCTTAGACACAATCGTGAAGTTGCAACATTCTGACTAGTCAATCGGCGAGAGCGCTATGTAAGCTAACTGAAAGAATGGGAAGCGAGCAGAAAAATGCTGAGGGACTCTTGGAATTGAAAGCATAAATTAGAGAATGTGTTCTCTTTTTTGGGGGTAGAGAGTGTGCGATGGCACGCAGTAGTCTGCATGCAACTCTCCTTGTTCCCGTTCCTCTTATACGTCTTCAGAATAATTATACATTCCAGCGCTCTGCCTTCGGTCTTATGATTTCATGCTAGCTATGGGGCCATAAGAGCTTGCTGAAATTGGTATCGAATGTAGAGGATTGGAAGAAAGCACAGCCCGGAATTTCGCGGCAGCTATCCAGCACGCAGAGGATGGAACAGAGCTTTACTTGTATGAAGTCATTCATTAAAAACCGATGTATGCTTGTCTATAACAGCTATTCTAATCAAATGCCCCCAAATCATACATATGCTACCCGTCTATGATAATGTCTCCCAGAATATCGGAAATATCAAGGGGAACTAAACGCTTTGCTGATAGCAATGCTCGTAGCAGGGTACGACATGATCTTATCATGAACGCCATACTTCAGTGTGACGAATCGAATGGTCCCTTTGCTTGTTGGCCATTCAAGAACCGATCCTCCTTCACCCCGAGATTCCCTTCTGCTCTTCAATCTCTCCGTTAGGTTCTCATTTGCATCAACACCTGAATAGATCTCAGCCTCCTCCACGACACTAATCAGATGTCGAAACAGGCGATGTGAGTGATCTATCGGGATATCTGTGTCATCCTCGGCATGCAACAAAGTGATATCAAAGTTTTCAGCCAATTCAATAATTTCGCCCAGTCGTTTCTGGTTGTCCCATGTACTAGTCAAGCGACTTGTGAAGTACTCGAACAGCGGACCAACCTTGGCGACAGGGGAGAGCACAGGAATAACACCTCCAATTCGATACGTAGCTGTCAGTTGGGCGATATCGGAGAAGGTTGCGGTGACTACAAGACCAGCAAAATGGGTCTTCTGTTCTCTTTTAACCAATGCGTGGACCAGAGCAATCGAGACCGCGGAGCCGAGGCTCTGGCCATATATAACAATACGCTCCGGAGGGATCCCGGCCACCTCCATGGCCCAGGCCGCAATTGTAAGGGCATCCTGGATGATTCCAGATTCAGAGGGCTCGCCACTTGATTTGCCGTAGCCCCGATAGTCAAAGGCTAGTATATGGGTGTTGACAGGGTCGGCAGCATAAATGGAACGATAGCTATCCGGCCGCCACCCACTGGCCATCGTGCCACTTGTGCCGTGGAAATAAAGTACGAGGCGAGCATTCGGATTATTTTTCAGGAGCTTGAAATTGAGCGTTTCTTCGAAACTGTCCACCAATCCACTCCCTTGCACTAGAAGCTCGGGTTGATTGTCGATGTAGGCTGCCAGGGGCAAAATGTGCCATGAGTGCAGCTTCTCGCCATCAGGTGTCGGGATGTAGAATGGTGTAACCTGATTATGGGCAAAGCCGAACTGTTCTGGTACGTTGAGGTCTTTGAACCAGGTCAAGGTGACTTTATGAAGATATATCGCATGGGCCTGTAAGGATGGTCGGACGATGAGGGCTCCCAAAATGCCGAAATAGACCAGCAAGGGCGTCCCAATTGTGAGACAAACGGACATGATAGTTGACCGTAATGCCGTAGGTTCCATCTTGGTAAGACGTCAATAGCAGTAATGCGATGGGTGATACGGGATGCAGGTCAGCTGGGTAAAGGGGCCCTTTAGGTTCTGCCTGATGGTAAGTCCAGGTTCTGACTGAAGAGACTGCAGCGAGGGGTTTTCGTCCCATCACTGCATCTTTGGCGTGATTGGTTAGTGGCTCAGCTCAAGCCAGGGGTCTCAGGTCTCACCCTTGTCAGCGTCTCGTCTCACTGATTGATCTACGAGCAGAGGCAGTGATGGAAACCAATCATTCGTCAGTATGTTCTGAACGTGGATGCACTTCTTCACCGCACTGCTCGATTTGGACTTCTCTCTGTTTTTCCTCTTGATTTCTCCGGTTGAAATGATCTCTATTCAAGGAGAATGAGTAATTAAGGCCGGCGCTTAGAAGATGAGCCTAGTGATCATGAATGTGTGTGGGGTGAAGTGGATTTCGGCGGTTATACTCTCGATCTCAGTGCTCCCAAATATGGCCCCCACAAGCTAAACATCTCGAGAGGCGCCTACTTGAAGCACAACACCCGTAAAGCATCTATGTGTTGGCAAATTGGATCCACCTGAGACCCGAAACTAGACCAAGCCTCTGGGCTAGGTATGCAGAGAACGAGCCATTGCAAAGTGGTGAATGTTGAATGGGTCAGATCGCCTTCTACGTATTTTTAGATGTTGGTTTGGCCAAAACGATGTGAAAGGTGGTTTGTATTTCATAGAATTCCTGCCCATCGCTTTATCATGTATACAGCAACTTCAATATCTCACCAGGCAACAATGAATAATTCGTCGACAACCTTCGGAACTGACCCCCTCGTGGGTTTCGTTGCTGATGACACCACCCGAGGCACACTCTCTATTATATCCTCCTGCATGTTCACCATTATTATTTGCACATGGACTACAATCCACCCCCGCATCCATGTTTCCCGTCGTCTTCGAAATACCCATAAGTTCTACCAGCTCGTGAAAGCTTTATTTGCCCCAGAAATGGTCTGTCTCGAGTCCCTTCAAGAGTTCCTCCAAGCGAGGAAGGCAGTCCGGCGATGCTATGAAGCTACGGGCGGTCGCTTCAAAGTTATCCATGGCTTTTATCTTGGCATGATGGGCGTCAGATATCGAGTTGGTGATAATGGAGGCTACCGGACACTCTGGCCTGGCCAATACGCCTGGCTTCTGAACCATGGATTGGTATCCTGGGACGACCATGAGGCTTGGGGGCTTTCCCAGCCTGATATTGAAGACAAAAATAAGGCCGATGGCTTAGTTAAACTCGCTACTCTTCTCCAAGTCATTTGGTTTACACTCCAATCTATTACACGATTGGCACACAGCCTTCCCTTAGCTGCCATCGAGACCATGGCGCTTGCTTATGTCTTCAACGCAGTCATCACATATGGCTTCTGGTGGATGAAGCCTAAAGATATTGCCACGGCTTCTTTTGTCGATCTCCCAGAGATGACAGATCTACAGCGGGAGGTTTTTGAAGGCCTCTCGATGGAGAACACGTACGATGTTTCAGGGGAGGACCAAGAACCTGCCATGGACACAGCCTGGTATGTAGTCGCCAGAGACTGCCAGGACGATGATATCCTGTTGATGCCCCGCGCCAATGATAGCGAACATGTACGTCCTACTGTATCACGCTTGGACAAAGGAAGCATTTTGGAAGCTCAGTTGGACTCTGATGCCAGTAGCAACACTGAAAAGAAAGCCGCAGATGGCGTGATTACTGAATGGGATGCCAACCTTTACATGACTAGATACTGGCCTTTGCTCTGTCTTCTCGGTGCCTCATTCGGCGCCGTTCATTTGATTTCATGGTCCTCGGTATTCCCTACTACAGTCGAGCTCTGGCTCTGGAGAAGCAGTGCCCTCCTATCTGTTGTCACAGCGGTTCTATGTATGCAATTTCGGAAGATGAGTTTAAGTTGGGAAGGACCTCTCACCATCGTTAAAGTAGCAAGCCCTATCCTTTATATTCTTAGCCGGGTCATCATGGCCGCAGAAACATTTGCGGCCCTGAGGTTAATGGAGTCTAGAACTTATGTGACGGATGAAATATGGAATTATTGGTTTCACTTTTCTTAATTATTTGAGGCTTTCTTTTCTTACTATTCTAAAGTTCTAGTCTATTAATATTTTATTCTATCCTTGATCCCTCTTCAAGAAGGCTTTTGTTACTATGGTCTTAATTATTTTTATCCTTCTTATGCCCGACTTTAGAACTTCGCATTGAGTTTCCCCCCTGTCGCCATCAACTTAACAGCAAGAAAGGCAGCCGTGGCCGCAGCGTAGACCACGCCCGCCAAAATTATGAGGCCGTTATAACCCCCCGAATTCGCTTCTGTAATTGCTCCTGCGATGGGGATGCCAATGAGGCATCCAACACTTGCGATGGAAAATGTAGTCCCGTTCCTCTTTCCATAGTCTTTTGTGTGACACATTTTCCCGACGCAGACAGGTGTTAAGCTGATTGCCGCACCAGACCAAAAGCCAAATAGTACCGCAAAGATGTTGATGGCGGTTACGTTCAAGTAATCAATAGGGAGCCACATCCCTAGCATGAAAACTGTGCAAACTGCGGCTGTCATGCACATGACATTGAATGTCCCCATTCGGTCTGCCACATATCCCGGAAGAGCACGACCAGGAACTGCACCGGCGTTGAGAAAAGCGTTGAGAAGGTAGGCGTCTCTGGGGGCCATTCCCATGTGAATTGCGTACGATGAGATGTACGTGTAAGGAATGAAGACGGCAAACTCAACAAGGAAAACCGCAACCGTCGTTGTTGCGTACTTGGCTTCCGTTAGAGCCTTGAAATCGATGGCTGCTCCCGCTTGTTTATTGTGTGGCAATCTTTTGCGGCATAATATGCATGCTAGAACGCAAAAGACGGCACACATAAGACCGACCACGCGGATTGCCCAGCCGAAACCGATGGATGGCGCCAGATACAGGATAGTAAGTGGGAAAATAATACCGCCAATTCCACCTGCGGTGCATGCAATACCTGTTGCCAATCCACGCTTTTCTGAGAACCAGTGTCCGATCGCCGAGACGCTGGGTGTGAATAGTAAGGATGCTGATAGACCCCCAAGCACGCCGAAGGATAGGAAGAATTGGTAAAACTCTAAAGCAGAATGAGATACTGCCATATTTTATTGATTTGGAATGGATGTAATTACCTTTCGAAAAGCTGAGACATATGGTTGACAGTACTAGACCAATACTGCCAGGTACCAGAAGGAACTTGATGTCATGGGCATCGAAAATAGGTCCTAAACGTTACATTATTTCGTTAGAGAGTCCCTAAGAATATTCGTTTTGACATAACACACCTATCTGGGCACCTCCAATATAAAGGAAGAAGGCGTAGCTGCTGAATATCCATCCGATATTTGATTCGGACATGTGCTTTAATTGATGCTCCCCAACCCAAGCATGAAGAACCGCCAGCGTATTAAGAAGGCCCATGGAAGAAATCATGGCACACCATGCACCAACTACAACCAGCCATGCTGATAAACCGCCCTCGGGGTAATAAACCTGATCATCGGTGGCATGCATCCTGCTGAGAAGACTGTGGAACGTGACGGTAGTTGATGTTGTCCGGGCCTGAGAAAAGGAGAGAGAGAAAAAATCTAATATGCATCAAGTGAAGGAAAGAAACAAAGGAGTTCGCAGTAAGGAATTACCAATTTATTAATTCGCCCATCGCCGCTTGCCTGAAGCAAAATCTGATTCGGCGAATATTGCCCCATTACGTGTGGGTTCTTAGCAAATTCGCCGATTGTATCATTCAAGGTTGAGGAACGCGATCAATCAACCACCCGCAAAGAAAATCTAATTAATAGAGTAATGATTGATTTAAAAAATTACCCTCTGCCTATTTTCTACCAATATTAAACGCAAGAAACAACGATATTATATCAAATCAGAAAGTGATCAAGTGGCTTATCATTGCCATTGTTTAGTATCGGTATTCTTGTTTCCCCCTATTATGCTAACAGCCGTCCAGCGGGCCAGCCTGATGACTTTATGCTGTTTTTAATGCTAGCCATGTCTATAGGCTGGATCAGGGCAGTGATATGGGGAGTTAAAATCGACATCGCTGCTATTGTGCATGGATCCCAGCAATGCGAGTCTCCAGCCTCACAATGTAAGGCGATGCCGCAGACCCAGCGCAGATGGAAACGAGGATGCATATGCTCTTCGTCTCCGTTAGTATTTTGACCCCGTTCAGAGTCCCTAGCCGACTCTGGCTTTCTGTTAAGTAACAAGAACATGGCAGTATGGTAAAGAATATTCGTAGAGATGCCTCCGCCGCCGCTGTAGATTATCTTGGGTAGAGTGTTTTTAGAGCTATCGAGGGTGAATATTTCCTCAAGCTCCACTGGACGGGCTTTTTCCCAGGCTAAAAGCTTGCGCAGTAATTTGTTCCATCGCGAAACAAATACGGTATTCTCAGATGATTGGGCACTTTCGTCACTTGACCAATTGGCCCGTGTATATGGTGCTGGAAGGCATAGTTTCATGACTTCAGATAGCAATTTAAGGCAGGTCATGGATGCATTAAAAGATCTGCAAAATGAATCCGTAGAGCCGCTCTGGTAGCTTTGGATATGCTCGAGAATACTTGGGCTCGTCATTGAAGAGTTTCCATGTGCAAGCGAAGCGGCGATCTCTGTAAGGAAGATCATATTAATTAGTTTTGTAAATATGCAGAACTGAATGGAGGCTTTCTCAGGCATTATAAAGGGGATTTCTTAACGAGTAATGCTGTTCGAGATCAAGATACCTACCAAGTCTTGCGATCAAGGCAAGAATGCTACACCACATCTGTTTTTGGGCCGCGTCCATATTGTGAGTGGCGGTGATGATCGGCGGGATGTGGTCTCTATAAAACCCGGATTCCCATTCATCGAGACTATCCTCTGCGAAAAGGAGTGCCCTGTCCAGAGCAAAACTGCCCATGAGCCGGATGGCAGTCAGCGGTGTTACAGCGTCGGCTCTCAACCTGAAAGAAACGACACCCCGAATCCGAACCAAATCTGAAGGCCGGCCTGTTAGTGCTGCTGAAAGACGCAGCAACTTTTCCAGTAGACAGGGGCAATTCATTGCCAACGCCGTGAGCTCGTGGCGAAATGTGTCCTTCTTGTCATAGACATCTAGCTGAAGTAACGCCACATCAGTGTTATCATCGTCATCGGGTTTAATATAGGAGCTCAGGACTTACAGATGGTGCGACGGTGTGGATGAAAGATTGAATGAGCGGGATTTCTTCTTCTGCAGGAGGACTACGTCCTACCATCGGCCACGTACTGAATTCTTTGACCTCACTAATGGTTTGTGACTGTTCAGAAGGCTCTTTTCCCTCAGTGATCATCCTGTCATCCTCGGCCGGGTAGCGCTGTTCTTGAAATTGAGGATTGTGATATCTGGTTTCGGAGTGTTGCATTTTCGTGCTATGGTCTGATTGCACCGCGGTGCCAGAAGTCGTATTATGGTCAGAGATGCCCATGTTGACAAACTTCATATTCATTAGCACACCTAAGCACTACCTCCGTTGTTGCATTAATAGTTTTGTACACACATTTATGATAGAAGGGGTGGTATCTATATCATGAATCGGTTCCTCAGGAGCTGCGTTGACCGGCATTGCTGTCATATTTTGGCCGAGGAATGATATACGGGTAACATATTGGCACGATACTCCAGCACCCGTACAGCGGTTACAGTGAGGTTTCGTTTCATCGCCTATGAAAAATAAACCAGTTAGAAATGATTGATGAGAGAATATCTGAGTACTGACGTCACTGTACTCACACTTTCGATGCTGAGCACGACACCGCTCACAACCATTTCGAGTGCGTGAATGTCGTTTTCCTCGACAGTTCACTGGAACACCACTCCTGTTTCCGGCGGGCGGCTCACCGGACATGATGTTTCCATGACGAAGACCTCGATTCTTTTTATTTTTGTCATTCATGCCTAAATCTTAGTGCGGTGGAAAGAGAACGGCCTCCTGAAGATTGAAGGTTGAATAAACGAACGCGCAAGAATAATGAGCCCGCGATGCTAAAATTATTTTACGAAGCTAGATACCCACACCCAGAATGCATGCAAAGAGAACAACGTGATCAGCACAGAAACCAGGCGGAGAGGTTGAGTAGAGCATCTCTTCCGGCGGCGCTTTGTCAGCCCTGTGCGAGTCCAACTTCCCGTTTCAGACGCTGATGCGGATCCGTTTTCCAAATCAGGTCGAGTGGGTCCGTTTGCCGCATCAGATTTGAAATCGGTCAGTCGCAGGACTGATGAGTTTGGCCAATTTGATGGGAATTCCTCATGTAGCCAGTCAATTTATCTTCTCGGGATGCGGATAGCTGTCTCCAAAAATGGATCCCCATGTCACTGCATTCCATTATAAAGGGCCCCTCGAGCCCATATCTACATCCAGTGTCATCTCGTCTTCCCAGACTTGCTTTTACCATTCACATCACCATCCACCCTCCCTATATCTCTACAATAATTCATCATGGCGGAATTGCCAAAGACTATCAAGGCATGGATCATCACCCGTGCGGGTAAACCTACCGATGTGCTAGAGCTTAAGACCAATTGGCCGATGCCCCCATCTCCGAAGGCTGGGGAAGTCTTAGTCCGGGTATCCTACGCGGCACTGAACCCCGGCGACATCAAGATGATGGCTACCATAATACCGTGGAAAGGAAAGGCCATCGCTGGATATGACTATGCCGGCGAGGTAATCCAACTGGGGTCATCCGCTCACACCTCGGCCCCCGGAATTCGGGTCGGGACGATTGTGGCTGGAACCGTACCTCTCTCCATGCTTTTGACTGGGTATGGAACCTTGGTTGAATACATGATCCTTCCAATTGATCAGATCGTGGAAACGCCTAGCGGGCTATCCGAGTCTGTCGCCGCCGGGATCATGGGAATCGCGGGCCAAACAGCAGCAGCCATAGTTACTGCTGCCGACTTGCAACAGGGGGACAAGGTGCTTGTAAATGGGGCAAGTGGTGGTGTAGGTTCCATCCTTATCCAGGCGCTCCACGGAATGGGCATCCAGGTTATGAGTGTTTGCTCGGCCAGGAATTTGGACTTGGTCCTCCGGTTAGGTGGTGGGGAGGTAAGTTGAGAACTTCCTCGGCTCTAAATTCTTTGTGGCTAACATACCGTTTCAAGGCCTTGGACTACAATGCCCACGAATCTACTTACGACTATTTATCCTCTATCTCGGCAGATCCAACAAGGGGTCAATTCGATGCAATTATAGACTGTGTCGGCGATGACACACTATTCCATCGTTCTCCCGGCTATCTCAAGGCTACTAGTAAATTTTTCAGTATAGAAGGAGGCCCAGTAGGCCACTTGACCCTGAAAAGATTGCCAGTAATTCTCGGAGGAACCCCAAGGACCTTTGTCAATGTCTTCAGCAAGCCAAGTACGGCCTCTATGAATATGGTCATTGGCTGGGTTGAAAACGGTTGGATAAAAGAGCTGCCCGTCGATTCGACATTCCAAATGGACGATGCTATACAGGTTTGTAACACTGAAGCTGAGTTTCCAGTATGTTGCTGACTTTAAACAATAGGCATTTGAGAAACTGGGAACAAACAGAGCAGTAGGAAAGATCTTCGTGAAGGTCAAGTAGGGAAGCAGACACCGGCATACCATTGTAATGTAGTAACGCTTGCATCGCCTCAGCATCGCCTTACCGCGGAATGTTTTATGAGGTGCGTCTATCTGGATAGCATCTCTACCGATTGGGTAAATATTTGCGAGGAGAACATCACCCCATACCGTCAGCTCTTAGTCAAGTCCCAATATCTAATAAAGTCGAATCAAAATCTGACAATTGAAAAAAACTCGACACTCAAGGGCCCGTCTATGTATCCATCAGGCAGTTAGATTTGAATTGAATCCCTCAGCTGTTAAAGTAATGTGAAATATCCTTAAGGTGTGGGAAAGTATATGTTATTGAGTAGACTCCAAGTGAGCTATTCCAACTTCAATAAACGCAATCAACCCTGCTGTAGGGCCTGTTGTACATGCGGTGGGAGATAAAAAGTTTCATCCAGCCCAACATAAAAATATGATCCCAATCGGGCTTTTGCCAACAAAAAAAGAGGAAAAGCGCGGTGCTGATGGTCCAAAACTTGCTTCAATTTCATTAATAGACGGTTGGCCTCCACAGCTTTCCCAAAGTCAGGCGCTTGAACCAAGAGCAACATGAGAAAGTTGGACATCAAGGCAAAACCTATACGTGACCCTACAATGATACAGGTTGATCAGTCTTCCTGTTTAAATACTGATAGGGAGGGGGCTTTTTCCTTACATGAGTGCCAAAATCCACCAAAAGAGGGCGCGGCAAGATTGGATACAAAATCGACCAACGTGTCTGCGCAACCTAATGATGCCTCATACAACTCACCCACCATCGTACCATTCTCCCTATGTCCGTGATCCAGTCGGAAGTCCATTTCTGGAAGATGATGAAACTCCCATCGAAGATCGTTAAGGAATGCCACAGTGGCGTCTGCCGGGTCTTCAACATGTATGATCTGTGCTGGTTCAGACGATCTGACCGTCGTTCGGAGAATTGCTCTCCATACACATGCAACTAGAATAAGGTAAGCATTGTAAATTGTTGCCGGATACGGAGACGGTGTTCCTGAGATTGTGTCCTGAAGATTATGACCAGTTGCTGGCGCCAAGGGAAGCGACTCTCGCCAACTTGTCAGGCTCCGAAAGATGGGCCTCGCTGTCTCGACAGACAAGGCCATTTCATGGGCCAACATTTGGCTAGCCCTCAGAGAACTTAATCTTTCATTAGCGTCCATTATACAGCATAGTTTCATCGACTGATAGAACTCACTACAGCTTCTCCTGCACTGCTTCGGCAATGACTGCCAGGCGAGCCATATCACGAAATGGTAGCTTCAAATCAGCTACCGGCACGAGAGGCTGTGGTGTTATTACGAAGTCATCATCGCTGAGCTCCAACACATCCCATTCTGAGGAGCGAAGATAGGGTGGCTTCCCCAGCAGCAGGGACAGAAACTTATCTTCAATATACAACGCCCACCAGAGTCGCCTTCGCAGCCTCTTCTCCCATGCCGGCAGCCCCATCATCCCGCATTCAAGTTGAAGTCCAAGAGAATGGGCCAGTCCAACGACACATCCCATAAAGGACCAAGTGAAAGGTGTGTCTGCCACCGCATAACTTTGGTCATCTTTTTGCGTTTTATGAAGATACAATATGGCAGCCTGCATTACAGATAGCCTCGGGGTATATATTTCTTCCATGATTAATTTATAAACGATTTGCCAAATCTCTGACTCGGAGGGTTTCTCGAAAAGAACAAACGTAAATAGGTGGTCTTCTTCAGAGGCGAAAGGAAGAGCAGATCCGTATATGGCCGCCAGAAGGTGTGTCGGGATTTTGTCCAGGATGCTCCTTTCCGGAATTGAGTTCTCTGGGCCGAGTCCCAGGTCGGTCCTGGACAGAACAGGCAAAGTGGGAAAGACGTGTACCATGAATCTATATTGGATACTATGTCAATTGGTCTCTTAAACCTCCATGACGAATACCTACTCACAGGCGAAAAAGGCGTTGACCATATTCGATCGGCACATGGCACATCAGCTCAGCTCGAGGGTCATCATGCCCAGCCACTCGAGTTTCTGCCCTTGCAGCACTGTATATGGAACTGTCACTGATGAGAAAATGAGATGGGACCTTGTCTATCGTCGGCACACCCCCCGCATTTCTGAAGTGCACCTTCATAAACTGCCTGGTCCCATGGTGGTCGTATTTGCAATGCCTTAGTAACCACGGGTCAGCTTCAGAAGATATTCCAAGCAACTGGTATGAGCTGCTCTCATCCTTATCAAGACTCTTGGATATCTGCGTTGCGAGGCTCTGCTCAGGAAACAAAGGAGGCATAGGACCCGGCGTAGTCGCCCATTGATCGTCAATGACGGGTGCAGATGGCTCTACAGCAGCAGTAAGGGGCTCTGCTAGATCCGAAATTTCCATATTCATGCTCGGATCATCGGGGACAGTCGCGTGTGACGCGGTAGAGAGCCGCTGTCCGGGTCTGTTGGCAGAGAAGACGCAAGGGGCCTCCAATCCTTCGCATCTTCGGCATGATGCCTTTCCGGTGTCGGTCTGGCATCGTAGCTTTTGTCGACGACATCGGTCGCATGGCCGCCGACGGATTCGGGATTGGTATTGGCGACTAGATGGCGACATTGGACAGGTATCTAGTTTTCAAAGTTCGAAGCGGTTGATGTGTAGTGGAAATTGGTGCTGATTTCGCCGAATTTTTCTCACCATTTGGCCGAGCTCGTGTGGGGCCACGGCTAAAGGTGGTAGACATGATTAATCAACTTTGTAGCGCAATCCCCTCCCAGAATTGGGCTAAATATCTTTTCATTTCGTAAGTTCTAGGTCGCCAAAATCTTGTTTTATCTCCAAGAATATGATTGACGTTGATCCTTTGATACATAGTTGGGCCAACATTCGCTTTGCCAACAGGTTTAGATATGTAATCAGAAAACAACAACGTGAACGCAGTTCACGATGACTCCCTTACTCCTTCTGTCCATACAGACTCCAAAGTACCGGATTTTCCAGGATGGGAAAGTCTCCGAGCTTGTATAAATACTTGCCAGGCACATATTTATCATCATACGTGCCCTTGGCCATCTCTGTCAGGAAACCACCCAGAGACTCGGTCGGGCTCCAGAGCATGTCACGGCCGAATGCGCGGATCGGTGGCCCCAACAAAGCACCGCCTATTCTGAGAGCCAGAAACTGCTGGGGAATGTACGGTTTGATGGCTTCATGAGTGGAGGGATCAACCCAGCCTGCCCGCATCGACATTGTCTGCAAAAGTGGGTTGCTCTTACGCAGCTCAGCAAGCTCCAGCTCCGTCTCGCCCTTGACGCGACCAAATATCTGTGTGAATCTCCCTGGCTCAACTGTTGCCCCTCCGCCGGAGACGTATACAAACCTAAACGGTTCGTCCTTGGGTGGCAAGTTCGCGAACGCCTTTGCTGCCTCAACTGCAAACGTCTTGGTGATCTTGACGTATTGCCTGTATTTTTTTTAGCGCTGCTTTTGTCAATTGGACGTCGGATATGAACCTACTCCTTGTCGACCTGCGTCTGGCTAATGCCGAGCGCCCATACACAGCCTGTGGCACCGTTCAACTGCGACAGGATAGTAGGATCGTACTTCTCGAAGTCTTTGTTGATTATCACGTTGACCCGAGGATCTTTGGCGTCGTCGGCCATTGGCACCGGCCGCCGGCTCAGGATGGAGATTTTGGTCACATCCTTCATCTTGAGCATCGCATCGAGAACTCCAGAGCCAACAAGGCCCGTTGCGCCAGTCAAGATCAAATGCATATTGCCCGGATTCCAACGGTTTGTCGGCACTTCCTTGCTCTTCGTGGAGGTGCGTCAGTCGCGTTCTCTGTCCTCAGGAGGTGGCCGTTTTGCGCTTATCTGTTGATTACCAGGAGTTGAGCGACCACTTCGCGCTCCCTGTTTACCAACGGAAATTGTTGCTTAATTCCGATGTAAGCACTTGTCAGTTAGGGCAGTTCTGCAATTACGTCATCTGATGCACGTGCGATGCTGTAGATCCCCGTGATAGAGCTTCATATTCTGAAACGCGAGGAACGATCAGCGATCTGAGTCTATTTCTTTGACTCTTAATCAAAGGACCAGAGAGCTTGAATAATCAGGGAGTGGGGATTCGGTATTTGTGTTTCTGGCGTTGGCTCAACTGGAGATGCCTACCCTATACTTCATTTTAAGCTGGTAGATTGTGTTTCTTCAGCGGCTTACAAATTATGCCTTGATGTGTCTATGATTTTAATTGATGGTCTACTCGTGTATTCATATCTTGAGGTAATTAGACGAATGGATCACAGTGAAATCGTGCCTCCGAACAAGGTAGCCTAGATGTACTATGTTGGTTAAACACATCAGGGATCCTGATATGATTGTGTTTTTTTCTTTCCATCAAGTTAAAGATACATACTTCAAATTAACAGCATATTTGCCAGCAGGGAATCTTAGTGATATGGTAGAATGTTTTATCTTAAATCAATTGTTAAATGTACCCCAAGTATCAAATCACGCTCTACTAACAGAGAGTTCCTTTATTCAGGCTACCACCAGTTGGCCACAGAGCAACGTATGATGGTAAAACGTTGCGTCAAGCATAGAGTTTAAAAATCCCAAGCCTATCTATTCATTCCCCTCACAATAGGAGCCTGTGTGGTGCAGCTCAAGAAGCCCCTCTCGCGCCCTATACATGACTTGCGCTGACAAATGTGCTAAATCTCCCGCGACCAATATAAAAGATCCCACTGCCGCCTCAGCTACAGCAGAGGGACATCTTCTATTCCTATATTCATAAAAAAACATAATTTCTCTTTGAAAATGGAGCCTTTAGTAACGAACCATGTTCTCATCAATAACACGAGAATTGCCCATGGCGTGCATGGCCAAGGCGAACCAGTCATCCTTCTCCATGGCACGCCTTCTTCCTCGCTCATCTGGCGTAATGTTCTCCCTCAATTAACCTCAAACGGCTATCGAGTACATCTATTCGATTTCCTCGGTTATGGGCTCTCCGAGCGCCCGTGGGACCCAGCAATCGACACATCCATCTCCGGCCAGGTTACCATTTTGGAGGGCCTGCTCAAGCACTGGGGGCTGGAATCTGCCCATTTCGTGGCCCATGACATAGGTGGTGGTGTGGCTCAGAGACTTGCCGTTTCCTCTCCCCAGCGAGTGCGCTCACTGACGCTCATTGATGTGGTGTCGTTTGACAGCTACCCTTCTAAGAGAACGCGGGAGCAGATGGAGCGGGGCCTTGAAACTCTTATAAAATCGCCCGACGAGGAGCACCGAGCCCATTTCAAAGAGTGGCTTCTGTCTGCTGTTCATGATAAGGAAAAGCTTACTGGGTCGAGTTTGGAAACTTATCTGGACTACATTTCCGGTCCTGTGGGCCAGCCGAGTCTCTTTCAACACCAGGTTCGGCACTATGATCATAAACACACAATGGAGATTGCAGAGAAGCTTCCTGAACTGGCTAAATTACCCGTTCAATTGATCTGGGGTGCTCAAGATACATGGCAACTCACGGATTGGGCGCATAAATTACACGAGACAATTCCGGGCTCGGATCTGACTATATTGGAGGATTGTGGGCATTTCTCGTTGGAGGATCAGCCCGAGAAAATATCACAATTGATCCTCGCATTTTTGAAGAGGGGGTAGCCCGATTAGCCCACGACACACTGGGTGCTGTTAGCTATTTAATGAGTGGTGGATGAGGGCTGAGGTGCTCATTGCGCGCTGGAGATATATATGAGAGACTGCTCTATGCTGTGGGTTCGGCATTTCATTACTTGTCAACTAGTCCATTACTTCAAATACGACCTCAATTTCATCATATTCTCCGATCGTGTGCAGGTATCAAGTTACCGTGATGCCGAACGGCCGTGACTGTAAACGGAACCGGAGGCTCACTTCCGCAGGGTTTGTCCCGGGCCTCCGAATATAACCCTACCATTTCCATTGGAGGATAAAATGTGCCAAGAGTCTTTTTTGGCAATTCTCGCAGAGGAGCGTATATATCTAGGGTCGTAAGGCTACGGAAGCAGCCGAGATGATGAGATCTGTCGTACGTAACGCTTATTTCTCTCCCCAAAATGGTTCGTCTGTTAACTTTGTTTTCGGCTGCTGCCGCCATGACCACCTGCCAGGCGGTCAGGTTTCTTGGTCGAGTTGACCCTGAGAAACGGGAGTTGACGTGGCCTGGCACTGGTGTATCATTCACCTTTACTGGGACTTCTGCCAATGTGGCTCTTACTTCGGTATCTGGCGACAACAGCGTCGAGGTGGTGGTTGATGACGGTGTTCCAACCATCATTGATAATGTTAGTGGAACCAGTATTGACACACCTGCACTCGAACAAGGCCAGCACAAAGTGAACATACGAAAGAGATCTGAGGCCGGTTTCGGCACCCTTACCGTGGGTGAGGTGACCGTAACGGGTGGGAAGCTTGGCTGTGACACAGTCCCCGGCAGGCGCATCCAAATCATCGGTGACTCCATCACCGTTGGTTACGGCCTAGACGGCACATTCCCATGTACAAACACGGCCGCTCTTGAGAATGCGCCCAAGACCTATGGCGCATTAACCGCCAAGAACATATCTGCAGAGTACGACATCATCGCTTGGTCTGGAATAGGGTTGACCCGAAACTATATGGGTTCAGACGACTACCCCAACATGTCGCAGCGCTGGACTCGCTACGGTGCTCATGACGCTGACAACAGCTACACCTTCCCGGAAAGCGATACTCCAGATATCGTGGTCATAAATCTGGGAACAAATGACTTTTCATACCTTGGTGTACGGGATCCTCTCAACGTCGAAACATTCACAGAGGCGATGGTTGAATTCGTGCAGGTTGTTCAAGGGCACTACCCCGAGGCTGAACTCTTCTTGACATCCTCGCCGATGCTAGGTGATTCTTGGCCCGAGGGCGACGCGCAACATACGACTCATGCGGATGCTGTCAAGTCGGTTGTTGACAAGATTGGCAACAAGGTGCACTTTGTTGAGTTCCCGAGCCAAGGGTCTGTTGTGGCATGTGACTATCACCCAATAGCAGAGGAGCATGAGAAGATGGCTGTTATTCTGACGTCCGCTATTGAGAGCGTGATCAATGCGTAATGTTGACGGCAGATATACATATACATGACTGGGCGTTAGTAGGAACTATACGGGACCGATTAGTATCCTAGATTTATCTAGCACCCAGGTACCCTCTCGCTTGGGTTTCAAGTCCTTTAATAAGGCATGCAAACATAAAAGATCATTAAGTCATTCATGTCACTAAGGAAATTTCATATCACTAAGATCCCTTCAAGAGACCAAAGATTGAGAATGCATAAAGAACTCTCATTGCGTCATTTCATTGATTTTCTTTCAAGAACTGCTTCAAGTCTGATTTGAATCAAAATCTTCATTTGATATTTCCAGAGGTTTGATGTTCATTTGGCCGTTCATTCGGCTCGGAGGGCGGCAGTGGAGTTATCCAAGTGCAGCTCCGACGCCCGCATATCAACCTTCTTCGAGACTGCTCCAAGAACGACCTTGAGCAGCTGCTCGTTGGACATCTCCAAGCCATGCCCATTCCACGATACAGTATCAACAATATCCCTCGTGCCAGCCTCCTTGTGCAGCTCATCGTCCAGGTGCTTGAGCGTATTCTGTCGCTCAATATGAGGCGCGCCCAGACGGAACAACTGCACGCCAGCCTGGTGCGACGGTGCCTTTGCCTCATCAAGGGTTCGGGCTGCCGTGATGAGCGGCTTCTTGATGTCGTCATCAAATTCTCCAGCAGTCAACACCACCAGATTGAGGGCCGCACGCTCCTCGCCTGCCTGGAACTTCTCGCAGTACCACTTGAGCAGGCCGCCGATCCTGGCGCCCATGTTGCACTTGCCGGCGGGCTTGATCTCGTCAAAGATGGCGCCGATTTGCTTGCCCTTGCTTGTCAGCAGCATGTTGCCGACAAACCCACCGATGTGCGGGTATCCCGACTTGCGGATGGACTGGAAGCCGGGCACCTTGGCCAGGAGGCCTCCGGGGCGGTGGTTGACAAAGTAGAGATCGATGCCGTCGGGGTCGTGCTTGGCGCAAATGGGTGCTACCATCTCCATCAGATTCTTGACGTCCTCCCAGTACGGCTCCATGTGTGCCGAGTCATCGACCAGAAACATGGTGTCGAAGCATCGCAATTGCTCGAGAGCCTTGTCATACTCGCTTGTGTCTGCCATGATGGTGGGGGTGGGTTCAATGTTAGTGTGGGATTGTCGATTGATGAATGCTCTCGATTAAGCCACAGAGAACAGAAGTAAACAGGATATAGCGTGGAAGGAATGAAGAGGTTTGCTCAACATTGATGGCGATCATCTCAGGGGTAAATGAGGAGGGGGCGATCAGTGTATTTATGCTCAGTCTGAAACAATGTACAGCCGGTCTGGGGTGAAGGTACACGAATACCGTTTGTAAAGACCCATAGTTTTGCATAACAACTTGCCTCTGCATAACCTGAACCAGATGGCAGAATTCTCTTGGTCCTTGGACCGTACAACCCATAGCCATATTTGGCATGGATCAACTTGATTGCCAATACGAGACATTGGGGCTATGCCAACCAACCCACGTTTGCCACGGAGTTTTAGCTATCTCTCTTTCCGTTCGCTATGTCGCTGGTACACAACTGGGCAATGTTATTTGTGCGCTATTTCTAGCCATTGTGTTCGCCCTTGTCCAAGTATTGTGGGTAGAAAAACCGCAACAATTGTTTGGGTTGAATCTAGGTAACATGTAGTCAATCAACGAAAAGGAAGGCAAGAAATTTGCACAAATGATCTATCTACTAATTTTCAAGTTGCTTTCTTTCATGTTTTTCAAATCATCTGTTCTTGGGGATAGCACGGGTTTGATAAGTTTTCGCAAATGAGCTCACTTGGCATCCTGGTGAATATTCATCAAACGAGAGGAAACCGAAGCTAGGCTTAAAGGAGCATCCTTGACGTGTTGAGTGAGGGGACAGCATGGAAAATTAGAGGCTGGAATATGCCCGTATATCGCATCGCTCTGAGCGTCTATTTTTCTCAATAGAATGTTCGGTGAATGAGTCTTGGCCATATGACTGCATCAGCAAAGATTCAGGCGCGAATCTACTATGGAGGTCCAAGGATAGACCTTAGGGTGTTTTGTTGTTGTTGATGTTTAAGTATAAAAAGGTGCGTATCTCACATGTAGCACAAAAGCGTTCCCTTACAGCTGTTCGGCTGAGTAGATTCTTTAACTTGGACATATGGTATCGCTCGCTGCTATTGTGTTCCTTTTCTTCCTAACACATCACATAGTGCCACATCATATCTAATTAAGGTTCCTGTACCCTAAATAAAGCCCTGATAATAGCTACAAAGGGATATAGAAATACGTAAGGCAAGAGCTGCCTTGCTATGGTTCGGATATCAAGGATTTATCAGAACGAACGAGGCACGCCGCCAGTTTAGACAACCATCGTTAGGTGCGTGCATGCATTGCTGATATAGGCAATGATTTAATAAGTCCATAACACGAACCAAGTTGCATTGGTCATCCGGTTGGCTGAATAACATGAAACGGGTGATTCGGTGAGCGATAACATATCCTATGTAGAGAATCGGCATCAACCGGCATCCACTAAACTTGGGTAAGGGGAGGACGTACACGAGCTATAAAAAACCCTATGCCTAGGAAGGAGTCTGATCTCTCTCTCAAGCTCACACTAGTTCATCCATCTTATCATTATCTGCGCATTGGGCCGGATGGATCGCTAGGAATGATAGCTAGTATTTTAAGCGGCGCAACTGGCTGGCTCCATACATTAGGTACTATGCATTACTAGTTACCCAGGTATGTATGCATGATTATGTGTTCAAGATGTCCATGTCGTCATCAAGACACTTTCTGAAAGCGGGGCTATTCAATCAACCCTTTTTCTTCTCAAACTTTGTCAACAACCAACAATAAACCTAGCATATATTGGTGTTTAGAGTCTGCCCCGAAGCGCTTGATAGCCCGGCCGTTTTTTGTTGATACTCGCTTTCGAAGGCAACCGAGTTATTGCGCCGTCGTCGCAACACCAAAGAAATTGCCATTTGAAGGCCACCAGGATATAATATTGACCTCAACTATGGACAAATACCCATTTCCTAGCGACCCTGTCGGAGAGTCTTCATCAATGGTCAAGGGGCCTCAATATAGGTTCACCTTGATCAATGATGTTGTTCTTCGATATGAATGGGCTGAGGACGGAGTCTTTGAAGACAGACCCTCGACATTCGCGATCAATAGACGATTTCCAACGCCAGAGTTTACAACTAACGACACCGGAGAATATCTGGAAATCAGGACAAGCACCTTCCACGTTACATACAACAAGAAAAGATTTGACCGCTACGGGTTCATCATCAGCTTCAGCGATAAGAACACCCTTTGGGGTGCAGACTGGCGCTACGGCGAGTCGACCCCAGAAAACTTGGGAGGCACAGCGAGAACACTTGACAATGTCGATGGGCGATGCGAGCTCGAGACTGGAATTCTATCGAAAGCTGGGTACTCGGTCCTCGATGACAGCCGCTCCATGCTCTTCGACTCAAAGGGCTTTGCATCTCCCCGTAGACCGGGTGACCGAATCGACGGGTACCTCTTCTGTTACGGGCGAGACTTCAAACGTGCAATGAGCTCTTTTTTCGCCATTTCCGGAAAGCAACCCCTGCTGCCTCGTTGGGCTTTAGGGAATTGGTGGAGTAGATACTATGCCTACACAGACAGCGAGTACCTGGAGCTCATGGGTAAGTTTGAGACACGAGAGGTCCCATTGTCTGTGGCTGTCATCGACATGGACTGGCATCAGGTCAGTGGCGACCACATACCACATGCTGGGTGGACAGGGTATAGCTGGAACAAGAAGCTTTTCCCTGATCCCATCGGGTTTACCAAGGCGTTGCATGATAAAAACCTCAAAATCACCCTCAACGACCACCCGCATGCTGGCATTCACCGACACGAGGACATGTATGAAGCTATGGCTAAGGACATTGGTCATGACATCTCGAGTGGCGCCCCTATTCTGTTCGACCCTACGTCCCCCAAATTTATGCATGCATACCTGAACACTCTACACCGTCAGCTGGAGAAGGAAGGATGCGATTTTTGGTGGATCGACTGGCAACAAGGGCCATATTCACGAATCCCAGGCTTGGACCCCCTGTGGCTGTTGAACCACTTCCATTTCTTGGATCATGCGCAGCAACAGGGAGAAGACGGCAGAGGCATCATATTTTCCAGGTTCGCTGGCCCCGGAAGTCATCGCTATCCCATCGGATTTTCCGGCGACACTATTATGACGTGGGAATCCCTCCAGTTCCAGCCCGAGTTTACAGCTAGAGCGTCGAACATTGGATACGGCTGGTGGAGCCACGATATCGGTGGCCATATGGGTGGCTACCGTGATGACGAGCTGGCCACTCGGTGGGTTCAATATGGAGTCTTCTCGCCTATTATGCGCCTGCACTCGTCTGCGAATCGGTGGGGTTCGAAGGAGCCATGGCTTTTCCGAGACGAGTACAAGCAGGTCATGGAGAAGTTTTTGCAGTTTCGGCACAGGCTCATACCCTATCTCCATACTATGAATGCATTATCCGCATTTGACAATGAGCCCCTGGTCCAGCCCATGTACTGGAAGCACCCTGAGCAGGAGGAAGCGTATGGCCAGCCGAACCAATATTATTTCGGCTCGAGTTTGCTTGTTGCACCGATTGTTAAGCCACGGGATAAGAGAACGAATACGGGCGCGGTCGACGTATGGATTCCTCGTGGTCGCTGGGTAGACATCTTCAACGGGATGATTTATCAAGGCAACAAATCGGTTCGGATGCACCGCAAAATTCATGACTATCCCGTGTTGGCACCGATGGGAGCCATTATCCCTCTAGATATGGCCACAAAACCAAAGAACGGGGGACTGAATCCATCAGAACTCGAGCTTCTGGTAGTCGTCGGCGAAGATGGCGAGTTCACCATCCGCGAGGAGATTCAGGATGACGAGCTCGCATCACCTAATTCAACCGGTCTCCGAGAAATCAAGATAACCTATGAGCAAGCCAAGGGACAGCTCAGATTTGCAGCTTCATCCAAAAAATGGAGAGTCAAATTTTTGGGGTTGACATCGGTGCCAGAACATCTTCTTGTCTCAGCTGGCGAAGGGCTTTTCGTGAATACCAATAAAGCCGTTGACACATACCCAGCAGCCCCTGGCTTAGTTCTAGAGCTTCCAAGGATGACTGGAGATCCCGAGATTGTTATTGATATAGGCGCCCAGCCCGCTTTGCATGATGTAACTGTGTCGGAAAGGATTTCTGATTACATTCTGGATGTCCAGATAGACATGGGCCTCAAAGAGAAAATTGGGAAGATTTTCGACGCAGGAGGAAGCCTTCTTGGCCAAATTGGACAGCTGGCAGCCCTGGGCCTTGATGAGGGTCTAACAGGACCGTTGATGGAGTACATGCTGGCTGATATCCCATAGTGGTGCCACACCATTACGTGAGTGAGCGTAAAGGCTACATTACCAGAATACAACTTCCGTTTTCTTGAGCTGAACCCTGGATACCATCTAAAGAATCTGCTAAATCATGTGGTCTATCTGAATCTAAAAAGGCTGGTCTAAGTGTCTAATCAAAGTTTGGATGAGAATGTGTTGATATCCTTGGCCTGTGAGAATCGGCTAAAATTCAGGAACGACGGGTTTAGCTGCGACAAATCCGTGACTCCAAGAAGCCGCATCGTGGTTTGAATTTCTTCGCTCATGACTTTGCAGAAAGGGATCAGCAACGTATACTTAGGAATAAGGGGCGAATCGTCACTTACTTTCAATAGCTCGAACAACACCGTCAGTACCGTGGGCACACAGAGCATACAGGAAGCCGCGTCCTATGCCGACCGCTTTCGCTCCTAGGCAAATCGCCTTGACCACATCCGTGCCCCTCATGATGCCGCCGTCAACGTAGACATCGATTTTTTCGAAGACGTGAGGAGCGTTTTGGCGAATCTCAAGCAGGACTTCTACTGCGCTCGGTGCGTAATCGAGCTGTCTTCCTCCGTGGTTGCTGATGTATATACCGTCAACACCGTGGCGCAATGCTTCCACTGCATCTTCAACGCATTGGATACCCTTTAGAATTAGGGGTCTATCTCCCCAGGCTTTCCGGATCCAGGGCAAGTCATCCCAAGAAAGCGTGGGATCATGGATAGCCCGAGGGACTCCTGGCTCTTCACCTGGGAGAGGGGGTGTGGCGTATGGCCGATTTTCGTCGTCAGGTCCCAGCGCAGCAAGCTCTTTATACTGATCATTATCGTCCCTCTTACCGAGAACGGGGTTATCAACAGTAAGTAGGAGAGCCTTGTAGCCCAAAGACTTTGCCTCGGCTAGCATAGGCTCAGCATTGCCCTTCGTTTTCGGCACGTACAATTGGTAGAACAAGGCACCGCCACGCCTTTGTGGCTCATTCTGAAAGCACTCAGCCACCTCTTTCGGAGATTTGGAAGCATATGTGCTGAGCCCTTGCGGGATACCCATTCGCGCAGCAGCCCGAGTGAAACAAAGCTCGCCGTCCGGGTTGCCGAGTTGCGCAGAAGCTGTAGGAGCGATGAAGATGGGCAGGGTGCTGTGAACGCCCATAATCTGCTCTCTCATGGAGACCTTGGACGCATCTCGGAGAACACGGGGCCGGAAGGTGAGACGGGCCCAGTCAGAACGATTGTTGTCAAAAGCAGACCTTGTTTCTGATCCGCTGTTGAAATATACGCGGCTTCTCTCCGGCAGAAGCTGGAGAGCGGTATTTTCAAAGTCCTGCAACGACCTACACGCAACGAGTGGAAGTTTCGTACTCATCTTCAGGGACGTTTCTCGGGAGTCTGGCGTATCTGGTGCCAGGAAAGATGCTAGTGGCGAAGGAGGTGGCTGTGATGAGCCGTCACCGGCAGCAAGAGGTCCTATCTCAATCACTTCATTTTACGTTTATCAGATTCCGTTCCAACAGCTCAAATGGTCTAACGAGGCGTTAAGGAGTGCTAACCTTGTCCAGGCCTACTCTTGATTGTGCTTGAGGAATGGAAAAGGTCGAAATCTTCAGTTGCGTCTTTACCAGCTAGCGCGAGAATCGCATTTGCGCCTCCAGGATGTTGGTCAATCAATTGGGTAACGTCGTAAACTATGCCAGAAATAACGACCCAGCATGAATCTTTCGTGTTATGTTTCGCAACTTCCGTGCGCGAAGGCATCGTAGAAGATGTCTATGTGAAGGTTAGAGCGCCCTCCGTCAACGGAGAAACGCTGTTGATTAATCCGTGGATTCATATTTGTCAAGTGTCACGCCATTGGGTCAAAAAAGTTCGCCATAGTAACTGCCAGTGCCAATTTAGCGTGTATGCGACTCATTAGGCCCCCTTTTCATAAAAATCCCTCCTTCAGCGAGTCGGACCTGGAAGTCTCCTGAAGATAAGCACCTTATCATTAATTTTATGTTATTCCGTCGGTAGATCCACTCAACTGGCCAATGACTTTGGAACTAATTTTGGTTTGGACGAGGTTCCGTAACTAAGATACTATCATCGATTTATCATTCAACACTTATAGCTATGTGATATTTAGGTCTTACATCTTAAATCCCATTTGAGAACATCTCGTTAGTTTTCTTTCTCTTCGATACTTCATCGCTTCATTTCTGCTATCTCGAATGTAGATTGACGAGTCTTGGTGCCTTTTCGTGATTCTACCCCTAACCTATCCCCTACCACGTTGTGAAATCTCTACCCTTAATCTTAGGTTACATGTTGAGATGAGGTCCCCAATTCGAACACACCCACCTTCTGTGTGAAAACAGGGGCAAACATTCCCGAGACTCTCGACGAGACTGTCTAGGTCAGTATTGTTGCAACTAAAAGTGGAAGTTCAATTTTCGCGTTCCCGTGTGACAGGACTAGCTAGCTGTAGGTTATAAGTCACGATCATACTTCAGAAAACCCAAGGTGCAGCGAAATCCTAACGCCTGCCTAAACAGGGAGCGCGAACAGGAGCGCGATCAAAGGATTTGTGGAAAATGAGCTGACATCAGCACTGAAAACTTTCTAGAGTCTAGGGTTCCAATACAGTGTAGGTATTGCGCGAACCCTGCTCAAGAACAACTATCGATGAGATCTAACGAAGGCTTTTTCTCCTCTCCGCCCCAGGCACGATACCGCCATCCAATCTAGATATGCTCGACCACCACGGCAAGATGGCTTCGCATTACAGCACCCAAGACGAAATTGACGAGTCCTACGGGATTCTAACAACAACATTCTCTTCAGGGAAAACGAAAGAGATTGCGTGGCGGAGGTGGCAGCTGAAGCAGCTTTGGTGGTTGGTGGAGGACAACACAGAGCAAATCATCAACGCTCTGCACAAAGATTTGGGTCGCCACCCATTTGAAAGCAGCCTTGGGGACTTGCGCAGTACGAAACATGCAATCATGTACACATTGAAGAACCTTGACAAATGGACGTCTAATGTCAAGCTCGCGGATGCGGGTTTCATCTTTGGGGTCCTGGGCAAAGCGCACTATCGAAAGGAGCCTCTTGGTGTTGCACTCATAATTGGGGCCTGGAATTATCCCCTCTACGTCGCACTCAACCCACTCGTCGGTGCTATAGCAGCTGGTTGCTGTGTCATGGTAAAGCCTTCCGAGGTTGCAACACACACCGAGGCGCTTCTGAGCTATCTGTTCCCCAAGTATCTTGATCCCGAGGCAATCCGCCTCGCCACCGGGGGCGTCAAAGAGGCAACTTATATCCTCGAAAAACGGTTCGACCAGATCTTCTTCGTTGGGTCCAGCAAGGTAGGCCGAGTGGTGGCGGCGGCAGCGGCGAAACATCTCACCCCGACAGTGTTGGAGCTGGGAGGGCAGGGACCCTGCGTCGTCACCAAATCGTGTGATATTGAGCTTGCCGCGCGGCGGATTTCCAACACCAAGTTTATGAATGCCGGCCAGATCTGCACGAACATCAACCATGTCTTTGCTGAGCCTGAAATCGCGGATCGGTTATTGGAACGTATGATCTACTGGAATGACCAGTACTTGAAGCAAGGCGATGGCCACATGTCTCGCATTATCAACGAGCACAACTTCGATCGGGTTATGCAGCTTCTGAACAATACCAAGGGGGATATTGTTTATGGCGGAAAATGTAATAGAGAGGACAAGTTTATCCATCCCACCATCATCAAGGGAATCACCCTGGATGACTCTTTGATGTCCGAAGAGATCTTCGGCCCCCTCCTTCCAATAATTACAGCTACTGTCGATGAGGCAATTAAAATGACGAAGTCACTGCCGAAACCGCTGGCTATGTACGTATTCAGCCAAGATGACGCCGTCACGAAGAAGATCTTGGACCAGGTTGACAGCGGAGGGGTCACAGTTAACGGCACATTCTTTCACTCGTTCGTGGACTCGGCTCCATTTGGAGGAGTTGGAGATTCCGGCCACGGTGCCTTTCACGGAGAGCATAGTATCGACTGCTTCACGCATAAGCGAACAGTTGTTACGCCGCCGTCGTTTCTGGATAGGGTGCTCAACTTCACGTATGCGCCTTACGATTTGAAGTATGTAAGCCGAACAAATATCGCGAACACCCTGGGTTTCAAACGAGGAGAGACATTGGAAGATCAAAAGCGCGTTGGTCCCAGCCAGTTTCTGCTTTGGGCACTGCCTATCATCAGCGTGGTTGCGTTGGCCTATGTTTCTCGGAAACAAATCGCGAACATGCGTGGTTAAGTTTATTCCATCTCACGTCGTCATTGAAGTGCTATTGATTTTAAGAATATGTATGTTGACAAAAACGATCAATATACTCTCTCAAGCCATGAGGTCTGCGGTTTATATCGTCGTTGCGAACATGAATCAAGCAGCCTACTGACCACAGTGGATGTTATCACGAGAAAGAAAAAAATGGGATAAGCTCAATTGAATAAGAGAGAATAACCAAATGATCATCAATGGTATCGGCACCCTGAAATTGAACCATATCTCTCCGTGAGTTTCCGGCTTCGTCCATCCTCCGAAGGCGCGCTGGCTATTAGACCCGTGAATGACTTCTTTTAGTTTCCGTACAGTCATCAGTGGTGCCTCATCTTCCTGGTAGAAAAGATAAACTCCTCATCTTGTTGTACCCCAATAGTAAAGACGCTGTCTCCTTGTACATTCTGGAACCACCCCATCCGAAAATGTGGTCCTTCTTTTTGCTCCTGGTCCCCTGATAACACCCTTGGGTCGTGAAGAGCATTTGATCCATGAAGCAAAGCCTCCATCTTAGCAATGGCCTCAAAACTATCTGGCGCGACACCTTCGAAGTCCATATCGAGTTGCCAATACGGCGCCTCTTTGCGCCATCGCCGAAATGCCGTCAAGGCCAGGACAAGGGTATTCACTAAAACGAGCAATGAAAGGATTCCCACCAATGCAAAAGTTAGACCGCGATCCTGAATAACCCGAGATCTGTAATTAGAAGTCACTTGGGCATCTATAGGCCGTAAGCTATCATGGTTCAGCGGCTCCTGAGACGAGCTCTCGTCAATCCTAAGCCGGCTTTCAACGTTGGCGAGTTGAGCGGCGACGAAGCCTAGGTTGGCATGCAAAGCTTCAAGTATCGCATCGACCTTTTCGATGTCACCTAAGTCGTCTATTTCGATCTGACCAAATGGCTTCATGATACTGCCAAACTGTGGTGAGAAGTCAAAAGTCTCCACACCTAGCTCCAGAAATAGCTCTGGAAATGGAATTGCCGTCCTGGATGATGAACGCTTTCCTAGCGGTGGGAAACCGAATGGTGGATTCCAAGGTTTAGTTGTTGAATTGTGCTGCACCGGGGGATTGTTGTGATCAATTTGAATGCTTCCGTTGACCCATTGCAGCCTCAAGTCTGTTTCCACTTCTACCCAGGAGTAGTTGCATCTCCAAGCAACGACTGATGTGACAGCCTTTTTGGACGGGATGTACTGGCCCCATACGTAGTCCTGGATAGTCCAAGCCTCGCGCGACTTATTAACCCGCCATACATCAAAATCTGGCGGGGCGTTGTTTATATAGACACCAGCAAAGAGTTGGCTGTCATTTTGTGTAGAAGATGGAATAAGAGGCTCACCGGGGTGAACCCATTCAAGGGGCGCGTAGTCAGAGTAGTTGCGATTAATGTTGATAATGATTCTTCTGGAGCTATCGATCGACAAATCTAGGTCATTCCTCATGAGTTCGTTGCAACTTGGAGCCACTCTGGCGGCTGGCACGCGGACTTGAGCGGACGTATTTGCCGCCCAGTTCGCGTCATCATGTCCCAAGGTCTGGAAGACAAGGGTGTCGTATGTGTGCTCCGGATAAGTGATGTTGGAAAGACGCCGGGCCAAAACAAGCCCGCTTATTCGAGCTCTGTCCAGATCCCACTCTTGCCCTCCAGTTGAACCCTTGGAGCCGAACCAACTCTGCTGAGGAATCTCGACTGTGATGACCTCTGGAAGTACAATCACAGTGAAGAGACTGGATGCCAGTGTTGTCAGAAATGCAGCGCTGATGGCAAGAGTCTGCGTGATACTTATGGCGAAGAACCTTAATCTTAAGGAATGATAGAGGGCCCGGACCCCGATCATATCGGCAAGTGACATATCCATCTCCCAGCGAGAAACGGGTGTTGCAGAGAGTTTGCTCAGAACAGCTAGACTCCGTACTGCTGTATCAACAGAGCTAATGTATATTGATACTAGGAGCATGCTTAGCGTCGGAAGTGAAACCCACATAATAACATGAATCTCCTGCTTGATCGTTGCCAATCCATCAGAGCTGTCTGATACACCAAGAGTAACCATGATGCTCACGATGAGGCCTACACCGCAGAACGCAAAGAGAGCGCGAGCCCATACTCTAAGAACTATTGGTGTAAACGTGGTTCTAGCCCACTCCAACTTTCTGCCTGGCCTATGTTGAGAAAGACATTCTATGGCCTCGTCGTTGTTGCGAAGGAACATCATCATCCCCAAATTTGTAGCCGGGTCTCTCTCTGCATCATAGCGCCGCTTTCCGACATATATGAAAGCAAATATGGCTGAGACAGCATTGAGAGCAAAGATACTCGCCAACACAACACTGCTCACCTGATTGAGATGAAGCTTGTCTATAACAACATCAATTGACCCATCAATTTGTGTCTTCACAGGCTTCCTTAGACGATAATGTGCAATCATCGGCCCAATGCTTTGCGTTAGGTTCCTTACAGCATCTTTCATGACACTGCTATTGTATAATGCCTTATCGGCCTCGTTTAGCTTCGATCCTCTGAAATGGAGAGCATCCTCGAGTGCCCCCTGCCCATCGCGTGAATTGTGTGTGATCGATACCTCGGTGTTGTTAGGAATAGTCTCGTAGATCATATCCCAAGGGTCTGGTATCGCTGTTGTATTTTCTCGAAAGGAAGGTTCAAGAATAGAGACAATGGGGAGGATGCCGTCATCTACAACCCTGACTTTGGATATCCAGGATTTGGCGGAACATAAAATGGCGGCGCACTTCTCCACAAATTCGATATTTTTGGTCTCCTTAATCTGTTGAAATAATATACCATAATTGAGAAAGCTTGCGTACTGGCGAGGCAGGGATGGGCATGACTTGCCGGTGTCTATATTTGCCGTGCCCCAGAACCCGCCCCGTGAGAGACGCCAGAGAGGGTTCACACTTCGGACTGTGAATACTTCATCACAACCCTCGAATTGAAGACTGGCAGTGAACTGTTGAGTTTTATTGAGTAATACAGTGTAGTTCTTCAGTTCCAGGCACTCAACATCCATAAATGTCCCGTTCACAAGGACTGTCAGTGGTGCATTAACTGTCCCACGACGCTCGTCACCTGCGACGCCCTGTGCTTGGAATGTCTGGTAAGCTCCCCCTGGCATCACGCCAAAGGGATACATTGTCTCATGCCCTTGTAGAGCTTTGGCGTGGTAGTATGGCCCCGTGCTAGCGTTCAAGGTTGTCATATCCGCCTCAGAGGTGGCAAAGTCGTTCAGTGTGTCAACTTGGACTGGCTTCGTCACGGTGATAGAGTGACCCTGGAATAAGCTGGATGTAAAGACGAGCTGGAGCTTTAGAAGAATGGAGGTTATGGAGACGGCAAAGACGAAAAAGTCATTGTGTCGAAGCGAGTGGATTAGGGTTGTGTGAGGCATCATTGCCGTATAGTCAACGCTGTAAATGCTCGAGTCTAAGCGCTTCCCGGGCACCATTTTCATCCACTGCGCGTATCTTAGCGTTTGAAACTCCACTCTTGACCAATGTATGCTAAATATTTTGATAACTGGTCGCGATAAATATAGAATAATTAGCCTAGTTTTGCCATGATCAAGGGCTGACTGTTTGACGGACTTGCAGTTGGGCCAAACTTCCATAGGTAGGTATATGACGGGCTTGTTTCAAATAGACCACGATTTCGACGAGATAATACCAACAAGATGGGCAAAGCCGTCCCACAGAACAAGAAGATGACACAGAACGTGATGAATACACACTGTTGTAACCAGAATGGGCTCCAAGTCCTAGATGAAGGACTTGAATGTTCTTCGTGTCTCCCGTCGGTTTCGTCCGAGTCAACAGCTCGTGTTTGAGGAACAATAAATTCCACGGAAACTGATTTTTTTGACTCGCGCAGTTGTCGAAGCCGAGAGTATTCATGCGGCGTCACTCCAGAGTTGATGGGGATGGTATCATTGCTGAACGGTGCGTTGAACTCTGTGCCATCTGTGCCCTCCCGACTAACTGCTTCGCTGGCCTCTTGCGCAATACTATTATTTGAACACTCACTAATCTGGCAATCGACTTGGTCAAGAAATATTGTATCTGTGTCGCTTGTATGATGTTCGCTCGTCGCATTCCCATCCAGTGTAGTTACGGCAGCACTAAGTGCTTGGGTATCCGTGGGAGAAGGGAATTGCCACACTTGCTCCAATGTCTCTTCATCTGAACGTCTACTCATTGTATCTCTGTCGGGTTTCGAGGTGCGAGAAAAATTCCTGGTTATGGCGAGTGGGGTTTCCGACAAAGTCTTGTCTCGAAAGCTACTCAAATGCTAGCGCTTTTGGGCTATTCTCTGTCTTATGAAATCCACTTGGTAGCTATACATCCTGCAGCTAGAATTGAATTTTCTGCCCCCATGTTAGACTGCATCCTACCAGTCTCTCTCCATTGGCTTGTGCAGCCTCTCGAACGTAGGAGCATCGAGTAGTATTATGTGGTGAACGAATACTACTTGGGGGGCCTGATAGTCGGCCCCCAAGTAATGGGAGGATTTTGCACTTTCGATTTTGCGGCGGCAGGCGACTCCTTAATGAAACCGAGGGCGCCATCATCCTCTGTAGAGAAATGTTTCGGCCACAGATGTGCACTCAATGTGCCTTAAGAGTTTGGGGGTCGTATTAACCATTACCCACGACAAGTCCGCAGGCGTAGATGCATGACCAAGAAGGTGCTGTCAATACCGTTCTTGCTACACACAATAGCTTCTTGACGTGAATATTGTTTGTATATTCGGCAAACCCTTTTTTTTTTTTTTTTCTTTCGAGGCTGACTTCACCAGAGATGTGTCCCGTTTGTATTAGACACAGTCAGTTTATCATGAACAGATATAAATTAGCGCCGAGAATAAAAATACAGGTAACGATGAAGATATCAAGCTTCTTTGATATCCAGGGGTCAGCAAAGCGCCTTGAAATTTATGACAGCGAATATGCATTGCTTGGTGGCTGTAAATGATTGGCATCTGATCTCTAAACGATTCAATGTTGGTAAGGTTGGAAGCGCCTGAATCGGTCACAACGACGCGCCAACCCAAAATCGAACTAGCATTCATGATGGAGCATGTTAAGGACCAGTACGGCTCTAAATTCCAATTGAAGAGTCTCACGTTACCAGAGACTGTTCTTTTTCGGTTTGAAAAAGGAGTTAACTATTCTTGAGCAACAAAAATTTATTCATGCGTCAACTTTTGTCTATTGGTGTCATATAGCCTTTGGGGGTGAATTCAACCTCTAGATAGTTCTAATGCAAAGAATTCATTTGCCCCCTCCTATCAACTAATTAAATTTGTGACGTGGCAGCCCCCGTCTAGGCAACCCAAAACCAAATCTTCTCAAGAAGATTCCTCGGCACGGGAGGGACGTCTCTAGCCTCCAGCTCATCCATCTCCTTCTTTCCGGTAGTAACATCAATCTGGTCAATGGGGATGTAAAATGGGGTTCGGAACCAAATCTTGTGACCCAGGTAGAAGACAAGGAAGATCGGGATGGTGATGTACGCGGCCAAGAAGTCTTGGACATTCCAGTTCTTGGGAATAAAGATTTGGAAACCGTTGGTAAGTGTCAGAAGGCTGATCACGAAAAGCGTAAAGTATGTGAAATATGGTTGGAGCCGGGTCTTGTAGGGAAGGCTGCTGAGAAGGTTGTTGAGCTCCATGGCCTTTCGGAATCGGATGTAGGTGATAAGTACGACGATCCAAGCGATGTATCCAGAAATCGTGGAGATGTTCATGAACCAGTTGAAGACCTTGGCACCATCGGGAGAGACATTGAGGAATGCGAGTAAGCCAATTGTCCAGGTTGCAAGGACGGCAAGCCAGGGGACACCCTTGGCGTTGGTGCGGCTGAAGATCTTGGGTGCTTGGCCGCTGAGGGAGAGAGAATATAGGATACGGCTGCCAGAGTACAAAAAGGAGTTACCGGCGGACCAGGCGGAGGTGAGAATGCAAGCATTGATGATATGGTTCAGAACAGGTATACCCGCATTCTGGATGCCAATAACCCAAGGGGACGCACTGGCGTTACCAGCTGAGCCAAGAGCCTTCTCGTTGTAAGGCACCAGGATACCAATAAGGAGGGATGAAACGCCATAGAAGATGGCAAGACGCCAAATGAAGCGACGGGCGGCTTTGGGAATGTTGCGACGGGGAGCGACGGTCTCACCGGCAGCGATAGCAATGAGTTCAGGAGAAGTAATGAAGGCGAATCCGCAACTGGCGAAGGCGTGCCAATAAGCGAGGAACTTTCCAGCATTACCCGAGGCATTATATTCGACGAAAGCACCCGGGTTCTTGTAATAGTAGAACCCGCGGACCTCAGTCTGGTTCGGGCCGCCGCCAAAGAAGATGACCCAGCCAAGAATGATAAGGCCCATAATAAGAATGAGCTTAATACTGGCAAACCAGAATTCAGCCTCGCCAAAGAAACTAACGGCGATGATGTTGAGGAGGAGCATGACGATCAGGACAATGGCGATCCACAGAGCCATGTTGACGGGAGGGCTCCAGTAGTCGATGATAATGCCAGCCGCGACAGCTTCAGCTCCAACCAGCATGGAGTAGGCGTACCAATAGTTCCAACCAGCGGCGAAACCCAGACTGGGATCCACGAATCGAGTTACGAAGTAGGGGACGGTAATACCACGCATGGGCAGATAGGTAACCATTTCGGCGAGAACGTTCATAATGCACCAGACGAGGATCATCATCGAGCAATAGCCCTACAGCGATTGGTTGGTCAGCCAGCATCAATGACGAGGGACCATGCCATCTTACCATGAAAAGGGGTGCAGGGCCACTGGCAGAGAGGATGCTGCCAGAACCAACGAAGAGACCTGTTCCAATGGCGCCACCTAACATTCATCAGGGTCAGCCCAAGCTAGTTACACCTATCTTGCGGTGATGGGACATACCAAGAGCAAGGAACTGGATGTGACGGCTCTTGAGACCACGCTCGAGCTGGTCATGTTGGGTTGCGAGGTTGTACTCGTTGGTGGCGGTAGGGCCGGTCTCGCCGTCCACGTCGACATCGCCGAACTCCTTCTCGAGCTCCTTGCGCATGATTGCGGTGGTGCACTAGGAGACGTCTGGGGGAGAAATATTAAAGAGTGGGTAAATGGGCACCGAAACTATCGCCAGGACAGCAACCCAAAGCGATTATCAGGATGGTTGAAGTGGAAACCAGATCAACCAAAGTGGCAATGGGGAGAGATTTATACCCAGACCGAAAACAACGGGTCAACGGTTAGAAGTGGGAGAAGATCAACCTTGTTCAACGAAGCTAATGCAAACACAGTACTTGCGGCGTACGCCCTGCAGCCATACTTGACAATCCCTCCACACAACCAACGCGACAAACTAGCGCAAGGGGACGCCCAGATAAAGCCAGCCCAGTGGCGGGACCCTCGACATAAGCCGAGGACTGGTCCGTCGTAACCGATAACCGGAGGGGGGAGACAGCCTCCTCCCTGGTCGACCCTGGACGATGTGTGACAGTAATATTACGGCCGCAACCAACAAGTGCGCCCAATGCCGCCTAGTGCGGCTTCTCCAACTTTTCCTGGCGGCTTCCAGAAGGAATCGAACGATCCCGGCCGGGCAAACTCGTCAACCACGCCTTTTGGCGACGACGAGAAATGACCAGCTGAGCAACGAGTGCAAGAAGCATGTGGTCGCCGACTGAGATTCAATTATCTTCATCTCATTACGTACTGGCACTGGGGTTCTTTGCGGGGGAGGAGGGAGAACCCCAAAGTCAGAGTTTTCCATTACTCAATGGTATCCATCCAGCGACACAAACGTGATGAGGTGACCTGGGGGAAGGCCCGGAAGGGTGTCTGTGCACACACCAACACGACGGTTGCCTGGCTGCCTCCCTCTGCCGCCTCTTCTTCTTCTTCTTCTCCTTCTTCCCCCTATTCTTGCCCATCCTCCCTCCGCTGCGATGCTCCCTCAGAGGTCTATCATGACAGACGGCAGATGAGTGTCAAGGAATAGACGTGCCGTCTTGGCCGCCAAGCCAGTTCCCGCAATGAATCATTGTGGCAGCTGCCGAACCGTCAGCGGCCAAGCCATTGAGCAAGACGCAATCAGAATGGTGGAGAAAGTATCTCCACAAGCACAGTGTCTACTTCTGAGCTGACCGTTCCTGTTGCTAGGCTTGAGCCAACTCCTTTGATACTACATACTGTGTGGAGCAACAGGAGCAGCAGGATTGGGGAAACAGAATTTGATCCAGTTTGTTGCAGAACTGATGTGATAAATGGCTACACATGGGCCGCTGTTGGTTGGATGGCCCGCTATTACACACATCAATAACAAACAAGATCTGCATTCCACTATCTCTCGATATCTTTTTATCTGGCTGGTATGCACACGGCCAGGTTCATTGACCGGGATTGGTCCCAAAATTGTGGAGGAGATGAGTGCCAGGTATGTATTCATGCTGATGAGCAAGCAAAGTACCTTATTAGCATCCGCCTGTTATGGCTGTTGGCGGCCACCAGTGTTTTACACTTTTTACGGTTGCCCGAGTAAGATGATCTCTCAGCTGCCAAGAACGCCTCCAGCCCGTCTCATTAGACTAACTTGCCGAGGGCGCACCGAGAACGACTCATGGCTCGGATCTCGCCACGCCCCGGCAGAATCAGCAGCCATTCTCCAAATGTTTCCCCACACTGTCAGTAGCCTTGGTGAGAGAAAATTTGTTCGACGGGGGAAAAAGCATAATGTACAGGACCAATAGCGGGAGCTACCCCGTCACCATCTTTCGGGCACCCTTTGAATATGGCATCATAGGTCAATACCAGTTCTTCCCGGCCCGTACGATTGTTATTTCCCAATCATCTCGTACGATACCATCTCTATCCTGAATGATAACCAGGCAAATGTCTATGGTGTCATTTAAATGTGTACAGCAAAGTAATCTGCCACACACAGCTCGTGTTGACGCGGCTCAGCCTTGAAGAAGACCAGCTGCACGGTTTATGTCGGCACAGGTATTGCATCCACACGGTGGGGATCTTAGTCGCTACTTAAATCTTTCTAGCGGCTCGCTAGAAGAACTGAAGCACCTTCTTTTGTCCAATTATGGATTCATAGCGCCCTCTCACCATTCTGGACCAAGGGCAATCCGATGGAAGGCTTGCAGGGGCCCTGGCAAAGGAAGGCTTTCTTCGGCTTAAGAGTCTGTATCCACAGGAACACAACACTAGCTGCATGCTTGTCGTCGATAACTTTATTTACATCGTGACAAATGCTCCAGGGAGCAGTGCAGAGCCCTCTTTACGGCGATAACAGCCGGAATACTCTCTAAAACATATGCCATGGATGATAAATCACCTTAGTAGTGATTGTTACCTGAAACCAAGTGCCCTCCTACACTCGCAAGCAGGCATAATGCTGGCTAGAATGCCCCTTTTCGGTAACTCGTCAGCCAGACTGTCACTGTGTTGCATTAGACTGGCTGAAGATTGCCCCTAGTTCTCTTGATGACTCTCCTAGACATGTTATGAGAAGGTTGACGGCCACGCTGCACTAGCAGTGGACTCGCCTGCAACGGACGTGAATTGCCCTGTGGAGAGTCCCGTGGAGAGTCCTGTGGAGGTGGACCTATTGATTATGTTCGTTAGAATGTATCTAGCAGATATTTACCCTGGGAGGTCTGTACTTACACCGTATCGGGGAATTCCTCTGAAGAGTCTGCCAAATTGGATAAATCTGCCAACCATTCATGTGCCAAAGCTTGGGAGGAGGACGGACGGGATGTTGGTGAGTGCGCCATTGCTTGTTCGAGGAATCTCACACACGCCTCACTAGCCCCTTTCTCCGAGACCAGAGCTCTGGGGAAGGGCCGTCTGGCGGTGACATATCTCGCCAACTCAAGAGGCTCGGCAAAAATGGTTTCATGTGTGAGCATTTTAAACATTATAGCCCCCAGCGCCCACAGGTCAACAGCCACAGTGTACAGACTTGATGAATCCGCAATCGTATCAATGTCCTCTGGGCAATAAATACCGATGACTTCAGGGGCAATGTATCCGCGAGTTCCCACGAGTGTGCGGAACGCAGTGGCCTCCTCCTCGGCTCTCTTGGAAATCCCAAAATCACTTATCTTGACCCACCAATTTGGCGAGTGCTCGGAGACGAGAATGTTCTATTCTGGTTAGCTGATTTCTCATACGCTGAAATTTAGGTAGGTTCTTTTCAGCTTACGGCTGGCTTTAAATCACGGTGAGCGAATCCATTCTCGTGCATGAAACTCAGACCCTCGAGAAGTTGGAATACAATGTCCCTCACTTCATCTTCGGGAAATGGTCTGTCTAAGTGACTTTGGAGATCGCCATGTTCCAAGTACTCCATCGCGATGAAGATCGCTTCCTCGCTCTCAAACCACCCAAATGACTGCACAAAGCAATGGACATACTGCAAATAACCTGTTAGCATAAAAGTGCTAGATGTGTCATGCTTTATCAAGTGCTGGCCTACCTTCTTATGGGAGAACTTAGCAATGGCCTCCAACTCTCTGTTGTAATCGATCTCGCTGCTCCTGCTTTGGCGCTGGAGCTTAGTTATTTCTTTGACAGCACGAAGTTTCCCAATGTCATCTCCTTTCGCGCACTTCTCTAGCCACACTCGCCCAAAGGCACCGCTCCCTAACTCACTCTGTCTTTCCCATATTTCTTCCTTGCGCACACGGTGTCGGCGCATTCGGGGATTTGTCGCGTACGACACATGAACGACTTGGCCATTAGGCGCGAAGGCCGTCTCGAGCTTCGAGTCGCGAACGAGGTCAGAAATGATCCTACTGCTGCTGAGGCTGCTTAGATCTGAACTCGGCGTATGTTGTCGTTGTACTCTTAGCTGTGGGGAGGGTGTTTGATGTCTATCGTTTGGAAACCCTAAAAACTCCGTCTGCCGGTGTTGGGGCATCTGTGTGCCTGTTGCTATGCCCTCTCCCGTCAAAGGCGTAGGGGTTTCTCTTCCCCTAGTCAACGTTTGTTTCCGGGAATCCTCATCGTGACCGTCGAAAGTTTTCGGCCGCTCAGATTGTGCTGAAATATCTACGAGTTGTGGATTATTCCCCTCGACAGTGCTTACGGCGATATGTCTTTCGGTTTCTTCCCCCGCCATCACAAGATTCTCCACGGTATCGGATGACTTTTCACCAGTTGACCCATCACAACCCTCTTGATCTCCCGACTTGGCCTCTTGTTTCCGTTGGATTTCCATCTTTCGTTTCTGTTGGGCGTCGGCTGGTTGCTGTTGTCCCTCCGCTGCTTGTTGTCGTCGTTCTTCAGCTTCAGCCTCAGCTGCGGCTTTAAGGAATCTGTCTTCTTCCTCTTCTTCTTCCTCTTCGAACTGTTCCATTTCCTCTTCGACTTGTCGATGTTTTTCAGCTTCGGCTTCAAGTGCGGCTTCAAGAAGTCGGTCCTCTTCCTCTTCCTCTTCGAACTGTCCCATTTCCTCTTCGACTTGTCGATATTTTTCAGCTTCGGCTTCAAGTGCGGCTTCAAGGAGTCGGTCCTCTTCCTCCTCCTCTTCGAACTGTCCCATTTCCTCTTCGATTTGTCGATGTTTTTCAGCTTCCGCCTCAAGTGCGGCTTCAAGGAGTCGGTCCTCTTCCCCTTCTTCTTCCTCTTCGAATTGTCGTTTTTCCTCTTCAACTTGTCGTTGTTCTTCAGCTTCAGCCTTAGCTGCGGCTTCAAGGACTTGGTTTTCTTCCTGTTCGACCTGCCTTTGTTCTTCTGCTACAAAAGCTTCTTCCGATTCGAGCTGTTCGTCGGCTTGAACCCGTCGCTCTTTTTCAGCTTCTCGTGGCAGCTTGACTTCATTTGCCCTCGGTAATGTTCCATCCTCTGCTTCGTCTTGCTGGCCCTTTTCGGGTATATTATCATCCGTCTTCTGCCGGTATTTAGTAGCCCACATATTCGAACCCTTCAGGGTAGTGTGCGTCCTGACGAGTCTGAGTTGGTGTTCAACATTCTTCTTGATAGTTGGCGGCAACTTCAACGGTATAGACCTGCCCTCGCGCAGTTCGTTGCCAAGATACATGGCCAAGGCAAACTCTGGATAGTAGAGCTCATTCGACGAGGTCACATCCCCGACAGCTTCCCAGATATGTGCTACCGAGCGTGGATGGATGTTCAATCTCCGTATAGCTGCTGTGGTCTGTTCTCTAGATATAACGTGTGAACCCTCATCCACAAGAGCAACGAACCTCACTTTATATTCCGAGTCCTGAGAAGCAGTGAGAAAAGCCAGGCTTGGTTCTTCTTTTGGCCCTTCATGGCGGGTCTGTGTTAGGGCAGCCACTTCTGACGCGAATGGTTTTGAGGTGTAAAGCTCCTTGAACTTCACTGAGGACCCGGAGCCTGATGTCCACGCGAATTCGACAAATTGCGCTGCAATCTTTCTCATCGCCAACGCGAGATCGAGGTGGGTTTGTCGAAATTGCAGGTCCGGCTCCTCCTCCCCATTCATATCGCCCATAATACTATCTCTATTTCTTGCTGCAATCTCGCTGATTTGCACCTCCCACTCGTCCACAAAGTCGAATTTTTCTTTCCCTGGTTCGCTGAAAAGGCGATGAGAGGCGAGCCCCAATGCATCGTCGGCAAAAATGCACACACCTCCGAACTTGACAAAGTTTTCAAGAGAGGGTGATAGCTGTTGCATTTCCTTTATGGCTTTCTCCAGTATTGAGCTACCCAATCGGTTGAGTTTCCCTGATGGATCTCTCTCGGTGTTTTGGAGGTATTGGGCAAGTTCTTCTCGACATTGGTTCACACTGAAAGTGCCGCGCTTGGAAACTCGGCTCAGATATACCTTCCACAGCTCGGCGTCGCTCTCCCTAGAGAACAACATTTTGTCCCCGTTCTTCTGGAGAAATTCTATGATTGACTGGCATGCTAGCAGCATATGAATGGCCTGTAGGGTTAATACTATCACCATCTTGCGGTGTGTTTCTCTAGATCCGCCCGTGACCAGATCTGGAAGTGTTACTGGGAGGTCTTTCCTCTGAGTCCTTGAGTTTCCGCCTCTGTCCGCAGTAGGAAACCCAACGGCCTTGTCCATCCCGCCCTGATTTTGCTGGCGGCTTCCTCCTTCTACGCTCATTCCCATACCCCAAGTGACAGGTGATGGTTTATCCTGAGGCGCTAGGTTGAGCGGTGCGGTTGAACTAGAAACGCTTCCCGAAGGACTCACGCGAGTCGATGACGTTGGAGTTGGCGTCGGGTCTGGGATATCTACACTCGCGTTTGGGAGTATGTACCCCGGACCTGGGCGTGCCGGAGGCGGTCTGGTGACTTTCCACATCCATTCATTGTGCAAGGCATCTTCTCGTTCCTTCTCAAGCTGCCAATTGTCCTCGACGAGTAACCGGATAGCCCTTAACTGTTCTTGAAGGACTCGTTTGTGGTGTTGGTCATCCAGATTTCGTGCGAATTCCTCTAAGCTTCTTAGATGCTCAAGAACCCAGTGTAAAACCTCGTCGCCGCCATAGTGAAGTAGGTAATTGAGGAGTTGCAAACCTTTGAATGCTACATGCCATTCATCACTTATGATGACCCTATGGACTGCCACTAATGTTTTAAGCGCCTTCTCCGACCTATTGGGGTAAAACTTGAATTAGGACGTGGTTTAACTCAAGCGAGGCGCCAAACTATTTCGCGTGCCACTCACCCAGAACTGGTCAAAGCAACGACCTCGCTGAAACTGGAGAGGTCATTGGTTCCGTTGTTGTCTAACGTAGCGTCGAGTACTTTAGATTGTATTTCATCATCGTCGAGCCCAAAACCAAGTCTCTGCTTCCATTTCTTGGTCGAGAGGAATATGAACGAATCGCGCTTCCCTGCCATTACGCGAGGCAGCGAGCCCAGAGCCGACAAGGGCTAAAGCCTTGCCAACTAGCACCACCCAAAGCCAGCAGATTGGAGGTATTGCATATGCAGTAGCAAACAAGGTCAGGGTTAGGAGCTAAGGGACATGCGGCCTTATTACTATTAGAATCGAACAGATCGGAACGACGGTAAATGGAAAGCTTGGGTGAGATTGAGGAAATATCGTGCCAATTAATGTGGGCGGGGAGCTGAATAGAACTTCGGCGGCTGAGCAAGGGCCCACCAATTTGGCATCTTGGACCTATCACATGGGCTGATTTAAAGGGGCAGGGCAGCTCAGCTTAAATCCCAGCTGAGCTCAACGCAGACACCAGACCCTATCAACCTATGGTACGAATCGAACATATTTCAATGTGCCCTTTGTATGATTTTCTGTCGGCGTACACAAAGTTCAGTTTTCGTACTACAATTACTATCCCCGCGTGACGCCGTAACACTCCTGGTCAAAGTGTGTTTTCTATAGGGTGAGCCGGAAATGCTGACCAAGCAGAGATGCAAAAATTCGGCTGCATGGCCCCTTTTGCCACTCTGATTACAGACATTCCAGCCTGTGAATCCCTCAATCGTGGAAGAGGTGTGCGAGCAGCTATTTGACCTTTATCCCACCATATTTCTCTTCGTCTCGCGCCAGTAATCCGTGCCGTTCACCGCGTAATGCCCTCAAGCTGTAAAAGATCTCAGCATTAGTGTAGGAGGTGTTTTCAGGGCTCCGTTTGGCCAGGATTCCTTCAACTTATGAGCCTGACGCAATGGCAAGTATGGAACCTTCTGGTGATGGGCAAACACGGAAAAAGCCGAGAGGCAGGCGTCCTCTTGAAACCTCGAATGGAAAGATAGATGTAGGTAAACTCGACCGCGATTCCATTTCCGTACAGTGTATTCATCCTCTGCCCTCTGATACTGATTTATTTGTTCTTAAATTTTTAAACATCGATACCTAGAAACTCTCTGCGTGCTTTTCTGACTTTGAAAATACTAGCGCCGGCGCACGCAAGTCCGGATGGCACAACGAGCCTACCGGCAACGTAAGGACTCCGCCCTCGACGAAATGAAGCGAAAGCTTATGATTCTCGAGAAGAGATATGAAGATCTGTGCAATGACTATACAACTTTATCCGGCCTTGTCCTAGAGAATGAAGCGTTGCGAAACTCATCGGAAATCGTACAACATATAAAAAACGCTACTGTTAACATTCTCCGGAATCCCCGTGATTTCGAAGAGGAACTGGATAACAATCATGTGGACTTGACTGAGAGAGAAAGCACCAACAAAGGACCTCCTCTATTAGATGATGCATATCATAATTCTGAGGTCGTTCCCTCCCCTTGCAACGTGAATCTTATCGACCTATCAGCTTCACATTCCGAGGCTTTCGACTCACAGGCAGCTCTGGCAAATAAATCTACTGCCGGGCTTGGAAATTCCCAGGTTTACAACTCATCGATACCTCATTTCGTGGCATCAGAGGTTCACGCACCACTAGACTACTCGCCCGATCTATACACTGAATATATTATGGACTCAGCTTCCCAGAACTCGGGCCTGCACAGTGCTCAAACTCAACAATATTCATTTAATCTCCAATATCCCAGTCTAACATTTACTTCCGAGCTCCCGCTACCCAAATCATTCGCTGGTCAAGAACGCACCTTTGGACGTAGACTGCATAGGGCTTCTCAAGAAACAGGGTTTTTGCTTGCAACTATGACAAATCCGCCTCCAGATTGGTACCTAAGAGTGTTCGGGTTCTGCTTACACTACGAGACGAGGGAGGAAATTTGCCGCCGGATGGGTGATACCATCAGAAAATCCAGAGACACAACTCTGAACAACTGGAGGCATCCCTTCATTAACCTCGGTGGAGCTGGCCTGTTTTATCCAGAAATAAAATCTGCGTGGCAATCAACCGGAGTTTCAATGGGACCCTTCTCTGCATCTGTAGAGGAAACGCGAGATTTACGAGTGAGTGCGGAGTTTCGGATGCTTGATCCTGGTTTCCAGGGTGACTTCTTTGATACAGACGAGGTGGAGATCTGCCTGCGCAACTATGGTGTCACCATCCCTGCCAGTAAAGACGTTGTCACTACTTTTGTCGATATGTCGGTATTCGGAGAGGAGACCAGCACAGTGCCGGCCCAGCATAGTGCCCAGGGGTTCTATGGTATGCCTGATACCATACCAGTTCCTCCCGTGGGCCCTACTCAAATGGGCCAAGCTTCCTACACAATAGGACCCGACGAACTGAATAACCCCCCATACCATGGTGACTTCACTGGCGTGGCCCACGGAACAGCAGATTCTTGCCCAGAATCTTCCACATTTGGTGGGGAACACCCGGCACGATCGAAAGTTCAAAAAGTTGAAGTCGATATTGACGTAGAGTGCCTCATTACTGGTAAGTGGGCTGCCTTGGTATTTAAACTACGCCATTAAATTTGACACTTTGGCAGCATTGGTCAACATGACCGTGTGTTTGGGAAGAACACCTGGAATACGTCCCAATGACGTGCGCAGTTCATTGCGGATGTCTCTGACAGTTACAGATGCCCAATATAACACGTCAACTTAATGAGTAACCTGCTAGTTCTAGATTCTTGAGTTACAAAGGCTAGATCAATTACAAGATCATTGTAGGATTGCATCATAAAGATCTCAACTCTAACCTCCCCTATGCCATTCAAGCAAAGATGAGAATTCCGTTACCGTGGCCTTATCTTGGCTGAGCCGAAGGCAAGTGGTGATAACTGAAGATTAACATGTAATGAATGGAGCGAGAGCCTACAATTTGCGAATGATTGAGCTCCCTAAAATCCTGATGCTATAATCACCATTCAAATGAAAAACGACGCTAATACATCCGTAGCATTCCAAGGCACATGATGAGCAAATTAACACCATCCCGAGCACGGAGAGAGGCAGGTTGTGGTATATGTGATAAGTGAAAGGAAAGGGAACCTTATGCAAGCGGACCAAGACAGAGCGCCAAGCCATGGAGACCCACCGAGTCGGAGGTTATCACTAATCACAAGAGATGCTGTTAATTGGTTCGCGCCCTGATTATCCCACTCTTGGACCCAGGTGAGGAAACGAGGGTGTTTAGGTGGTGTAGGCCGAATCCACTTCTAGGCCTTAGAGGACGTCTTCCCTGTTTTCAACTCGGCGATGATTGTAATCAATACATTATTCGCCAATCGATTATTGATATCATGGTTAGAAGATGGAAGAAACTAATTGCCGCGCTGAGTCTATTCCAAGACAAGGTTTAGAAAATTTAACACATATAAATAGCAGGTTCGTAGTGGCACTACAGCAGGCAGACTCCCAATATCAACTGAACCACATCATCCACACAACTCTAACAAGCAAGTTGCTTTAGAGATCAGAACTGTTCCTAGATATCTATGCTCCCAGATTATCCACCATGGGTTCTCCTTTCAAGAATATTTTGATCGTCGGTGCCACCGGCTCGATCGGCCGCTACGTTCTCGACGCACTCCTCCAAGAGCCAACTTTCGACGTCACAGCTCTGCAGCGCTCCTCATCGAAGTCTGTGCTGCCTTCCAATCTCAAAGTCGTCACAGTCTCTGAGGCTTATCCTTTCGATGATCTCGTCTCCGCTTTCACGGGCCAGGATGCCGTTGTCAACTGCATGACGTCTCTTGCCGTAGGCGACCCAGCTCCGTTTCGTTGATGCCGCAGTGGCCGCTAAAGTCAGGCGTTATATCCCCTCTGAGTATGGTCTGAACAATAACAATCCTGATGCAAGGGCTCTCAATGCCGTGTTCCGTGAGAAAGGCCAGATCCAAGACTACCTTCGTTCCAAAGAATCTACCGGACTGGAGTGGATGGCGATCGGCTGCGGTATGTGGCTCAAGTGGAGTGCTTTGCATGAATTCCTTGGTATGCATGTCAAGGAGAAGAGATTTGTCTTCTGGGATGACGGGGAGGGGTGGTTCAGCACCACTACTGAGGAGAACACCGCGCTGGGTTTGGTCAATTCGTTGACCAAGAGGTGGGAGGAGACCAAAAATCGGGTTGTGTACCTGAGTGACTTCGCCATCACCCAGAAACAGCTGTTGGAAGCACTCGAACGCGTCGGGGGCGAGAAATACACCACAGAAACCATCAACAGCGCCCAGCTTATCAAGGAGAAACAAGCTGCTGCAGCTGCTGGTAATGGCGCTGCTGTGTATGATCTGATCGAGACTGGCTTTGTTACTGGGAAATTTGGCGGCCACCTTGAGAAGAAGGAAGAAATTATGAACGCTGCACTTGGTCTTCCTCCGCATACCTTGGATGAGGTAGTTAAGGCTACTTTAGATGCTGTTCGGCATTCGTAGCAGGGCTTGGGTCTGGCTACGATAGATTGAACTTACAGAGCTACTTCCGACATAGTGCGAATCTCAAGCACTCGAGTTTCATATTATCTACATAATGAATCAATATATGATCAATAATTGTGTGATAACTTTACTTTTACTGTCCTTTACTTCGTAGATGTGTTTGGGATCAGGCTGTGTGGAATCTTAAGTCACTACTAGACCAGGGCATGATGATTCTAACACCAAGCTGGTAGATCATAAACCAACCATTATAAGAGAACTTGGTGTCTCTTGGTCATTTAGTAAAAACTTCTACATCTTTTCAACTCTTTTCTATTGTAGCCAAAGCCTGACTATAACCTGAAAACCCCAGGTGCTGTAGCGCCTTCAACGTTAAAGATCATTCTCTCAAGTCATGGCCAACGACTCAAGTGCCTGGAGACGGCTTGTTGCCAACATATTAAGCATATAAAAAAAAAGTAAAATTCTTCTTCTTTTTGAGCGACAGAAGATAAACAGCCTTGATTAGGCACTTAATCGTGCGCCCATCGAGATTAACCGTAGATTCCACTGTTTTGCTATTCTCATATACCGATGTACCCCCAGAGGTAGGTCGCTCAGTTTAATTTAGCGGAGATTGTTGAATTAGGATGAACTCAGTAGCAATACTAATGGTATAAATATCAGATCAAGATATCGAGTGATGAAGAATCAGGTTATGCACATACAATTATTTCAGGTGATATAAATAGAGGAGTGTATTTCATGTCCCCTACTTGCTAACTCTTTTCAGGTTGGAAACTCACAGCCATAACTCGGTTCAATTAAATTCATTCTAGCTTTATCTTAATTCGGATTTTATAAATATTTCTCAGTTAGAAATAGGGACAAACTTTAGTCCCATTATTTTTATTAAATCTCCTTCAAGCGCCAACCCTTCCTTCGACTAAAAGTTGGACACTCTAGAGCCTGCGTTACCTGAGGCACCCTCACAAGTCTACACGAAATGCCCCAGATGAATAAAATCGATCATCCCAATATTATCCTGGTGAAAGTTCGAGCATAAACTAGAAAACAGCAGTAAAATATGCCAGACCCGACATCTCAACACAATAAATCATCCTAATATTATAATCTCTTGGGTTTGATTAAGCCTCTAACTCCTATCACTCTAAAAGAGTAGATTTGCAGTTTCAAACAGAGGAACTCGTTCCAGTTCGCAGCACAGCTGATATGGCATAGGCTTCTTCCTTGGCTATCGTTTGTGTGCATACTCCTGCCCCATATCTACCGGCGCAGCCATTGGCGCCAGTTCCTGCTCACTATGCTCAGAATCCTTGACCAATTCCCACTTGTAATCTCCAGTCTTGACCAGCTGCACGGAATCCTGGTCGGCCTTCTCCTCGAGCTGCTGCAGAGAGTGGTAGCCCGCCTGCAGCTGCGACTCGGGACTGGCATAGAGCGCCGGCAGCAACGAGCTCTTCCACAGCGGCTCCTGGTGGCGACGGAGAACCGAGCGGATGACGGTGTGGAGCAGGAACAGGGCGGTGGCCACGAGGAGCAGCAGCGGGAAGATGAGCCACGCGCCGTGGAAGTCGGTGCAGACGCCGTACTCGAGCACGTTGCCGTAGATATATCCACCCTGGACAAATCCACCCTGGGTCTGGGATTCCTGTGATTTCTCATAAGTAGGGCTGCCCCCGTCAGCGGTGAAGTTGGATTGCACGGCCATCTGGCGCATGCGGTTCGTAACTGCGTTGGCAACGGCCTCGAATGTGCTCGAGACTGCTGAAGCAGAGCCCAGTCCATCCGAGAGCAGGCCGGAGAGATAGTAGTCATCGCACTGGATCTGCTCCCTTCGGCCTTTGACGCTGCCAAGGGTGGCTTGAGAGGGGTAGCGACAGGTTCCGTTGAACAGCTGCATCGACTTCTGGAGGGCTCTGTAGCTTTGCCACGAAACGGCTTCGAGACAGTCCGTCGTGTTGGGGAACGTACGACCCACGGTGTCCTCGTCATTTAACCGAACATCGATAATCCCATCTTGGAAATTCACAGTCCTCGCTCTAGTCATATCAATCGTCTCGTCACCGACCTTGCACTTGTCTTTCCAAAGGTAGACATGATCGAGGGACCCTTCAGGGACCATGTGGAAACCCGGAGAAGAAGAAACAAGCTCTTCCTTGAAGACGCCACGGTCAACCGAGATGCTATGGTGTCTCATGCACAGGTAGAACGTGCAGCCCGAAGAGAAGACGTTCATTGGCGGATCTCTGTTTCCAGCCTTCCATGTGTAGTCCAGCGCGGTTGGGGGAGTACATCCGGTGATGATGCTTGATTCGTTGGCGTACGAGCAGCCGGCAGATGTCGTACCAACAACTGTGTAGTTGATGATGGATGCTGGGAAGAGTGCTCGTTGCATGTCGTCAAAGTCAGCCTGGGCCCAGCTGAGGGAACTGATGCGTGATTCCAAGCCGGTGATCTGGTAGTTTCCCGTCATGTTGATGAGATCAGGGATCGAAACAATATCGTAGCCGCTCTGACTGTCTTTGTTCTTCTGGAGGTACTTGGTTGTGTCCATGCACTTGGAACACACTCCGAGCGTCGATAAAGAGTAGTCATCTTGCTGGTTGGGTATGAATGTGCAGTTTCCTGTGGAGCACCCTTCGACGAGGAATGTCGAGTTCTGGGTGGATGGATCCATGCAAGCACTGGCCATTCTGCCGGCGTAACCGGGCTCGATATCGAACAGTCCTGATCCGTATCGGAAGTACTCGGGCCCTCGAGTGGTATATGGAACCTGGGCCTTGACGCCATTCTGCCAAATTGAGCAGGTCTTGGTTCCTACTGCCTGCTGGCTGAAAGGCCCGATAGCCAAGGACAAGATCATGATGAGACATCCGATGTACATGTTGGAACTATAGCACGCTTGTGGGTGTTTGTTCGGATAGACGATGTTTATGAAGCATGGGGAGTACTTACAACCATGTACGCAGGCGGAAGGGAAGCAAAAAGGAGCCCATGAGCGACTTGCTTGCCTCGTCGATAGAGTTAAGTTGGCCTACCGGTCTGCGGCGAAGCTGCCACAACCATTTATGCTGACTGATGACTGCTTAACGGTTAGCGGCCTGTGCAAATGCAAAGACAAACTTGGCAGCATAGTCCTGACCTTCTTCCACGACGAGGAGGACCAAGGCTCTCAGGATTGCGGAGAGCAAGGCGACGAAAGAGTTCAGACTGAGTCCCGAGATGGTCCACTGGTTACTTCTCTGGTCGTTATTCCTCTCAAGAACACCAAATATGGCCGCCAGCAATCCGCATGCCGCCAGAAAGGAGAAAAACTCCGGCCACCATTGTCCGAGGATGGACCACACACTTCGTGGGCCCAAGCCGGGGGCTGGGTTCTGACTGGGACTGGCTTCGATGTTGTTGTAGCCATCGTTCCGGCCAATGTCTGTCTCCGAACTCACGCCACTATCATTTTGAGCGGTGCGACGCCGCGGTGACGAATCCATGGTCTAGGAGTCTAGGAAAAGAAGAAGGCGTCGCTCAGGTGAAGTTTCGAGACAATGAGAAAGAAAAACGAAAGGGAAAACTCACGCCCGAACAGCGGAAATATATACATCAAACAAGTGAGATGTGAGAGAAACAGCAAAGATTGAAAACAAGCAAATAAGCACACTGGGTAAGCTTGAATTAACCGGAAACCTCTTTTCAGACACTCGTCTTCGCTCCATGTTCATCCTTGCGGCCTGAGCAGGGAGCGGAGTTTTGATACACCCCGGCAGTTCAGTCAGCCAATTGCGAGATTGGAGCTGTCGCCAAGATCATGCCCTCCCTGGCTTTTGAATAATCCTTCAGTCAGCGGCATTTGAAACTAGCCAGGGTTTTGCTGGGTCTTACCCAGTTATGAGCACCCAGCACGGGCAGCAATTCGAGCAAAGGGAGTTAGATTGCCAGCCCAATGAGCCGGTTTTTTCGGGCATCCTTGATTGTGGGGGCGATTTCTTTAATTCGGTGCTTGAATCTTCCCCCAGTGCCTTAACCTCATCCGATGTCCATTCATCGACCATCACCGCAATGGTTTAGAGTCCGGCTGGTTGATAAGGCCAAGCCAGTCAGTGACATCTGGCCCATCCTTGGGAGAACCCAGTGGATATGCCACTGGATGGCCGTGTAACACGTGTCTAGAGGGTTGAGTTCACCGTCCTGGAAACTAAAAATAGCTTGCCACAACGTCCCACACCCCCAAATTCATTCATCAACACCTCATGGAGGGTTTAAGCCGGGCAGAGCGGGACTGATTTGAGGCAGCCTACATGGTATTTGATGAATCATGGAGCCTCTTTGGGAAGACATCGGGGCAGCCCTGTCACAAGGCATAGGGCAGGACTCCACGGAGTACCACTCCGTGTCTTTCCCGGGATTGGGGACTAGGAACCCCCCTGACTCACCGCCATAGTGCCCTTTGCCTCGCCTTGTCACCACAGTTCGCTGCTGGCCTGTAGGTAATACCAGTCACATGCGTTATGCCGTGGACGTTGAGACCCGAGAGAAGACTAAGCATGGTATACGCGTGGGCCAGTAACAGGAGACGATGCGTGTCCACCACATCCTTGGACAGGCTCCGGGAAGCTTAATTAGAGTGGATTTATGTCGTAGCTAAGGCGTATTGATACATAGTATATTTGGTATTAAATGCTCATTGGCTGTCTAACTTGGTGATCGATCTCTAGATGGGCGGATTGGTAAGATCCATGTTACATTGCCCTTTTATTTTGGCATCGTCTGCTCCCCCGTCATTATATCAGTATATTTTTGAATGTAACCCGCCAATACGGATTTTTCCAACCCGAGTGTATGTAAGCCCTCGTCGATATCCATCACTAAATCCACGATACGTTCCGTCTCCTCCGGGGAGGCCGCATCCAGCGAGACATGAATGCCCCCGATGAAGTTGACTGCAATCAGCGGCTCCATGGCGCGCAGGTAGGTCTCGAACATCCAGATTTGTACGCTGACCTTCCTATATTCTGCCCATACCACTTCGTCCACGCGAGCATACAGATTGTCCAGCTGGCGAATCATGAGAAGGAGGAGAGCTCTCAGCATGAGTGCGGACATGAACATTTGCGCCAGGCTATCAGACTTGAAAAGGTACTTCTTGCCCACGAACGCCTTTGGCTCTTTCGTCTCGGCAATGGTCCCGCTCGCAAGTCCATCCTCAGTTAAGGGAACGACCACGCCTCGCACACTAGCTTCAATGGAGCAAAGCCTCTCTCTGAAAGATGCAGCGGCGGTCATCATCTCGTCGCTTAGCGGATCTTGTCGGATCCGGACTTTCTCTGCTACCCATTCGGGCCACTCGCCGTACACACGATTGATTAATCTGATCGACTCGTCCGAGAAAGGCTCGAGCTTGAGGCTTTTCAGATATACATCCTCGCACTTCTCCATCACCTCTTTCCACGGCGACTGCAGCATAAAGTTCGAGCCGCCTGCTCTTGCCAGATGTCCGAGCTATAGTAGAGACGTTAGCTGATGGCCAAATATACTACGAGAGAATGGGAAGGGGTATTCATATAACTGACACCTACCAGCATGCCATAGTTCTCGTTGGCTAGACACACGTCGAGCATATCGTCAACATTAGGTGGACCCTTCTGGGTGATCAAGTTTCTGATCCCCTTTTGGTGGACATCCCAGTGATGCTTGGGCTTCCGGTTGAATATCGCATCGGTCCTCTCCAGCAGCGTCACGGCAGCCAACGTCTCGACAGAGAGGGCCTGGGGGCCTTCCAGGGCGCGCTGGAGACTCCTGAGCACCTTGCCGTACCCGACCGTGTTGACAATCTCCCCGCGCGGCTGCTGGCGACGGAAGCCAGCCCAGGAGGTGCAGAAGAGAGCCACGCTGTCACGCAGGCAGGCACTCTCGGACAGGCGCTGGGGGAGATGCTTGAGGTAGGTCATCTGCAGGGTTATGCCTCCATCCCTACCCCGCTCCAGGTGGCCCACCAGGCGCTGCGCAACTCTGTCGCAGAGAGTCGTCGGCTGGGGTCGAGGGGTCGGATTGACGAGGCGGAACGAGCCGTAGCTGCTCCCGTCGCCGTGGACGGCCGAGCGCATCTTGCGGACCTGCAGGGCGAGTGAGCCCGGGTCCTCCCTCTCGCCCACACGCGGCTTCCGTTCACGCTCAGCGGGGCGCCTCTGGGCCGGTTGGTTCTCTTGATGGATGAACTTGAAGCCTGGCGATGACGGGCCGGGGCATATGACTTTGTGCCGCGCGCATGGCGAGCAGGTCGGCCACTTCTCATCGCACTAGAGGTGAGGCGAGCGGTGTTAACGCAGGTCCAGGTCGAGGAGTGGTTGAAAGGGCACCCACCTACCTTTACCTTGCGCTTCTTGCAAGTGTCGCATGCTTTTGATCTGGACACGCCGGGCATCGTGTGTTTGCTATGGGAGATGTGTGGTAGTGTCGAAAAGGGGGTTGGGCGGCCACGCTGGCACCATGTGAGCGGTGGTCGGCGTTGTCCCTGGCTAGGATTCCCGGTAATAAAAATACTCTAAATATTAAAGAACTATACCGCGTCGAGATGATTAATTGAGGTCTGGGTGGCGCTTAATAATGTGGCAGCTGCAGGCTTGGCAGGGCCGCCAATCTTGGTCATTCATCATTCATCATTGATCATGCGGGAGAGAGAAGCTTATCGACGATGACGGATCGGCTAAATGCAGACCAAAGTACCAATACCCGCGGCCTCCCCGAGCTGTGCCCGTGGCAGCGGTACTGCAACCCAGCATATGCAGCCGAAATTAGCTCCTAGTGCTTATCTCGCGTGGCAGCTGGTCACCTCTAACGTTGCACTGCGGCACTGTCCCAGCTGAAGGGAACTCATATTACCTCTGGGGCTATATGATATCACATCGGAATGGCCGTCTGTAACCCAAAATTGAGATCATCAACCAAATGTGTCAGGGATAGATAATATCAGCATTTGTCATTTTCTAGAACAGACATGAACGCGGTAGTTCAAGCTTTGGCGAGCTGACCCAGTCTTGGCCTACATGTCGGATAGGGCGTTGCATGGCTGGGAAATATATCAGATGTGGGATCACATAAAGTCTCCGTAACTAGTCAAGACATATCTGAAAGAAAAGGGGGCCAACATTATAAATATTTTATATGATTCTTGCTAAACTCCCTCTGTTGGTACTGAACCGCACTACCAGAAAAAGACGAAGATCTCTCGTATAAAACCACCCTTTTCTTCATGCGCCCTCGATGTCAATGGCTTCACGAAAAAACCAGTATAGTCAGCGTCACGATGGGGTCTTCTCTCCACGTTAAGCGTACTCCTTCTGGGCTGTTTTTACAACGCTCGCATGTTCGGTGGAAGTCGAGTCTTCACGATGGAAGGGGTGGCAAATCTGACCGGCATGAATGCAACGCCACGCGGATCTCACGAATCAACGGGATCTAGCTAGGCTTACAAGTTTCATAATCATTTTATAATCCCAACACCTGCATTGGATAAGTGTTAGGTAATGGGCCAATGCGGGTATAGCCGTCTGTACCCACCTCCCCTTCGACCTTCTTATTGTTAACAAAATCCCTAAACATCTTTCATCGGTGCAGAATCTAGAAAATCAGAGAAGATGAAGAACATGCTAGCAAGAGTTTGCCACCTATGCCACCTCGCTCGTGGATAGACGTCAATGCCTACAGAGAAGGCCTTAAGATGAGTATTCGAAGGCATTCTGAACGCTTCTAAAGATGGTAGAGATCTCCTCTATCAAATCTTACTAATTTCACAGTCAGCTATTGGGCGTGCACTTCATGCTGATCATTTTTATACCCTGGTGAGAGTTTGAGTATAAAGTTAAAAACAGCAATAGAAGATGCCAGACCAGACATCTCAACACAATGAATACGAAAGGGTTAAAAGAAAAAGCTTTGCTAGCCCAAGGCTGCAGTCATGCGGAAGGAAAAGTCTATAAACCTTCATACCAATGACTCACTTGCCTTCGGGACGAGCCGCTCGTCGAATGACTATCAAGCCTACCGTCTTTCACCTGGCTTCGTTCGTTCGTCTTACACCAATCCAAACAGTCCAACTGATACGAAGAGAGGAAAGGGAGTGGAAGGGATCAGGGCTTAATAATATAGCTTGAATAGTATGCTTCTTGGCCTTCAAAAACACAATGAAAGAGGACACAACGAGAGGATCATTTTTATCCAAGTATTGTGCTGGGGCCACATCGTAGATAATACAGAGAAGTCACATACCTACGCTAAAGGCCATGAAATCGATTAAGAGCCTGAAGTCAGATAAAGTTAGTGCTTAGCTTCGCGGGTTTAATTTACTCTATCAAACAGTTCATTTAATGCATTCGCTTAAATTCAAAGTGTTTAAGGCCTAAAAGTGCAAAAAGACTCATCGTTCAAGGTGTCTATTTTCAAAGGAGTTCATAATAATAGGGGAAAGGTGTGTGGATTTTCCATCTCCAAGGTCTAGCTACATTATACAGATTCATCCTAGCATTATAATAGACCCCGCCTCAGTATGAGGACCAATGCCAGCCTCACAGAGAGGAGAATGCTCCAGATGTCCGAACGACCGTTCGCCCGAGACTTGGCGAATTTGGTTTCCAAATACAGACAGCTCTACATCAACTAAAGCTAACACTAAACCCCTCTCCAAGTCTAGCTTCCCAGTGTTTGAGGTAGTAGTCGCAGTCTTGGCGGGTTTGGCTGCCGTTTCCGGCTTAGCTGTGCCTCTCTTGCAGCACGTAGCGATGGTGTCATTGTCATCCCCGCAAATGGCATACTGGGATATATAACCCGTCTCATCCCCATCCGAAGGGACAACCATCAAACAATTAGAACTCTACTTCTCTAGACACGGGAAACAAAAGCTTGTCTTAGTGTGTTCACAATGGCCGCCACAGCAAAGTCCTTCCGAGAACATCTCGGCGTCCCGCCCTCCAAGCCCTCAACAAGCGACAGCGTCCTCGTCATCATCGACGCCCAGAACGAGTACGCCTCGGGCCTCCTCAAAACAGAAGGCGTCGAATCGACTCGAGCCGCCATCAAAGCGCTCCTGGACAAATACCGCGCGGCCGGTGCGCCAGTCGTCCACGTGGTCCATGATACCCCGGCCGGCGCGCCAGTCTTCACCCCCGGCTCAGAGCTGGCGGAGGAGTTCCAAGAGCTGAAGCCAAAGGACGGGGAGAGTCTCGTCCACAAACAGCACCCCGGTTCGTTCACCGGCACAGAACTCCAGGATATTCTGGAGAAAACTGGACGCAAGAAGATTATGCTCACCGGATATATGGTAAGTGTAGACTGAAAAGAAGCAGTTGACAAATTCAAACTGACCCGTCGTCTTTTTCTCAATGTAGGCCCATGTTTGTGTTTCCACAACGGCCCGCCAGGGCGCAGAGAAGGGCTGGGATGTTGTCGTGGCCAAGGACGCCGTAGGGGACCGGCACATTCCTGGCGTTGATGCAGATGAGTTGGTGCGCGTGTCATTGGCTGAGATTGCTGATGTGTTTGGCACTGTTATCGAGAGCCAAGAAATTGTATAAGCCAAAGAAGAAATGAAGCCGATGGCCGGAATTTGGCCTCTTCATGGACTGCCCAACGCATTGACTCCTATTCTTTGCCCCATGGAATGTCTAGCCCATCACACTCCCCATGGACACACCTCACCGATGAAGTCCCCATCACACGTAGATTCAAGGCTTGCAATGTGAACTCGCTGTCCTTTATGTATACACTTCATCGATTCTTCATAGCTGCAGGTAGCTATCATCTACCTTGTGTCATACAGTTAATAATAAAACACTAACCGCTAGAATCATCCATCACTTCATGCAGTTCCTCTGCTTCTGTTGCCACCAAGGGACAATGATCGAATAATTCCCCAACAAATAACAACAACCCCTTTAAACCCCCATCCTGTCCATCCGATACTTGACGCTCGGAGTAATCTATGTACCTATTAAGTGAAGGCAACAAACAAAGAAAATTGACATCCGCCTCTGTGGTTCTGTCCAACCACCCAGAGGGTCGATTCTAAATGATTGTTTTCCCCTCATTCTTTCTTCTTCAGAAAAGACCACCATCCATTACCTTCTACCAGAAGCTACACCATCCAATATAGTGCTGGCACAAGTTCTCCAGCCTCGTGGCCTCAACAATGAGCTTGTTGACCTGGTTGACGACGTCCAGCTCCTCTTCAGGCTTGAAATCGCGACCAGTCAGCTTCTGTTGCACACGATCCAGCACCTCCAATGCCCTTGCATTCTGGCTCTCCGTCTCTTGGTTGTTAACGTTATTATTTGCACCATTGACCAAGTTGCCATTCTCCACCCCTGTGCCGGTCGTGCTGGTTGTGCGGGCTCGGGGGCGTCCAGGAGGTGCCCCGGACAAATCGCCGTTTGCGAGCAGCGCCGAAGGTGCGATATCAGCCTCCAGAATGGACTGTCGCCTGGCTCGGGCCCCGTTGGGCACGACCATGGTAGACTCCCTCTCTGTCCGGAAATCTGGGCCGGCAGGCGAGGCATTGTTAGTGAGACGCCAGGTGAGAAGAGGGTCGTGGATGAACTAAAAGATTGAGAGTTAGCAGACTTATTCTTTGACTGACCGAAAAAAAGATGATGGGAAATGGAGATGTAGACTTACAGCTTCTAGCACCGCCATTACGCTCTCCTTGTTCTCCCTCAGCACCCTCATGACCTGTTCGCACGTAATACGGAAGCTACCTTCGATGTTGCTAACCTCCATTGCGTAGGTGAGCATCCGCGTCAATCGGAACGGAACCCTCTCGGGGTACTTCTCTCGCTTCATCGCCACCTCGAAACAGTCACCGAAATCGATGTGGATGATCTTTCCAGTGATGCGGTCGAGCATCAAATTGGAGGGATGACGATCTCCAAGGCCGAGGATGTATCCTACCATCGACATCACACCTAGCGAACGAGTGTAGTTCGTGCGTCGCTCGAGCCAAGCCTCGGACGACTTGGACTTGAGCCATAGGACTCGGTACAAGTCCTGCCCCGTGGTATTATCAAGAGCATAACCAAATACTTCCACTTTCTGCATGAGAGTGAGGTTATCGTAGTCTGGTGCCATCTGGAGCATGATGCGGTGTTCGATGTTGAGGAGAATCTTCCGGCTTTCACGGTACTCTCGGATGAGCACGTGGAGTGTGTCACTGTTGGGGACCCAGCCAAGCAGACCAGAGTTCTGCGAGAGTGGGATAGCAGGGTACCGCTGGATGTTGAGATGTCGTTTGAAACATTCCGAATCGTTGGCGAGCAGTGTGTTGCAGAGTCCAAAGAGCTGCATGACACGCTCGTCCTGTCGGATATCTTCGTGACCCTTGAGCAAGAACGCATAAGCCACGCCGTCGCTCCCATTCGCGGTCAGCTTCCTTGG